TTCGAGCTGCCGCCGCCTCCACCATGCCCACCGCCGCCTCCCCCTCCAACCCCTCCACCGGCTCCTACTACACGGGGTCGGGCTCCCCGGGCTTTGAGAGCGGCGGCGGCAGCGGCAGTGGGGGCATCTCCTCGTCGCCTGTGTCTGGAGAGGACACGGGGGATGTGTTGGGCAGCACCACGCCGGGGGGGTACGGCCAAGATGAGGTGGCGAGGCAGGCGGGGAAGGTGGTGGGACAGGTGAGGGGAAGGGAGGGTGCGGGGGCCTTGGGCGGGGCATGCATGGGCGGGGCGAGGATGCTAGAAGAGGAGGAGAGGGAAAATGTGTGTCTGCTGGCTGTGCTTGTTGTGTGTTGCTGAAAAATGCATAAGAGTTTGGTAGGACTTCCCTTCATGTTCGCTTGTACGGTTATCGTGCGTGCTGCTGGCCTGCAGGTGAGCGAGGCGTTTCGGTCGGGTAAGAACGAGGGCGAGCGGGGGGGCGGAGGGAAGTGAGGGCGCCGCGTCGTCATCGCCAGCTGCTGCTGCGACCGCTGATGCTGCAGCATGGGAGGTGCGCCCTCCATGGGGCATGTGAAGCAGGTCCTCTTTTCCTGAGGAGGATGCCAGGATCGAGGGAAGAGATGCCAGGATGGTGGCAGGAAGGTCGTGACCGATGGCATGCATGCAGTGTGGGAGGGCAAGGGCAGCGGAGGCATGGGAAAGCGAGCGGAGCAGCAGCAGGGGTTGGGGGAGGCTGGGGACAAGGAAGGTGGAAGAGGGTTGCAAGTAGCAGTCGGGTCGCGACGAGGCGAGGTACATGGGTGAGGTTGTATTGCAGTGTACATGGTAGGTTAGTTGTAGATCTTCCATTGACGACGTGGGGCAAAGCGGACATGGGGGCCTATTGTCGCCCACATTGCTGAGACAGTGGGGCAGACGGTGTTGAGCTACTGCGCTGCCAAGCGTACGTTTAGTACCGTAATAATAGAAGCGGTAACGGGATTCGTACATGTTACGTCTTTCGGCGACAGCTTCCCAGGTAGGAGCTGCTGGGCCCTCTTGCTTGGTGCTGCAACATGCACCTCTCCGTACGATATGTAACACAGGCTTTGGTAGCTAAGACCGGGACGAGAGAAGAACAAAGCAAAAGTTTGAAGTACCATTCGCCAAACAGAACATGAGGCTATCTACAGCTTATCTCCTGCTTGGTAAGAAAACAAGAAGAACTCGACGACGTGAGGTGGAATCATGAGGTGGAGCTGAGATGGATGAGGTCACTGCTGGGCTGACCCCCGGGTCGCCGTACTCCCTAGGATTGAAAGCTTAAAGGCGGACTCGGAGCCCACGCATAGTTTAATGGCATTGCGTTCGTCTCGCTACGTATAATTCCTGCAGTATAAGGCTGACTGCGTGGGGTTAGTAACCTCAACTGCTTCACGACACAAGGCAAGCTCTCCATTGTTCACTTTGAAGGGGGCTGGTAATAGTCACAGTCACCTTACTTCTTTTGTCGCCCGTTGTTTGCTACACCGTCTTTGGAAGCTCGCAGCTAAAGGCCCCTAACACACATTAACCTCCTCGACTGTTACGCGACCAGCAGCAGAAGGAGCCCAAGGATGCTGAGCCGCGCGATCGCAACCCTGCGGCCTTTCGGGGTCAACCGGTGAGCTAATAGGGCGGCACAAATGAGGTTGTCTCGGAGTTGGCTGTCTTCGGCCCATTACGTATCCTTTGCGTTCTGTAGTGAGAGCTTTAAGGGAAGCATTTTGCTGCCTCATTTCGTGCGGAACCATACATATGGGCAGGGCTGCTTGGCTTTCCTTTCTGTTGTGCGCGCGGCAGCCGCGGCAGCCGCTGCCGCTTCGTGTCTCGGACTTACCACCGGAATGGCGGCGCTGCCCTGCTTTGCGGGCCTCTCAGCTTTCGCTACGCAAAAGTTTTGCACTACATGCGCCAGCAGTAATTTTGCTGTTTCCGGGCATTTCCTATTTGTATTGTGTGCCTATGTTTCGAGTTATGCTGCTGTTCCAAACGAGTGGCTGCCCTCCGCAGCATCAACAAGCACCGCTGCCCTTATGCTATTATATTCCCATACACTTTTTATGGGCTTACTGTTGGTTAGGCCGCCCCTGCTGCTGCAAAGAGTATAGTCCCGAGCGCTCGCCAGTGTTGGTGAAGTGCTTGCCCTCCTGCTGATGCCGGCATTCCGCACCACATGCAACCATATGCAGACAGGACGTAGCTGCTTGCAGGCCTCATCATTTCTTTGCCTCTTGCTCCTCTATCTTCCTCATCTCTCTCCTTCCCTACCTGTGTGACGTATTCACTATTAAGTAGTGATGTAATTCCTCCCCCCGCTGCTGGCCGCATGTCCCGGGGCCGCAGGCTGGGCATGGCTGCCGGTTTCACGTCCTCCTCCGCCCCAGCTGCGGAGGGCGGCAACACAACGGAGAAGATCAAGGAGACGGTGACGCGCGTGGCGGATAAGGTAACAACAGGCTAACCCATCAGTATCCGCAATCGGTAGCAGCTACCAGCAGTGGGGGTAGGTTGTCAATGCACCGCCACTGCGGCAGGGCCTGCTTGTACCACTTGTGTACTACTATTGACCCATGGGTCGTGGGCCCATGCAATGTTGTTCCTGCACGACCTGACTTCAGCGATTGCGCCGCTGGGGGCGTCTGACGCTTAGCCGCTTGTATACGAGGTTTCCTCCTCTTCCTTTCTCGGTTTCGATCATGTGTCGATGCGCCGCTGCTGCCGACCCATGGGTCATCCTGCCCCACACGCCACCGCCCAACAGATCCACAGCGCCACTGAGCGGGCTAAGGAGAGCCTTCAGAGTGCCACCGACTCCGCCGCCCACACCATTGATGAGGTAGGGCAATGTTAGCGGCGGGGATGGATGTCTCCGGTAGCGGTCTGCTGGCAGGCATGGTGTGATTGACATTATGTAATTGAGGTGGGAGGCTCCTCTTGGATCCTGGTATCTTGGATCCTGGTATGCAGCGAGTGGTAGCACGGTCACAGCCGGCTGACCCACCGCTCCTGCCATCTCCTGACGTCTCCCTCCCCTCCTTCCCAACCCGCGTCTTTCCCCCCCCCCCCCCGCTGGCAGTACTCGGGTCGCGCTCGCGAGGGAGTTGACAGCACCCGTTCCGCTGCCCGGGACGCTGCTGAGCGGGCGCAGCAGCGGGCGGGGGAGATGAGCGAGGGGGCGCGGGAGGGGCTGCGGGGGGCGAAGGAGGCGGCGGGGGAGGCGATGGGGGCGACGAAGGAGCAGGCAAAGGTGGGGGGGATGGGATTGGGGAGATGAGGGCTACTTGTTAGGAAGGAGGTGGCTGTCGGGAGGTGGCTGCCGGTAAGGAAGGTGTTTAGGGGCCCATGCATGCCGCTGAAGTGCTGCTGATGAGGTCGTTGTTCGCGCTACTGTGCGGGGGGGCGGCAGAAGTAAAGAGGACGGTTGTTAGCGTGCACAACCCTCGCACCTTCCTACCCTACCTAGGAGTAGTTAGGGGGAAGAGCGCTATGGTGGGGTGGGAAAGGGACCGGGAGTCGAAAGGTGTCCACCTTTCCCACCCCACCATAGCGCTCTTCCCCCTAACTACTCCTACCTCCTTCCCTTTCCCCCTGCCTCCTATCCAACCCTGCCCCCGTCCCGCCATGCAGGAGACCTACCGCGACGCGCGTGAGACGATCGACAGCACCGCCGGCGCAGCGGGGGAGCGGCTGCGCGAGGCGGCGCAGTCGGACCCCGAGATCATCAGCATGGGGCCGTCGGGCGGTGACGTCAGTGGCGCGGGCCGCATGACCGGTACCGTGGACACCTCGGGCGGCACCTCCACCAGCACCAGCACCGCTGGCGGCACGGGGGGTTACGGCGCGAAGGAGTCGGAGCGGCGCAGGGTTATCAGTGAGGTGAGGAATGGAGGGTAAAGAGGAAACATCTAACTGACCGTGTGGAGGGGGAGTGATAGATGGGCAGTTGGGGGGGTCCCAGTGCGAAGGGGGGTTGGGGGTAGAGCGGGAGGAGGAGGAGGAGGAGGAGGAGGAGGAGGAGGGGCGTTTGCGGCGTGTAGGGTCGAGCAGCGGGCAGTTGAGGCGAATTGAGGTGCGCCGGGGGAGTGAATTGAAAGAGGACCAGGCTGGAGGGCGTACGGCAGCTTCTAGGAAAGGGTCTGGGAGGTTTTCCGGATATTGTCATGAGGCCATAGGCCCCAGCAGCTGTGAGGCAGATTGGTGCTCATGGTGCTCATGGTGCTCATGGTGCAGATTGTGCAGCTGTATGTGACCTCCACGCCATACCCGCCTCAGCTGCTGAGGTGCTGTGGCCTTCACACATACGGTACCGTAAATGCACCATCTTACCCAGCTCAGCCAGATCAACAGTCCAAACCTTCATGCAACGCTGGGGGCATCCCCCCCCTCCTCTGCAGGTGGGCAAGGCTGGTGACGAGCGCATCGGCGGCCGCTGAAGCAGCAGGTGGTCAGGGGGGTCCGACAGGTGAGCTGAGGCGACGGACAAAGTCCACGCCGCATTGCTCAGCCAACATGTTCGTGAGGATGTTTGTGGGAACAAAGTGCGCATAATAGTTGTGTTTTGTAGTTGGCCTGAGATTGGATTCCCCGACGCTGGATGCTTGGGAGTGTATGGGCGGCCTCGGTACCGGTTTCTGCACTAGAGTCGGAGGATGTAGCAGGAAGCGATGAAGTGGGTGGGGTGGGCGGTGTCAGAATTGCTCCGCTTGCACGGCTGCATGGAGGCGAATGGTGATGGATGGGGTACACACCTACAGTTCACGATGTATTACCAGGTTGCCAGAATTGTTGTCCAGTGTTGTAAATGTATCGATAACCACACCGCATGTCTTGCCGCGCTTTCCTAAGTCCCTTACCAATTGGTGAGCTGGGGTTTTAGCCATAACAGTGCATGGGTCATTGTACCTGTGGATAATGTAAGCCCCCCCATCACGTGTTATCAGCAACATAGTGCGTTCAGCTGCACCAAAGAGGGAAGGGTTGCAACTTTTGCGACTTACATGCGGGGCCTAAAATTGGAGGCATGTATCATCGCGCCCACATTTTACCACTCTCTACCTGTAATAAGCCGGCCACCGGCCAGCACACCCCTCAAGATAAGAATGCAAATAGTAAATGTATGTATAGCTAACCGCCAATGCGGCCGGCGTGTACTGCGGCTGCTACTGCTGCTAATTACGTGAAACACAACACCCGCGGCTTATACACAGGAGCGACAGAAGACCAGCACAATGTTGGATGTACAAAACCCCACACGCAGCACGCGGATCTCCGGCTCAGCTGATTGAATACACACACGTGCGCACTCGCCAGTCCTATTATCACACACACGCACACATCGACCTAAGGCGACACATGCAGGAGGGCAGCACACACACACACAGAGCACATCACGCTGCTGATATGACACATACAGTTGACGAGGCAACATGACATAACCACGCTGTGTGTGGATGCCATGGCACTGATATAGTCGTCTGGCACACAAACAGAATATAATGTACTTTTCCCTTTTTTTGTTGAGCCGCAGCAAAGAGGATGCCACACGCCTTATTCACACACACACACACATACATACACCTCGTGATGAGGAACGGAGGACACGACACTGCGACGCGCGGAGTGACCACACGACACACGACAGCCAACACACCACCACACTGCTAACAACTGTGCACCGGCACGCACGCACACACATACGTTTCGCCTCGCGGCCAGTTATTTTAACACACATACGTCTACACGACCCTGCATCTGCAGTTATAACACCACACCGGCGGTAAAGAATATGCACACCCTTGGGCCCGTTTCAAGCGCCAGCCGGCCAACACCGACGCCTGCCCTGCCCTGCCCTCACCTCGTAAGCCCCCAAACCTGTCCGACAACTGTCCTATCCGGTACACGACCCCGATTCGTCAAAACTGAAGGGCCTTTTGACGGGCCGCGAACCAAGGAGAGGAGGACAACGCAACATACTCCACTACCTGCAAGGCCCTTTCCCTGCAACCGCTTAGGACAAAGGACGGTCCGAATCACAAGCAGGGCTAGGTGCTGTTTCAAGAACGCCATTGGAAACGTCAACTCCAGGTCCTCACCAACTCAACAGTCTTCCCCACAACCGCGTCCGGCAACACCCTTTCCATGCGCCCCTTCAGTTCGCAACACAGCTGCGAACCCAACGAACCAACGAACACCAGAATGGAGCCTGTGCCCCCAAGACAAGCCTGCCGCCAATCCGTGTGTCATACGGAATCCCAGCTTAGGCAAGGAGCATGCCAACAAGCGCCAAGCAGGACTCGAGCCTGCCTATAGCAGCCCACCCAAACCCTACACAGGCTTCTTCCTTCATTAGGAACCAAAAACTCCCGTCCTCGACAAACGCTCAACAGAAAATCAACAACACCCAACCTTGTGCCCGGGGCCATCCCAAGAACCGCAGCAGGGGGGCCCAGTCGGCCATGCAACACGCAACGCAGTCCCCGCCGACCAGGTGTGTCTAGATGTACAAGAAATGTTCATGCTCATATTAGCAAATGTTCGCCCGATGGGGCCAAGCTAGGCATGCAACGTTGCACCATACCTGTCGGATGGTGCAACGATGTGCCAACGACTAACAACTTATTGTACAAGGGTTGCTGTGAGGTTCTCTCAACCCTAGATGCCGTAACTGGTACCTTACGACGCGCGAAAACAACGTGACAGCCCAGGCAGTTAGCGCTGTCCTTTTGTCAAAAGACGTCCACCCGATGGAAGGTGTTCGGCGTGCATACGACGTCATACCGTACGACACACATATGGGACTCCATGCCCGCTGCAGTTGGGACAGCAGCTACCCCATGGATGATAGTGCCAAGCCAAGTAGCCGTCCCGTCCGCCACGCTACGCCAGCAGGATATGGCCCAGCTGGCCAAAGTATGGGCAACGTTTACTGCTGCTGCTGGTTCTCCTGTCGAACAGCAGAGCTAGCCCGTCTGGCTGAGAGCGCCGCACAGCGAGTTGCAGCCTCGTAGGCATTGAGGCCGTGCAGGCTGACCTTGTCCGCTGTGCGCATGGAAGGATCGCGCGGGTCAACAGTCAAAGGGCAAGTTCACCGAAACAGGAAATGTAAAAGCAAAAGTCTATATGACTTTTAGTGCAGGTACAACAAACGCTTCTAGTTCTTTCGGGAACCAAACCCTAATTCACGACAGTTAGTCAGTTACCTTGATCAAGTTTAACTTCAAACGCGACCTCGAACATCCGATTGTTGAGTCCGAAAAGCTCGTGGACCTTACGCTTGAAGGCTGCCTTGCCTTCGGGCCCGGGAAGGATGGGCAGCTTGTACACTGTGAACAGCAGGAAACAGCGTCAGCCGCGGCTCATAGAAAGCAAACTTGCTCGTAGTGTTGCTTCGCTAACCTGTGTTGTTAAATACGACCGCTGCCATCAGCGGCTTCGGTGCGTCTTCGTCCTCGTTCTCCGAGCCCAGAAGCGTTGGCTGCCAATCCGGCAGATCCTGATAGCAGAAGCGGCACTGGCGCTCCTCACTACGAACAGTCAGGCAATCATGCATTCAGGCGCAAGCGTTATGGTGACAAGTTGTACCGGCAAGAGTGGGGTTCTTACGGGACGCGTACCTTTTGCCTGAAGAGTGTAGCTGCCATCTAGCCAAGCACTCTCTGTGTACAGGCCTCTCCTTGCACGCGCAAGGCGTTAGGAGGGGCTTCGCCGCTGTGCCTTCCTGAAGGCAAATGTAACAAGTAGTGGCCTCGGCGTCCAAAGGGGTCGCGTCGACGCCGAGACCGATAGCCGCACTCATTTACAAGGAGGTATAAGAATTGAAGAAGTGCTCTTTGTGCTGGATTGACGGCCGCTTGCCTATATGGATATTGAGATGAGGGCTCCGATACCGGAGCTGACGTGTCTCTGTGAACGCAGTGCCCGGAAGTTGACACTTACAGCTTGACACTTACTTGATCACCCATTTCAGCACCCTGTGTGTGGACTAAAGAGGCAGGTTGTAGGTTATGCTGGTGTTCGGACTCTTTGCATAGGAAAACAAGTGTTTTACAGCTCCTCAGGATGTCCTTTCCACTAATCCAAACACCTTTACATGCAGGTTTGATGAATTTGATTATGCTGCTATGCATGAATACAGGAACAATCGTGCATACCCAAGCAAACTGCCGTGGAACCCCAAGGTGTAGGCGAGCTCAGCTGAAGACAAGTGCATGGGGCACTCCGCTACTTTATCGCAAAACCTGGTTTCCTTGTACTAGGTTTGTAGTGGCCTAGCTAGCCTACGGTATAAGAAGTATCGCAGTAACGGTCAAGGGGGAATAGTTACTCTAGATACGACGATCGAGTAGCTACGTACATGTGCTAGACGGCAAGTCTATAGGTGCACTGTTGAACCTTTTGCGAACACAGCCCAATTTGCTGAAACACCTTTCCACAGCTGAGTACAGTACCTATCCGCTATGATAGTTTTCATCGATGAGACAATAAAAGAATAATTAGGAATGGTGATAAGCTTAGGCTAGCCATATCCAAGGGCCTAGCATTTGACACGCAAAAGCTTTGCTAGCTGCCGTTGCGGCGGCCTAATCCATCCAAAGCTGGAACATATATAGCTAGCATGCCAAGGGGCGATCCAAGCGTATGGAAGCAACATGGCGCCAGCTATTCACAGCTGGCTGGCACGCTCACTTCCGTGGAGCGAGCGAATGAGCTAGCACCGCGGCGTCTTCCCCCAGTTCAGCCTGGCGATGTGTCGACGATGTATTCAATGCGACCCGCCGGGAGGCCAACTGGCACGCTGCCTCGCGGGGCAGGAGTGTTCCCATTGCAGGTGAGCGCATGAAACGGCGCCCACATGCCTTAGCGCTGTTTTCCCAGGTGTACCATATACGCACGACGCGTGGCACACCTTACGGCTCTACTGGTGACCCCTGTTACACCGCTGCCTGCGCCAAACTAGTGCCTTAGAAGTTTAGTTGCTTAGTGTGAAACGGGACGGGACATCCCAGCAACTCCAAACCTCCACCCACAAAGAAACGTGCACCTAGCCCATGCCCCCCTGCCAAAGCTAACCTCAAACTCTTACTGCCCTCCTTCCTGTCCTCCCTCACCCTCACCCCAACTCCTGCTACCCTTCCCCCTGCGCACCACTGCGCAGACCGGCTGGAGTGTAGCAATGCCCGGCAACGGCAGGGGCGCCCCGCGTCACACGCCCCAAAGTGCCTCCGGCGCCGCCCAAACATCAGCCTCTGCAGCAGCTATGCCTGCCGCCGGTGCTCCGTCCTCTAGAACCGCCACACCGCGTGCGAACTGCTCCCGCCCCGCTTCCACTGCTCCCCCATCTCCTCTGCGCTCGGCACGCATCTCGGCAGCTACCGCTGATGCGAGAGCTGCTGCGATCTCAACCCCCGGCACGACCTCAACCTCGGGAGCACCAGCAGCAGCAGCATCAGGGCCGGCAACTCCCTCATCCACATGCAGCAGGGCGGCGGCGGCAGCAGCGGGAGGGGGAGGGGGAGCAGCAGCGGCAGCAGCACCAGGCGCCCCCAAGCCGGCTGCTGCCGCTCCAGGCACCACGGTGGCAGCCGTCCGGAACTCGTACACCACCACGCTGCAGGCCAGTGCGGGGCTCTCACCGCGGACGTACATCACGGAAACCAACATCCACTACAAACCGCCCCCCGCCGGATTCCGAAGAGCGGTGAGGATGAGCGGTGGAGGTGGTGGTGGTGGTGGTGGCTGTTGTCCCGGGGTTGCGTTCGCGTGGCATACTCCAGAAGGGTCCTCGTGTCACGTTGCTCCTGGGAAGCATGTTTGTGTTGAGGTTGAGGTCGAGCGGGGGTGATGAGCGATGTCGTCATTAGGAAGGTGTAGAACAACAGCTGAAGGTGGCGTCTTGAAGGAGTGCGTGGAGTGAAGGGGCTTCCCTTGTCGCCAATGCAAGCATGAGGGTGGGGTGGAGTAGGTAGGCCGCTAGGCAGGTAGGCGTCCCTGTTTGTGCCCCTCGCCTTGCCTCGCCCGGCACTGAACCGCCCCTGTACGGTACTTACCTCTCTTCCCTCCCAACTCCCGACGCCTACCCCTCACAGAAAAGCGCAACGCTGCCGCCCTCCGAAATGCCCAAGCCAACGTACCCCAATGACTGGTCGTGAGTCGTCCACTTGGAGGGCTGGGAGGGGTTACGCGTTCCAGCACTCCAACATCTACAGTCGTCAGCCCCTCCTCCTATACCTTTTTCCGCCACTTCCCCTCCTCATCTCACCTCCTCCCGTCCCGCCCACCCTCACACACCCCACCCCACAGTACCTCCAAGCAAGCCGACTTCCGACCCGACCGGCTGCTACATCCGCCCACCTCGGCACCGGCGGGGCAGCCCACCCGACCCGCGGGTCAGCGCGACAGCGGCCGGCTGCTGCCCGACGATGTCCCACCGGCATCGCAGTTCGTAACATTGCACAGAAGCCAGTTTGTGGGCGGGCGGCACGCGGAGGCAGCTGCCATCCCAGCTTCGGGCGGCCGGGGCACCATGGCCGCTGGATACAACATCATAACGGGGGCGGGTCCGTACGGCAACAACGCGTTTGAGCACTGGGACGGGCGGGACTACCGGCGGCACCGGTAGAGCTGTAGGAGGGGGGGGCTTGGCTGCTCGTTAGGTGCCGTAGAGGGAAGGAGCTTGCGATGCTTGGGGTTTGGGTCGTGTGGGTAAGAGGTTCGCGTTAGGAAAGGCTAGCGGCTGCGTGGCAGGATGGCGTGTAGGCAAGTACACGCGATGAGAGGTCGTTTCGGTAGTGATGATGTGGTGAGAAAGGGCAAGTGTAGCAGTAGCAGGGGCGATGGCGGTTATGGCGGTTGCCCAAAAATAGATGGGCGTACGAGAGGTTTGGCTTTTCCTTGCTTCCGTACTTTGTGTGTTGTGGCATGTGAAGAGAAGGCAGAGCGGGGTATTCAGGTGCGCTGAGAGCCCCGATGAGGATTGCAGGACCGGGCGGGACGCGGGTGAAACTGATGTGTTGTTACCCTACTGAGTCGCAGTTGTCCAAGTAAGGCAACAACCACAGTGGAGGACGTGGGGAAGGGTGATGTCGCAGATACGTTGCAGTGCACCCTAGCAGTGCTTCACTAGCACCTGAACTGCTGGGAGGGTTGGAAGGGACGGTTGGGGGCGGCGGCACTGGTTGTGACCTGCGGCGGTCTTCATGTGTCGATTCATATGAGCAGCCGCGAACTGACACGCACATGTCGAGGTGTGTGTTGATCAAAACCCATTCAGCCATTCATCATGTCTACACGCGCGCATGTGTGAAGGCGCGGTGGTGGCAAAGCAGCGCCACCTGCACCACTGTTCGCATGAAAGCGGGTGTGCAGTTGGCCAGGGGTGTCACCTGGAACCCTGTTGGTGCCATGTTGTAACTCGCCATGACAGGCGCGGGGCTGCTCGGGGAGCATGTTGTGAGCCCATGAGGGCCTCGTGCGGCACGGCGTATCGTGAGTGTTGCGGGGCGCCTCTGAGGCTCGTGAGTGCTGGGGTACGGATGGCGGAGGATTGGTAGGCATTTAGAAGCGTACGGTGAATGGGGCGCACCGGTCTGTGATGTAGGATAGTTGGGCCGTTCTGGGGGCGCGCAGGGGGCCCTGCTGTGTGTTGTGTGTTGTGTGGGGGGTCGGTGAGAGGCTGTAGAAGGATGGGGTGTGTAGGGGCATTGGTGGGTTTTTTAAGCATAGGCAAGGACTGTAGCGCATTCACCTTGCGTCTGCGTCCCGCATTCCGGAAGCACTCGTTTGGGGGGTAGTTGAATCCTCATGTGTGGCGCGTGGGCTTTCCCCTTCATTTCCCTTCGTTTCTAGGAGATTACTTGATACTTTCAGGGAAAGGTGCATTGGCTAGAGCTGTTGCACACCGGTAGCTACCCGGTGAACCCCCATGTTGACTTTCGCATGCATGGAGGTTAGAGTTGTCTTGCGGCTTTCCTCAACGCGGGTCGTGCTGTTGGGGAGTAGAACACCTTGGCTGCACCTGTTGGGGTAAGACTCTTTCTCAAACAGGCGCATGTGAAGCATGACAGAGAGGAATAGTGCTTTCAATTGACACGTGTAGGCTGAAGTAGGACTGTAGAAGCGATAGTCGTTTAGAGGTACTGCGCAGATGTAGAATCGGAGCATGGGCAGTCATTATCGTCCGTATGGCTAGTTTAGAGATGAATGCTGTTGTTGGGGATGCACTTTATAACAGCGGTGTACCTCCCGATGCCGTTTGCCTGAGAACCCGCTGTTGGTTACAAGCATGCCTGCGCGGCATTTGCCAACGCCGCCCACAACGCCAATGCCTAATCCTCCCATGCCTTCATTAATCCGGTAATCCGGTATACCGTGTTTCGTACTTGCATGGTACATGTTCCATCCACATGCTGTGCGCTTTGCGGCGCCACACCAGCCGCCCCCAGCCGCCACACCAGCAGCTCCTCGCAGTGAGGGTAATTGACGGGTATGCAGCGGTAACGTGAAATTTGGCCCCAGCGAACCCCGTCTCAGGCCCAAGCACAGCTGTGGTCTCGGGCAGCAGCAGCAGCACAGCAACAGCAGCTGGCACTGCTGAGCGGCATTACGAGAACCCTACAAGGTCACAGCACAGTCTGTTGTGCCCACCGTGGCTCCCGCAATCTGCGGTCTCGGCCTGCGCCCCATGCAGCCGCCCCACCACAGCGCCCCACCCTTGCGGCACCAGCCAGCTAGCCCTACCGGCGCGCTTGCACTCTTTCCAGCAGCTCTCCCTGCCTCATCATGCCTCTCCCTGCTCCTACGCCACTACCGCCCCTACCCCTATTAAGACCGCTCAGGGATGGCGATGCGGCTGCTGGCCTCCCTGCCGCTGCCCACCCTGCTGCTGCCCACCCTGCTGGCCGGCCTCCATCCCCGCCAGGCTGGCGAGCAGCGCCCTCGCCTCCGCCGGCTGCATCAGCGCTGAGCAGTACAGCAGCGACATGCGCCGCTGCAGGGGGAAGCTGCTGCTGCCGACAACACCGCCAGCACCACCGCCCCCGCCCCCGCCCCCGCCACCAGGGGCACCGCCATGCAGCCGACTTAGTGCCGTGTCCATTGCCTCAATCGCGTAACAGAGCTCCAACTCGTCCTGGGTGGGCCCTACGTCGTCGTCGTCTTCCCGCTGCTCCTCAAAACCCTCCCCAACATCCACATCAGTGACAGCACCAGCAGCAGCACCAGCGTAATCGTCATCATCCGTAACACCCACACCGCTTCCGCCCTCATCGCCAACGCCGTCCGCCACTGCCTCTAAAGCAACAGCAGCAGTGCAGGCGGCAGCGTGTGCGTGTGAGGCCTCCGGAGCTGCTGCCGCAATCCCGTCACCCGAGGCCTCATCTGTGCGCAGCATTGGTGCGGCCTCCGCCGTCACTGCCGCCACCTCCGCTACGGTCGTTGTGTCAACAACCGCAATAGTAGCCCTCGCAACCCCCGTCGCCGCCGGTGCTTCATCTGTTTCCATGGCTTCGTTTGCCTGCGTTCCCCCTTCATCGGCGACTGCCGCTGGCGCCGCAGTTGCTGCAATCCCAGCGGTTTCTGCGGTCATGACAGCTGCTTCCGCCGCCGCCGCTGCCATCCCCTCCGCATCACCCGCCGCCGCCGTTACCCCAGCCCCCGGCATCTCCTCCACCTCCATGTCGACCGCAGCCGGCTGCTGCTGCACCCCCACCACCACCCCGCCAGCAGCCGCGCCTCCCTGGACACCAGCTGATGGCCAACCTAAGGGCTGCTGCTGCTGCTCCTCTCGAAGCGGCAGCAACGGCAGCGGCAACCCCTGCTGTGGCAACGTCGGCTGCTGCTGCTGCTGTTGTTGTGGCCTTGAGGAGTCCGCTGCCGCTTCTGCTGCCGATGATCCCCTTTGCTCCCAGCCTGCTCCAACCACCTCCACCTCTACATCCTGCATATCCACGTCTCGTGACGGCTCCTGCTGCTGCCTTTCCTGCTGCTGTTGCTGCTGCTGCTGCTGCTCCTGCATTCCTGTGTCGTGTTTCGCATCTCCGTCCCTTCGACCGACTGCACCGACGTGGCAAGCCGGCTGCAGCTGCTGCTGCTCAGGCACTAGTTGCTGGTCTGTTTGCTGCTGCCGGTGCTCATGCTCATGCTTCGCGTCCTGGTTAAGGCGTCGGTCGTCGTCGTGAAGAGGTTGGGCGCTGCTTACTTGCTGCTGCCGCTGCTGCTGTTGTTGTTGTCCATCCTCCTGCTGCCGCACCTGCTGCCGTGCTTCGCCCTCCTGCTGCTGCTGTTGCTGCTGCTGCTCGTGCTGTTTTCCATGTTGCTGCTGTTCCTGCTGCTCTTCTCCCAGCGGCGGCGGCTCCCCACCGTATTCAGCACTCACCAGCGCCGCTTCCTCCTCCTCGCTGTCCTCTGCCTCCTCCTCTTGCCCTCCTCCTCCTTCTCGTGAGTCGGCTGCCGCTGCCGCCACCACCGTCGCCACAGCCTCCGATGCTGCTCTCCCCGCCTCCAACCCCCCAACAGCTCGCTCCACATCCGCACCCGCCACCGCCACCTCCGTCGGGAGTGCTACTTGGCCAGCGGTGTCCGCGTCCGCCTCCTTCATCACTCCTGCCGCCGCTGCTGCTGCTGCGGTGGTGTCACCATCAACGGTAACGGCGACAGCGGTGGTCGTCTCCATGCCATCCGTTGTCATCGCAGCCTCCACCTCCGCTGCTGCCGCCTCAGCCACGTCGTGGGCTTCCACCACCCCCGCTGCCGCGGTGACTGCACCAGCGACGGCGGTAGCACCAGCCGCCTCAACGACGTCCGCCACAGCCCCCGACAACGTCTTCGCCTCCGCCTCCGCAGCAGCTGCAGCAGCCACGGCGGCACCACCACCAGCAGCAGCAGGAGGAGGAGGCGTAACCGAGCCGGCATCCATGACCCCAGATGGCGCTCCCGCCTCTGGCCCCGTCGCAGGTGCAATCGTCGTTGTTCCGTCGCCCACCATGCCCGCCTCCTCCGCCACCGCCGCCGCCATTTCCGCCGCGGCGTCCCCCTCCACCGCCGCTACGCCCGTGTGCTCCTCCACAGGCCGCGGTTGCTGCAACGGCTCCAAGAGCTCCAAGGGCACCGCCGCCGCCACCTCCGCACCCCCACCGCGGGTCATCAGCTCCTGGTCGACCCCCCCGGCCGCCGCCCCCACCTCCCCATCCCCCTCCATCGCCGCCACCTCCTCTCCCGCTTCCTGCGCTTCACACATGACCGCATCCTCCACCTCCTTCGCCGCACCTTCCGCCACCGCCGCCGCCGAATGCGAGGATGGTATGCCGTCTGCTTCCGGCGCGTGCCGAGGACGCTGCAGGGGGGGCTCAGGCTGCTGCTGCTGTGGCGGCGGCGGTGGGGCCGGCGGTAGCAGCTGGCTCTGCACCAGGGCCTCCCAGTCGGTGGGAACTGCCTGGGGAGGGAGGAGGGGTGATGCAGCGGGACGGGTGCAGCGTGTGAGGGGCGAGTTGAGGCATTTGAAGAGAAAACACAGCAGTCACGAGGAGGCGCAACTGCGGGGGCAATCTCCCTGCCCACTCCCCTCAACCCACCTGCAAGCAGCCCCGGAATGGCCCCTGAAAGCCCGCTCCAGCCGCCCACACCTCCCGCCCTCCCGCAGCATGCTGCTGCTGCCGTCGCAGTCGTACATGGCACAGCGCCAGGTGCAGGGTGTCGTACTCCTCTCCCTCCACCTGCCACTGCTGCAGCGGCTGATCCGGGTCGTACGTCACTCGGTGGGTGCCTGCGGGGGGGGGGGGGGCGGGCCGGGGGGGGGGGTAAGAGGGGAGGGATGGAGGGATAGCAACAGGCGTTGCATGTGAGAAGGGGCAAGCTGGAAGCAAGGCTGCATGAGAAAGAGGGGGGAAGGACGGGACCCCCCTGCGCACATGCCGTATAGGGATTACAAGAGCCCCCCCCCCGGGCAGCGGGTCCCCACCTACCGCTGCACTCGTCATACGACACCAGCCGAGCCCTGAAGCAGCGGTCCCCCTCCTCCTCCTCCCGTACTGCTGCTCCATCCCGCGCTGCCCCTCTGTCCGCCGCTGCCGCCGCGGTGAAGACGTGCAGCAGCAGGGGCTGACCCAGCAGGGACGAGCCGCCTGCCGCTTGGGCGGACTGGCGTGAGGGGACGAGAGGGGGAGTGGGGCGAGGAAGGAAGGGTGGCGGGGGGGGGTGACAACGGAATGAGGGTGAGGAAGAGGGTCAGGAAAAGGGATAAAGAGCAGGGCTACGGTGGCAAGATTGGCAACATTCAAAGACAACTAAGGCTTCGGTCTCAGGTATGCAGGCCAAAGTCATTTTTATCGCCGTTGTCTCCATACCTGCCGAAGAAACTCAGATAGCGGCAGTGATCCCAACCTGCGGGGCGGTCGTACTTCACCGTACACTTCCTTGTCATTGTACGGCACATCTAGTACGAACAAGACTTCCATCACGAGTCGCCGCATCTCATCGTCTTCAGCTTGCTCGTCCAGGCCTTTGTCGTGCAGAATGGCTTCAGCTAGCTCCAGTGCCGGGCCGCTTGCGTGGAAGGCAAAGGCCAAAAGACTCATAATGCAAGCTGTGATTGTGCGACAGATGGGGAAGCAGGCCAGCGGGAAAAGAATTGGTAAAAGAACGGGAAGAGGAAGGCAATAAGGATGGAGAGTTAAGATAAATTGAGGTCTGGGAGGCATGGGAAATTTAGGAGGGTTAGGAAGCGAAGATTAGGAGGGTTAGGAGGACGTCCACCTGCCCAACCGCCTCGCTCGATCAACCCAAACTATCCGTCCCGGAGTGGTATGCGACAACCCCTTGCTGGTTAAGGAAAGAGCTGCCCTACTCACTTTCGTCATCTGGTACATCCTCGCCAACAAGCACGGGCAACCCGGCGCAGGACGAGCAGTGGCAGCGGACGAACTGCCGTTGCAAGTCGAAGACAAAGCCCCCTAGCACTGTTGCTATCGGTGCATTGTTGTCCAAGCCGGTTAGTCGTAACGGTTGCCCGTCAGGCCAGCGACAAAAGCGCGCAGCATCGGACAACAGGCGCTCGGCAAAAACACGCGCGCTGGGTTCCATCAGGAAAATGTAATAGAGAACATTACGTTGAAGCCCAGGTGCCAACGTGATCAACCAACTTCGAAGGAAAAATCGCGGCGTTGACCTGGCGCGTTTGCCGTACCCAAGCTTGGGGATCACCCGCGGCTTTAGGCCCACAAGAGGCTCATAGCCTTACTGGAACCCCAGCAATACTGCTGTAAGACTAGCTTTGGTGCAACTCTGCAAAGCTCCCGCGAGCTCGGTACAGATCTGCTCTGCATTCCGTTGCCCGGCACCGCGAAACAGCTAGCGCGCTTACCGGCTTGACACATAGGAATTGACGTTACGCCGAAATTATCATAGATAGGGAGCTAAGTCTTGGAAGTTCTGTGGATCGCACTTTGCAAGAGTGAGGTTTTCCTGACAATCGGCGTTGGGCAACATGGAGAACTACACACGGGTTCATAAGCCCCGAGATGACGGACCTACTGCTGAGAACGAGGTAGATTGCGGGTTTCGGGGGTTTGAGAAGCCCTGGCTCATTGGCGCGTTGGGAACACCAGCCTTTCCGTTCCAACCGGGATGACGTGCATTCTGCATGTTGTATCAGCGACAGTTTAACAAGTGCTATCGAAGGTCTATGGAAGTGGATGGCAAAGTCGTAACTCGCGCTATTTCCTGACAGGTTCGCATTCGGTCTACGGAGCAGACACGCGTGTATGTCTCGCTTGCTCTGAGCTTGCTGCGCGAGAAGGGACACCGCACAGTTGTCCTGAAGGCAATGGGCAAGGCTATTAACAAGACGGTTGCCATCGGTAAGATACAGACAATGAAAACGGCGTCCTAACATGGTGGCGTAGACATTGGCTTTTTATTTGGCCCACTACGCGGGATTCGTAAGATAGGTTGGGTGGTTGTCTTGGGGTCGATGGGTCGTTGGCCGCTTTTGGCCGCTCTGCATCACGTTATGTGCCGGCCTGCATTTCTACTCTGAGCCCTTGCTGAGAAGGACCTCCACGCTGCTTGACCTTCTCGGCTAGCTGCTTGGCCATGCACGTGTAGAACGTGTTTATGCCCGTACTTGTCGCAGCTGCCGTAACACCATTGCGCCCTGCATTCACGCACCTCTACAATCTTGCAACCTCTTAACTCTCCTAAGGCATGATAATGCCAACCACCCCCCATTCGCGCTACCCCTCAACCACAACCCGCACCCCCACAACTCCCGCGGCACCCGCACAGCCGAGGTGCTCAAGCGGCGTGTGGCGGGTCTGCACCAGCTCACCGAGACCTCCAGCATGACCCTAGTGGATGACTACGAGCCCAACGAGGAGGGGCAGCAGCAGGGACTCAACCGCATCCAGGTAGACATACCGTCGTACATGGGCTTGTCCGTTGGGCCTCATACGTGTGTGTAGTTGAGTACGTATGTGTACGGCATCTCGCGGTGCGCGTTGCGGTTCTCTGTTCCGGTATTGCTCCAGGTGACCCAAGGGTCGGAGAACACCCCTCCCATCTGCGCCGCAAACTGTGCACAGTATTCCAAACAGCCCCCCTCCACATCTGGTCTTCTTTTCCCATCAACGTTTTCTTCCCCTCGCGCCAACCGCTTGTTAGCCAGCCAGCTCTTAACTTCCACCATCACACCACGATCCGCACCCCTAACTCCCACCTTTCCTCCATCCCACCCACCCACTCCCTGCTCCTCCCCCGCAGGTCTCCCGCAACGTCTCCGTCCTCACCATCACCCTCTCCCTGGACCCGCTGGACGCCTCCCGCCCCGGATACCAACCGCCCCTGCCGCCCGACCAGATCAAGCCCGACCAGCCGCCCCGCGCTGCTGCTGCTGCTGCCGACGCCGGCCAGGACGGTGGCGAGGCTGCGCGTGCTGCTGATGGTGCGGGTGGGGAGTTGGAGCTGGATGAGGTGGAGCGGCAGCTGCTGGAGGAGCGGGGGCCGCAGCGGGGCAGGGGCGGCGCGGGGGGAGCGCAGGGAGGCCGGGGAGGCGGTCGCGGGCGCGGCAGGGGACGTGGCAGGTGAGGTGGCAGGGGCTGGCATGGCAGGGGACGGGATGATGATGTGGGTCGGATCCTCAGCGTGTATGTGTATGGAGTTTTTCGCACATTGGTCGGCGGCTGCGTGCATTGATGCGAGGGCGTACCTGGACTGGTGTAGCGGTAAGGGGTGCACTAGCGGCTCAGCCTTGCACACAACCTCTCAACACACCGGTACCTCACACCCCCGCTGCTTCCCGGCGCGCAGGGGTCGCGGGCGCGGCGGTGCTCCCGCTGGCGGTGCGGAGGAGGGGGCCGCGGGCGGTGCTGCGGAGGAGGGGGGCGCGGTTAGTGGAGGCGAGGGCGCCGGCGAGGGAGGCCGCGGCCGCGGCAGGTGAGCCAGCCAGCGACTGGGCATGTCTTGTGTTTGATACCGTTGTCTCATGGGCCAATCATGGGAAGCAATTCTGTTTGCCACGTTACCTGCATGATTATAAACCATCGCCAGGTTTGCCCGACCCGTCGGCAAGGTTGACCCAATAGTCTCCTGTAGACCTCTATAGGAGGCTATTGGGTCAACCTTGCCGACGGGTCCGGCAAACCTGGCGATGGTTTATGGTCATGCAGGTAACGTGGAAATTGCTTCCCATGATGCTACCATCAAATACGTCCTGATGTTGCCATCGCGTTACGTCCTTGAAGCTGTAACTGTGCGCCCTCCTTCGAAAGGAGGGGAAGCGGTGAGAGTGCGGAAACTAAGGATTTTGGTCCTCCGCCACCGTTATTCATAAACGCGAGATTCGTTTTTGGTCATCCACGCCCTCCATACAGCAGCCCCTTGCTTTACCTTTGCCCAGAAGCACGCATGGTGCTCGTACGCCACCTCCCCGTCCATGCTTCCTCATTCTTCGTTGGCCCCCATCCGTTGGCCCCCATCCGTACGTTGTTGTAACAATCGCAGGGCCAGGAGGCGGGGTGGCCGCGCGCGCAACGGTAACGGTAACAACGGTGAGGACGCGGCCGCTGCAGCTCCCGGCGAGGCAGGTGCGGAGGGCGGCGGAGAGGGCGGCGCGGTGCCCAGCGGCGGCCGCGGGCGGGGCCGGGGCCGCGGGAGAGGACGGGGCAGGGGCCGCGGCGGGCGGGGCAGGGGAGCGGATGCGGCTGGTGGTGAGGGCGGAGATGCGCCAGAGGCCGCCCAGCCCCCAGCAGCTGAGATGCTGGCTTGATAGACGAGATGGAGGATGATGGGGTAGAGGGAACAGGAACAGGAGCGCCAGCCGCGGATTGAGAGTGGGTCTTGACTTTCATGGTTCCAAACACTAGTTGGCGTTATGACGGTTTTCGGATGCGTCAGCGCAGCTGTGTGCGTGTGTTGCTTTTTGCTCGTGCTCATTAAGGCATGTCAGGGGGATCATGGCGACGAGTTGATGCGTGGATGCGGACATGCATGGCAGGGTGCAGCATGCTTGCGTGGCCTGCTTGGCGGTGGGTTGTAAGATAGGATGTGGCTAAGGAACGGGCTTTCCCTCCGTGCGACATTTTGCGTTGTGCTTGCTTCATGGGAGTTGAACCAATTTGTGGGGGAAACGCGTTTCAAGCAGACGGGCAGTTTGGTAATTGCGTCATTTGGTGATGGCGGTAAACACCGGGAGGCCTCCTCGCGCCGGCAAGACTGCTGGGCTGCTGGAAGCAGAGGGTGGCGGGTGTGGTGGCGTTGACTAGCTGAAGTGGGAGGGAGTTCGGGTTTGCAACATGGTCTTTCATGAGCTCATGAGGGTGTTGAAGTAGGCAGTGCAGGGGCGTGCGTTCGGTTTAAGGCGCGCTGCAGTTGTTTGCGCGACTGGAATTAGACAAGAGCGTCTTCGAAGAATGTGTCATAGAAGAATGTGTGCATACGGTATGTGTGCTTTGAGGCGAGCGCTCTCACGCAGATTTAGTAAAACCAGTGAGGGGAACCAATTGCTGCAAAGCCTGGGGGCTTGAGATCCTGGTCTTGACGAAGAAAGCAATGTTGTAACAAATCAGTATCCCCTGCAGATGCCCAGTGCCTGCTACAAGTCGAACACTGCTCTGTGTTGGTATGGCGCCCAAGCATTTTTTCTACGGGGAACTGCACATACCGGTACCAGCCAACACTGCCCAGCAAAGCAACACGCTTCCAAGCAATGCCATCCTGCCGTGCATACGACAACATCTTAACAAAGTGTACGGCATTGTGTTAACCAAGTACCCATTATACTGGGACAGCAATGGTGTATTTCTTGGTCTGGTGGAGTGTGCAAAAAGAATGTACATTATTGCTTTTAGCAGCTAAACGGCACATGCGAGACACTTGCACTGCCATGCTTTCCTACATTCGCCGCCCGCATCCCGTCCTAACAGCGCCGCAGCCCCTTCAAACCCTCCGAGTCAGGTACGCTAACAGCACAACACTTGCGCTCGCATCACCCTCCCTGGGTGAAAGACTATGAGGGGTTGGCGGCGGCGGGCGAGGCTGGAGCTGCTGCTGCTGCCCCTGCTCCTCCTCAGGAGCGGCTGTTAGTACGGCAGATGCCGCTGCTGACGAGGCTGCGTTGACAATCCGCAAGATCTTGTACGGCGGCAGGACGAGCAGGCTGCTGCCTGGCTCGATGCCCCAGTCGCTGCGCTTGGAGTCCAGGAACACGTGTACGGATTGTCCGGCACACAGCGGCCGGTCAGCCGGTTGCTGCGGGTCTGGTGGTTGCTGCTGCGCCGCTGCTGGTGTTGCCGCTCCCGTTGCTGCGTTGCCGCCTCCGTTGCCTTGGCCGTTGCCTCCACCAAATGCCTCTTCGTACATTCGCCGTACAACGCAAGTGGCCCGAGTGAGGTGCGCCTCCCTCGTCCGGCTGCATACCTCGAGGAGCACGCTGCCAACTGCGAATGGGAGGAATGGCGCGTGAGGTGAGTGCCGGGCAAGGGAGGATTTTCACAAGGGTGATGTTGGGTGCCAAGTAAGGGAGGGGTGCGCCGGCAAACAAGACGGTCGCAGCAAAGGCACATCAGCAAAGGGGCGGCACCCCTTCCCAATAGGTTAGTAAGCTGTGCCCAGATCCGGCAACGTATAAGCGGAGGGCACAAAGCGAAGCACGGCATCAAGAACGGTCTGGTACGACCTAAGACGTACGACACCCACGGGGGGGGCACCCACCTGGCGGTGGCGGGGGTGGTGCCGCCACTGCGGCCTCCGCCTCCCGGTCTTGCAGCAGCTTCAAGCCGGCCAGCACAGCCTGAGGTCGGGGATAATGCGGGGTACGGGCAGTAGCGAGGAAAGGGATAAGGAATTGACAACCGCGGTCACTAGCAACAACACGGAAAAAGTCCTGACCGGGCCACCCACATTGCCCGAGCGGGCCCAACCCACGACCCGCCACCCAGCCCCGGTGTTGCATGCACAGCACAGCCCCAACCAAGGGCCCCAAGGACATAACATGGGAGAGGGCACATGTGTACACTGACACCTGGACTACTCTGCAACAGCAGCACTGCAACACACGCTGCACTAGCCGCCGCCCACCTGCAGTCGGCCCTGAAGCCCCCCCAGCCGTCCGGACCCTCGACCATGATGCCCCGGAGCGCCGCTGCCGCTGCTCCGACGCCCACCACCGCCTGCCATCCCCAGTAGCCCGCCCCCTCCTCCTCCGGCCCCGCCGCATGCAGCGGCCGCGACGGCCGCTGTCAGCGATGCTGAGGATAGCGACATCCCCGCTGCCTGGCTTTGGTTGTGCGGTGTGGTCACAGCCGCGGGTCCTAGGCCCTGCAGGAACTCGCGTTGCCGGTTCTTTTGCTCACTCATGAGTTCTAGCAGGTTGGTTTTGGCTGCGGACGTGGGGACAGAAGCGGCAGCAGGTGTGTTCCGCGGCAGGTGCAGCCATGGTGGAGGGTAGGGTTGAGGGGTCTGCTGCTGCTGCTGCTGCGGGTGGAGGTGTTCGTGTTGGACGGGGTGCAGCTGATCGGCTTGCAGCTGCTGCGGATGGTCGCCGTCGCGAGGGAGGCCTCCCTCTTGACCGGGGGGCTGATGGCGGTAATAGGGTGTTGTTGTAACTGTTGCAGCAGCAGCAGCAGCGGCAGGACCCGCCAGGGATCCCTCGGGTACGGCCTGCTGCTGTCCATGCTGCTCCTGTATCAGTTGATGCACACGCAGCTGTTGACGCGGGCCGGGTGTGGTAGCAGCGGACCCAGTCGCGGGTGTCCCGAAGGAGGGGCGGGGCGGTAGCAGCAGGTCGCGCAGGGAAGCAGGGGCGCTGGCGGGACGTGGAGGCCCGGGGGTTGTCACGGAGGCCCCGGCAGCGGCTGCCCCGGCAGCAGCAGCAGCAGTGGAGGGAGGCGGAGCCCCCGCATGCGCGTGTCGGTATCGTGACGCTGGTGGTACCGGCGGCGGCGGCGACACGAAGGGCAACGTGGCGGCAGGCTGTACATACGGATGCGGGTGATTGTGCTGCTGCTGCTGTGTGGTTATACGACCCATGCCCGTTGCGCCGCCGCCACTGCTGCAATGCAATGCAGCAGGAGCAGCAGCAGCAGGTGCAGCCGCCGTTGCAGCCACCGCACGGCCACTGGGCGGCAACAGAGGTGTCACGGCGGCAGCAGTGGCAGCAGTGGCGGCGGCCCCTTCGGCGGTGGCACGCGCCGGCGTCGCGAGCAGCAGCTGCTGCTCCTGTGGCTGGTCGGCTGACGGTGCCGCGGATGCAGCCGCTGTCGGTACGGCAAGCGCACCGGGTGTTGCAGCGCCGGCAGTGGTGGCGGTGTGGCTGGGTGTGCGGGCGGGGCTGACATGCAGGGGTGGTGGAGTGATGCGGGGGAGGGGTGCCGGGGTACGTTGCTTGGCGGCGGAGGGAGGCGGGCCGCCGGCCAGGAGGGCTGCGGAGCGTTCCGAAGCGGGACAGGCGGACAGGAGGACGGAAGAGGGGGATAAGGGAGGGATGGGGTGAGGTTAGGTGGAGGGGGTGAAGCAGGGGAAGCAAGGTTGTGGACACATGTGGCTCGGACGTACGTGCTATAGAACAGAAACTGAAAGGGACATCATGACCTATGGACATGGCAGGGCATGAACTCTTGCATAATCGGTTCATCGCCCTCCCCGCACCTGCCAGGCCGCCACGAGCCGGCGTGGGTGCGGGTGCGGGCGAGGGCGCCGCTGCTGCCGCCGCTGTCGCCCCATGAGGCGCCTCCTGAGCCGCACCCTCCAACCCGCCCTCCGCCGCCCTGACACCCCCTGCCGTCATCGCAGCCCTTCCACCCCCCGCAAATGCACTCCCCCTTCCTGCCCCTGCTCCCCGCCCTGGCGTGCCTGCAGCAGCAGGAGACGGCAGCGGCGCTGTGGGTCCCTCCCGGATCACAAACCGCGCCTTCTTCTTTGCTGCATGGGCAGAAGAAGGCGGTAGGGCTGACCCAAAGCCGCCCAAGGCGCCAACCGAGCTGTTGTGGTTGCTGCTGCTGCCGTAACCTCGGGCGCTGCTGCCGCTGCCGCCACGAGCACCCAAGAGGCTGGAAAGTCCGCTGAGTCGCGCCGGCAGGGGAGACAGCGGCGGCCGGCCGCCGCGATGATGCTGGGGGGCCCCGGCAGGGAAGGATCCTGGGCGGGTTGGGGCAGTCGCAAGCATGCGCAGGGTTGGGGCCGGCAGCTAGGACGGAAGCTGGTGAAAGCAAGGCACGGCATCGCCGGCGCCACCCAACCCACCATCCAGCTATTCACATGTGTCTCACCGCCAAAGCCGTCTGAGCTCCGTACCCCTGCTGCTGCTCCTGCTGCGTCCCCTCTCCCACCGGCTGCCACTGCCACAAGCGCCGCATGTCCTCCGTCGCCGCCCTCCTCCTCCTCCCCCTGCTCCTCCCCTTCTTGCTCGCCCTCTGCAGAAGCACCGCCACTGGGAGCAACTGCGGAGCGCTGCTGCAGGTCCTGCCAGGTGCGAGGGGTGTTCATGCGAGAGGGGTTCATGCGGGGGGGAGGGTTTCATGCAGGCCGGCAGCAGGCCACTCACCAGCGCCCCCAGTCCCCAATCCGCAGGCTGCAACCTGCTGCTGTCTACATCTCCTGCTGCAAGCCCCAGCTGCCCACAACGCCCTCACAATGGAGGACTTCTCAGCTGATGGCCGTGGTAATATTACACAGCTTGGGCATTTGTGAACAAGATGTGTTTCCTGAAGTTATCTAACACGATGAGATGCATGTCCATGCTGGGCGCCCCCTCCCCCCTCCCCCCCTCCACGCTGTATGTCCTCTGTGCCCCCGCGCCCCCGCACCCTGTTGCCCAGCCCACCCGGCCGACCCACATCACCTATCTGACGTGCATACCGCCCTATCCCACCCTACCCCACACCCCACCGCCCCCGCCCCACCCGCAGCAGCTGATCCATCTGTGCCGCTGCAGCCGCCCCGCAGACAGCGCGCCCTGCTCCTCCCTGGCCGTCTTGCACCTGGCCGAACTGCTGCTGCTGCTGCAGTTCCCGACGGCTGAACAGCCGGGCTGCCGCATGCAGCAACGCGCCACCCTCCACTCCCTGCCCCGCTGCCACAAGTGCCGAGGCCCCCCCTGCTGCTGCTGCTGCCCCTCCGCCGGCGTCCGCTTCCTCAGGCGTGCCGCCCCCCTCACCATAGCCATCGTAGCCCTGTCGAGAGAACAGCGAAAGGAAGTTGGAACGTGACAAGGAAGCCGTGTGCCTTGCAGCCTGCAAGGCTGCGGCCGGCATAAGATATCAACTGACCATGCCAACCTGGACTCTTCACTACCCCAGGCCCTCAGGCTCTTCTGTTGGGAGCTAAGGAAGCGTGCCAGACCTAACCCGCCAGTCCGCCTGCTCCCCGGCCACATACGGTAATCCTCCCAGCTGCTTCGACCCAACCTGTGCTCACATATGGTTTGTCAAGCTACCTAGTTTTCCTGTCTCCGACGCACCTGCACATCGACCTCCAGCATCAGCACGTTGTCCGGCTGGGGGGCTCGGGGAGCCGCGGCTGCAACTGGGTAAGGAGAGCGGCGGCCGTTAGACCCCGCACTTGCAGGGATGAGTGGATGGAATGTCTGGCGTGGTGGGTCTGCTACTAACTAGCTGTTGCAATACGGCTTTCTTCCACGCATCGGTATTCCGAAGGGCATGACGGTAGGATCATCGTACCAAGTTCAACCCGCGCACGCACCTCCTGGCATTGCCCATGGGTTGACAAGCTTGGTTGGGGCTGACGTCTGCAGTTGGCAGTTCACGTGGGCGGGGAACTCGTTGAGGGCGGCCGCAGTGCGAAAGGGCTGAGCGAGTAGTGCATGCCGCACAGCACATTGCCAGGGATGCAAGCATGGACAACCACAGTCCGCTGTCCTTAAAAGCAGCATGCGACCCGACAACCTGACGGGTGTAAGTTCGAGACCATGACCCAGAACGGATACCAATAAACAATGTCGCCCCTGCCGGGTAAGCTGTATAATCCATCGTACGCCACATCCATCAGCCGGTACCTTCGCTTCCAGGCGCCGAAGCAGGTCAGCTCGACGCTCATCAACATCCTCGGCGTATCCCACGCGCCACTCCTCCTCCGCGCTGGCCTCATCGTCATCCGTGCGCGCTTGGCGCTTACGTGGAAAGGTAAAGCCAAGCCCAGACATTGCAGTTAGTGCTATGACAATTTAAGCTTAATAAGCCACAAAATTAAAGGAACATGATAGGGTTGCCACGTAGCCAAGTAGCTAGTGGCTAGGGACAGGTGCATTTTGACTTGTTGCCGCGAGTAGGCATTGAGTAAGATGGAATAGAATGGAACTAAATACCGTAGCTTACATATAATAGTGGTAAAGCATGCTGAGGTGGTGAGCTGTGGTGGTCTCTTTGTCGCAGCCGAGCTGCTGTGCGTGCCATGTCGTGCTGTGCCGTGCAAGGAGCCGTTCCAGTATGTATTGCCTAAAACCTAAAGACTCCAAAAAGCCTTTTGCGTTCGGTGGGCGGGCCCAGCTGCACTCGCGCGGGGTTTGTACTCCGAGTTTGCTGTGCCGTGTTCGCAGCGGCGTTCCCTGCTGCTTGGTGAACGTAAAAGTGCCATCATGTACATGCCATACGCAACCACACTGCATCTAACACGCTGTCATGAAGTCGCGGTGCAACACACACGCCGCTATTGAGCGCCACCATCTGCACGCCGGTCTGAAGATACAAACGAAAGGCTGTCACGACTGCAGCAGATGACGGGTGTGGGTTAAAGACGCTGACGTGGCTTGGTTGGCACTAGCCGGTCATCGATGGCACCGCAGCCCCTACTTCCACCCGCCGTAGCTCTGGCGGCCGCGGACGTGTGAACGCAGAGCGCAGCATTCTTTACATGCAAACACAGCGCTATTTGTATGCTGCCATGCATACAAATTGCAATGTAGACGCGCCTCAAGGTCACATCAGCGAGTCAGATGACCTGACAGGCTCCAGCGGCCAGCCTTCACGGCGCGGTCCCATGGGACCACGCCCTTTGCAACGCCACAGGACAGCTCTCTTTCTTTGTTCATTCAGGACGGACAAGTCATGGCGTAAGGATTCCATTGTACGTTTCTTGATGTACCGTAACACGGCCGGCTCCGACAGGCTCCGTTGGACATTTGGATGAGATGGTCAACTCTAGCGTGACCTGCAACCTCTCAGTCAGTATATAGAAGCCTTCACACCATGAAAGAGATTACTGCCTGTTGCGGCAACTATGGTTATATAACGGAGTCGAGCGACAAGGCGTTCCTAGCCGCAGTAAGCTGTAGAGTACAGCAATACGACATCTGCCGTCTTTCTTCACCGTCGACCCCATCACTGAGTAGCCCTTTTGATCCGGCACGGGCAGGTTTTCCAGCCCCTAACCCGGATAACGCTTTATTTGACGGGTACTTGAACCATCAACTGCACCCTTTTCTGACACCAAATTTCCTTTAGGCATATTACCTCAATTTCTCCATCTAAACTTTCAAAAACTATAGCCTCTAGGCCAGGCGAAGATGCCGCCCAAGAAGGGCGAGGACCGCAAGGGCGGCGAGGAGACGCTTACGCGTATTGCTATCGTCAGTGAGGACAAGTGCGTAATTACCTTCATAGATCTGTTTGCACGGATGCGCCGGGTTGCAATCAGCGGCGTGGCTCGTCAGGCGGCTGAACGTTACGCGCGTTCTCTTTCTCGCAGGTGTAAGCCGAAGAAGTGCCGCCAGGAGTGCAAGAAGAGCTGTCCTGTCGTGAAAGTCGGTAAGTTAGCCTTCTTCGTCTCCTTATTGTGGTTGGACGGTCGCTCATTGGAGCCTTGCGTGCAGGCAAGCTTTGCATTGAGGTGGTTCCAACTTCCAAGATTGCTTGGATTTCGGAGGAGCTATGCATTGGTTGCGGTATCTGCGTCAAGGTAGGTCGCCATCGTTGGTTCAGATGGTGGCGGGGATGGGGTTTGGGTGGAGCTAAACTTTGCCAGGGCGGCAGACGGCTTCCGTCTACGGGACATCTGTTATGCCAGCATCAGGCAGAAGCCGCAGTAAGACTACAGCGTAACGCGGCAGCGGTTTAGGCTGCAGCAACCGTTTTTCCCTATTGCTGGCGAAGCAGCTGGTTTTTCCCTGGGCGGCTGACAGCAACGGATATCCGCTTCACCTTTGAAGCACCTTTGGTCGGGGACCAAAGGCCCTTCCGCCATCATGGAGTCCCCTTCAGCCCATTAAAAGCCTGAGCAACGCCAAACACGGACAGCAGCCCACCACCAGCAGCAGCAGGGCCAGCTGGCCCCTGGCTACCGCCGCACGCCAAGCACCAGCAGCCTGGGCGCCACGACAGCAGCAGCCCCAACCTACCACCAGCAAGCTGCTTGGCCTATGACCAGGGCCCAACCCCCGATAGCACCCTCATGGCGGGCACAACTGCTTGGCGGGGGGCCAGCTGATGGGCCAGATGGGCCCGGTTAGCTTTGCAAATGGACCTGGACAAACACACCTAGCACGTGTGGCTGATTGCCTGGATGGCGCGCGTGCGCTAGGGACGCTTCCCCGCCGTGGTCGCCCGGTGCTGACTGCGGGCACCAGGACAGCAGCTGCAGCAGCAGCGGCGTGGCATGGAGGGGCTACGTCGTCCGCCAGCACACGTACGGCGCATGTGGTGCCGTAGTAGCAGCAGTAGTAGGCTCCCTGTGTGCGCTGAAGGGATTCGCCTCCCTTCCCGCTGCGTGTTGCCACCATCCTCCCACCCGCTGCCGCCGCGGCTAGGGCTGTTGCTGGTCAGCTTAGGACCCGTCTTTGGGACTTCTGCAAGCGGCTCAGCGGCTCTTCCGCGCTCATGATGCCGTGCGTTGCAGCCGCAGCGGCCTCTGGTGGCGACTGATGGCAACAGTGTCACCCGCAACACGAGCCGCAAACATCACCACAGTGCGGAGGGCGCGGAGGCGGAGGCGGAATGCTAGCAGCACAGTGGCAGCATCAGACACAGTGTCTCCAGCAGCGGCAACAGCTGCTCAATCGGGGTTTCATGGACCGTAGAAGGGTGCTTCACGGCTAGCACCAGCAGTCCCCAGCGCACCACAACGGGGCTGTTGCTCTGGTGGTCTAGAGGATTGCACACGTCACAAGGACTGGTCGCTCGCGTGCTCTTAACAGGAGCAAAACCTGCCAGAATTAGCCTTTCCTCCATGTCACGGATGCTGCATGGAAGCAGCGAAAGCCAGGCTCGCTGCACTCTCCCACCCGTCTCTTAGCATGCCCCTCTCCTCCCTCACTGCATTGCTGTGCCTCCCCGCCCCCCACCCCTCGCCATGATGTGCCAGAAATGCCCGTTCGAGGCGATCATGATCATCAACCTGCCCAAGAACCTGGAGAAGGAGACCACCCACCGCTACGGACCCAACTCCTTCAAGCTGCACAGGTGCGGGACGCACGGGGCTGTGTGTGGGGGGGTGATAGGTCTTTGAGGGGAAACCCCGAGCGGGGAGGCAACCGCACCACGTGGAATGCTACCCGTGAAAGGCTGGAGGGGTTTATGGGGTTGGGGTAGGGGTAGGGTTCCGCCCGGATCTGGCCGGGTGGGAGGAGGTGGGGTTGCGGCATGGGAGGGAAGTGCACGCTAGCTGCACTAGCTGGAAGTTGGGCGGAAACGAGCGCGGGGCGTTTGTCGGCTCCTGGGTCGCAGCCAGGAGCCCCTCCCCGCCCCTCCCCGCAGCGTGGTAGCGGCCTGCCCCCTCACGACTCCCCCTCTATGTGGCACGCCTGCCGACGAACCTCTGCCCTCTTTCCCTCCCTCCCAATCGCCGCTTGCTGTCCCCCCCGTCCTCCCCCCTCCAGGCTGCCCATGCCCCGCCCCGGCCAGGTCCTGGGTCTGGTGGGCACCAACGGTATCGGCAAGTCCACCGCACTCAAGGTGCTGGCGGGCAAGCTTAAACCCAACCTGGGCCGCTTCACGGTGAGGGCGAGGGAGGGAGGAGGGGTTGTGTGCACTGGGCACTGGGCAAGTTTGGAAGGGGGCTGTGTGGAAACGGTAGGACAGGGGGGCGGGGTTGCGACTCATTACCCACCTGCCAATCCTGAAGCCTCCCCCACCCCTCACACACATGCCCGCCCCTCCCCGCCCCTTTCCCCCTGCTGCCGTGCTCCCCTCCTTCAGGACCCCCCTGACTGGCAGGAGATCCTGACCTACTTCCGCGGCTCCGAGCTGCAGAACTACTTCACCCGCGTGCTGGAGGACAACCTGAAGGCGATCATCAAGCCGCAGTACGTGGACCACATCCCCAAGGTGGGGGCGGGGGGGGCAGGAGAGGGGAGGGGAGGGGAGGAGAAGAGGGGGGTGGGGTGGGGGGTAAGGAGGAGGGGAAATAACTGACTGTGCGACAGAGCTTCACCAAACGAGGGGAGGTAAGGTGGAGGGATTCACTGGTGCTAGCTCCGATGCCAGCACGCAACCAGACTGGCATGCGGGGGTGGAGGGGGTGATGCGGAAACCAGTTCTGATGGAAGGTAGCACTTGGGACCACCAAGGGGAGCACTGGGAAGAGGTTTTGTCAAGCATGGGAGGGGAAAGAAGTTGCATGTCCGTTACCCTCGCCCGTATCTCGGCATCCCTGTCCGCACCCCCCCAAGCTGCTCCTCGGCAACGCGCTGTCGGACTTGGATCCCATGGGCCCCCCTTAACCTCTCCTCCTCCCCTCCTTCCCTCTCCCCTCCCCTCCCCTCCCCTCCCCCTCCCCCAGGCTGTCCGCGGCAACGTGTTGACGGTGCTGGAGCAGAAGGACCAGCGCGACGTGAAGGCCATGCTGCTGAAGGACCTGGACCTGGAGCAGGTGGGGGGGGGAGGGGGGGGAGGGGTGGTGGTGGAGGGGAAAACTGAGGAGGTGGGTACTCTGCCCTTCCCGTCCCGCCACATGCGTCGTTCGCTATTAGGAGCTTGTCACCTGGTTTGCCGCTACCGTGGTACCATTCAACACATTGGGCCTTCTTCTCCCCCCCCCCCCCCCCCTGCCCCCCCCCCCCCAGGTTACCGACCGCAACGTGGAGAACCTGTCGGGCGGGGAGCTGCAGCGTTTCGCCATCGCAGTGGTGGCCTGCCAGCAGGCGGACGTGTACATGCTGGACGAGCCGTCATCCTACCTGGATGTACGGCAGAGGCTCAAGGCGGCGCAGGTGGGGGGGGGGCGGGGCGGGAGCGGGCCGGAGTGGGGGTGGAGAGGGGGTGAGGTGGGCAGGGCGGGAGGGGTGGTGGGGCATCGGACTGAAGAGTGATGCGGCCGGTTGCGGCCCGTTCATCCCCCTTACACGGCCTGCCGCCTACGGGTTACCATTGCCCTTAACGCTACAATAAAGTACTCGCTTCCCTCCCGCCTCCCTCCCTCCCTCCCTCCCCTCCAGGTGATCCGCTCGCTGCTGGACGTGGACAAGTTTGTCATCGTGGTGGAGCACGACCTGTCGGTGCTGGACTACCTGTCCGACTTCATCTGCTGCCTGTACGGCAAGCCGGGAGCGTACGGCGTCGTCACGCTGCCCTTCAGCGTCAGGTGGGGGGGGCTAGGGGGCTTGCATGCGTGCGAGTGAAGAGCGCTGAGCGGTGTTGCTCTTGTTGGGTACACCATACCTGTCTTTGCTGGCTCCTCACACCTCCTTCCCTTCCGCTCGCGCAGTGCGCGCCTCTGTCCCCTGCGCCTCTGCTGTTGCTGCCCCTTGCCTTGACCCCCTGCTCCCACCTGCCGTACACCCCTCCCCCCTCCCCCCTTGCTGCTGCCGTACCCCCCCAGGGAGGGCATCAACATCTTCCTGGCGGGTTTCGTGCCCACTGAGAACCTGAGGTTCCGCGAGGAGTCGCTCACCTTCAAGGTGGGGCTGGGGGCTGGGGAGGGGAGAACTGAATTGAAGCACTGGCGTCCCAGTACCATGTCCCGACTCTGCTGGGGGGAAGGCGAGGGAAGGGAGGCGGGGGGTGTACATTTAAAGAGTAAGTAATTACCTTTGCTGTGGGCGATGGTGGTGTGTTATGTTGTTGGGGAGTGCGACGGCGGCCGCTTAAGAGTGCTGGCTGGGCGGTCCTCCGTTGCGGCTTGAGGACAGAAAAAAGACAGTGTTTGCTTGCTTGCCTGTCTCCCTCCTCCTCACGCCCCTTCCCCGTACCTCTCTGCTTCACTTGCTACCACACAGTTCCCACCTCCTCCCCCTCCTCCTCCCGCCCATCCTCTCCCCAGGTGAACGAGCAGACGGAGGGCGTGGAGGTGGTCAAGAAGTTCAGCCGCTACAAGTACCCCAAGCTCAAGAAGACGCAGGGCAACTTCACGCTGGAGGTGAGGGGGGGAGGGGGAGGGCAGGGGGAGGGAAAAAATTATATAAGTGAAACAACGAGTCCCAATCCCATATCCCGACTCATGCAGTGAGCGCATTCGGAGGCACTAATAACACGCATCTCAAATTACTTACCGAATCGTTGCTTACCGTAAACCGAGAGGGCTTGAGGAAGAAGGGAGGTTTGGTGGCCTGTTCTATAGGAGGGTTGTGGTATGTAGCCCCTGGGCCCGCCTTCCCTCGCGCACGTTTCTCTACTCCTCTCCTGCTCTTACACTGTCCCTTGTTCCTGTTCTTTCCCCCTCTCCTCCCTCCCCTCCCCCCCCCAGGTGGAGGCTGGCGAGTTCACGGACAGCGAGATCCTGGTGATGCTGGGGGAGAACGGCACCGGCAAGACCACCTTCATCCGCATGCTGGCGGTGAGCAGGGAGGGGGGGGGACAGGGGGGGGCAGGGGAGCCTGCAGGTCTAAAGACACGCGGAGAGCGCTGACGGGGGGGAGACCACCAAAGCGAGGAAGGGCAGCCTTGCTTCTCATTTCGTGTGAAAGGCGAGCCTCTCCACCGCTTGTCTCTCCTATCAAAGCCCTAACCCGTCCTCCTCACCCCCTCCAAACCCCCCCCCAGGGCGCCCTTGCCTCTGACCTGGCCGAGGGCGAGGAGGGCGAGCCCGCGGAGCTGCCGCAGTTCAACGTGAGCTACAAGCCGCAGAAGATCTCGCCCAAGTTCGAGGGCACGGTACGGCAGCTGCTGCACAAGCGCATCCGCGAGTCGTACATCCACCCGCAGGTGAGGGGGTGAGGTCGGGGAGGAGGAGCGGTTGAGAGATAAAAACTGAGCCGCGATGAGTAGTGACTGCGTGACCGCGACCATATATGCCGCACCAAGAGATGATGACGTCCCAGATGTCCCAGATGAGGGTTTCGGGCCCGGCAGGGGGGTGGGGGGGGTTTGTGGTGTGGGAGGATATGATGCAGGTGCAGGTGTAGGGTGCCGCACGCCGGAATGATGCACGTGTGTTTCATGTGTTGTGCTGCGTGAGCCATTGTGTCACTGACTCCATCGAAACACTACCTACCTAATGAGAGCAACCCCCTCTCCCCCCTCCCCCACCTTCTCCTCCCCCCCCTCCCCCCCCGCAGTTCAACGCGGACGTGATGAAGCCGCTGTCCATCGAGGCGCTGATGGACCAGGAGGTGCAGAACCTGTCGGGTGGCGAGCTGCAGCGAGTGGCCATCACGCTGGCGCTGGGGCAGCCGGCCGACATCTACCTCATCGACGAGCCCTCCGCCTACCTGGACAGCGAGCAGCGCATCCTGGCGGCAAAGGTGGGGGCTGGGGGCGGAGGGGGCGGTGTTGCGCGCACCGGGCTGGGATGTTTTTGGATACCGCAGCGTGTGTGGTTTGTGTGTAGGGTTGGTAGCAGTAATCAGTGTGGGGGGGATGCGCCGGTGGAGGTGCGGGCTGTTCAACAAAGCTGGTAAACCTCCTCCCCCCACCCACCTCCCCCTCTCCCCCCCTCCTGCTCAGGTCATCAAGCGCTTCATCATGCACAGCAAGAAGACCGCCTTCATCGTGGAGCACGACTTCATCATGGCCACCTACATGGCGGACCGGGTCATCGTGTACGAGGGAGAGCCGTCCAAGCGCGCATTCGCACGCGCACCGCAGGCGCTGCAGAGCGGTGAGGGGGCGGGGAGGGTGGTGGAGTACCGTAGTAAGGATGTCATGGTGTGAGGTTGGGGAACAGAAGGCAAGAAGGCAGTTTGTGCGGCGGGATGGCTGGGATGATGTGCATTAGGAGTACCGGCGGTGTGGGGTTGTTGTCTGTTAGCCCACTGTAACCCTGCTGTCCTGCCCTCCTCCTCTTGTCCCCCCCTCCCCCCCGCAGGCATGAACCAGTTCCTGCGCAACCTGGACATCACCTTCCGCCGCGACCCTACCAACTACCGCCCGCGCATCAACAAGTGGGGATCCACCAAGGACCGCGAGCAGAAGGAGGCGGGCACCTTTTACTACATCGGAGACGACTAGACGCGCGCAGGGGTGCCCAGGGGACGCGAGGGCGGCAGATGCAGGGGGTGCAGGGACGCTTTGCTCGCGGGTGCAGGTTCTCAGTGAGGGTTGTCGGCCGAGTTGTGCGTGTTGCGCACGACTGGGAGCCGCAGACGCACGAAGGGCGATCTGGCGCAGGTACATGCAGCAGGGGTGTGTGTGGAGATGGGGAGGTGCTGGAGGGCGGTGCTGGAGGCAGGGCCGTACAGCAGCACTACCGCAGCTGGGTCTCACCTGCAATGGGACTGCTGTCGGGTGTAGTGGTCCGACACACCAAGCCGCCGTAGGCTGTGTGGTAGCCGGTTGGCGCGGTCCTTAGGACACATTTGCGGGCGGGTTCAGAGGGCTTGGCGTGTGCCTTGGGAGACATGGTGCCCTTGCGGGGGTGGAGGAGCATCTCGGCATCGCTGCCCATGTGAGGGAGTTTCCGCTCCGCAGCTTGCTTCCCCTTCCCCCTCCCCTTGCAAGACGTCATGTTCGGCCAGAACTGGGCGTTTCCCCTACTCGGTTCGGCTGGGGAGTGTTGATGCCGGGGTCATCTCGGAGGGCTCGTAGGGGGTGTATAAGGGGCTCATGGGTCCAGCAAGTTTCTTGCGTGTCGTGTTTTTTACCCAGCCGCGAGCGGGAGGGATGAGGGGAAGGGAGGGAGGGAAGTGGGCGCCTTGCCGCACTGGTTTGACGTTCTGCAATCTGGTTAGGGTGAGGGCTTGGAGGAGGCGTTACTATGAGCCCCCTAGGGACGCTATAGCTCTCGGAAACGCCGGCACTGCTTGTACGTATCGCCAGCAGTATCGCGAAATTTGAGTTGAAATTCAGGTTTAAGGGGCCCACATTTGCCTAGGACAACGTATGAGGACTGCTGTGTGTGTTAGTTGGGTTGCACTGTGGGTGAACAAGAAGGGGTCTGTCCAGGGGTACCGTGAGACATGTGGGGAATGGAACTAGGGGGTGCTGCGAACACGTAGATGGGCACATGGGGAGTCGTCGTGCTCCCGGATTGGGGACGCCGGGGGTTGCGGGGGAGGTAGGGAGGGACTGCGTTGGATCGAGGGCAGGAAGCAACGGGCAACCCAAGGTTTGCGGAGGGCAGGTGGTTGACATGATTGACAGTTTTGTGTTCCGTACTGGTGGGCCGGCGTTCGGCGGCGGCTCTTTACTCCAGAGGAGCAGCAGAAGTGAGGGTTGCTAGAGGATGGATGGTCCATATACCGTAGTTGCGGATGCAGAAGGGGCCGCCCGTTGGTTGCCCTGTCGTGCATGATGAGGACCGGAGCGCGAATGCGGCGGCGGGTTTGCTAGTGAACATGAGGGCGATGCTGGCGGTGTAGCAAGGAAAGCAAGGCCGATTCGGACCGCAAACTGGTGCTTGGTTTGGTCTGGCCCTGTCGCTAAGCGCAGGTGGGAGTGTGGTTTCGAGCAGGAGGCAGCAACGGTGGCGGAGGAGGACATGTAATGAGGGCTCCTGCGGCTGGGTGTCTGTCCCTTGGGAAGGCCCAAGAAGGGCCGAGCTGCACTCCCGCCCTGCTCCACACTGCTCAGGTACGGACTCCGACTTGTGCGGAGGTACGTGTGTTAAGAAAACTGTGGCCGCGAGGCCGAACGTGTGTTAAAATAACTGGCCGCGAGGAGAAACGTGCTGTGATTGCCGAAAGATGAAGTGTGTGGAAACTGGTGTTCGTGTGCGTGTGGTGAGCCCTGAAAGATAAGTTGCATGCCATGCGCCCAGGATTACATTTAGTAATGAAAGGTGTAGCATCAGGTGCGCTTGCCGTAGCCCGCCTGCAAGCTTCCCTCGCGTCCCAATAGAAACCCAAAGAGTACCGGTAGTCGTGTTGCAAGGTTTGCACGCCACGCGAGTGCACGCCTTCCGTGCCTAGCGACCTGGCACGCTTGCAGAAGATCTGTGGCCGCGTGGGCAGCTCACTTACTGCCGAGGAGAAACCTTCTGGTTGGTATGTTAAGGATGGCTGGCGGTAAGACACTCAAGACCGAAGGGTCTGATGTGGGCGCTCCTGATTTCCTAGGATTTAGAAAGTCAATAGCGACTTGATGGCAACCGCCGTCCAAAGGCGGACGGCTACCCATATCTAAATCTTATGGTAAGCAACGGAACCGTTCATGCTGAGCAACTTGGTAACTGATTTTTATTTTGCATACATACGTCTTGTTCACATAGTGCTCGTTTTTGTCGACGCATAATATAGTTACCGGGGAGGCCAAAGAAACGAGGGGACATTTCCGAAGTAAAAGTAACGCCGAACCCCGAACGAATGCACGGAACTACGTGTTTCTCACTAACCGCGTTGGGCTTAAGTTGACGCGAACTCGGCTTAGTCAAGATCCTTACAAAAGGAGACGATACATCTCAAAAGAGTCTCCAGGCCAATTCAACGGTAAACGAACGGTCCTACCACTTCCTCTTTAGGCCACTTAACGGGCAAGCAAGGTCGGGTAACTAGTTAATCTTAGGAAAGATACCGTATAGCCTTAAGCCCATAACAACGAAGGTATACTTAACTAAGGTATTGCATTGTGGCATTTCCGTTTGCATACAAACCTAAGCGCGCTATCTTGTCCAGGCTGGCAAGCAGTTAGGGACTACAGTTGCCTGGTGGTCGGTGCACTAAGCTGCTGCATTGTGTTTGCAGACTTCTTCTGGTTGCGCAGTGGCTCGCACCGCGAAATGCCTTTTCCGATAATAGCAACCCCTCTATCCATTATATGATGTGACTGCTTATACCGCATGCGAGCACAACCATATGTACACGTTCTAAATCATGACACAAAACGCCATTACACCGCTCAAAGGAAGCAGTAAGCTTTATTTGAGCACGTTTAGAAAGGTAACAGGGCTGTCACCGGGTTGACTTAGCGAGTTGAGGTATACCAAGGTGCTCACAGGATATCGTTAGTGCGTGGGCATTGTCCATAGGGGGCTACCAGCGGGAATAGTTCTTCTATGGGCCCTCCATGCGCCTTCACAACATGCACACTCCGAGTGGCTGTCGCCTGGATTGCAAGCAGTAGTGCGTGAAAGGAAGCAAGGGTGTGCTAAGATCGCAGCTGACTAGTTGAAGTTGTTGGCAGGACGTGCTATGTCGCTGTTGTGGTATATTTCGTATATACGAAGCCCGTTGCCGCCCTGGATTGCGACAAACTACCGAACTAGGAATGCACCCACTGTCCTGACTTGCCTATGTAAAATACTGTTCTGGGATCAGAGATAGTTGGCGTCCTAAATGCTGCTAGCAGGAATGAAGAACGACAGAGACTACGATAACCTTTTGGCCTCAGGCCTCCAGCCAACGTGAAGTCGGACGGGACGTAAGTACTATTTATTCCAAACGCACTTTTCCTCAGAAGAATGCGAGGATAACGACGTACTCAAAGCATCCCAGACGGCGGTTGGGGGCGAACGAACAAGTACAGAACGACAAAAAATGGGAAGGATAAGAACTTCGCAAGTTGAACACAGGTGATAAGGCATTATGTTATACAAGTGTGTAGTGACATCTCGTTTTGGATTCGAACAATTGTTCGCAAGGTTGTACGGCGTACGTCGGGTCAGGCGGGTGGCCTGCAAGAACATAATAAAAGCTTAGCTACACCCAGAATAGTACTTTACGTTTCTTGACTGTCTACTTCCCATTCCTGCAGCTGTTAGCTCCAGAATTAATTAACTCCAGAACAGGCGTTGGCTTATTACCGAGCTCTCCTGCGAGCAATCCCAAGCAATACAACCTTTTTCGCACAAATCTGCTGTATCATGATGGAGAGTCTAACAGGGTTGAACCGTCTTCTGGATTACGACGCGTCCAGCCAAGCTGCGCGTGACCAACTTCTCCTCGAGCTTTGTCGAGACTTGCCTCCAACAAATGCGGGTAGGCCATAACGCTGCAAAACGTCCCTGCCATTGACGACGCACTTAGAATTTCGGGGACTTCACCTTCGTTTGTCCGGCTGCTGTCTGACGCAGTCCCTTTGGAGCTGGTGCCCCGGATCTACGTTTCTAGCCATTCACCCCAAGCGTATCCTCCGTTTGCTGCGCTGTCAATACCTGAAGCCGTGGGCCTCACCCAACGGACCAGGAGCTTAAACGCTTCACTCGTAGACCTGAAGTATGGAGCAGCTGTAATTGCCTAGTGATTGAGTAAAAGCAGTGTAATGGAAGGCGGTGCAATGGCTAGGTAGGGCTCTTTCGGCAACTGTCGTTTTGGGCAAGTTCTCATGTGACCTGTTTCACGAAAGCCGGTGTCGCCGTCGCCAGCTTAGCGTACTTATTGGCACTACTACTTCATGTTAAAGCCACGGCGAGGCGTCGTTAGACTATGCTCGACTGGGTGTCTGCCCCCTCTCTGCTGTGTCTTCGCGCTTGCTAAGCCCCTTTGGCTTGCTGGTTTTCTAGCATATGCGTGGTTTGAGAGTTTACTGCGGTGTAGATCGAGTGCGTTTAACAACGGAGTGATACACAGGAGCACACTGTCGACGAGCCAGGAAGGTTAGGCAGACGGAGTATACTTAAATCCAGACGTGTTGAAAGTCATGTTGGTAGCTTGTTGGAGTTGTCACGCGCCGTAAGAAGGCTCCCTGATGTGAGTGTCGTAGGACTTCTGCCGCGGTGGCAGGACTTCACTCAATACAATGGTTATGTACGGGGCCATACTTGGCTTTCGGCATGGGAGTGTTTGCTGGCCTTCGCAACAGCTGCACGCATGCATGCCCTTGTCATGATGAAGAAAGCCGCCATGGCGCGGGCCCCATGTGGTTAGGTAGCGTCGTAGCGGCGTGTTGTTGAATGTTTCCCTGCTGGCATGAGATGAATGAGTGAGTAATGCGCTGGATGAGTGAGAAGCATGATGGGACGTTGTTGCTTTCAGGCCTTGTTGAAAAGGGTGTTTGTCAGTCGGACAGTTTGTTGCATACTTAGCATAGCATGCATTGCCCGTTGGGGCTTGAGCTGCAGACGCGGGAGGTGCGGCATCCTACCCTGAGCACGGCCAGGGCTGAGGTTGTGTATGCATGGTTGGGCGCTATCTCGTGAGGTTTGGTCTGCGGCTTTGTTGGTTGGATGATCCTGCGGCAGCTGGTTGACGTATATGCAGATTTGCGTCGGTATGATTAGGCGGCACTCTTTTCAGGGTTTATGTGCCGTGGTGCAATGGGCAAGGAAATGCTTCCCCCCTAGTTTAGTCACCGCCAGACATCAGTCGTCATATGATTGGAAGCATGGCTGACATGCATCATTACGTTGGGGATAGCTTTTGTTTGGACCCATTCTGCTTCCCCGGTATCCGGAGAGAGGCGTGTAGATTAGGGCCTTTCGGGCCACGACTGTTCTGTAGGTCAGATGTGTGGATTGGACAGGAACAGAGGGGTAGAGGTAGCGAGACAGCTAAGGCGCAGGAGGAGTAAATCGTCGGTTTTGCGCATGAGGATGTTGCTGAGTTAGCGGCGGGTTCTTCCCCTGTCAGCATGAATGCATGTTGTGCCGTCTGCTGCACCTTACAAAGCACGGGTATTATTCTTACTATTAAGTAGAGCTAATAACAACATTTTAGACTTGATACCGTTGCTCAGCGGTTTACACAATAACCTATTAGCAGCAGCTTGGCTCGTTTTTCCATTCTCATCATACATAGGGTGACGCGGCTGGTGAGATGTGCATGACTGATGTCGGATCGACGCATGCCATGCAAGATATTTATAGTTGTCAAAGCAGATCTGTGCATGAGGGCTGCGTAGGCTTCCTCTGTTGGCTTCTTTTTCGTGCATGCACCTGATAATTGCGCGCCTGTAGGGGTGACCTTGTGTCGCGTTCTATGCGCACGTCCGTTGGAATTATGCATATAGCGTTGAAGGTTCATGGCTATTGTGGGGCGCGGGATAACCCCTGGATAGCTGCTCGCGTGGCTGCTTGCCGAGTCGTCTTCCCAGAGTTGGCTGGGCTTAGTTTCTGGCATCATCCTTTTTCCCTTTACACTTGGTACTGATGGAGGCGTCCTGTCCTCCTCATATCGACGCATAGTAATGCAATTAGCAAACAATTTCACAAGATTTCTGTGTAACAAACGGATGCAGACTCCTGCCTTGCTGTCCCTCCTAGTTTCCAATTCAACTTTGGATCTGAACCTGAAGGGTCAGATCGCAAGGAACTTACTACCGTATCGCAGTGACATCAACAAACGCACAAATAACACCCATACTTGGCACTACTTGCAGGCATGCCGTGTCCAATGCAACGAGAACGGTGCGCCATACCCACTTAACGCAAAATACTGCTAACTAAAGAAGCCAGCCTAAGCAGCCATCATTCGCCACTGTTTGTGATCGCCCTAGGGTGTGCTTAGCTCGTGCCGTGCTGCCATACCCGATAACGTGCCACGTAGCCAGCCGCGCCCCCTCAGTGCCCAACATCAGTGACCACCCGGGCCAATACGACGTTACATGTGAAGAAGACTGGCCGCGAGTCGGAACCTACATGTACGCCCCCTATCGACATAGCCCCCTTAGCCCTTACTAAACCATAGCCCCAGCAGTCTCAAGGGTACCCGCATCTACGCACTCAGCAAGGCCGCCGTTAGGCAGTTGGCCGTAACGTATGCGGCCCAACCGCAGTCTGTCACGCACACAATGTCTGCATGTACCCCCAATTTGTCACCACAACCCGTCCTCCCCGCCTTACTCCCACCGGGTACTAATTACTTGCTCGTACAACCATAGAACCAACATCGTAGCCGCCAGCTACGGCATGGCTGCCGGCACGCCGGCTCCCTGCCTAATCCCGCTGCGGTCCTTCAGCAATGCCCAGCCCCTCGGCGTTCCCAGCACTCCCGAGGCCTCATGAACCCCGGAAGGAAGGCCCCGCTCAGCTGCCGCCGGCACCCTTGCCCCCCAGGGCAGCAGCGGCACCGCTAACACAGTCGCCCAGCTGCCGCCAGACCCATACCGCAGCCGCTACCGCCGCCCCTGCTGCCACCACTACCAACACCGCCACCACCGCCGGCGCCGCTGCTGCCGTGCGGGCGGCCAACGCAACATGTTACATACGTCACGTGGTTGTGATGACGAGGCGCTGTGGTAAGATAGTCGCAACGATGCGCTCACGACGCGCTCATGCAGCCGACGCTGGTGTTGGCTGCATAAGCGCGTTTCATTTTGGATGCATGAAGGCAATAAAGCTGGCTGGCGGCTGCGGCGGGGCTCCGTGGAAGGGCAGCCGCATCGTCTTGGTGGTGACTGGGGCGGCGGCGGTAGCGGTGGCTGCGACGATAGCGGCGGTCGCGGCTGGGCGGCACTAGCAGCAGCGATGGCGGCGGCGGTGCAGCGGCTTCACTCGGCCCTTGTGCTTGCGATACACCACCCCGCCCCACTCCACCTGTAGCACGGGGGCGCGGAGGGGGGCCCGTCGGCGAGTGCGCACAGTCGGACAGGGCATGCACGGGGCATGCATGCATGGGGGTCGCTCGACATGAGCAGGGAAGCAGCTGCGTGCATGCCCGCTCCGCATCACAACAGCCCTCACTGCAATGCCGGGTACCGCCTGCACCCTTGGGCAGTACGAAACATGACCCCCACGCTACGCCTCCGCTACGCCTTGCAACCTTCATCATACCCCTCCAATCAACGAACCATGTAGACACCCAGACCCCTGGACCATCTCCCGAACCCACAAACCCACATTGCGCTGTTGCACCTCCCCCAGTGTTGCATCTCCCCGAGAAAGGCGTCTCACACTCCCGCGCCCACCCACCATTGGGCTCGCCCAGCTGTAGCACATGAGCACCGGCAGCAGCGCATTCGACAGCAGCAGCGCGCCCCACAGCCGCCCCCAGCGGAACCAGCGCAGCGGGATGGGGTGGCTCGCGGGTGACAGCAGCCGGAACAGACCCAGAATCTCGGCTGTCGTCATGTAAGGGGGGCGGGGGTTGGAGGCGCATGAAGGGTCGGATGGAGCTGGGTGAGAGCAGCAGAGGTGCGGAGTTGTTGGGCGAGCACACAGTGTCGTTGGGAAATGTGGGATTTGCGCACTCCTGGGTAAACGTGGTCGCTGCATGAGGCTGCAGGGGTTGAACTCACAGCCAGGCTCCGACGTTGTGTTGTTATAACATGTAACGCTTAGCCGCGGCCTTCATCCCCCCAAACGCTTCTTGTGCGGCAGCAGGTCCGCCCCACCTGTCATGAAGACCAGCGCCCCATGCGCCGCCGCCCAGCCCGCCAGCACCGCCAGCTGTCCGCCGGAGGGCGACAAGAGGTGCGAGCTGGCGGTGACGGTGAGTTGGTGCAGGCTGGCTTGGCGGAAGACGGAGAAGACGGAGAGCAGTCGGCAGCTGTATTGCCACACAGCTGCGTACACAGGCGTGTACGGAAAGTAAAGCGGAAGGAAACGGGGCGCACGTTAGCTCATCCAACCAATGCACAGCACGGAAGCCAAATCATGTGATTATCATTGCCCAAGGGATGCCTGCACGCCCCTCAACACGTCTCAACACGCTCCCGAACGCACCCCCCTTGCGTGCATTACTCACCCGCGACCGAGGGCAGCACCAGCAGCCATGACAGCACCGAGTGCACCAGCATCATCAGGTGGTTGGTGATTCGGTTGTGGCGGTTGGTGTAGGTGTCCAATACGAACAACTGCCGGTGCAGGTAGTTGAGCCAGCTGCGCCAACCCATGTGCGGATCCAACCTGCGTGCATGCAAGCATGCCGGGGGTTGGTGTTTCTATGGTCACGATAAATGTCAATATGAGCTACAAGCGACCCCTCTGCGCACGCCCCAACCACATGCCCGCGTGAGAAGATGCTCCGCCTGCTGCTCCCTCCCAGCCTGAAAACCCCCTTTTACCAAACCCTCGTGTCCTCTGGCGTTTGCTCCTAGCCGCTTCCCTACCCGCATCCCCCTGCCCTCACACCTCTGCGGGAAGATGGCAGCTGGCGGCACCCGGATGCGCAGTCCGCGCTCCCCGCAGAAGGACGCCAGGATGAGGTCGTCCGAGTAGCCGCCGTCGCGCCAGGCCTGGGGGCGGGGGGGTCGCGGAGTCGTGTGCGGGGGAGTCGCGGAGTCGGGGGTGGGGGCAGGGCTTTCTTTCCGTGGTAGAGGCAAGCCGGGGGAAGAGGTACCACGGTAAGGAAGGTGAGAGGGGTCTGGTGTGTACATACCATTATGGCAGGATGCGCGCAGGATGGGGTGGTCAGCAGTCGCCATTGCCGCGAGTCATCAGGGGACAGGGCCCCACCCCTCGAGAGCAGCATGCAGCCCCCTCCCGTGCGGCCCACATGATTGATGAGTGCGCCACCGCGTGACCCCCGCTCCCTTTACCCCGCCTGCAGCCCCCATGCAGCCGCCTCCCCATGCCCACACCCCTACCCCAGCCTTCCCTTCACTCCGTTCCTCCCTCCCAGAGCCCGCCCCTCCCTCCTCCCCCCCCTCCTCCCCGCCGCCCTACCGCCAGCAGCCCCCGCGGGTCCCCCCCCACCACGCTGCCCCCCCGCAGGAGCATGCAGCCGCCCCACACGAAGGCCGTGTCGGGGGCCACACTGAAGGCCACCAGCAGCGGCAGGTGGTAGCTGAGGGCCAGGTAGGCGGGGAAGGAGGAGCCGGGGGGCGGGATGTCGAAGGGGTAGCCTGCGGGCGTGGGAGGGAGCAGCACACCGGGGGTGGGGCACCAGGAGGGGGTGCGAGGGTCGCATGAGTCACCCAGGCCGGGTAAGTCGGGTAGGTGTTGGGATTCCTGATGACTGCGGTCTTTGCATCGCTGTGAGGAGGGAGCCCTGGCATTCCCTGCTGACCCCGCCGTTACCCTTCCTAACCGCAACCGCACGTTATGTTGTGTACCGTTGCTGCAGCTGCAGCTGCTGCCACCACGCCGTCTTCCTAGCACACCGCCCCCCGCACCTGTTGCCATGAACACATCCGGGCGCGCCTCCATCTCCGCCACCAAGTCCTCCAGGCTGCCCGGATGGAGAGCCACGTCATCATCCAGACACAGCACGTAACCGCCCTCGGAAGCGACCCGCGGGTCTGCGGCCTCAATTCCTGCACACAGGCTGTGCATTTCAAACGTGCGGCGTATCAACACAAGTCCAGCATATCAACAGGGAGACAAGTCGCAAGGCGTCATGACACACCATCGACAACGAAATCTAGTCGTAGTAATTCTCGATTCCCAATTCCTCACAGGCACAGACAGGCACTTACTTGTGTATCTTCTGACTGCATCCCTCCGCAAGCCCCGCTACCAACAGTCGCACAGTCCGACCGGGGCTAGCAGCGGCTGCATGCCTGCTACCTCCACTGCTCTTACTGCAGCACCCGCAGCAGCTGCTGCAGCCATTGCAACGCTTACTGGCGCAACTGCTGCCACTGCTACCATCATGGATGCCGTTGCTGCTACACCCGTTCGGTTGCGAAGGGGAACACATTACTGAATACGGTGCTTGCGCACCGCAACATGCACTTGCATGCTTGCTACTGCTGCCGCTGCACCCGTTGCTCCCGCTGTGTCCACACACACAGCTGCTGCAGCCATCGTTACTACCATTGTTACTGCCGTCTCCCGCCGAATCGGGGCATATATGCGGGTGTGGAGCTCGCAGCACCTGCTGCTGCTTCTCCTGCTCTAGCTGCTGCTGCTGCTGCTGCTCCCGAGACTGTTGCCGCCCCTGCTCCTGCTCCTGCCCCTGCTGCCTCCAGCTGTCCCCCAGCAGCTGCCGCAGCAGGGGTACCGCGGGGTCTGCGCCGCTCTCCACCACGAACAAAAACTCAACGGGGCCGCCTGTGGGGGGGAGGGAGGGGTTCGGCACGGGGAGTCATAACCGGGGAACGCGCTCCCTTTCCTACTAACACACCGCTTCCTCCAACCGAACTCCTCGCACTATCGGTTACACACCTCGCTACCCCCATGATTTCCTCTCCGCATCCCCTCTCACCACAGCCGGTTCCCCCTTACTACCTCCTTCTAGTACCTACTACCCGCGCGCCCCCTCCCTCCCTCCCTCACCCTCCCTCCCGCCCCCTCCCTCCCTCACCGTAGGTCACCCCCAGGTGGCTGCCCCAGTTGTCCAGGCTGTGCGGCCGGCAGCCCTTCACGGGCATCACCACGCACACCGGCGGCAGCGGGCGGAGCGGCGGCGGCGGAGGAGGAGGTGCCGGCAGCTGGGCGGGCGGCGCGGCGGGCTGTCCAGGGAGCCGTGGTGGAGGGTGAGGAGGGGTTGGAGGGGCAGGCGGTTTGCCGTCTTTTGGGCATGCGACACGGGTGACAGAGGCGTTGTATCCGGCAGCTTGGTCTTTGGAAGGATGTACAGCACTAGCACCAACACCAGCAGCAGGAGCAGGGGGTTGGGGATGCAGCACGTTTGAGTGGCTTAGTTGGGCAGAGGCGCGTTGGCAGGGAGCTGCCAGCTGGCGCAGACGTCGCAGGCGCTCACGGCGGCGAGCGAGGCCCGAGAGTGCCCAACCTGCTGCGAGGACGAGCCAGAGGAATAGGGCCTGGTACTGCGGTTCCGGGGCAGATGCGAGCGGGAGGGGTTGGGGAGGTAGGAGGTTAGGGCGCCGGCATGAACGTAGCGCTCTGTAAAAGCAGGTGCAATGCACCCCAGGACATGGCCACGGCAGGTAGAGCGTTGGTGCTGTGGTATTACCTGAAGGTATGATAGCAGGTCCATACCCTCAACCGTAGTGTAAGCGTAGTCCGCCAGGGCGCTTAAACAGCGGCTACGTTGGAGACAAGTAGCCTAATGGGGTCTTACAACATTATTACCGGTGCAAAAAGCTGAGTTGTTTGCGTTAAGTAAATCCATCACTGTCATGGCTAACAGATGGCCTCCTGTGTGCGAGGAAAGAATGTAGGGGGCTTGTACTGATCATTCTGTTGTACCGGTACTCCAGCAGTTTGGATCATGACAGCAAAGTCACATTCTCTAGCTCAGGTTCACTGCTTTCACTAGACTATTGCAAATTTTGGGTGATAGCTTGCTTTGTAGCTTCCTTAACGTGTTCTCGCCCCTGGGGCAACCCAGAGTGGACCAGCAAGAATGTATAACGGCATTGGCTTGCTGACGCCCCGGGGCTCTGGGACTAGTGGTCATGTTCAAGGCAATAAATTCAATTTACGGGGAGCTCCGCATGTACGCACGGAGCCCCCAAAGGATGGCGGCCCCAAGCAAAAGCAAGCAAACCAACAAATTCTAGACCACAAGAAGAAGCGAGAAATAGAGCTGAAGGTGGAGCAGGAGCGAGAGCGGCTTGAGCAGGAAGGGTAAGCAAAGGGAAATCGTCACTTTGATTCCAAGGCCACGTCTTGCCTGAAGATCTGCTTAATAAGGAGCTTCTCATCGCCGATATATTCAATGGGTTTGCTGGGTTCCATGTCCTGCAGAGTCCACACTGAAGCCGATATCGAGGAGATACTCGCGCTCTTTCGGGCACAGGAGCTAGCAAAGCTCTCGGTTAATGTTAATGCTGTCAGGTGCGGGGGTGAAGGTATCTTTTGCGGGCAGGAATAGCGAACAGATCTTGAGAACGGGAGTGCCTAACGTGAATGTGCGCTCATTCCCATGCAGCAACAAGCTTACGGATGAGACCCACGCTATGGCACAGCGGAAGGTGGAGCAGATGTCCAAGCTGAAGGCCGCGTTCGGAGTCAAGGACGACATCCGCGAGGGTGATGCCTTCAACCGGGAACTTCAGGTGCGGTGTGTGCCCGTCATGCAGTCTACTATCCTAAATATATTGGGGTGCGAATTGGCTGCATGCACTGGTATGACAGCTGGCTTCACACGGCTCACTCTCCTCCGTTACCCCTGCCTTGCTCAATAGATGCTGCAATGGGCAAGGTTTCTGTGTTTCCTTGTCCACATATATCTCGCACCCAATAGTTAAGCCGTGCCCTGTGCACCCATCCATGGCCATGATCTGCAGGAGCAACTGAAGGCCCAGCGCATGGCCGAGCGCGAAGCCGCACAAAAGGCTCGCGAGGAGGAGTCTAAGCGGCGGGAAAAGGAGGCGCGGCGACGCGAGAAGGAGCGCGCCAAGGAGGCTAAGCAGAGGGAGAAGGAGGCCAAGCGACGGGAGAAGGAAGCAAAGCTCAGGGAAAAGGTGAGGTTGGAGATCGCTAGGTGTATAGTGCCCATGGCTTTCCTGGCCGTTTCAGGGTTCCTTGCCATGCAATGTGGCTTAGGCAAAGGTCTTGCTGCTGTCCTAAAGGTCTTCCCCGTGCACGCTTTCCTTAAGCCTTCCCGCTCGTTCTTGGCCCCTATGTTAGCCAGCTGACCCGCCCCACCGCGGCCCACCACCCATCCCACCCTTGCAGGAGCGCGAGGAGGCCCGGCGGGCGGAGGAGGAGCGCCGGCGCAATGCCTCTCCGGAGGCCCGCCTTTACCGCAAGTACGAAGCGGCACCGGACAGGTGAGCGGGTGCGGCTGAGCGTGCATGCGTGATTGTGTGGTTCATTTGGGGATGTCATGGCATGCAAGTGGCTACGTTTTGACATGGACGTCGGTGGAAAAGGACTCGCAACTGTTACAGTCTCTTCTGGATATGGCACGGCATGCAACAAAAAGTTGTTGCATTCGAGTTAATCAAAGAGTTGTGATTAGGGTTAACTGATCAAGACCAAACCGCGTTCAACTTCCAGGTACGATCCCTATGCGGACGAGCAGCGGCGGGGCTACGATGACCGGTACGATCGGGATGAGCGCCGGTACGACAGCGCCTCACGGGACCGGGATCGGGATGGCGCCGGCGAGGGGCGCCGTGGCGGTATGGCGCCTTCCGTGCGCGACGAGCGTGGACGCGACATGCCGGCACGTGATGTCGAGCGCGGTCGCGGGAGGGAGCGGGGCCGGGATTTGGACCGGATGGAGGACCGTGACGGCGCTGCTGCTGCTGCACCCGCGGCTCGGAATGGCGGAGAGAGGGGAGCCAAGAAGAAGGCAGCCGCTAAGAGCCCACCGCCGCGGCAGCAGCGGCGCCGGCGTTCGCCATCACCGTCCTCCAGCAGCAGCAGCGGCTCGGGTTCTGACTCGGATTCGGATTCTGGATCCAGCTCGGGATCTGGGTCGAGCTCCGGAACCACCAGCTCGGGTTCATCCGGGTCGGATTCCGGTACTTCCTCCGGCAGCAGCGGCAGCGGAACCTCTTCCGCTACATCTTCCGACTCGGACGGCTCTGACCGCCGCGGCCGTGGCGGCGGAAGGCGCGGTGAGAAGCGCGGCGGCGGCCGTGAAGGCAGACGCGGCGCCTCACCGCCGTTACCACCGCAGGCGCCAGAGCCCAAACGGCAACGCACTGCAGGCGACGAGCTGCCTCGGGGTCAGCCGCCGTCGACACGAGGCGACCGGGAACCGGCCAGGCGGGACGAGGAGGGTGGCAGGGAGCGTCCTCTTCCTCCTCGCGGCGGCATAGCTGACGGGTATGGCAACGAGCGCTACGGCTCGCGCCGGCGCGGGGACGCTGAGGACGCGGAGGAGGAGCGGGGACGCAGAGCAGCAGCAGCAGCGGCCCCTGCTGCGGCAGTGCGTCGTCGTCATGACAGCGATGACGAGGGCGTGGGGGGTGAGGGCGATGCTCGCCGGGGCGGCAGCGGACGAAACGTCAGGCCAAGGCGTGAGGAGGAGGAGGCCCCATCGCGGGGCGGTCGAGGTGACGGCCGGGGCGACAGAAATGACGACCACGGCCGGGAGGATCGCCGTGAGCGGCCGCGGGAGCGAGATGTACCGGATCGTGGCCGGCGGGAGGAGATGCCGCCGCCACTGGTGCCCCAGCGGCCTGACCGCTCTAGTCGTAAGGAGGAGGAGGAGGACGGCAACGGAAGGAGGGATGCGGCTGACCGCGAGGAGCGACCTCGCCCGCGTGAGTATGAGCGCGGGCGGGAGGCACGAGGGCGTGGAGAGGATAGGGAGGAGGACCGCGGTGGTGCCCGTCGACGTGAGGAGATAGAGGAGGAGTACGGGCGAGGTGAACGCCGTCGGGACGGACCGTCGGAGGGTGCGCGTGGGGGTAGCAGGGAGAGGGGTGGTGGGGACCGGGAGCCTCGGGACCGGGATCGGCGACGACGCAGCCCGAGCCCGTCATCCTCCTCTGATAGCGGGTCTTCTTCGGGCAGTGGCAGCAGCAGTAGCAGCGGCGGTAGCAGCAGCAGTGGGGACAGCAGCAGCAGTGGCAGGAGCTCTGATTCTCGGTAGAAACGGGGGCGGTTGCGCGCAGCCTGAATACTTCAGTGGTGTTGGATATTACCGAACCTTGTATGGCTGGATGTTTAGGTCGTTCCAGTATGTTGCCTGTACATGGGTCGGAGCTGCTGGTGTGCGTACAGAGGAGACAAGAGATCAACCGCATGAAAAGGCTGATGTGGGTATCTGGACATAGGGCACCTAGCAACTTTGTTGCAGTACTGTACAGATTCTAAAACGTTGTCGGAAGGATTCGTGGGATGAGGAGAAAGGTTTCCATACGAGCTGGTTGTGAGTCTGCCACGCTGTCCTTTATGCGGCTTGCGCGCTTTAGCCCAGACGTCTTCACTGCATACTGTACTACATACATCCATGTAGCGCTGAACGGTAGGGCTTTACCGGTAAAGCTGCAACCTTATTGTGCAGTTAACGTGTGCTGCATGGGCTCACGTACATTGAGCAGAATTGCACCGTCCGAGTCCCGAACCTTACATTCGTACACTCCTTCCTGTTGTTGGGAGAGCACTGCTACTCACAGGCCCACTCCACAAAACACACGCACGCTCAACAGGGTCGCCATGATGTACACCCGATGTGGTAGCGTCCTCCTGCTCCTGATCATGTCACATTCCTCTCGCCTCGATAGCTCCAAGTCCCATACTTGCTTAGGCAGCCGGCTCCCGTTGATATAGTTTACTTCTCAGCCTTCTTCAGGCCCAGGTTCTCCTTAAGCCAGTCCCAAGGCTGCATGCAGATACAAATCTTGTCACCAAATGCCCATAACATAAAATAGTCGCGTTTAAGCATAGCAATCCATGTACTCACCTGAACCATGTAGAGCCCGCCAACAACAGCGACACCGCCCCAAGCACCGACGCGAGCAAGCTGCTGCACGCTAGGCCACCGCGCCGGGGGCATGTACTGCGAGCAGGAAACCACGAAGTAAGCATGGAACGCAAGGAAAGCAGAGTCACGACGCAGCTGCTTCTATGCAGTGGAAACACGTAAACTCCAACATATTGGTAAGGTTATTTGTCCATGGCTTTTAGCATTTCGGTCACAGCGGCGTAAGGGATGCCGGAGAGAAGTCTCGTGAGGGCTGGCCCTCCCTAAGCCGCCGTCAGACCTACCCCATTCACCACGGTCCAGAAACCGAGAGGCATCTTTGCTCCTAAATTCCAACGGTGAGGCTAAACGAGTCTTGTCGAGGGGGTCGACAATCAGACCCGGGCGGCGCCACTACTGGGCTTTAAGACAAGAGCAATAGAATAGTATGCCTATGTGGGAATGCCACGAGCTATGGAAGTAGTTACACAGCCTGACCGGTCGCAGGTGTGCGGCAATTGCACGACGGGGCCCCCCATGTCCGTAACGTCGCATGCAATGCCCGGCCCGCCCAACATAAAGAGTAGTAACACGTTCTTTGCTATATAAGGCGAGGCCAGCCGCACGCCCATGGAATATTGTTCCCAGAAATGTGCTGATAGTAGCCATTCAGACGCCCAAAGTTTCAGCCCAAATATAAAGGCTGCCTAAACGATGCATGTCGCAACTGTCCCTACTGTCCCAGTCGTCAACGCAGATGGGAGCAAGCGGCCATCGTCGGTAGCTCTTGGCATCGCTGAGTGCACCCTATCTTAAGTCATCCCTCTGGGCACCAGTAGGAAACCCCTCCTGACTTTCCATATGATGTGTCTCCCAACAATACCGGGAAAGGGGTTTAGGCAATCCTTTCCCACACCGGCAATCCCAACTGAAAGGATGCAAGGACCATGTGCCATCCATACCTGGGTGTTGGCAGTTCCTTGCTACCGCGATTCGCCCGCCCGGCTCAGGAGCGCGCAATGTTGCTTACACACACACACACAAGGTACGGCCACTTTTCTATACACAACGTACTTGATGTGCAGCTGCACCAGCCTGACCAACTACAGCTGTCAACGGTTTGGACCAGACTGGGTCGGCATGGGCGGGTTGCAACCGCACGGGAGGGACGCGAGACGCGACCGCACGCCCAAAGGTCCGAAGTGAAAAGCTTTAGTATGTCAATGTGCCCACCCGTACCGACTTTGCTTGGCCAAGGTCCCAACCAAACCGTACCACACGCTGTTCGTCGTGGCCCGGCTATCCGTACTCCTTATTCCCAGCATGGCACCGCTACAAGTCATGGCAGTCGGCAGCCCGCATGGAGAAGAGGCACAGTCCGCCTCGACTCATGATTCATGAGCCAAACCAAGCAAACGTGCTTCCACAGCATCCCGTCTGGCAACCTGACTATACCCATACTTAACTTGCCTGCAAATTTGGTTTTTGTGGCCGGGAAGTGAACCGTCTTCCGGCATGCGACTAGACCAGTAGTCCGGATGGAAAGCAGACCCTCGGACCGAAACACTGGCCCCCCGAGACATGCCCGCATAATACCAACCACGTAATCCACATGGGTCTGTGTCCCTCGCCCACCACCCCTAATATGAGCTCCCGCTCCTTCACATGTCTTGACAGCAGTCGTGCCTAATACAGATGAGCGGCCTGCATATCAATTTAAAAAGGCAGTAGCTTCCAAGGCCAGGCCGAGCGAGCGCTGCCTCCCACGCAACAATACCCTCGGGCTCAGCTGCTGCTGCTGTTGCTACTTCAGGATCCGCCCTAGTCGCCGGCTGCGTACTGCTGCTGCTACTACGTGCTGCTGCTACTACGACCCGGAGCTGCAGCCGCTGACACTTGTGAACTGCCCCCTACCTCACACTACCGCCGCCGTCTGCTATTGGCTCCACCAACCCGCACCTTGCTGCCACCGCCACCGCCGCCGCTGCCCACCCTACCCTTCCTTCCCTAGGCTGCTGCCACCTGCTCCTTAGCCACCTGCTCCTTAGCCACCTGCTCCTTAGCCACCTCCTGCCCCTGCTCCAGCCGCTCCCGCCAGCCGCGCTCCACCGCGTCCGCCCAGCCCTCCACCCCGGGCGCCTCCGGGTAGACCACGTGCTGCGTGATGCCGGCGGAGGCGCACGCCTTGGCGGAGGTGGAGCCGATGCAGGCGTTGACCTGGGGCGTGAGGGGGGGAAATTATATAAGTGAAACAACGACGACGGCGGGAGGGGGGGTCAGTTCGTGTGCCGGTACGGTACGGGTGGAGCCTGGGTGGAGGGAACAGCTGCCCCTAACTGACATGGGTTGGGGTCTGTAGCCCCAGTACCCACCATAAATACATCTGCATCTTGTAACAGTGTGTATCCTTGTATCCGTGTCATTGCCCCTACAGCCGGCAACATCCCAGCAAAACATGTGTGCTACCGTTCTGTCCTATTCCTCACCCCCACCCCCACCCCCACCCCCCCCCCCACCCCCACCCCCACCCCCACCCCCACCCACCCGCTCATTGGCCGCCTGCCGCCCCACCAGCCCCACCCACGCCTTCACCGCACTGGGGCTGCCGTACGTCACCACCTGCGCGGACAGCGCCGCCTGCAGCGCCTCGGGCGGCACGGACGTGACGGAACACTGCACCGGGGGTGAGGGAGGGACAGGGGAGGAGAGTGAGTTGGGTTGGGGTCAGGTTGGAGAGGATGGTGGGGGCTGTCGTACGTCGCGTCACGTACGGCATCAGAGCTGTGTTGAACGCTCGCTCCAGAGGAGTAGCTTCTCTGGGGGAAGCCAGCTGGCTCCACGGCTGCTCGCCCACCCGCCCTACCGTGTCGTACGTGTTGATGCGAGTCACCTCCCACCCCGCCGCTGCCAGGCTGTCCTGCAGGTCCGAGGACGCGCGCGCGGAGGCGGGGTACAGCACCCGCCCGCAGCCGCCCGGCAGCCGGGGCAGCTCGGAGCCCAGCACCTTGCCCAGCGCCTGCAGGGGAGGGAGGGAGGGGGGTGGGGGGAGCGGAACGTGCGGTGGCATCGAGCCTGGGACCTAGGACTTACGACGTAGCGCCGTAGGGGTGAGGGGGCGCGCGGCGAACGGGGGAGCATGCTCGTGCATGTTGAGGAAAGAGGCACGTCGGTGTGCGTCGGTGTAACAGGTAAGGTGGACGGGAAAGATGACCGGTACGCAAGCTGGCTAACGTGAACACACACCTGGCCCACCCACCTGGCCCACCCTGGCCTCTCTCTGGGACCCCCCACCCCCACCGTACCTTTGACGGCACGTAGTCGGGTGTGATGCCGCCCTGCCGCAGCACGTCAGCCGTGCCGCCGCCCACCGCCGCCACACGGATCTGAGGAGAGCGGGAGAGCGGGGAAGCGGGAGGGGGGAAGCGGGAGAGCGGAAGAGCGAGAGGGAGGTAAAAGAAAAGGAGGAGCAGCGGGGGAACGGGGAACGTGATAGAAGGAGGAGGAGAAGGAGAGAGGGATCACGACCACATCCTCGCATCCATCGCCCCCCCACCTGCGGCTTCCCCGCCGCCTGCCAGCCCTCCAGCACCACTGCTGCCGCCTCGGGCGAGGTGACGGCTACCCAGTCGTACTGCCCCTGGGAGGCGGACAGCAGCTGCGAGGGCAGCTGGGCTCTGCAGACCAGGGAGGGAGGGAGGAACAGGAGGAGCAGCGGGGCAGAGAGTGGGGGGGCCCAGGGCAGGAATTTTTGAACTCTTTTGGGTTTTAATTGCTGCTGGGAGGTATGCGGCCTGGGGACTGCAGCCATAGTGTGGGTGGGTGGGGGCCCGAAGGTAAATCTGTTTCCGGGGTTTCCTGAGAATCTAAGCCCGAGGGATCTAATTGGATCTTTGCCGAGATCCAGCCTAAGTTAAGCTTATGGCTGAGATAGCGGTCAAATGCACCCTGAAGCTCACCTATCTGGGCCATCCCTGTGCTCAATCAGGGGCAGCTCTATGCAAGTGAAGCCCTTGCTCGAGAGCGCCTCTCGGAGCTTATCGTTCTTCCCGGCTTCGCGTGTTAGGAGGACCTTTGCAGATGGCGATGCCCCACAAACGGCATGTACCATCAACGGTTGCCCCCGAAAGCGAGCGCAGACTGCGTATGGAGTTAACGGTTGTTGCCACTTAGTAAAGCGTCACACCCCGGCCTTGGGGATCTGTGTCTCCGCCTCTATGAACATTGCCTACCGGCGACCGACGGACGCGCATGGCTAGGGCCTGACCGAAACGCGCAGCGGCAAGAGCGAAGAGCCATTCTAGGAATCGTCTATGACTATCTAGAGCGATGTGGACTTAGTCGGGGCCAGACGCAGCTTGGTTGGTTAGCAAGCACGCGAACAAGGGTGTGTTGATGCAATTCTAGGTTATTTGGCCACTGAGCTCAAAACATGCAAACGCCCCATTGCCAAACGGACTTCCAGTGAGACGATAGCGCTTAAAGGACGGGATGATGGACCAGATTGCCGTACTACAAGGGACGGTTACAACTGGGGCATACAGAACGTGCAATGTGTTACAAAGGAAAGATATGTATCTGGACTGGCAATTGCCTGCTCACGGCTGATATTGACTTTGTGAATTTTTTTATATTCTACGGGGACCGATCCTACCTTGCCTCACGTCATAGGGTCAAACAAGCACCGGTACTTGTAAAAACGACGTGCGTGATCATGTCCCTTACGCTAAGATGCAGAGGACCAAACGGTCAGGCCACGCTATCGGGTAGGGCGACAGCTGACACATGGACGGGACATTTGGTGCAACCATTTCCTGTTAAAGCGGCGGCGACACCCTCGGCTAACGTAATAGGCTTGTAGGTAGTTAGTTAATGCAGTAAAGGGTCACTCGGCGTTGCGCAGGCGTGGAGCCCAGCATGCCGCTTTTAGAGTTCCTCAATGTGTTGTCCTCCAAGACCGGAGTCGCAGCTGGATCAATTGAGCTCCTTGCTGGGTTTCCTCCCAAACTTATACAGGTCAGGCGTGGCACCCTAGTTCGTGGCTGTCGCTTCGGTTACTGCGCCAACGCAATCCGCTCTGCCGTGTTCTGTCCACGGTGTAACGACTTGTCATGTTGTCAAGTGTATACCATGTCCGACTACCCTGCACGTCAGCGAATGCTAAGCAACGGTGCGTTTCTAACCATGCCGACAGATTCCCGCGGACGGCACCGTGGCGGCACTTGAGCTAGCCAACGGTGACGCTGTCACAGTGCGACAGGGAGCAGCAGCAGCACCCTCTGCTGCCACCCCTCCCGCTCCTGCTCCTTCAGCCGCTGACAACGGCAGCGCTGCAAGCTCTGCAGGCAACCAACAACACGTAAGCTACACGTTGGGGCACCCATCTTCTCAGGGTCAGCCTCAAAGGGGAGTGTGTGGGCAAGCCGTCCCTTGCATGTACGCTAAACTCCCTGACAACGTACGATCTGGACCCGTATTCAAATCCCAAGGCGTCCCAAGAAACTAAACGCACTGCTGCTGCCGCTCATGATAGTGGCCGCATGTGTGCGCTGCTGCTGCTGCTGCCCACTGCCTTCAGCATGATGAATGAGTTAAATAGTGATGCCGATGCCGATGATGATGCTGTTTATGACAACGATAGCGACGATGGCTGGGTGCTCCGCAGGGCTCCGGCAGTGGCACCAATCACGGCGATGCGGCGCTGATGGACGAGGATGAGATGCTGGCTCGCGCCATTGCCGCGTCCCTGGAGGAGGGACACAGCGGGGGCGCTGCAGGCCCGGCGTCCACCTCCTCTGCTGGTGCCGCAACCGCCAGAGCGCTGCAGCAGCAAGTGGGGCAGCAGCGGCAGGGGCAGGGGGCGGTGGCGAGCCGGGCGGTGAGCGACGCGCCAGCCGGGGGTAAGTTGCTGGGGGTGGGGAGGGCGGAATGGCAAGGGGATGGCTGGGAGGAGGGATTGAGATGCTCGCCGTGATGCTGCTGGTGAGGGGCCTTGGCGATGGGCGATGCTGCTGTGGATGAAGGGTTGATGCAGTTCCCGCAGCTGCCTGCTGCGCTGCTGCCTGCGGGGGGGGAGGTGAGGAACCTGGGCAGCACACGTGCCACATGGCGGCGGTGCTGCAGGCAGGGGGGATGGTTGGGCTGCCCTCGCGAATGGTTTTCTACCCATGTCCTCATCGTCCTCCTGCTCTTCCATAGGTTTGAGCCCCAGCCCTGCCCTGTGCCTCCACCACCCACCCCCGCTGTCCCTGCACAGGCCCTGCACCCGCCAGCATGCCGGTTCCCGGCGGCGGCGGCAGCTGTGTGGTGCGGCGGGTGGTCGCCTCCGACAACAGCTGCCTGTTCAACGCGGTGGGGTACGTGATGCAGGGCTGCAGGAACCGAGCGGACGAGCTGCGGAAGGTGAGGGGAGGGAGGTGGGGGAAGCAGAACCGTAATAAGGTGGGCGAGGGAGGCAGGGGTATACAGTACTGGGTGTGCTGGACACACGGGCTGGTAGCACACGAGAGAAGTAGCGAGGCGCTGTGTTGGGCGCTGTGCCCAAGGACGGCACTGCACACACCCGGGGAGCCAACCCAACATGTCGCGCCAGAGGGGAGGGAGGGAGGGAGGGAGGGAGGGAGGAGGGGCGGCGTGAGGCACCTCCTGCTGGGCTGGCAGCGGACTTGCAGACCTGCAGCCCGACTGCACCCACGCAGCCATCCCTACTCCCTCCTGCTGGGCGTATCGTGAGTAACGGTATCTTAGCCGCGTACATGTACTGGACATAGCTGTGCCGTGCCCCCATACATGCGCCCCTCCCCGCCCCGCCCCGGCCCCCCTCCCTCCAGGTGGTTGCCCGCACCGTGGCCTCCGACCCGCTCACCTTCAACGATGGCTTCCTGGGCAAGGAGGTGGAGGAGTACTGCAGGTGAGGCGGGAGGGTGGGTGGGTGCAGGGGGTTTAGGGTAGGTCCCTCCCCTCCCAACCCCTCCTCACCCTCCTGCCCTCCGACCCTCCTCCCCCCGCCCCCAGATGGATCCAGCAGCCGGACAAGTGGGGCGGCGCCATCGAGCTCTTCATCCTGTCGCAGCACTACGGCCGCGAGATAGCCGCATTCGACATACGCACCAAGCGATGTGATGTGTACGGGCAGGACAAGGGTGGGTGGGTGGGTGCGGGCAGGGTGAGGGTGAGGGTAGGGTGGCGGTTGCTAGTGCTGTTTGCCGTTTCTTTTGTGCGTGCGCGCGAGTGCACGGGTGGACGACACACGCGTCTTTTTGCACGCTTCAGCGGGAGTATTGGTGTGCTAGGAAACTGGCCGGGACTATTGGCGTGTTAAGAAAACTGGCCGCGCTTAGGAACGTATTGGTGTGTAAGCGTGTAGCCAGTACCGCCGTCGTGGTCTTGGTTGGCGGCTGTCCGTCCAAAACCCCGAAACGGCTGGTGATGCAACACAGGACTTGCAAAGGCCATGCCATGTATAGGAGGTCTTGACCGACCTGCTCCCGACCCTCCCTCTGGCACTCGCATTACCAGGGGGGCGTTCATCATCAGTTGCCCCTCTCCTCCCGCGCTCCCCACCTCCTCCTCCCTCTTGTTTCCCCCCTGCTTCACTGCTTGTTCCCTCCCCTCCTCCCTCCCCCCCGCCCCGCAACTTGTAACATTATCACACCACACATTGGAGTTTCTTTCCCCCCCGCCCACCCAGGCTACTCCGAGCGCACGCTGCTCATCTACGACGGGCTGCACTACGACGCGCTGGCGGTGGCGGCCTTCGAGGGCGCGCCGGAGGAGCTGGATGTGACCATGTTCGCTCCCGGGGGGGCGGAGGGGGCGGCCATCATGAGTGCGGCGGAGAAGCTGGTGGGGGCGGGGGGGGGCGGCGGAGGGAGGGGCGGGGTGGCGGGAGGCAGGGATGGGAGGGCCGCGGGGGCAGGGGCAGCAGGGAGCGGGATGGCGGCGGGTACTAGATGATTGCGTCCATATGACGTAGATACGTAGTAGTATTCCCAAGGCGTCTCCCATCGTAATGAAACCTATAGATGAGTTAACCGTTGCCCATCTCCCTCTCATCGCCTCCTGCTCCTGTTCCCGCGACCCCCCCCCAGGTGGCCGCCACACACGCCGCACGGCAGTTCACCGACACCGCCAACTTCACCCTGCGATGCGGCGTGTGCCAGATCGGCATCAAGGTGAGAGACCAGCTGGATGGATGTGGCCGGATGGTTGTGGGGCGCAGCTGCCCGCCGCACACATGAACCGCCGCGCGTTCACTGCTCGTGGGTGCCGTTGCGGCTGCTGCCGTCATTTGATGCCGCCCCTCTCGTGTGTTCTCTTTTTGCGGAGCTAGAACCTGGCACCCTATACTACATCCTCCCTTGGATGTGCTCTGCTGCTTCTGCGATGTGTGTTTCTTGCAGGGCGAGAAGGAGGCGGTGGAGCACGCCAAAGCCACCGGCCACCAGAACTTTGCCGAGTACTGAGGAAAGGGTGATAGCCCCGGCTGGCTGCCTAAGGGGGGCGCTTCTTGCATGGCTTCGTACATGGGTTGCAAGGGTGGTGCATCCGGTGGGGTGATTGCTTATGGCTGCGAGATGGCTGAATGCAGTCGTGCGGTGGGGACCAAGGAAGCGAGGATTACACTGGGACTAAGCCGAGGTGGCTGATGTGTGCTTAGCGGACGCCGCGTTGTGAACCTTCCAGCTTGCTCCAGTACACGGAAAACATGCATTTAGGTACAATTATATGCGGTGGCATTTCAGAGGTGTAGCCATGAGGGTTTCAAAGAATGGGTCAAGGAGCTGCATGTCCGGACTTTAATCGGAGGTTGGACGAATGAATACGGTACAAAACCCTTGGTTTTTTGGTTTAAGGGTACGCTAAGCCTACAGGAACAGAAATGTAACCCGTGCTGGTTAAGAAGTAATCGATAAGTTGTAATCGGGACAGCTGCAGTGTCATGTGGCCTGTCGTACCAGTAAGCAGAAATTACTGGTGCTGACGATTTAGAATACTTGCTGCTACCATTGCATGTGCCTGCAGCTATCATCGGATAAAGCTCTCTACCCAGTTGTTACCTAGCTTGCACACTGGTACAGTACCTGGTTGGGAACTCCGATACTCAGAACTCAGCCTACAACCCTGAAGGGTTAAGCTGCTGTTCAATCCCGACTTGCCTCACGGCTCTCGCTGGTAGGAGCTTCAACCCGATAGCTCGAGGTACAGGAAGTTCCGTATCGTCAATTCGTCATGCACCTTGCAGTGTGCAGCAAGTGGCTTGGATTTGCCCTAAGGGTAATCCACACCGTCCTCCATGCAGAGTCTGTGCATAATTACCCTGTGCTGATTGATATTTGCTCTCTCAACTGCGACCTTAACGCAGGTCCCCAAGGCAGTAGGCATTCCCTGTATCCAGGTCGCCACAATGGCTAGCGCGTCCAGGTACCTGTTAAATATTTCATGTTATGTCAAAAGGCCTGCCATGCTGCTGTATCCGACGAAGTGTTGCGCAAGCCGGCGTCCTATGCTTGCCTGGTCGCGCTGACTGGTTGTCCTTCTCGATGCCAATATGCAGCACGGCGTCATCGCCGCTTATGACCCCTGTCAAGATTGGAGACATCAAGCTGTCGCACCGTGTTGCCATGAGCGCCTTGACGCGATTGCGCAACACGCCCGGCACCGAGCTGCCAAACGACCTGTCCAAGCTGTACTACTCGCAGCGCTCTTCCAAGGTGAGTGACTAGGCAGGATATGTGTGGCGTTGTATCCCCTTAGCGGGAAGCCTGCCCCAGCACGAAAGCATTTCAGCACTTTCCCTCATCTCCGCCCTCAAACCACAGGGCGGCCTGATTGTTGCCGAGTGCGGCTACGCTCGGGCTGACGGCCGCGGCTACGTCAGGTGGGGCCAGGGTTGCTTGTCGAAGGAAGGGAGAGGCAATGACGGTTGAGGACCGGTCATGTGGCCGGATGTCAGGGCAAGGGCCAGGAAGGGCCGCCGAGGCATGCCATGCCCAGGCAGGAGACATGTCGTACCACTTGTGGGCTGTCCCAACTCAACCTCAACTGGCCCAATCCTCAGGTTGCCCCGCCCCGCGCCGCCTCTGTCTCACCCCGCTGCTGTTCTCCTCCCACCCATACACATCATGGGGATTCACCCCGCAGGGCTCCCGGCCTGGCCACCGACGAGCAGGCCTCCGCCTGGCGCCCCGTGACGGAGGAGGTGCACGGCAAGGGGGGAGTGCTGTTCGCGCAGATCTTCCATGCAGGTGGGTGGCCCGGCCGGGGCGGGTTGGTAGATTGGTTGAAACCGGGCTTACCTGAATGGGAGAAGAAGGATAGTTCGAAGACACATGTTTTGCACACGTGTGGCCTCACCACCTGAGGGCGCTCCCTAACCACCCTTGCTTCCCCCATCTGCTGCCTGCTGCTTCTGCTGCCACTGCCTCTCTTATTAATCAAGTATCACTTAACGCATGGTTTTCCTTCTTTTCCCTGCTCCTCTGCTCGCCTGTTGCCCCAGGCCGCGTGTCCCACAGCAGCCTCATCGGCGGCGCCACCCCCGTGTCGCCCAGCCCGGTGCAGGCGGCAGGTGAGGCGGGTGTGGGAGATGAGAGCCTGTTAAGGGGCACCTGAAGGACAGCTGTTAAACCCACACATGTGCGCATTAGCCCTTCTTGCAGCTTGCACAGCACCACCCATGTTTATCCATGTGACCCATGGGTCGGACCATGCGATGCCGACGCGACTCCAAACCAATGCCGTAAGTGCACCTTTCCCTGCACACTTGGCTGCAAACACACACACACACACAAACACAACGGACTTCACTTCACCTGTGGCGTTTCGGTAGGAGGACTTCATCTTCGGGCAATCACAGTACGTTCCGCCTCGCGGCCAGTTCTTTTAACACACACACATTGCCTGCACCCCACCGTATTCGCCCCTCTCCACCCCTATTGCACTGCTCACTTGCCACTCCTCCCTCCTGCCCCTCTCCGCTACTCCCCCCACTCCCTTCCTACCCCCCGCCTGCAGGTCAGCTCTACGTGGAGGGCGGTGTGAAGGCGGACTTCCAGCTGCCCCGGGAGCTGTCCACGGAGGAGGTGCAGCAGCTGCCGGCGGCGTTCGCGGCGGCAGCGGAGCGGGCTGTCAAGGTGGGCTGAAGAGCCGTGCCGTGGCTGGGGAGAGAAAGGGAAAGGGCAGTCAGGAGGGCAGTGGGGTTTGATTACCGTAATAAAGTTTCATAGACGCCCCTCACCATGTCGCGGCTCACTTCACCTAATCCCCATGTCCCATGTCCCTAACCCTCCCTTCCTCCCTCCCGCCCCCTTCAGCTCGGCGGATTCGACGGTGTTGAGATCCACGGCGGCAACGGCTACCTGCTGCAGAGCTTCCTCGCCAAGAAGACCAACCGTCGCGAGGACAAGTACGGCGGATCCATCGCCAACCGCTCGCGGCTTCTGTTGGAGGTGGTTGACGCCGTGGCGGCGGCCATCGGGCCGGGTCGTACGGCAGTAAAGATCCAGCCTGGCGTCACGTTTTCGGATCTTATTGAGCCGGAGGAGGATGTACGGGAGACGGTCGAGTACCTGGGACCTGAGCTCTCCAAGAGGAATCTGTCGTACGTTTGCCTTTCGTCGCTCAACGGCGAGCCGTACTTCAGGTTAGTCAATTGGTTGGTTGGTTGGGCACTCCATCCTCGCTTCCGGAGCGCTATTCCGGTCTGGCTTTGAAGAGCAATGCTGAGACAGCCATTGCTGCAAAACGTGCTCGTTCTTCCCCCACAGGTTGCTTTGCCCTAGCCCGTGGTTTCCTATGGTCTTTGACCCCCCCCCCCCACACACACCACCCTCCCTTATCTTCCTCCTGTCCACTGAAACCCTGCTCTCCTCTCCCTTCTCTGCCCCTTCCTCTTTTTCCCGCCCCGCTCGCCCCTGCCAGGTTCCTGGGTCTGTCCGCCCCCAACGTCAGCTTCGATGTGTTCCGCACCTTCCGGCCGCTCTTCAGCGGCACCCTCATGATCAACGGAGGCATCAGCGTGGAGCAGGGTAGGTGGAGGGCTGAGGGGCAGAGGGGGGAAAATTATATAATAAATGCAAGCAACTAGAGTCCCAGACCCATAACCCGACTCATGCAGAGGGGGGGAAACCAGGTGGGGTTGGGAAAGGGGTTGGGCGAGGTTCACGTGGTACTCCGGATGCCTCCCGTGTCTTGCTGTAACGCTTCCGGACAAACCCTTCTCTCCCTCCCTCCCTCTCCCATACCCCCCCAGGCGAGCAGTACGTGTCGGAGGGTGTTGCCGACGTGGTGTCGTACGGCCTGCCCTTCATCGCCAACGCCAACCTGCCGGCGCTGGTGGCGGCGGGGGTGAAGAGCGCGGGGCTGAACCCAGGTGCCAGGGCTGGGGGGTAGGGGCCGGTTGGTTTGTTGGTTCGGGTGGCAGGACATCTGGAATGAGGGTACTGGAGGGACTGTCCGACACACACATCCCTCTGCCTCTCCCTGCCGGCTTGCCTCAGGTGGTTTCGATGCCAAGATCTGGTACGGCAAGAACCCCGCCGAGGACGCGGTGGGCTACACGGACTGGCCGCTGGCGGAGCCCTCGCCTGCTGCTGCTACTGCCTGAGCGCCGTGTGATCAGTACCTGGGTCGCTTACCTGGCACATGGAAGGGATCTCACCACGAGTCGGGTCGGGTCGGGAGGAGGGAGCTAGCGGGACCCGCCAGCGAGGCCGGCAGACCTGGTTAACACTGGAGGATAGCGGATAGTGGACCCCTGCTTAGCTCCTGCAGCTACTGCCTGCATGCGTGAGGTGTTAGGCGTTAGGCTGCTTGGTGAGCTGGCGTTGTGTAGTGATACGAATTGTGTGCGATTGAACAAGGAGACCCTCATTGCGTTCGTATGCTATTTGGAACTATGGAAACTGAAACCGCTGAACGAACTATTGGAAGGCTGCTAGTGATTCATGCATTGCGTACCTTACTTTGCCTGCTTCTGTGATCTTTCGTGAAGCGCCGCTTCTGCACATCTTCTGATAGAAGAGGTTTACATATGCGTTGGTTTGTGACTGGAATGCGTGATGGTTCGGGAACATTTCGATGGGAAATCGTATCGGTCAACGTACGGCTCTATCGTGATCATGTCGCATTGCATGTGCGCTCGGCGCCCTTCATTGTGCAAGGGCATCTCATATTGCCTGCATCATTCGATGCATTGCGACATGGTCTTGCCGACGGGTTTTGGGAACGGGTGTTGGAAACATGACACGTGCAAGAGCTCGTGCGTCTTTCGGTCTGGCTCAACGGTAATGCTTTCTGCTGCTGCGGCTGCTGCTGAAATGTCGCTTGCGAGCGGATTATCCGAAAGACGTTTGCTTGGACGGCATTGCTGCCCTCATTGCACACTGTGCTCAGAGGCGGCGGGCTGTACGATGGCTGGTGGTAAGTATGGCATTGTCTGTCCACAACCACTTCTACCGGTACCCACGTGCTCAGTCTGGAGCAAGGGCCCGCACGTGCACAGCGAAGCGACCCCCGGGTCGTTTCATCTGTTAGGGTGTGACCAAATGCGTGATTGTGGCTTTTACCTCGAGCAACACGGTTGTGTTGGTGCCGCGCCAGCATGCAAATAGTGCGCCACGTTTGGAGACGTTACAGCAATACAGCAATGTGAAAAGCCGCCTGCTTTACAATTGTTAGTTTGTCTACAAGGACTGCTTAACGGCGTAGTCAGAATCGAGGCACACAAAAGCTCCATTCAACCTCTTCATCCAAGCCAAACAAGATGTGACTCGTCTGGTGGGGGTCACGGATAAAAGGTGTCACAGGCATGCATGTCAGCCAAATGGCAGGAAAACCGTCATGCACCGTTTGCCACCAAGAAAAGCTGCCGCGGCCCCGTAAACAAGTCCCCCCTCCGCACACAAACACACACACGCGGCAATCACAGTACGTTTCGCCTCGCGGCCAGTTATTGTAACACACACGCGGGGGTATCCTACCCCTCCGCCTCAAACCCAACAAATACACACTCCATGTTCGGCACACGTCGCCGTTACCCTGCACCTTCACAGCCACACACGCACAAGACCCGGTCCTGCCAGGTGTTCCGTACGGCAATTCACAATTCACAACATCCACAAAACAACGTCTCCTCCCGCCCATAAGACTCGCGCAACGTGTCACGTCAGCTGTGTCACGTCTGCTGTCACACCCGCAGGGCCGCCTTCCTCCCGTCCAAACCTCCACACCCGGGCAACCACAGCTGTCGGAACGGCAGTGTCCCCTATCATTCGCCTCCTCCTCCCCCGCCCACATCCGCTCCCAGCCTCTGCCAAAGGGTGCGGCAGCCCCCCCCTGTTCCATGACCACTCCCCCAAGCCAAAAGGCATCGGTACTTTAGCCCACACGCACCCTACCGCAACCTACCTCTTGGTTTCACCGCCGCTTCTCTCTCCCGCACAGTTCACTGCAGCTACCAGCAACAGCCAAAATGGGTTTAGTAACGCTCAACAAACCCCCGTAACGGCTTTCTCGTACAGTCACGACAGCCGGGCTCGATTCCAAAGAATGACAGCGAGCAAGCGAGAGCGAGCGAGAGCCTTCATTCACATAGAGTCCGACGCGGCAAACCTAAAACATAGATAGGACAGGTGCGAACATACCATGGCAACTGAGTTGTGGTGAGGTAGTGATCTTCACATGCGGCCAGTTTTCTTCACGCACCCGGCCAGTTTTCTTTCAACACACCCGGTATCTTAACGCGCCTGGTCACTACCGGTAAAAGGGGGGACTCAGTTGGTTCATGACACGGACAGGCATCGCCTACATACACAGCCGCTGACCCCCGCACATGCAAGCGGGATGTCCGCTGGGGATGTGCTTGCGTGTGGATCACAAAAGCAGCACACAGGAAATCACTGACGAACTACTCGCATGATCGTTTAAGTTAAGTCGACCGCCGTAGATGCCTTCCGTTCGTACGTTTTCTTCTTCCTGCATGCGTACCCACAGAGGTGCACCCCCAACCCCCAAAGCACCCCAACGAAGCCATTCCTTGCCTCCCCATCGCGAACCCGGTACTGCCCTTTCCAGCACCAGCAAACACAACACACTGACAGCAGCAGCAACAACAACAATAACGCATTCATTCTTTGCTTATAGCATTAACCTCCCCTACTTCTTTTAATATAAGAAGGCAGGGTTGCCAAAATGGCGTTGCCATAAGAAAACAGAAAACTGTGTGACGCCGATTGAAAAATCGCCACAACCAAGCAAGGGGTCACGTACGCACCGCAATAACAGTTCTTTTCGTACATGTCATATGGATACTATACTGCAGAGATTGTCATAACCTTGCTTTGGTGCACGGTACTGCAGCTAGCGTGTACGGTCATCACTTAACGCGTCTTTCGGCACCTGTCAAGTGCAACAGGTCCGGGTATCCATCTTCTTTCTTTCTTCGAGCAATCCCCAGACCAACCTGACCACGTAGAGTAAGATTAGATCTTATCCTTCCTTCTTCTCGGTCTTCTTTTCAACATGTCTTCCAACCAAAAGGTCAGTATTTAACAACCCCATCAGCATTCCAGCACTCGCAACCAGCGACAGACCTGCCTTCATACCGCGAGTCGAAAGGGGCTTCGACCGCGTTAACGTCCTTTCCTCCGGAGGCCCCCGCCTCCTCTTCCTGCCCTCCTTCCAACTCCCGCCCCTCATCCCAGCTGGGCCAGCTGCGACTTGATGAACGACACCACGTCCGCAGCTCGGGGGCGCCGGTGCGGGTCATGCGACCAGCACGCCTGAGCCATGTTCCTGAGTAGGAAACCAGGGGGGGTGGGGAGTGGGTTAGGTGGCGAGGGATTACAGTTTTTCCTTTAATGTTGAATGTTACAGAGAAAGGACGGGAAGACAATTACCAGCGAGCCAGCGGGACAGTGGGTGGTGGCCAGGGTTTGGGGTGGCGGGGAATACGTTATGCGTGCGTGTGAGGCGGACAAGCTGTCTGGTTGTCACGCGGCAGCAGGAATGGTAATGGAGAGGGGGCCGGTAAGGCTGGAAATCGACCCATGGGTCAGGCATGACGCCACAGGAAGAAGTGAAACCACAGTGAAGCCAAGGCACACCGGTACTGTAGGCGAGAAACACATGCATGCAGCAACACATACACACACACACTCCCCTATCACACACGCCCGCGCGCCCAGCCTCCTACCTGTAGGCCAGGGGCACGTCAGCGGTGAAGAGCGGCCGCTGTCCCGCCATGACCGCCGCGGGGATGTCATCGGGCTCCAGGTGAGGGTAGGGGCGCCGGCCGCGGCCGCACACCAGCTCCCAAAAGATGATGCCCAGCGAGAAGATGTCGATGGAGGCGTCGATGCGGGAGTCTGGTGGGGACCGGGGGGAGGAGGTGAGGAGGAGGGGGAGGGGAGGCAGCGGGTTAGGACTTAGGAGAGGGTACAGGTTTACTAGATGGAAAAGGGTGGAAGGTCATGGGTGCAGAGGGATAGTGCGGACATGAAACCAGCCATGCAACGACCCTGCATGGTCGAGAGGTCACGCCAGGCGACAAGGTTGCAGGCAACCAGCTTGCATGCATGCATGGAGGAAGACAGGTCCTCACGAGAGGAAGACAGACCCACGGGTCACCCCATGTGCCCCATGCTGACTCACTCCTGAGCACCGCCTCCGGAGCCATGTGGGTCACCCTGTGGGGTCGTGAGGAAGGGCGAGAGGAAGGAGGACATGAGGAGCAGGCAGCAGCAGATCGGCAGCAGATCATGACACGACAGAGACTCACGCAGCTCCCCCAGTGCAGCCTGATGCAACACAAACCCCTACAACCACCCCTCTCTACCTGCATGCGCCTTTACCCCTTCCCAACCCCCTACTCAAACCCAGAACTCACGTTCCTCCCGCCTCAACTTGAATCGCGTACCAGCTGCCGCTCCTCGGGTTCACTCCCGCCCCCGCTCCTGCTCCCCCTGCCGCCCCACCCCCACCGCCCCCGCCTGCGCTGCCCGCCGCCCCGGAGATGAAGCTGCTGCCGCCCAGCGGGCTGCGGCTGCTGCTGCTGCGGCCCACCATGCTCAGGGGGGCCGGAACCGGTGCGGGGACGGGGGAGGGGCTGTCGCCATGCGGCAGGTCGGGTGAGGGATCCTGCAGGCAGGGTTTGCATTGCGAGGGGGTTTGCAGTGCATTGCAGAGGGGGGTTCCATGTTGCATGCGGGGGGGGGGCAGGGGGATGTGGATAGGGCAGCAGACGGGGAGTGGGGTGAGAGGAGGTGCGTGGGAGCACGGTTGTGTGGATGAGGGCCCTGTGCATGAGGGCGAGGGGTAGGGGACGAGCGAGCCAGGAAGCTCAGCCCTCCCCTAGCACCCCCCACTCACGGTATGGTCTTGTGAACCCCTCCCCACCCCCCCCCACCCCCCCCCACCCCCCATCCACCCCACCTGGTGGTCCAGCACGATTGCGAACCCAAAGTCCGCTAGCTTGCACGTCCAGCCGCGTGGGTCGTTGGGGCTGGCCTTGAGCAGGATGTTGTCGGGCTTCACGTCTGGGTGGGGGGGGGGCAACAGGGTGTCAGGCAGGGGGGGCCAGGCAGGGGGTTGCATAAGAAGCAACATACGACAGTGCATGCGCGAGGCGCAACCCTCGTAATGCGTGTTTTTATGTGATTTAAGAAAACAGGCCTATGGTTTGGTATGGTCTTTGACCCCCCCACCTCTGTGCACCAGCCTCCTGGCGTGCAGGTGGCGCAACGCCAGCGCTATCTCCAACAGCGTCAGGTACACGCCCTGGCAGCAGGAGGGCGGGGGGGGGAGGGAGGGGGGTGAGGAGGCAGGTCAGGAGAGGCGAGTCACATCACAGCAGCATTAAAACGCATGAGCAGCAGAATAAGGGCAGCGCCAGGCACAGTTGCACACATCGCAACACCCCAACCCTGTATTGATCCCTTCCAAACACCACTACCAGGTCCACCGCCATCATCTCCACCCGCTAGGCACGCACCACCCACTCACCCGCATATCGACCTCCTGACGTACACCCTGACCCTCCTTCCTCGGGCTGCCCGCAACACCACCAGCAGCAGCAGCGGCAATAGTTCCGTTAGCAGCAGCAGCAGCACCAGCAGCGCCATTAGCAGTGGCGGCAGCAGCAGTGGCTGTCACGATCAGCACGGCGGGGAAGGTCCGGGCCGCCAGGGCATCCGCTAGAGATCCGCAGTCGCACAGCTCCTGTACGATTGCCGTACATATGGGAGATCCGCCGGTCTTGGGGTTCTTGGTGTCCAGCCGCCGCAGTGCAAAGCCCTCCGTAAGGCCCTCCGTCTTCTCCATGATCACATTGTCGTACACCGCAAACACCTGAGTACGGCAGCACCAGCAACAGCAACAGCAGTACGACACACACAGAAACCGTGTATGGAGGGAAGGCTACATGGAACATCACATATGATGAGAGCTGCCCAAAAAGCTCTCATCATCCACTTCTCGCGGTGGAAGTCAGCAGCAGCAGCAGACGGGGTGGAATGTACAGAGCCGCAGCTGCAGCCGCAGCCCGCAGCTGACCCGCCTAGGCATCATACCCCATGCTTCCTCCTCACCGGCAAGGTACCCCTCCACTCTCTTATCCCCTCTCACGGTGAGAGTGAGGGCTACTGACAACACCCCTTACCCTTTCTGCTGCTGCCCCACCCCAACCCCCCCACCTCTCCCACCCCACCCCCCACCTGCACGATGTTCACGTGGCTGACACTCCGCATGACGGCCAGCTCGGTGGCGTTGCGGAGCAGGTTGTGGCGGGCGCGAACCTGGGGGGGGGGGGGGTTGAGGTGGGGTGAGAGGTGAGGTGGGGCGAACAGGTGCATGCAGGTATGCATGGGCGGGTGCGATTAAGAGCCCGAGAGCCATGCCTCCCCATGTGCGTGGGCGTGTGTTTGCTATCAGGATTGTTGTGGGGAATGTGTGAGGATACGTGCCGCCCCCCCTGGGTGGCGGCTTGGGTGATAGTATGGCTGGAGCCCAGGCAAAGCACGCCGCAAGCAGAATGCCAGACTAAAGTACCCACAAGGGTGCGCGGAACAGCTGACGACACGAGAGAGCTCGTTGGAGCAGTCACCTGCCAGCCCTCCCCCTCCTGTGGGCTGCGCTTCACTTCTCACATCTCGTTCCTATTTCCCTCCCCCTCCCCCTCCCTCCAGTGTTTCTTTATTTTTACTCCCCCTCCCCCCCCACACCTCACAGCCCCCACCTGCTGAGACTCTGTGGGCAGCCCGGCGCCCCCCTCCCCCGGCAGCTGCTCCCCGTCGCTGCCGCTGCTGCAGGGCCTGCTGCTGCCTTGGCGCCCCGGGCCCTTCCGTGCCTGCTGCTGCTGCTGTCTCCGTTGCAGCTGCTCCTGTAGCTGCTGCTGCTCGGTTTCAAAGGCCAGCAGCGCCTCCTCCTGGTCCGCATCCGGCATCTCCATGAGCTGGGGAGAGAGACGGGGTGCAGGGAGTGGGGATGGAGGGATGACGGGCGGGATGGAGGGAGAGAAAGAAGGGGGGCAGGAGGTAGAAGGGGAGCAGTATGACGGGATGAGACAAGGGATCCCCAACAGTCGCCCTCCGAGCCACGGGAGGCTCACCACCACCAGCTGCTGGCAGTGGCCCTCCCGCCCTCCCTCCTCACCCCCTCCCTGCTCCCTCCCCCTCTGCTACCAACCATACAACACTCACAAGGCACGCTAACCCAATTCCACAGTCTGTTGCAGTACACGCACCCCCTCCCAAGGGGTCTGGGTGGGGGTTTTTTAGGTTGGCAGGGACAGGGCACAGGATCGAGGACGGGTGAGCCATCGCGCCCCTTGCGCGTCCGGACGGGACGGCTTCTGAGCTGCACAGACGGTGTACGGGTTCAGCGGGGTCTGTTTCCGGCTTAGTTTTTGTTTTTTCAGGCATGGTAGGGTTGGGCCACGGGCCCGGTATGACAACGCGGAGCTTCGTCGGACTCCTACGGAGGTTTTTCTTTAATTTTCAACAAACTTGCACACCTGTTTTCAACCCCGGTTGGGGCTCCCTATTTGCTCAGGGATTCACCCAGGGGGGACATGCCCGTGATCCAATGTAATGCACCAGCCTTCCAACTTTGTCCACCGCTCCACACATCCACAGGCATCTTCACAACCTTCACGCATCCCCCATCAGCCACTACCTGCCTAGCCATACCCGCTACATGTCTCTAACCTCCCCTTCCCAGTTCATGCACCCTAGGCGGTCCCCATCCATGCTGACCCCTAGGCTTGGTAGTGATGTGGGGATCCGGGACCGGACCGCACGCTGCTGCCATCCCTGTCTTCCTGTCACACTCCCTCTCACCTATCTTGTACCCTTCCGCCCATTCCTGTCCCCATGCGCCCCCAGGCCTTGTCGTATTCCGCATCCCGCACCACTATTAATTTTGCCCCTCCCCACTTATTCTTTCTTCCCTTTGCCGCGCCGCCGTGTCCATAGGAAACCCTACCACGCCATAATCGCATGTTTTTCCATTCCCGTCTTGCCTGATGACTGTTACTCACCACCTTCTTAACGCGCCCTGCCTCTCTTTCTTCCCTATTTTCCGCATATTGACAACCTCTTCCTACTGGACCTTGGACACGACCCTGGTGCGGCTATGTTGGTCTGCGCCTCCAATCCATCGGACCATGGCAACTGGCTTTCCCTCTCCAGGTAAGTTTCCCGTAACGCGTCTCGATAACATGTGTGCTCGTATACCCCATATGCGTGTTGCTTTGCATTTCGTGACCGGCGGCGCGGCGCATGTCTCCCTAGTTTTACCACGCAGCGCGGCTTCTCCCTCAAGTCTTCTCGGTTTACGGTAAGCAACGCTTCAGTAAGTAATTTGAGATGCGTGTCTTTAAAATAGTGTCTCCGAATGCACTCACTGCATGAGTCGGGATATGGGATTGGGACTTTAGTTGTTTGCATTTCTTATATAATTTTCCCCTCCACCCCCCCTCCCACCCCCTCCCACCTTGACCGCCACGGGTACCGTCCCCAGCAGCCCCCGCAGCACCACCCCGCTGGCCCCGTGCCCCAGCACCCGGGACAGCTGCAGGTCCTGAAGGCCCTCGGCAACACGGGCGGCGGCGTCGGCACTGCGCGGGGGCAGGGGTGTGCGGAGGGGAGGGAGAGGAGGGAGGGTCAGAGCAGGGGGAGCCGGGGGCGCGTGAGGGCGCAAGTGCCGTGAAGGGTGAGCCAGAGGGTGCAGGAGGGGGGAGCGGAATGCAGGCGTGAGGGGCCCTCCCTGCAGGCAGGTAGCGCCCTGGGAGCCGGGCCCCCTCCCACCCTCAATCACTCCCTTGCAAGCACACGCAACCGCAACCGCCACCACCCACCATAACCCCCGCAACTTCACCCCACCCAGTACCAGTACACCCCCCCAGTACCACCCACCATGCGCTGCTGTCCGCAATGTCCGACGCGCTGTTCCGCAGCTGCGCCAACACACTCTCCACCAGCGCACCCATCATCCCCCGCATGCCCCAGTTCTCATCCAGGTCATGCACCGTCATCATCGCCGGCTGCTGCTGCTGCTGCTGCAAGTGCAGCTGGTGGTGCGAGGTGGCCGACCCAAGCGGACCGCTCCCCGCACCTCCCCCCACTCCCACTCCCACTGCACCCAGGCTGCTGGCCAGGCCGCCCAGCATGACGCGGCCGTTGGAGGGCGGAGTGCCGTCAGGGAAGGGTGACCCGTGGGTCGCGAGGCCCGCTCCCCCGCCGGCCATCATGGAGTACTGCAGCACGCCCGACTCCAGCTGCGTGTGGGAGCCGGTGGGGCCCAAGCTGACGCCGCTGCCCAGGGGGGAGAGGGGCCCGCCGGGGGCGATGCTGCAGCCGCCGGGGCCGCAACCGCCGCCGCCGCTGGGTATGCCTGATGCGGCTCGGGTGGCGGAGGTGGCTGGAGTGGGGTGGGGTGGGGGCGGGGTAAAAGAGAATACCCAATGGGGTGGGTGGGGTGGGGAGTGGGTTGAAGCGTTTGTGGGAAGCAGGAACATCGACTTGGACACGGTTGGCTCCTCACGCCAGCATCATCACCTGCAACCCTGTACTGCACGGCACTCCCCTTACCCGCGCATGCCCAACCCCTCACCTACACAGCCCCGCACACCGCCCCCTCCTCGCCCTCATCACCATCACATATTTAATTTTTTTACCCCCCTCCCTCCGCCCCCCCCGGCGCGCCACTCACCCTCCCCCGCCACACCCCACTCCAGGTCCATGCTCCTCCGCGCATCCGAGCCGCGCCGGACGGGGGAATCCTTCCGACTCGACCTCTCGCGGAACAGCCCCAACCTCGACTCCCTTCGAGGATGAGCCTGCTGCCCTTGCTGCGCCTGCATCTGCTGCTCCAGCCCCCCTCCTCCTCCACCGCCGCCTCCTCTTCCATTGCTGCTGGCTTGCCTTGCAAACGGCGTGTACATCGATTGCTGTTGCTGCAGCTGCGGCTGCTCCCCTCCTGCCCCTGCTCCTGCGGCAGCGGTGGAGCCTCGCCCGTAGCTGAGACGACGCCGGGAGGAGTTGGGACTGAGGCCAGGTGGGTGGGGATCCCCTGCCGCCCCGCCGCCCGCTTGCGGGGGGTGCTGCTGCTGGCGCGTGAAGGGACTGGCTGGGGGGTGGTGGGAATGGTGGTGCTGCAGGGAGGGGCTCTGTTGCAGAAGGCGGTTGAAGGCGGTTGCGCTGGCGGTTGGGGCGGTGCTGTAGTCGTACGGCGCGGTTGACCGGGCGAGGGAGGAGCAGGGGATGGACATGTAGGAGCCGGGCACCCCAGCGCGGAGGGTGCTGAAGTCGGAGGCTGGGGGGGGGGTAAGGAGGAAGGAAGGAGGGAGGGGAGGGGAGTCATACCCGGTGCGAACATGGCAACGAGAGGGGGAGGGTGGGAGGCAGGGAGGAGGGGGCGACACGGGCGTGTACGGGCAGGGAGGAGGGGGCGACACGGGCGTGTACGGAAAGGCTATGAGAGATTGCGTTGGTAAACCACACATAACCGCCCCAGGCTCACCTAGCTCGGGCGACCTCAGCTTGTGCCGTACAAGCCCCATCAGCATCTGCATGTGTCGTACAACCATGAGCGCCACAAAACACATGCACACGCACGTCAATAGGAAAAGGCGCGACAGGAAACGCGTACAGGAACAAAAGCCAAGCACCTGTTAAGATGGAAGGGGCAAGGAGGTAGGGGTGTGGGGATGGAAGCCAAGCTCAATGCATGCTTCAGCGCGCCGCCTCCATCATGCACTCACCCCCACCCCCCCATACCCCATGCACCCGGCCGCACCCCCCAGCCCCCCCACACACCCCCAACCCACCATGCCCATCAGCTGTCCGCAGCTGCCCCGCACCGCCGCCAGCAGCGCAGCGGGCATGAGCGCGGGGAAGGCCAGGTACACCCCCAGCACGCACCCGCCCTCCGCCACCTCCATGCACATCAGAACCAGCGAAGCCGCACCCCCCGCGGGAACACGACCGCCGCCCAGGATGCCGCCGAGTGAGGGGCTGTCGCCGCCACCAGTGCCGCCGCCGGCGTTGTGAGCACATCTGCCGCCGCCGCCGCCGTAGTAGCCGTTACCTGTGACGTTGAACCGGCTGCTGGCGCCGCCGGCGCTAGCTGCATTGCTGTAGCTGTTGCCCCAGGGGACCCCGCCGCCGCTGTTTGCGGCGTTAAGGGGGTGATGGTGGGGGCCGCCGCCGCCGCTACCCTGGTGGCCGCTGCCTGCCTTCATCGCCGCCATCAGCATGCAGACGTCACGCGACGGCTGCCGTACATCCGCCACGTGACGAGCCGTATCATGTACGACAATACCACCGGGGGTGTACACGCCGCCGCCGCCGCTGGTGCCCACTGACGGCGGCGGCGCCGCCGCGCCCGCTGCCGTCGCCACTGTTACCGTCGCCGACGCCGCCGCCTTCACATTACTCGCTACCAGTCTCGACAACAGCGTGTGCGAGAGTTGGAAGGCCTTGGCGGACAATGATAACACCGTCCCGGATCCGCCTGAGGGCCGGTAACCCGAGCCGCCGCCGCCGCCTGCGCCGCCGCCGACCGAGACGGAAGCCGCAATGGCGGCGGCGATCCGCGCGCGTGCGCCTTGCTGGTCGGTTTGCGGTGGGTAGTTGTTTATAACGACTCCGTTGTTGTTGTATCGCGGGTGATGATGCGGCGGTTGGGGTTGTTGTGGCCCGCCGGCGCCGCTGTCACTGTCGCTGCGCATGGGGCGCGCGAGGGCGAGCTGCGCGGAGGAGTAGCGCAGGGTGCGGCGACTGAGCGTGGCCACGGTGATGGACCTGGGCGGGTGGCGGAGGAGGAGAGGGAGGAGAGGGAGGAGAGGGAGGTAAAGAGGACGACACTGGGGCCTGTGGTAGCTTGGTAAGAACGGTAAAGGGGAAACCAAATGACCATCGCCCTAGGGAGACTGGAAGACAGGAGAGGGACTGGCGAAGATAGGGGGATAGGCCCTTGCACGCTTCCCTTTCCCAACCCTCAGCTCATCTAATTCCCCAACCTCACTTGGCTCTTGGCAGCACAGAGCCCTCTTGGTCGCCTCCACCGCCGCCGCCTCCGCCGCCCCCACCGCCGTGAGATGTCGACGCGCCGCCGCCGACGACCGCCGACGACGACGCGTACAAATCGTACGACAGACGGCTCGCCGCCGCTGCGGCGGCGGCTGCCGCCGCCGCCACTGCCTTCGTTTCCGGGTACAACATAAACCCAACGGGGGATTCCGGATCCGGAACGAGCGCTGATTGTACGGCAGCGTCACACAAGTAACGCCAGCGCACGTGCTGCGAGATGGCAGCATTAATGCCCGAGACCAGTGAATGCAGGTGTGTGCTGGCGGCGAGGCGACGCAGTGCGGCGCACAGCCACGCGATGTAGTCAGGGCCGGGCACAGCAGCTGCAATGACGAGGGAGGCTGAGAGGGAGAGCTGGTCTAGCGCGGTTGGGCTGCGGAGGAGCTGCTGCATGGCTTTAGTGCTGCCGCTGCAACGGTTACCGTTACCGTTGGCGGTGTTACTCGTCACTGGCTTCTTATCATCGCTTACGTTGCTGCTGCTGGTGTGGTTGTTATTGTTAACGTCCTTGCCAGCAGAGGCAGCAGCAGCAGCGATCCAGAGAACCCCAATGGTACGACTTCCGTATGTCAACGGCAGGGCTGCGAAGCTAACCGGCAACACCGCCCCTGCTCCTCCCGCCGCTGCACCTCCCGTTCCTGCACCGCCGCCGCCGCTAGTGGACAACACGGCACGAAGCAAAGCGGCGTCGGCGGCGCAGTCCGCTGGGATCAGTTTGGCAGCGGCGGAGGGGGCCGCCGCTGCTGACGGAGGCGACTTGCCGTACGACGATGATGGCGCCGAGGCGGGTCGTACGGCAGCGCCGCCGCCACCACTGGAGGTTTGCTGCTGCTCCGCTGGCGGGTGGTGGTACATGGCGGGGCGCTGTGTGGTGGCAGGGTGGCGGGATGCGGATGAAAAGAAGAGGGCGGGGAGAGAGCGGGGGACGAGGCGGGACGGGTGGGGAGCCGGGGGAGTCACGGGGGCGCGGATGGAGCAGGAGGAGCAGTAACAGTAGCCTGGGTATCCTTTTTCCTTCTCCCCTCCTCCTCCTTCAGCCTACCTGCCCTCCCATCCGCCCCCCCCCCCCCTCTCACCTTGCCAGCTACCGCCTGCTCCATCAGGAGCGGAGGAGCCGCACCCGCCCCTCCCATGCCCTTGTCGAGACGTGGGGAGCCATTCGGAAACAACGCTGCGGACGCGCTTTCGCTTCCAAAACGCGGCGAAGAGGCCACGATATGTGCAGCTGCGCCAGATGCACCCGCAGCAGCACCGCAAGGCTGGCTTTGTACGGATATGGCGTACGAGCGGCCTGGAAGGGTCGTTTGGTCGTACCCTTGCACGGCATTACCGGGTACGGCACTTGCTGACAGCTGGACGAGATACTGAGTTGTGGGATCGGCTTCGTCCTGTGTTAGGCCGAAAAGCCTGGGGGTATTGGTGCAAATAGAAGGCAACGGCAGCAGGATGAGTTGCAACGGAGGAAGGATTCGTATAAGCGGAGCAGGCAAAAAGATAGCTTGATGACTGGAGCACATTTGATGTGATCAACCCGTTAAAGGTACAGTGCCATCGTTATGTCAAATGAATGTTAGGAAGCCAAGACAGGCTCAACTACCGAATGCTATATGACCGACAGGCTTCCGGACTTCGCCTTTCCAGAATGCAGATCAACCTCTCCCCTCCCGCATATGCCAAGTCAGATGGCTGCCCTTATAACCAACTATGCTGACCTTACTACCGCTGTGCCGCCCAGATGCTGTCTAACGATGGATGTCAAAAATGGCGCTCGCCCTTCGAAGCCGTCACCCTCAATGGCAGCCAGCGCTCTCTGTAATGTCTGAAGGTGTGCCTCATCGTACCCAAATGGATAAAGCTGCACCGCTTGAGGCGACTGCAAGGCAGAACGGAGTGATTTACCGGTATGCATTCAGCAGCGGCCAAAAGGAGCAAGTGCGGTCAGCGGAGTAATAAAGAACACCCCCAACGGAATGATGCCGTCAGCTATTGGGAAACAGATGCAAGGATTGAGGAACAAAAAGCTTGCGGCCACGTCGGAAAATACTTGCAGGACTTTTAAGGAATCCACTCACCTTCAGGACCTGCGTTGTCGCCTCATTACCACTAAAACAACAAGATAAAAAGCCCATTGTTAGCCTTGAGCTCCGATAAAGTGTTTGTAAGGCCAACAAGTACCGTGAGAGGCCCTAAGCAGCCATCCTCGAATAACAGTGCTTTTACACAATTACTTCCTAGCACTTGAACCTCAAAACTCAGGGTAATGAATGGATTACGCCTCTTGGCGTTGAGTGCAGCAGCACGCCTCTAGGTGATTCACCACAGGCCATAGTCAAGCCAAAGTCATGGGAATCAAAACTAGTACGCATGAGCGACAGTGCTGATTGGGGCGGAGAAACCTTTGTCGATACAGATTCGTACAGTCCACATGCTCCGAAGCCAGCTAGGCACTTTGCACCGAAAGGGCACGTTCACATGGTAGTAACAACACACTTTACCAACAGTAGTGCCACAAAACGTTGAACATGATATGGCAGCTGACAAAATGAGGCATTCTGTTTATACAGTCTATTCTTTATGACACCCGATAACAGCGCGATCTCCAACGCTGCTGCTCAGGCCGCACCAATGATGCGGTTTGTAGCTTCAAGCTACCATTTCGCGCTTCCAGCTACGGCAAATGGTGTGCTGTTATCAAATCGACGGCATCGTACAGGTACAGCTATAGTCTGCCGCTAGCCACATTGTTAGCAGGGCCGTTAGCATCTTTTCTATTGCCGGGGTGGTAGGTAAGGGGATCTTGTGCGGTTACTTTGGCACTCGCATAACTAAAGTCTCAGTTGTTTCGTGAGTTACTTATCCTTTAGTAACGCCAAATCGACCACGATCGCTGCTAATTCCTTGCCGATGTATAGCATTCGTTCGTATAGGCGTCTCTGAGTCGCAGCCCGTAAGACCAAAATCGAACCCCGGCTGAAGTCTCTGTCCATGTCAATACCTGCGTTGCAAAGTCACGTCGGAGGGGCATTGTGCTGGGCAATGCATCTAGTCCCAAGCTGATAGTCCCAGCCAGCGGAAGCTGTTGCAACTCTCTCTTAAAGGACATAGCAATCCTCTCGTTCTCCAAGACTTCTGCCCCCCCGCCGTTGTTTCCTCTTTACCCCTTCCTCCGCCGATGTGCGCCCCCCCCCCCGTGTCACACGGGCACCAACATATAGTTGTAGGCTGGGCACAGGGAATAGGGGTCCTAGTTCTTCATTCCTCTTTCTTTTCTCCCATGTGTGTTAATACAGATCCTGCAGCTGCAGCGAGCGCCGCATTTAACCAAGGTAGCATTCATGTACAGTGCCCCCTCCGGTGCCGCTGTCTTCTGGGAGAGTCTGTCATGCTGATTGCGCCTAGATTATTAAGCTTCCAAGCGCCGTGAACCATTCCGGTACCCTAGGTTCAACTTTTAAGTGTGCGTTGGTGTCCGGCAGGACTTTGCATGGGTTACAAGGAACCTAGGCTGCTGTAACTACTGCTACAGGGGACACCACCTCCTCAAGCTGTGGCACAAGGAAGGGTTGGCACAGGGATGGGCGAGCAGCTGGAATAGGCATCAGGCGTATTGCGGTGGTGTGGAACATATACGGTGCGCGGCCTATCACATGTATCCAACGATGCTCGTAACAATGTTCATGTTGCTTGCTAACGAATTAGTAACGACCCAGATGGGTAAAACACAAAGTACTGGTTTGTCCGTTGACCGTTGCCGTGGTTCACGCTTGCCGTATGGGGCTAGCTAGCAGGCTTAGTAAGTTTTGTTACCTCGCTTTTAGAACGGAAAGGTATCTGCAGCGTGCTGGTTAACACAGTCTCCCCGCCCTATCTAATGTGTGTGCGCGCACTCGCAGCGCACGCCAGGACCCAGCGTGTTAGCACACCCGCAGTTTTCCTTAGATCCTCAAGACTGGGCGCTTGTTGCCTTGTCCAGGTCTGTTGTTGGGAATAGGGAAGGCTATCATCGCATCCCGCTTGGACTCCTGGTGCAGTCCCTGGCGTGCCTAGCGCTTGACTGCTATTCCATGCCTCACATTAACCGAATACATTTCGTTGGAACGCTTGGAGCAGCGAAACCTGAAGTTGCACCCTCGTGGCCATGGCGAGTTATGCTCGCATACCCTACTACAATATTATAGCTTCTGGGATCCTTAGATCATAGCCTACATACAGACGTAGAGAAACTATCAAGCGTCTGTTGGCCTTCCCTTTTTCAGCAGGCGTCATCCGCCTTGTTGCGTCGTTCGGTTCCGCGCGTCCTCGCGGCTGGCAGCGTTTTCGCCAAGCTTGGAACCCGGGTGCGTGCATAGCGAGCAGCCAAAAGGACTCATTGGCCAGCGACATGGTTGCTGCTCCCACTGCAGCCGTCTCATCATCGGCTTCCCATACCAGCCCACTCCGGCCAATGAAGCTTTGTATCGCCCAAAACCCGTTCCCTTTACCTCCCCCCAAACCCTGCAGGGCTTCGGCAACCTGAACGCCGGAGGAGCTGCCTCAGCCTCATCCACTCAAACCGCGACGTTAACATCATCATCATCATCATCAACCATGACCGACTCCAATACCTCCGCCGGTGCTGCTTCCGCTGCCGCTGCTGCTGCCAAGCTTGATGCCCTGCGTGCCGCTATGCGTGAGGCTGACGGCGGTCGCGGTGTGGCAGCCTACCTGGTTCCCACCGAGGACCCCCACATGAGCGAGTACCCGCCCGCCTGCCACAAGTACCGGGAGTACATCTCAGGGTGGGTTGGGACCCCTCTGGTTGGGACCCCTCAGCTCTTCAGACTCCTAAACCCTTCAGCCCTCAAAACGAAAGGCCCAGGGAAGTCAGGAAAGGAAGCTAGGAGGCAGTATGGCAAGGCTCCACTATTGGTGCTCCACCATAGGCCGAGGACGGGGTACCCATACCATATGCGGTGTGGGCTGCTAGGCACCGGGGGCACAGCAGTCGCAAGCAGGTTGCCGCAGGCGGAGCAGGCGGGAAGGAGGCGGAGGTGTGGGGCGGGAAGAGAGCGGCCTAGCGCATGGGTGCATGCGTGCATGCTGGCGCGGGGCTGCATGACACTTCGGCACGGCCCCCAGCCCCACCCCGCTCCCCCTCCCCCCTCTCCCCCTCCCCTCCCCCTCCCCCCCCAGTTTCACGGGCACTGCGGGCACAGCGGTGGTCACAGCGGATGCGGCGCTGCTGTGGACGGATGGGCGGTACTTCCTGCAGGTGGGGGGGGGGGGGGGGGTGGGGGGGGCAGAAGTAAGGAAATTTGTTCGAACCGACGATCTGTATGACAAGGTGTCACCAGGGGGTGCAGCCATGGTAGCCCTTGGTGGGGGCGGCTGGGCATGTTGGCTCGTGTAGGGATCCGCACCCTGGTTGGTCCACCACCCGGTCCTCCTCCCCCCCGTGTCCCTCCTGCCCTCCTAGCCACCCCACTGCTTCCTTGACCCCCTCCCCCCCTTCAGGCTGCCTCCGAGCTGCCGCCCCAGTGGTCCCTCATGAAGTCCGGCACCCCCGGCTGCCCGGATGTGAGGGGGGGTGGGTGGGAGGGGGTCAAGCGGCAGGGTGCCACGATACAAGTGGGGGCTGGGGGCGTGTGGTTGTTGGAGACTCCCAGGAGTGACAGGAACGGGTCTGTGTCCAGTCCTAACCCCCTGTTTCACCCCTATTTCGTCATGCTCTCCCTCCCTCCCCGTGTGTCATTATCCCCCTAACTCCGGCCCCCTCCCCCCCTCCCTCCGCCCCACTTCAACCCCGCGTTCCTCAGTTGGAGGACTGGCTGGCTGCCAACCTGCCCGAGGGCGCGCGGGTGGGTATCGACCCATGGGTCCACACCGTCAACTCGGTGCGCACGCTGCAACGCAAGCTGCAGGAGGCGGGAAAGGTGGGGGGAGGGGGGTGAATGCGGGTGTGGTGGTGGGTGATGGGCGAGGAAGCTGGGGGAGGAGGTCGAATAGGGATCACGAGTGAACGTTGAAGGGGGGGTAGAGCGCGCATGCGGTGCCATGCATGCATCCGCGTGTCGATGAGGTGTCCTGTGCTTTCGTCCTCCTTCTCCGCCAACCGCCCTGCTCGACCCCTGCCCCCCCCCCCCCCCTTCCCCCCTCCAGGTTCTCGTCCCGCTGCTGGACGACGGCAACCTGGTGGCGCGTGTGTGGGGCTCCGAGCGCCCGCCCGCGCCGCCCGCCCCGCTGCGTGTGCACCCGCTGGCCTGGGCAGGGGAGGGGGTGGCGGGCAAGCTGGGGAAGCTGAGGGAGCAGGTGGGGTGGGGGGCAGGTGGGGGGGGCCAGGTGGGGAAAAATTATATAAAAGTGTGGGGGCAGGTAGGGGGGGATGGAGGAGATGGGTACCGGTAGTTCGTGCAGGGGCGGGGGAGGGAGGTGCCGTAAAGGGGGTAGTCTTAGGGGCAGGGGAAGGGAGGGACGGGGTAAAGGAGGACACGGAGTTGGTGTGGGCACGCAGGTGGTCTAGGGTTTGTGTTGAGCCTTGCCAAAGTTCACATCCCCCCCGAACCCCCTCTTCCCCCTTCCTCCCCCTCCCCCTCCCACCCAGATGCGCTCCTCCGGCGCCTCCGCTCTGCTGGCCTGCTCGCTGGACGAGGTGGCCTGGCTGACCAACACGCGCGGGGCTGACGTGGAGCACAACCCCGTGGCGCTGTCGTACATGCTGGTGGTACGGCAGGCGGCAGCGGGGGGGGAGCAGCAGCAGGAACAACAAGGTATGTGTGGGAGGAGCGGAGTGTGCATGAGTACCCTGGCCAAGGGTACCGGTGGAAGCGCTCTGTATGATGAAGCTGCTGAAGTCCCCCACCCCCGCACAGAAAGCGCCGCAAGTTGTGAGTGTGATGGTGTGCATTAGGAATACTGGCCGCGAGTAGGAACGTACTGTGATTGCCGGGAGGTGAAGTCAGGAAAGCTATGCGTGTGAGGGTGTGAGTGTGGGTATACCTAATGAGCAAGCAGGGTCATGGCAGGGTCATGGGAGGGTAGGTGCGCTGCGCTGGGTGGTGGCTGGAGGTGGGAGCCACCCACATGCAGGTGTCAATGTGTGTAATTGTTGCACGGGGGGGGGGGTGCCGTAACGAACCGTAGCGGCGGAGTTTACTAGCCACATCGCCTGGTGGCTTGACCCCCCTGACACCCCCACCTGATACCCCCACCCGATACCCCAACCGCCCCTCTGCAGGGGCTGGGGAGTGTGGCGGCAGTGCGGTGCTGTATGTTGACGGTGGCAAGGTGGGGCAGCAGGTGGCGGAGCACCTGGCGGAGGCGGGGGTGCAGGTAAGGGGGAGCAGGGAGGGGACAGGGGAGGAGGGTTTTAGAGCCAGGGGGGGGGTTGGCTTGTGGCGTTGCTGCGCGCCCCCTGGTACTACATCCCATGGTGATTTGGACGGAGCAGGAGGGGGGAGTCCTGGTAGTGGGGTCGTGGCGGAGGCGGCGAAAACAGCAGATTATAGCGCTCAATCACTGCTGGTGGGTTGCCACTACCTGCACCCGATGCCCGGTCACTTGTTGAACCCGTCTTATTTCCCTTCTCCTCTTCACCACTCCTCTTCCACTGACAACACCCTCCTCCCTTCCCCTTTTCTCCAAACCCTGCCTCCCCCCCGGCCCCCGCCCCCCCGCCCCAGGTGAAGCCCTACGAGGCGATGCTGTCCGACGTGGCGGCACTCGCGGCGGCCGGGGGGCGGCTGTGGCTGGATCCAGCCCGCGTGTCGTACGCCGTATACCAGGCGGCAGCGAAGGGTGAGAGGAGCGTGGTGACACGTGTGTGTAGTTGAGTAGAACAAGAGCAAGCAATTGGGAGAGGTTCGCATGTGAACCGCGAGTACAGGCAGAACAGAGGTAACCAAACCTGAAACGTAACGCAATAACTGCTTAGATAGCTGGTGCTGGATGTAAGAAGAGTGGCGGGTTGACGACGCATGTCGGTGATGCTGATGGTGTCGGAAAAACTAAAATACAACCGAGTGCCTAGCCCGCTGACCGACTCAACGCCGGGAGCCCCCGCTCTGGTCACGCAGGCGAGACACCACAATGCTGTGCATGCGTGCTTGCAAACGCGCATTGCGTACCTGCGAGCAAAGACGCCGTAGTAAGCACCAGTACCAGCAGCCGCAGTAATGCGAGAGATGCCATGCGCAGAAACATGAACCACAGCGAGGCAAAGGGGACAGAGTTAGAGACAAAATGAACCTATATCGAAAGTGCAAAATGTGGTGACACGTGTATGTGGTTGTGTTTCTTCTCATGTCGTACACACACGTGCCGAGTACGTCATGATTGGTACCGCAGGGCGTTCGACTGGCATACCCCTCGTGCCAGCCCTCGCAGCCCACCCGAAGCCCTGTGCCCCCTTGTGTCACCTCATATCCCCATTGTCTTGCCCCAACCTGTGGCTTCCTATGGTTCGGTATGGTCTTTGACCCCCGCATGGCCCCTCGCAACGCCGCTGTGTTTTGTGATGCGCGTCCGCGATCCAAACCCCGCCCCTCCCTCCCCTGCCGATGTGTTTCGACGCGGCTCCCCTGGCTAACCCTCCATCCCTCCTCCTCTTCTCTCCCCCCCTCTTCCCCCCGCTCGCCTCCCCGCTCCCCAGCTGCCAGCGGTGATGCCGCCCCCTCCGAGACCCCCCGCAAGCGGCCCCGAGGGGAGCAGCAGGAGGGCCCCGCCACTGCTGCAGACGGAGACGGCGCTGCCGCCCCCCCTGCACCCGCTGCCGCCCCCAAGCCCTTCAAGCCCGTGGAGCTGCCCTCCCCAGTCACAGCAGCCAAGGTAGGGTGGGGGGTGCGGGGTGTGGGGTGGCTGGCAATGAGGATGCGGGGTAGGGTAGGCGAGGTGCGGGGTCGGAGCTGCAACACAGTGCTCCCTCTCACCATCTCCACCCCCACCCGCTCCACTCTCTCCCCCCTCTCCCCCCCAGGCCATCAAGAACGCCGCCGAGCTGGCCGGCATGCGTGAGGCCCACCTGCGGGACGCGGTGGCGGTGTGCCGCTTCATGATGTGGCTGGAGGAGCAGATTGGCCAGGGGAAGACCGTTACGGAGGTGGAGGTGGATGCGGCAATCACCGGGTTCAGGTGTGTTAAAATAACTGGCCGCGAGGCGAAACGTACTGTTTTGGGAGGTGTCAAACACATGGGTCGCGGCGGGACGTTGGCGGCAGCAGCAGTGGCGCGGAACACACTCCAATAGCTTTACTAGAGCCATGCTTCCCCTTCCCACCTCTTCTCACCCCCTTTCCCCCCTCCCAAACACACACACACCCACACACACCCATGCAGGTCCCAGCAGCCGGGGTTCGTGGAGACCTCCTTCGGCACCATTGCGGGGGCGGGGCCCAACGGAGCCATCATCCACTACCGGTGAGCCGGGCTGGCCTTGCAGGGGGGCGGGTGGGGGGTGGTGGGGAAAGGAGAGAGGGGCCGTGGGGAGAGGTGGAGTAGGCAGGGAAAGGGGCGGGGCAGGCGGTGTCGAGGTACGGGGCGTACGACCACGTGGAGTATCGTGTGAGGGCTTTCCCCCATCTCCATTAGCACTGCTGCTCCTCCGCCCCAACCTAAACCCCTCCGCGCCTTTCTCCTCCCTCTGTCGTCTTGTTTGCCATTCTCATTCAACACATCAGGTACCCTTATTTTCCCCCTTCCCCCCCCTCCGCCCCCAGCCCCCAGCCAGGCAGCTGCCGTACCGTGGACGGCTGCACGCTGCTGCTGCTGGACAGCGGGGGGCAGTACGACTGCGGTACGACAGACATCACCCGCACCGTACACACGGGCCGCCCCTCGGACCACCAGCGCAGGTGCTTCACACGCGTGCTGCAGGTGAGCGGGGATAGGGGGCGTGTGTGGTGGTGCGATGGGGCGCGTGTATGGAGGGGAAACGAGTAGTATTGTGAGGGGTTGGGGCTCACTCTTCGTCCCCATATCACAACATGCCATATTAAAACACACACGCTTTCCCCCTCCTTTTCCCCCTTCCTTCCCCCATCCTCCCCCGCCTCCCCCTTCCTTCCCCCTCCAGGGCCATATCGCACTGGACTCCGCCATCTGGCCCGAGGGTACCCCGGGCGCGGCTCTCGACACGCTGGCTCGCACCGCGCTGTGGCGGGAGGGGCTCAACTACCGACATGGCACTGGACATGGAGTGGGAGCGGCGCTGTGCGTGCATGAGGTGACAGAGAGGGGGGAGGGGGGGTGCAGGGCCTTTGCGGCTGGGCTTTGAGTCATTGGGTTGTGTCTTTTCCCAACCCTTATCCAGTGGCTCAAAACACACACACATGCGCACGTGCATGCACCCTCCCACCCCCTACCCCCCACGGGGGTATCATCGCCATCGTATCACTCCAGCCCTGGTGCCAGATATCCACCCCCGCTGACCCCCCCTCCCACCCCTCCCCACAGGGCCCCCAGTCCATCTCCTCCCGCTACCACGTAACCACCCCCCTCGCCCCCGGCATGGTGTGTTCCAACGAGCCCGGCTACTACGAGGACGGCGCGTTCGGAGTGCGGATCGAGAACCTGGTGGTGGTGGTGGAGCGGGAAACGCCGTTCAGGTGGGGGGGTGAGGGGCGGGGGAGCGTGTGTAATTGGAGCTGGTTTCACCCAGGTCGCGTTGTAGCACCGTACATGCGAAACCCATACACAATTGACACTTTGTCGTACACCCCTCCTCCCACCCTTCCTACCCACCCTCCCACAGGTATGCCGGCCAGCAGTATCTGGGCTTCGAGCGCCTCACGCTGGTGCCCATGCAGGTGGGTACTACGACAGCATGATGTATTTTTGCAATAGAAATTGCATTATCATTTTCAGTTTTCCGGCAGTGTTACATGCATTACGGCAGTAGCACGTCGGGCCCCCATCCTTGGCCTTAACGGCACCCATTGTGTTCCACTCCCTGCACCCCACTCACTCTCCACATACTTCATGCCCCCCCTCCCTTTCCCCCTTCCTTGCCCCTCTTTTCCCCCCCCCCCCCCCCAGGCCAAGCTGATGGACCCCGCCCTGCTGAGTCCCTCCGAGGTGGCCTGGGTGGACGGCTACCACCGGGAGATCTGGAACAAGCTGGCGCCCAGGCTGCAGGTGGGGAGGGGGCGGGGGGTGGAGGGTGGGGGGGTTAGGTAGGTAGAGCTCATGCAGGTGGGCGGCCGCCCAGACCGACTAGGGCGCGGGTGGGGGGGGCTGTGGGCTACATGCACGCCGGCCAACAAACCCACTCAGCACACACACAGCAGTGCAGGTGCGCGTCCAGCCGCCAGCTGCTCTCACCGCTTGCCCGGGACGCTGCTACCAAACCCTCTCCTCCCCCTCTTCCCCATCCCTCCTCCCCCTGCCCTGTTCCAGGACCAGCCCGATCTGCTGGAGTGGCTCCGACGCAACACGCGACCCCTGGAGGAGCAGCTGGGGGGCGAGCAGCAGTAGGGGGGCTAGGGGGTGGGGGCGGTAGGGGGGTCAAAGGCCATAGGAACCACAAGTCAGGGCAGTAGGGGTTGCGAGCGGGGCGGCAGTAGGGAACGGAAGGACTACGACAGGGTCCGAGGTCACTGAGCGGTTGGAGGAGATAGGGACAAAGCGGGTGGTGATGGTGGTAAGAGTGCCGCTGGCTGATATGGGTGCGGCCACTGCGTGTTGTGTGTGCCGGCAGGATAGGATGTTGTTTGTGCAAAGTGACCCGGACGAGGAGAGGGGAAACAAGCAAGCGGCGTGGTATTGGTTTTCCCATCCATCCATGGTGACTTGCTGGACGGGGTGAAGAATTGAAACAGGTAGGGAGTGGGGGCCGCACGTTGTGCCAGGCGGCGACAGTGAAGGAGAGAGAAGAAGAAGAAAAGGAGGTGATGTGTGGAACGAAGCAGCAGCAGCAGCAGCAAAGGGGCGGAGAACTGCATGTGTACCAAGTTACATGCGTGGGAGGGCTGGATTGCCTCGGTGTGGTGCTTTGGTGGTCGTGCTGCAGTGAAGATGTTGTGACCGGGTTCATGGGGGTTCAGAGGGGAGCAGCAGCAGCAGCGGTGGTGGTGGTGGGTATAACACGAGGCGGCAGTTGTTGGCGACTACCGTTGCCGCCTCTGCAGGTGTTGGGGTTGGCCTGTTTGCTCGCGGTGTCGGTTGCCACCGTCGCCATACATGACTCGAGCGTGTGTGTTGTGTTTCCATATGTATACGGCCCGAACGGTAGGGGCTTGGTCGCGGTGCGAAGGACACGGCGGTGCTGCATGTTTCATGGTGTCCATTTGTTTGTGTTTTTCATGGCCCATTCCAGAATACAAGGAATGCGCCATGGGAGGCGCAACAAGGCAGACAGTATGACCCAAGTGCGCCTGAAAACAAGTATTGCATTCCACGGCGTCACATGATGGTATGTGACCGAGGCTGAGTCTTCCTTGCATAGCCCGACCCCTCATCATTGCCACCCCACAAGACATCTCCACGGATATCCATGGCAACCCATCCGCCAAAGTGTTCAGTACACCTCTAAACACACAAACAAGCAATCGCAAACACACGTGTCAATGTCCCAACAGGTCCAAACAGCGTCAGACAGACAAAGCCGTACCAACAAAAGGCACGCGTCTCTCATGACGACCATGACAATGACCGTCAAAGAAGCAAAACAGGAGCCGTCCATTCCGCGCGGTATTGCAGCCTCTCATCTCCCCCCCCCGCCCCTCACACAACAAACACAACATACGGTTTGTACAACATGCAACCCCCACCCAACATAACACCCACCGCATGGCACCTCCCACAACCCCGGTTTAAAGTTTCTCCCTTCAAGCAACGCTGCTGCTGCTTCTGACAGGGCTAGGCATCCTTGGGGGAACCCCCACCGGCCCGCTGAAGCTGCTTCCTCACTCATCCGCCTTCGCCTCCTCCTTCTTCTCACCCTCCTTGCCCTCACCCTCACCCTCTTCGTCATCATCGTCCTCAGGCACATACTCCATTGCCACATCCCACCTGGGCAGGGGAGGAGGAAGGCAGCGCGAGGCAGTGCGAGGCGTGTAAGAGGCAGATGCAACACAGCAACAAGGGAGCAAGGGAGGGCACGCGATGCAGCAGAGGGTGCCCGCTCGACCTCCTCGCTCCCGTCCCTACCCAGAACCCCATTCGCTCCCTAACCCCTGCCCCCACGCTCCACCTGCCTCAAACCTGCTTCCGGAAACCCGCTCTCCTCATCCTCCTTCTTAACGCACCGTTAACCCGCCCGCCCCCAGCCCCCATGCCCTGCCTCCCCCCTCACCTGCTCCCCGGCGCCGCGAAGCTGACGTACTTCACGAACCGCATGAGCCCCTCGTCGCGCAGCACAAGGTTGAGTGTGTTGGCGGCGGCGTTCACATTGAGCACACCGCTCTCCTCGGCGTCAGCCTGCGGAGGGTGGGTGGGCGGGTGGGTGGTTGGAAGGAGAGACAAGGACATGAGTCGGGCTGCACTCCCCTGCAGCTGGGTACGAGTGGAATCAGTCGCATGTGGACACACGCTGCCTCCCTGCTTCACCCCGGCCCCCTCCACACTCCTTCACGCCCTACCCTCCTGCTTCCCCATGCTTTCCTCCCCCCCCAATGCTAGCTGTCCCCGCGCCCTCCCTCTCACGTTGACTCGGTACACCTCCGCTGCGTCCTCCTCGTCCGCTAGCAGGTAGGCCTCGAAGCCGCCCACCTCACCCGCCTGCAGGGAGGGAGGGGGAAATAGTGATATGTGCAGGGGGGTAGGGGTGGGGAGGTAACAGGCGAGGGCAGGCGGGGAAGCGGCGAGAAGAGCGGCAGGGAGGTCTAGGGGACATCGCACGTCAAGGTCGCCGGGGTGTATGTGTATGTGTGCCACACAGCACCCCCCCACGCCCACGCCCACCCCCGCCCCCTCCCCTCCCCCCCACCTGCCATGCCGCCGCAGCCTCATCCGTCGCGTCATCCACAAAGGTAAGCACCACATCCAGGCGCGGGTCGGTGGTGAGGATGCCGTAGTGGGCGACGGTGTAGTCCATACCTGCAGGCAGGAGGGGGGAGCGGGCGGGCGGGGGGGGGAGATGAGGGGGAACTGAGGGGGAGCGGGTTACAGGGCTGGCGTAGGGAGGTCGACAGGTTGTGGTTGTGGGAAGGCAACCGAAGCGCCATGGCTGCATGCTCCCTCCCTTCCCCTTCCCTCCTCCTCCCCTCACACCCTGCTTCCTTCCGCTTCTCCGCCCCCCCCCCAGCCCCCCTCCCCCCCATCTCTCTTACCCGGCCTGAACCTCCGCACCTCCCCCGTCTGCCCCAGCATGGTGACGCTGGTGATGGCTTTGAGCAGGCGGCAGAAGGCGCCGCTGCCCAGCAACTCCCGGCGCACGGTGTGCAGCAGGGAGCCGGCGCCTGGGGCCAGGGGGGGAGGCAGGGAGGGAGGGGGGAGTGTACAGAGGGAGAAACTGACGAGCTGGAGGTGGAAGGGGGTACTGATTGGGAAGCCTCCCTCCATGGGGTTCAGGATAGGGGGGAGAAGAAGTGATGAGAGGATAACAGGAGGGGAAGGCGCGGTGAGTGGAGCGCGGTGATGTAGAGGAAACCCCACGCAAACACACTCCCGTGCGTCCCCTTCCCCAACAGGACACCGCCTCCTCTGCTTCTACTCCCAGTCCCAGAGGACGTGGATGCCCCTCACACACCCCAACAACGCACACGGCGGCAGTACCTGCAGCGGCTCCCTCGGAGGTGGCTGCTGCTGCGGGCGGCGCCTCGCCCCCGGCAATGGTGGTGGGGGGGCTGTAGCGCAGGTAGCGCTGCTTGTGGGGGGGACCTGGGGACATGCAGGGGCGGGGGGTCGGGATCAGGGGGCGTTTTCGCGAGGCAGGGCAATGGGTGCGGCTGAGTGCGTCACCCCCGGCATATGCGTCTTTCCTGGGCCCCGCGGACGGACGCATCCTCCGACCACCCAGTAAGTCCCACTGCTGGGGGCGGCAGCACTCGCCACCCCCACCGCTACCTCCTCCACCCCACCCCCCACCCCCCGCTCACCCACGGGTGCCCATCCGTCTCTCACCCCCGCCGGGTACGCGGGCAGCTGCTTGTTACCCAGCTTGTCAGCCTTGTCCTCCGCCACACAGGCAGCCATGATCTGAGGTGCGAGGGGTAAGGTGGGGCCGGGAGAGGCGGAGTTGTGGCGGGGAGTGGTTCCGAGCGTATAGTTGCACTACAGTGTTGTAACCAACTGCTACCGAGCGGGACATGGGATTGCGACTCTGGCTTCATTTCTCAATCCTCATTTCCCCCTCCCTCCCCTCCCCCCCCACCTGCTCCGCCAGCCCCCTCTTGAGGAAGTTGTGCAGCTGCACCGACCCCTCCTCCGCGAACCGCTCCCGGATCTTGGGCCAGGAGGCCTCCGCCAGGTAGACCGGGTTCACGTAGCGTACCAGGAGCGCCAGGTCGTCGTCGGAGAGGGGGCCCTCGCCGCCTGTGGGGAGGGGGGGGCGGTTGGGTGGGGGAAAAAGAAATTCCAATGTGTGGTGTGATAGTGGTACAAGTTGCTGGCAAGCCCCTCCCATTATATCCCCATTTTGGGTGGGGGGAGGACATGAGGAGGGGAGGGGACAGGGGCTTTAGGAAGGGGTCTCCAGCATGGGAGGGAGCAGGGGTTAGGCCCTTCAGCGCTATACACACACACACCGGGCAATGTCAGTTTTTGTTAACATGCTACTCAAACACCGCATCGGCGCCAAACCCCCTCCCCCCTCACCCTGCACCGGCTCATGTCCTCCCGCCGCGTCCTCCCCCGCGCGCATCTGCAGCTGCTTCAGTGAGGCCTTGTCCGCGTCCTGCGGCGGTGCGGCCGCGTGGTACCAGCCGCTGATGGACATGCGCGGCTTGTCGGGCGAGAACACCTCCTGCACGCTGTGGAAGCTCACACCTGGGGGGGGGGTGGGGTGGGGGGAAAGAAGGAAGAGAGGTGCGGGTGAGTGAGGGGGTTTGCGGGAGAAAGAGGTGAAGGGAGGAGAGAAGGGGCCACATGCGTTAGGGTTAGGGCATCTCTCCTGCCCCCTCTTCCCTAACCTACTTTCACGCCCCGGTCCGGCTCCATCAGCTGGTTCCTCCTTTCACCTCTCTCACCCTCCCCCCTACCTCCCGCCCCCGCCTACCTGGTGTCACGGTGAACATGGCCATAGTGTTGAAGGAGGGCAGGTGGGCCAGGGTGGGGTCGGGGGCGGGGGTGTGCTCCTGACCTGGGGGGCGGGGGGGTCGAGGGGTGTGTGTGTGGAGGTGTGTGGAGGTGGGTGAGGGGAGGTATGCAGGGTGCGGTGAGGGGACAGCGCCTCTTGACAAGGGACGCGAACAGCCCCCTTGCTGGCCCTAGGCTCTCGCTTCCACCGCCGACAAACGGACTGTGCAGGCGTACTGTAACTGACTTGGCACCTGCACCCCCGGCATCCCGTGTCCTAACCCCCTTGCCCGCTGGGCCCTCACACTCGGCTGGACACCCCACGCAGCCGCCAGCCATCCCTCATTCATTTTCTTACTGCTTGCTTCACTCGTACGTTCCTATTCGCGACCAGGTTGCCTAACTCGTTCGCCCACTCACTCACCCTCGACGAGCGGGAAGAGCTCCAGTGCGCCGCCATCCGCCTCGACCCACGGGTCATCTGGGTCGGTCAGGTAGATGATGTACGACACTCGCCGCGTGGCGATGACGTCATCGTGGCACAGCAGGTGGCCGCCGTACGCGTACACATTGCAAGAGCAGTCGGTGCGGGGGGAGAGGTCGCCGCAGCCCGTGACGGTGGTCACGAAGGCACGGAAGTCGTCACTACGGGAGGAGGAGGAGGAGGAGGAGGGGCGCGGGAGATGAAGGAAGCAGGAGTGAGGCAGTGAGGAGGCCGGGTAAGGAGGGGCAGGAGCGGGCCCTTACAGTACGAGCCCCCTACCTCCCACCAAGTGACACATCATTGCTCAGCTGCGCCTCCTCTGCCCAACCCACCCACCCCAAGTACTGCAACTGCTCATCCAATGCATGGGTCTCCTCCTTCTTCCTCCCCCCCCTCCCCACCCGCCCCCACCTGTACAGCGCCTTCTTGAGCCGCATGAGCCCCGGCAGCTTGGAGGCCGCCTGGGGGTCCAGCGAGTCCAGGTTACCCAGATCGCCTGTTTGGGGGGTCAAAGACCATATCAAACCATAGGAGACCACAAGTTAGGGCAAAACAATGGGGGTAGGAGTGGGGGAGGAGGAGGGAGGGGAGGAGAGGAGGGAGAGGGGGGAGAGGAGGGAGAGGGAGGAGTGGAGGGAGAGGGGGGAGTGTAAGGTTAGGAATAGGGGTTGGTCCGTTACAGGGAAGACAGCCATTCGATTGAGACCGCCGCGCGTTCAGCCGCTTTTGGGCGGACCCTGGCAAACCGTGTTGCGACGGTCAAATCCCACGGATGTTGTGCCGTGCTGGAAGCCCCGAGCCCCCTTCCCGACTAGCCACCAGCATCCCCGTCTGCGGGCGGAAGCGCATGTCCCCACCCCCGGACCTAGCAAACCCCACAGCGACCCACTAACCAGTCTGGAAGACCTTGAACAGGTCGGTCTCCTTGTAGGTCGCGTTAATGTTGTTGATTATTTCGTCACGAACCTGACGCAGCAGGTCTGAGCTGAAGAGCTGCTTCATGACGCAGTGCTTGTACGGCACAGCGGCCTGATACTGCTCGTGCAAGCTGGGCGCGGCCGCCATGACAGTCTCACATACGATGCCGGGCTCCAGAGGTCCACCAGCGACGCCCGCAGCAGGCGGCTGGCTGGAGGGCCTTAGCTTCTTGGTGGGCGGTTCATCGGCGCCGGTGTCGACGGCTGGGTCGACAACAACGGCCGCATCAACGGGTTCAGGTGCTGAATCCATTAGGGCTCTTCCTTCACTTGGACGCTTTGAGCGATTTGAAGACGATACGTCTAGTAGGTCAAGTCCTGATAGCACGGAATGTACGCAGATGCTTCAGGCGCTTAGCGCTATCCTCGGCGGCGGTATCTTGGGTTGTTAGGTACCACGCGCCGGCTCTAGAGTTGTGGGAAATCGTAAGTGGCGACCGCTAACAATAAGGTAGCCGCCGATGTGAAAGGAGTTCAGGAGGAACTTGAGTAGCTCGCTTGCTCTTGCATTGCCCATCTGGTTGTACGTTGACCCGGGCTTGTACCGCCAAAGCGGAATGCGTAGAGAACCCTTAAAGCCGTCTGTGCTTATAATTTCCACTGCCTGGCCTTAACTTAAAGGATACGCCCTTAGCCATTTAGCCGACGGCCGTTGCAGTTGATTTTACAGGATACATACTTCGGGTGGAACCCAACTGGGCTCAGCAATGCTTTATGCGTTTTCATACATTGTTTTCTTACTTAACTGGGCACCAAAATGACGCACCTATTCAGACGCAAGGACAATTTGCTTGCAGAAACAGGACAGCTTTCGAATTCTTTGCCGATCACTACCAATAAACACTGACGTGCTTAGCGGATGAAAATTTGGCTTCAGAGTTGCCGGTCTTTTACAGTCTGAGCCATGCAACTGCAACACGATGGGCACGACCGTGAGCTGGGCCTCAAGGAGCCGCTTATTCCTAAGAGCCCTGGATTCCAATATGGTGGACGTACCTTTGGAGCAAGGCGAGGCCCGTTTCAGGGCTCATCCCTCTTGCGCATCGTAGCGATACTCTTCCGGAGCCGACTTGGTCTGCAGCTTCTAACCATAGCGGCATGTTTGTCATGGATGACGGCTTCCTCTTGGGCCATCCTTGTTAACAAGGTTGGTGGGCTTTTGCGCCGAAGTGGGGACTCTGCAATTGCTGAGGTTGGGTAAGGACCCGGGGCCGACTAGACGCGAACTCCACTTAAGGGCAAACCGGAGGCGGGACTTCCCATGAGGCAAAGATGAAGGCCCTAAAGAGGTTAGCGGTACGCAACAACCCGCCATCCTCCTTGTCTTCCCACCCTTTCCTTCACCGCCCTTCCTTTCCACCCATCTCTCCCCCTCTCTCCCCTCCCTTTCCTCTCCTCCTCCCCCTCTCCCCTTCCCCCCTCCCCAGCACATCATGGTGGGCCTCGCCTTCCCCTACCCCTGCACCATCGCCTGGCTGGGCCTCGCCACCACCACCGCCGCCTCCCTCGCCGCCCTCCAAGCCCGCACCCACCTGCTGCCGCCCCTCCTCCGCCTCCTCCGCCGCCGCCAACCCCGCATAGCGCAGTCCCTGCTGCCACCCACTCTCATCTCCCTGCCATCCTCCTCCTCCCTAGCCTCCCTAGCCGTCGCCTCCTCCCTCTCATCCACCTCCTCCGCCTCCTCCTCCACGCTCCCTACTGCCACCCTACTAGCTAGCAGCGGGACCAGCATCAGCAGCACCAGCAGTAGCAGCACCGGGGGAGGAGGGTCGCCCCTCGGCTCCCCCTCCCCCTCCTCCGCCTCCTTCCTCATGACCCCCCGCATCTACCTGACCCGGGTGCTGCCCACGGGCCTGGTGATGGCGCTCACCTTCCAGCTCGGCAACACCGGCTACCTCTACCTCACCGTGGCCTTCGTGCAGATGCTCAAGGTGGGGCAGCAGAAGGGAGGCCTAGGGGGGTAGGCAGGAAGGGGCGTTCATGCCAGGGTCACACTACTCGGGACGTGGGGATGTAGGTCGCTGGCTGCTTGCGGGCCACCACACTGCCCTCCACCACTGCAACGAGTGCTCCCCGCAACCGCACCCCACCCCTCTCCCTCCCCTGCAGGCCTTCTGCCCGGTGGTGACCATGCTGCTGCTCTTTTTCGCGCGTCTGGAGGTGCCCAGCGGGCGGCTGGTGGCGGCGGTGGCGCTGATTGCGGGGGGAGTGGCGCTGGCCAGCTACGGGGAGATCAACATGTCGCTGGTGGGGCGGGAAGGGGGGGAGAGGAAGTGGAGGAGGAAAGGGGGGATGCGGGGCTGGAGTAAAGGATGCTGAGTCGTGCCGGCTGGGTGGGCAGGGAATGGGGCTGCATGGGGATGGGCTGCGTACCGTGGATGTGCATCCCCATACACAGCACGGGCGTGTATGTCCCCATTTAATGCCTGCATCCCTGTCTCCCTCCCTTCCTTCCCGGCGCCAACCCCTCTTCTTCCCCCCTCTCCCTCCCCGGCTCCCCTCCTCAACCCCCGTCCCGCCCCCACCCTCCCCCCTAACCCAGATCGGCCTGACCGCCATGCTGGCCAGTGTGGTGGCGGAGGGCGTGCGGCTGGTGCTCACCCAGCACCTGCTGGCGGCGGGGGGCAGCAACTTGCCGCCCCTGGAGGGACTCTTCTACATCAGCTCCGCATGTACGGCGGTGCTGACTGTGCAGGCGTCGTACTTGGAGTGGCCGAGACTGCTGCGGGAGCGGCTGCCTGCCTCGTCGTCCTTCGGCCACCCCGTACCGCATGGGTTGCATGGAGCAGGAGGTGGAGCAGGAGGTGGTGGGGATTACTTGATACCGTTGGCGCATCCCGGGAGCTTTGCCGCCGCCGCGTGCTGCGGGTTCCTGGTCAACATGCTGGCGATCCTGGTGATCAAACTGGCGTCGTCGCTGACGCTGAAGGTGCTGGGAACGGTGAAAGATGCGGCGCTGGTGTCCATTGGTATTCTGTTCCTGAACGAGCACGTGACACGGTTGCAGTTGGTTGGGTACGGCATTAGCATGGTGGGGTTTGTGTCGTACAACGTGATCAAGTCTAGACAGCAGCAGCAGCAGCTAGGGCACTATGGAGGGGGGCATCAGGTAGGGGTTGCGGCCGGAGGAGGAGGGGTTGGTGGTGGGGGAGGAGGAGTAGGGGTGCGTTCGCTGCTGCCGCTGTATAGGGCTGGAGCAGGGAGTGGCGGAGGCGGGAGCGGCGGCGCGGGTAGCAGCAGTGACAAAGCGCTGTGAGGAAGGACGGGGTGTTGCGGGAGTGAGAAGCGGGAGGAGTTTACAGCCGGGGCTGCCGCACTGCCGTTGTTTCACGTAGGGAGTCAATGAGGTCAGCCCTGCATGCGTGCAAGCATGCCTGCCGACGTGTTGGATGGGGGCTGATGAGCCGCCAGGTCCTGGGAACGGTTTCTCCGAGGACACTGACGCGAAGGTTACCGGAGAGGGGGAGGTGTTGGACACTTCGACTTCGACACCGGAGGGGCTGTCTTCGAGCGAGGGCACGAAAAGCCAGACCGAGCTAGCGTACTGCGCATATCGAGCGTGCTGCTGTGAAAGGGGATGGTGCCGAATGACAAGGAGCGGCACTGCGTACGAGCATATTGCATTCCGGGCGCGATAAAGCTCAGCCCTGCTTGAGGCTGCTAGACCAGATCGGTATTTCGTTGCATCATGTGTGTCCTTGCTTTCGGACTCCGGGACTCGACTCTCCGGCTTTTACTGGCTGGTTTACGTATGTCGGTGGTATGTTGAGGGCGTCAGGGCGATGACGTCAGCCTGCTCGGTGCTTGCAGAAGTGGAAGCAATAATGGGGTGGAGTCGTCCCTGAGGAGCTGGGCTGGGCTGGGCTGTGTGGAGCAGTGTGATGGACGGAACACAGGAAGCGCTGTCATGGAAGGCGGGTGAGGCCCTGCGCAGCTCTGTTTCCCCCCCCCCGAGGGGTGCAAGGGGTACGTGCGGCGGGAGATACGTATGCCGGTCCGTCCGAACATCCAGGCCCAGTGACCTGCGTGATAGCTGCTTGCTAGCGGTGACTGTAGCCCTCGCTGCTCCTACGCCGGTAGCTTCCGCGCCGACAGTGCTGTGACCTGGACACACGGGTCGACTGTTAGCTATGGGATTACATGGGTATCAGCTACTAGAGCCAAACGCCAGAGCCAAAAGCAAGCAGGGAACTCCAGCCGCAGATCCATCAGCAGTCTATGCAGTCCATTCGTCCTAGGCTTGATGCAGTCGTGCAAGCTGTCCATCCTAGGAGGCGGATGTCCAGCTTAGCCCCGTTCCTTCAACCGTACGAACGAGCAGCACTGCCGTACAAAGCCACGCACTCTCGTGCCCTTTCACCCCTAAGCAAAGCACCTCACTCGTTCCAAGTTACGGACAAGCACAGAACCTGACGCCGATAAAGTTGTTCCGTTCATTGGCCATAATGGCAGCCACCACCGCAAGCACACGCTGCCTCATGCGGCAGCGCCTCCCATCTAGTGATAGCCCGGTGGGTCTAGCCACCGCCAGTAGAGCTCCTAGGCAATACGTTATCCCAGTCCAGGCCGTCATTTAGTCAACGCGTCAGACCCCCTTGCCGCCTAGTCAACCATGCAGGCAGATGCAGGATACAAAACTTGCAATGACGGCAACCAAGTCAGCAGGGTCACCCCTCATCAGTTGGTGAAGTGGCACACGTCCTTGCCGTACTGTTGGATGGGCAGCCAGTAGCCGCTCGGGTGGTCCACCCTGACCCAGCCCGGGTGCTCCTCGCTGCGCCAGCCCTGGGGCGGCAGGCAGGTAGGCAGGTAGGCAGGTGGGTGGGTGGGGGTAGTGAAGAAGAACCCAAGTTCCCAAGTCCCGAAACCCAACCCAGACGCCAGACAGGAGGGGGTAAACAGTACCACGCCCGGTGCGGACATGAGAACAATATGGGCAGGGCGGTGAGGCGGGAGGTGGAGAGTGGGCCAGACAGCAGGGAACGGCCATGAGGGAGCGGCAGGAGAGCAGGCGGAGGACAAGGACACGGATGGACGACAGCCAGGCAGGAGGAGCGTAGGGGGCAGGACGCGCCTGCTATAATATTGCGCTAGTTCCTGCTCATGACAGAGCCCTCCCCCAAAATCCAGTGCGCATGGCTTTTAGCGGTCCGCTCGCTTGGTACTGGGGTGCTAGCCCCTCCAGAACACATCGCAGCCGTCCAGGGAGCTGATGAACACCCACCTTGAACACCGTGCCATTCCGGGGCCAATCCGGAGCTGACACGGTGGCGTTCATCTCAGGCTTAGTGCGCCAGAACATCCCCGTGCAGCCGTTAGCGGAGGCATCCATCCGAATGGACACCTGCGCGAATGGAAGCATGTTGGGACGTTGCTGCTGTGACCGTTATTGCGAAGCGAGCCTAAGCTGTACGTGCCTTGTTTTCCTCCGTAAATACATCTTTGCTTGCCATTGCTCGGACACAAAAAGCACGACGAGGAACTGGTTGAGCAACGCGGAGCGAGCGTCCACCGTTTAGGCGAAGCGTAGCCATAACTATGGAAACAGGAAAATACAGTTTTACGATGTTAATTAACTATATTATGTGTGCAATATCCGGTAATCGTTAACCCGAATGTATGGTTGTGGTGGGTTGGTGGTTCGCAATTGTCACCGGATAGAACCTGCAACTGGCGCTTTAGCAAGATAGTATAAGCGCCCCTGCGGTGCGGCTATGGTGAACCAGAATGGCTGTTGCGAATGCGAGGAGGAGGAAGAGGAAGAGGATGGGAGCCATGAGGCTGTCGAGGTGTTGCACGGGGTTGGGGGGCACGGGAGACAGCAAGAGCTGGATGCAAAACATGCATGCTAGAGAAGGCGGGCATGCAGTTGGCAGGTTTGCTCCTGGAGGCAAAACGTAACAAGCCTACTGGGGGCTCTGTTGGGCCTGGTGTGCCTACTGTAGAGTACCGTAGCAAGCGGTTGGCAAATTGCGTCTCAGGTTTGTGTAGATATGTGCAACTACAACGGACGGAGGAGCTGGACGCAAGGATGGAAAATGCGGCTTGCACTGCATTTTAGGGGCTCGGGCTGGTCTCATCATGTCTTGTTGATGGGCGTGTGTTGCACTGTGGCGGCCTGACAACCTACATGGTGTTGCAAAAGGCTGCAAAGAGGTGTCTCTTCATACTCGGCTGTCCAGCTCACTTTCATCCACACCGTCCTCACTATATGCAAGCCTTACAGTTCAGCCCACACCACTGCAACAGTTCTTGTGAGAGGCAGAGTTTGTTGCCGCATGCATGCGTCGGGCAGGATGTGCCTGGGTCAACCTGTTATTGCTTATATGTGCTTATAAAAGTTATATTACTGAGCCTCCATATCTTACGAAATGGTGAATTGCCCTAGGGCCATGGTAACGGGCATGAAAGTGTCACGGTATGGGGAAACGGCTTCCTAAGTTCCAGTAATGCCTGTGATGCAACCTCAGCTGAGGGCCAGTAGTGCAAATCATTAGTTGGAAGGAGTTTAAGTGTTTCTGGGGAACAGGTGGCGCATAATCGCGATTGTAGGAAAAGCAGGTTCCAAAGTGTTCCGGAAAAGGCCCGGAACCATTTCCAAAGCATTTATGCAAAGACGCGGTCAAAGTCTTCAAACGAAAACCGCAATAATGCTAAATAGGTAACTTAATTACTATCATTACAACGGTGTCTACTGAACTACCGCATATCTTACCCTCAGGCTGTTACAAGTGTGACACGGATCCTATTTGCTTTGAGATTACGGCAAGCCCTTCAATTTTAAGCACTTTGCGCACTACTCGAACTGCTTTTAGCCAGCGTGCGTGGGAGAGGAGATGGAACGTCGCTCCATCTCGTTCCACCAATGTCCAACGGGCGTTGTAGTTCGACCATGCCGCGTTGGGCGCGCGGAAACATTTGTGTTCTTTCCTAATCGGGTCCATCTGGTAATAGAGGCCACCGACAGCGGGGCAGCTAGCTTGGGGCCAGCCCTAGCGCTCACATTCGGCACGACCGGTGGCACAGCAGTATGCTTCGAGGACGCGCAGAACCCCATCTACGAGCCCTTTACAGACTGCATTTACTTTACGGAGAAAAGGAAGTGCATTCTGCGACTGGATGCTGACAACGTGGTCAGCTGGGTGGCTGGGAGCGTCCGTGAGGAGGGCGACACAGATGGGAGCGGCCGTGCCTCGCGTTTTAGCCACATTGCAGCATTGGCGGCGGACGGCCGCGGCGCGGTGTACATTGCAGATGGAAAGGTCATTCGCAAGCTTGTGGTATCACGCGGCGCCGAGCCAGACTCCTGTGTCGTCACCAAACTGCCGGTTACCATACCAACATTCTGGCCAACTAGCAGTTACGGCATTTCCTGGAAGCACCTGTCGTACGACCCAGAGGATGATGCCCTGCTGGCGGCTGTGGCATTCTCACTGTGCCGAGTGCGGCTAGGTTGGCCAACTGGTGGCAGCACAGTCCAGCTGGTCGCCGGGAGTACCAATCAACAGGGCCACCTGGACGGACAAGGCGCCGAGGCACGGATGCAGGACATCCGTGGCATTGCGGCCGCTCCAGAGGGGAGTGTGTACATTGCAGACGGCAGGCACCTGCGCAAGATGGACTCAGCCGGGCACGTCAGCACCCTGGCGGTGCAGATGCTGCCGGGTCGGGGATATTCCAGCTCCATGGCGCTGCTGCCGGACGGCTGCCTGGCAGTCATTGTTGAAGAAACGCTGCACCTCATCAGCGGAGGTGGCGAGGCTGGCGGCTTCAGGCCCAGTTGCGAGGTGCTGGCGGGCTGGCGCAGTCGGGAAGGAACAAGCATCGGACAGGCAGCGGATGGGGCACAAACTTCAGCACCGCAGTCTGTTGCGGGGCACCCGGCAGATCCTTCTGCCGAGGGCACCAGCAGCTGCACCGCGAACACCGGCAGCAGCAGTGACGGTAATAGCATGTTTAGCGGCATGGTGGCCATCCGGTTGGGCGACAGGACCTTCCATGCCCACCCTGCCCTGCTGTCTGACCGCTGCGAGTACTTCAAGCGGCAGATGGAGGGCGGCTTTGGGGACTGCAATGCGGCGGAGATAACCCTGCAGGACGCTGACCCAGATGCCTTTCACTGGCTGCTGTCCTACATGTACGGCTGGAGCAAGCTGGCAGACGTCCCTGCCCCCCTGCTGCGGCCCACTGCCGAGCTGGCCGGGCGGCTGCTGCTGCCTGACGCATGCGGCCAGCTCAAGCAGCGGCTGCTGGCGGGCTGCACGCCGGGCAGCGTTGTGGCGGACCTGCTGTGGGCGGACAAGCACAACCTGTCGGACCTGCTGCCGGACCTCAAGGCCTACTTTGTACGGCATGTCAAGCAGGTGACGCAGGCGGCTCCGAAGCAGTTGGAGGAGATGGCTGCATGCAGTCCCGGTCTTGCGGCGCAGCTTTTCCGGGCGTTGGGAGAGCGGTTGCCGGGTGTGTAGGATCATGGCAGCCGGTGGGCACGCCGGATGACCCGTGGGTCAGCAACGCTACGGGTTAGGGAAGGGAGGCGTGTGGGTGCGGTAAGACCCCATGGCAGCTTCAGTCCGGTCCAGGAGTCAGTTGTAGTTGTACAGGGCGGACACGGTGGTTGGCTGCCGCGTGTTGTCGTACATATTAGTGCATGAGGATGCATCCATGCGGTATTTAGGTTGTCCTCCAAATAGGTGATGTGCGCTGGCTGGCACCTGTACGAGCCAGCTACGAGGCACGGCCGGATTGGGTCTGGCATGGAGGTAGTAGATATGAGCCGTAGGCATTAAGTGTGGGTCCTTACCTATGGATGCATGAGTGAATGACCGTTACAGTGATCCCAGTGATGCTGTTGCAGCTCTGGCAATGCTGGCATGCCTTGGTCTTGCAGTGCTGTCTACAGAGTGCAGTACCCAGCAGCATTCGAGATGTGTATGGGAGGGTCATGTGTCCCTCGTTGTGAATCCCACAAGGGGTTGATTCCCTCCCTTGAAAGCTAGCCACGGCGAGCAGGTGCATCATGGCAGCAGTCGCAGGGGTGTGGCGGGTGACTACCAGCTCAGGAGGAAGCAACAGCCGGGGTTGACTACATCTGTACGCTAGTGCAGCCTGTGCGGTTGTGCTGCTCTTGCACCTCCACTGTACGCCACAGAGCTCTTCTGTACAGGTCATGGTTGAGCCCCAGATGGGTGCATGTTGGTGTGATAACGTCACCCCAGGGTTGGATGGGTGTTGTGAGGGAAGTTGATGGTTTACCGTTGCTGTTGTAGGCATTGCAACCGCTTAGCTGCTGTAATGGCGTCCTTATCACGTCGTCGTGTTGATACTGCTGAGGCTTATTGACGCTTCAGTCGAAGGGTTTACTTCCTGCGCTACAGTGCTGCTTGCTCGTGTCACATGCCATTTCACGCAAGCAGGCTTACGCTGCCAGTGATTATTCAGCATGTTTGCACATCTAATTTCATCGGAGGGCATAAACCATTACGGAGTACGGCCCTCACTGGCTGGCGTGTGAGGCTTCTTGGCCAAAACGAACTGACCCACCTTTTCTGAGTTGCATTGACAGTCGTTGGGTAATTAATTATATAGGAGCCAGGTCGTTTATACAGTATCGTTTGCGTAACCCACAATTTGAGTTGCGCAGTGAAGTCCTTGCAACAGCCCTTCCACATGCATAACAGGATGTAACTCTCACGCCTCCCTTGTAGCACTCTTGTGTCCCAGGAGACAAGGCCCCACCGCTAGACCGCAACCGGACTCCAGCGATGCCTCCACAGCTCCAGGAATTCCAACACAACGCTGGGCGATGAAGAGTGTCCGTGTGGCCGGCTGTCCGTGTGTGCGGTTGGGGGCAACCGTATATGGTGGTTGGTGTGATGTGTCCGGCTGTCCGGCTGTCCGCTTGTTTTCGGAGCCGGGTCGGGGTTTCGTAAGGTGCCATGGAGCAGCGTTGTGTCGCTGTTGCATATGTATTGTTGTTTTGGGCTGCAGATTATAGGTTTGCGGAATTTCTGTTAGGGCGCCATGGCTGCTTCTAGTAGCGGTGGAAGGCGTAGAACAACGGTCCGGTACTATGATGATTGCCCTGGCGGTAAGGTGTTTGCAATGTTTACTGTAAGGTCTGAAGGTGTGTTAAGAAAACTGGCCGCGAATTCTGTGATTGTCGGAAGATGAAGTCCCCACAGACCGCCGCAGAAACCGAGGAATATGGTAGCGTATATAGATATGTAATTCCAGTACTGGTGCTGAGAGTAAGTAGGGCGTACGAAGCCGCGGCCGGGGCTCCGCGCAAAAATGGCATTGTTTTCACGGTTGTAAATTCAAATACAGCCGCCTAGGGGGGCTGTCGCAACTTGTGTGTGGGGTGCGGTCTGGGTGGGGGTTGTGTAGCTTGCTGGCGTGTGTTTGGGTTGCTTGTGGCCGGCGTGGTGTGTGCGCCGGTGTGTGTGCGTGGGGCGACGGGGCTTGTTGAGTGGGGTCGCCTGAATGCGTGTGTGGGTTGCACGTGGCAAGGGGATGAGGCATGTGGGAGTGCTTGCATGTGTGCGTATGTTGGTTGCATGGGGTTAGGGGGCGAGTATAGCGGGGATGCATGCATGCGCGTGTGGAATGCATGAGGTGCGTGAATGCGTGTATGCATTGCATGGGGCGATGGGACGAGTAATGCGGGAGTGCGTGCATGCGCGTGTGAGTTGCATGGGGTGAGGGGGCGAGTAAAGCGGGGGCGCTAGCATGCGAGCGTGCGTGGGTTGCATGGGGCGAGGGGGCGAGTAAAGCGGAGCTGCTTGCGTGTGTGGGCTGCATGGCGTGAGGGGGCCAGGACAACAACAGCGCGTCCAAGAGTCCGCCCTGCACGCTACCGGTCACGTGCATCGCCGGGTCCTCGAGTGCAAGCCTACGCCGTCCACAGCGCAACCAAGTCAACAGTGTGTTGGTCAGCATTGTCTGTCCAACCCCATTTTGCCCAGCCAAACGACAACTCAAGTGTGCCGTCTTGGCTCCTTATATGCAAAACAATCAGCCGCAATCGTACATTGGGCCCACTCTCCAGAAGCCCCGATGTCCTGCGGTACCATGGCGCCAACCGCCAGGCCGCGCGCCAGGCCTGGACGAGCGCCCGCGCATGGAAGCGCGGCTGAAGCTCCATTGTCCTAACTGCTACCCAGATGTCCCTCTCCATCAACAACTCGTTATCAAAACAACGGTTAATGCTAGGCAAAACAGCCATGCCGCGAACGAGCGAGCGATCTAACTGCCTTGCGGCTAACACCATTAAAATCATAACAGCACCGAACTGCTCTTCCAAACGGACCCATAATCATCATACAACCACATTTAAACCGTTTTCAACCGTTCTGCACGTTTTATGTCCGTGACACATGCTAGGGCGTGACACCATGATGAAATTTTGGTGGCGACCCCTCCCGGACCCACCCACCCACCCTACAGAACTTTGAACGCTATTTTCTCATATAGCCGTACGCCAAAAAAGACGCAAAAAAGACCAATGGATTCCTTTCAGTGTCCTCTTTCTGTATATACAACTTGTTGAGCTTTTGCACCTACTAAGTCATGCCACGGTCGCGTCATGCCATGGTCACGCCATCCAACCGTATAGACAGCAACGGGTGCACCGTTGTACGCTAGCCTCATACACACGCACTACTCCGTCAAGACCAGCAATTACCAACAAGGATTAGCAGGGCTCAGACAACGTGCAGCGGCTGGCAAAGGTGACGCAGCTGCTGCCGAGAGACCTGCCCCGTTCTACTCCCCTAAATCCCACCCCAGAGATGCAGCACATAGGGGAGCCGTGTCACATGGTTAACTTCCCGGCCCCCTTGGCTGGGCAGACCACCTGCGGGTGATTCCCCCCTAACTGGAGGCACCCGGACCCGCACCTGCCTGCCCCCCACCGACCCATACGTGTTTTGGTATCTCTCTGACCACCCATGCGTGGTAATGTCATCGTGCCGTGCCCAAAAAATATCAGGAAGAGGCAAAAATGCGTTTATAGACTGCTTACAGTATGTTTATCGTATAAATATACTTCATAGTGAGTTTGGCAACGCCAGGAAAAAGTTAGGAAGCCCTCGGAAAAAATCCACTGGACCCCCAGACCCCACCCACCCACCCTGCCGTACAGTCACCTTTGGGCGCAGATAACTTTTTCCGTACAACTCCAAAGAAAATTCTGAAAGCAGATTTGGAATGCTCTCAATAAGCTCTTTAACTTTGAAACATGGGGTCTGTCCTCGCGCTTCCTACCCCCCCCTGCTGGTAATACTTAAAAGAGACGAAACATGCGACGTAGCCGTTCAAGTAAGCTGCCGACAACAGGCTTCTGTGGATCTGTGTATCTGCAAAGCAGCAATAACAGAATTAACACTACAGCATGCACGTACTGGGCCTATGTGTGTGTCGTTAGTACATACCTGGCAACGACTTTCTGTAGGAACTTGAGCTTGACGTACGACTTGTGGTAGTTTGCATGAACCACTACGGGTACATGGTCGTCCATCCGCTGGTTCAGCATTTTCATGTAGACGTGTGAGTTCACAAACATCTCGACATCAAGCACACGGACAGCTGTCCTCATTGGGGTGTGCTCACGGTAACCCGGTTGCAGCAACAGCTCCGCAAATATTTTCTGATCCCATGCAGCATCACTTATTAGCAGTGATAAAAACCTGGAGATCACAGAACGAGGATAAGCCCATGTGGCGCTGAAAACATGCCAGAACAAGCAAGCCCACTCCTGTACAAAATGAAGCAGAGCTGGAGAAGGTGATGGGCCCATTTACCGTGTCATGAACGCCAGGGCCTCAGGAGTAGGCCGTATGTACGTAAATCCGCAGTTGACATCATTAATCTGGATGTGCATCGGCTGGTTCCACATGTGCTCCCCAAGGAAGGCTTCCATTGGCCGGTGTGCACCTGCAACAACCACATGCAGGAAGCTATGCGGGGATTCGTAGCTAGAAACAAAATGTTACCAAGGTTGACTGCTTTACCCTTTGCTAGATCGTGGTCCAATCCATCGGTCATGGTTTCAACATCCGCATCTCGCACTAGAGCCGCAAATGGGTTTTTAAAGAAGACCATATCGTAGTCGACCATAAGCACTGCATAATTTAACTTCAAAATTTCCTGCAAAATGCTTTCTCCGCTTAAGCTTGGTTGCATGCCAAACGTCTTGCTTCCGAGGCAGGCGTGCACTCACGTTAACCACGGGGAAACGTATAGCGGAACCATACGGTGTTGCTTTAACGGGCATGAAAGGTGTTATACGGACACAAGGCGGAAAGTGAAGCTCGCGTAGGATAACCTCAACCTGCGGCATGGGAAAGCACAGGTGGCATAAAAAGGGAATACATCCAGACATGGCCTTATCCTCCTAACTCATCAAACCAAGATCTGCTTTAACTAAACCCACCAACTTTTCTGCCATGTGTTAGTACTCGCCCTATAAGCGCAAAGAACACCGCCCTTACGCCCTTACTTACGCGACCATCTAAGCAGATAGGAACGTAGTTTGCGATGTTTGTCCGAAGGATAGACTGGTAAAACACTCGAAGGATTTCTTTGTCAACTTCTCCAGAGACAATTGTTGTTAGGATTTCGTTGTTCACAGCCATCCTCTCCTGTAGATCCAATCGTCCTGTATAATGAGCAGCTTGTAGGATAAGGGCGTGCTAACACAAACTTACCAAAGTCGCACGCAAGTTGGCGATTTCCCCAGGCTGTGGAGCATTGGTAGCGACGTCCACGGCAAGGCTATCCTTAATAATAGCTGCCAAAAGCAGACAATAAAGAAGCTTCACCCATCCGTTGCGACACATTTTCTAATTATGTGTGAACAAGAGCGCGACTTCTTGCAACAAGGGTCAAGACATCCAACTATCGTAGAACAGCATTCGCTGGAATGTTTGCATATGTATTGAATGTGAGGAGGGAATCCCTAAAGTGCATTAGGGCCCCACATAAGGCCTGCATAACAATAAAGACAACCATGATGTTGGAGCTGCACATTCGAAGCCGAAAGTGATAAAGCTGTTCCTTTTATGGAAATCAAAAAGTCAGGTTCGCTCAGGTTCGCTTCTCTACTTTTGGAAGTAGAGAATTGAAGCCAAAAGTCCACAATGACTCAGCTAGGAATGGCTAGGGCTGTTCCAAAAATGCCCGAATGCAGTGAACGGAAAGCCCTCACATAGGGAAAGATGAGGCCTTCATGCCGTGGCTAAAAATAGGCTTCATTTTTCCCTATGTGAAGGGCCCCTAAGGCTCGGTTCTCTAGATCGGAAGAGGTATTTCGTTGAGGAACTAGGCTCCCCGGGGAGGGCAAGCGTGAGCCCCTAATCCCCCCCTTCCCCCCTTCCACCACCCGCCCCTCCCGCCCTCTCCTCCTCCCCCCCCCCCCAGAGACCATCATATATATATTTTTTACCCCCAGAGACCACCCCTGTCCGCAGCGAGATGGTGGACCCCGCCAACCTGCCCCGCTACACCGCTGCCGGCTACCACCCGGCCGACACGCTGCTGTTCATGCGCGCAGTGGCGGAGACGGTGGAGCACGCCAACATTGCGCTCAACCTGCGTTAGTGAGTTTGTGCGGGGGGGCCCCCCGAAGCCGCTTCACGGCGGGGGCTCCGCCCAAAAACAGCCCAGCCCTTGCTTGCTAGCCTACTCCCCCTACCTGCTTTCCTTCCCAACTCTTCCGAAGCCTACTTAACACTAGAACTCGGAATCATCCAAGCCCGGCATCCTCGACGTGCTCTCGTACATGCTGAGTACGGCTCGCCGCTGCGCCGCAGCCCTCCCTCTCCTGCTCTGCGGCCCCCCTCTTCCTCTGCTGCTCCTCCGCTCTGCCACACTCGACCCCACCAGCTCATCTGCTTCTGCTGCCCCCGCTGCCGCCCCTCCACCCGCCCCTTGCAGCATGCCAGCAGGCAGCCCCTGCAGCTGCGCCTCGACCTCCTGCATCTGCATCTCGGGTGCACGAGCGTAGTACGCTGCCGTACGAGCGTCGTACTCGCCCTCCAGCTGCCTTTGGATGATGAACTTGTTGGAGCGCCGGCTGCTGGGCGCCCCGGCTGCTGCCAGCTCCTCCGCGTGCGGGCTGAGGGCGCGGGAGTGCGAGGCGGAGGCCTGGATGCGCTGTTGCGCGTGCCAGGTGCGCGGCTCGTACCTGTTTGGCAGGGCGGCGGGAGCAGTGGGTAGCATGTGGCAGGTGGCGTCCTCATGCGATCCGGTTGTGTGGTGAGGAGGCGGGTTGGAAGCAGCGCAGCAACACTCCCATGCAGCCCGCGCGCCCGGACCGAAGGACATGCCACCTCATGCACCTGTAAAGCACCTGTAAAGCACGCACCTGTAAAGCACGCTGTACAGCCCGAAGTACAGGAACGCCGTGCCAGCCAGCAGGAAAGCCATGAAGCGGCGACTGCAAGCAGGGAATTTAGAGGAGCGGGGGTCAAACAATACAGGGTTACCAACAACAAGCGGGGCTGCTCTGGGCCCGGTGGACAGCACTGGGCCGCCCGAAGGGACGCCCGGCATCCACTCAATGAGCAGGTTGTGTGTTTGCTCCCAAAACTTGTGCACCTCGTCCCCACGGCAGCAGCAGTGCACCGGCCCTCTTGCTCATGGCGGCCAACATCTCCCCCCGCAGCCTGCTCAGCTGCCACCCCTCAACCCCTCACCTCTCATGTAGCCCTGAGTCCACAATCTTCTTCGCTACCAGGCACAGCACTGCATCAGCGGGAAGGCAGCCGGGAGGGCACATCAGCGGTGAGTGACTTGCCTGCAGCAGTCAAGCCCTCGATCAGGCAAAGCGCCTCCGCCTTAACACACACCGCAGTATATGTATCACTGCCGTACTCATTTGGATCACTCCATCCCAGCTTGGCACATTCCTTGCCTTCCCCATACCACCCATCCCTGGCCCAGTGTCACACGGCTGGGTTTTCCTCTCCACCCGCCACAGCCCCCCCAGCACTCACACAGGCCGATAGGCAGCAACAGGAACTGCGCGTACTGGCCTGCACGGGGGAGGCACAGTGGGGAGTGGGCAGGACGGGCGAGGAGCAAGCGGGTAGGGGCACTGAGATATGGAGTGAGTGGAGGTACTGGAAAGCGGTAAGCGGGCATTTTTCTACATGGTGCTTGGTACAGGAACGGCCACAGCAGTGGCCTACCTAGGAGGTCAACATGGTAATACCTGTGAGGAGCCGCGCCCCCCCCCCCATGTGCTCCCGCTAAGTTGCATTTCGTGACCCGTTCCGCCTTCCCCGAGACCCGTCCAGGGATGTCCCACTGCCCATGCCGCCGCACCTGCCACCGTCCGAACGCATTCACGTGGAGCTCCGGTTGCTATCCAGCCAATCGTCATGATCTTCAATGCCCCGGCCAGCATGAACGTGGCGCCAGCTCCAGGGAAGCGATACGTAAGGGAGACCTGTGTCGCGCATTGCGGGATACATGTAAGATGCTCGGCAATGGCTGGTGGCCGAAGCAGGCTGGCAAGGCGGTCCTGGATAGCCATGGTCTCACCTCACGCGGACCCTCATCTGGCGCTGACCCAGGCATCTCGGCCCCGGCGCGGACCTGGCATGGGACCGAGGGTCGCAGGCAATGGGTTCGCGGTTTGCACCAGCGACTTGTTGCGCAGCGCGTCACCTAACTAAAATACGATGAACTGCTTACCATCAGGGGTATCCGCTGAGCGTTGCGCCGGAGTGGCACGCATCGCCGCGGCGCAACCGTGCGAGCACCGAAAGGCAGTCGCAGCTGAGCCCCGCAGGGCATGGTCTATTATAGCTACCTAAGATAAAACAAGGTTATGGTGTATGATAAAATCCCAGAACGAGCCAAAGCCTCGCAAGGCTCAAAACAAGACAGGTGAAGCCTTGATGGAGCCTGATAGTTTTATTACACTACAGGTTGTTTAGAGGTTTCCGCAAGAGTAGTTAATCCTAGCCGTGGGCAACAGCTTGCACTGCAACACCGAACTATCAACTGCCGATTCAGGGCTTGCACGTTTACACTGGAGATATTCCTTTGTAATATTGTTTATACCCGTCTTAGGCCCAATTAACTTTACGATATCGTTTCTATTATAAAACGTACTCCTTGACCCGCCGCCCTCATTCCGCTCTTAGCAGGGGGCGTCTTTACGGGCATAGTTAACCCAATTATGCTTTAGGGGTTGTGCTCTAAGACGAACACCAACTTTTGGGGCGCTTCACGTTCCAGGGGCTGAGTCGACTCGTTAGTGGTGCGTCGTCGCCCGACATTAACGACGAAGGTTCTGAAACGCAGGCGAAACTTATCCGCAGGGGTAGGTTTCTATCGTTCGACCCCTTAAACGAGTACGTGCTGCGTCGTGGCCTCGTCGGTACCCTTAAATAGTCAAACCGTGCCGTCACCGAGATCCTCTTAGCTGCGCCATAGTGCTCTCTGGGCTTGCAACTGCAGCCCCGTTAGCACCAAAGATCTCAATCCTTAGTGCTGGCACTGGTGCTCAGCTACCACTGGTGCTCAGCAGCGTTCCGCACGCAAGTAGGGGCTCCTTACTCCCTCATCCCGCCGCGCCCCGACCCACCAACTCCCAATCCCTTCCCAACCCAGATCGGCAATCAACTGAACCTCAGTACGGCAGTCGAGACCAGCAGCGACCTGTCATCAACATGCGCCACCCCCAGCAGCTGTAATCTAGTCCTTACCTACCCAGGGCCGCAGGAGTGAGCACCAACCGGAATTATAACCGTTATCTAGCAGTCTGTCGCCGGTCAACCAACGGTCATCATGGGCCTTATCAATCTGGTCAACGATAAACCCGTGCACCTGGTGCTGGCAAAGGACCGTGTGCGGAGCGTGAAGAGAGGCCACCCTTGGATCTTCCCAGAGGTGAGACCTTGGTTGGGGGCGCCGTTGTTGTGGTGTGATGGTCTGGGAGGGCCCCTCAAGGCTCCTTGGGGGTCAAGGCTCCTTGGGGGCAACACAAAGGTCCTGGCAGAGAAGTTCGTTCGTATTCTTCGTAACATGTTGAGGCGCACCCATGCCCTTCAAGCTACTGCCGCTATCCAAGCCAGCCTGCATGCTGGCTCTCCCTTACTCCCTTACTCCACAACCCGGCAGCCATCTGCTCGACCGGCCAAGAAGCAGCCCCTTGCGCCCCTGGAGCTATTACCAAAACCGAAGTGCCATGAAATGCCCCCACGGTTGCAACGGCCCGCCCCGCCCCAGGTGCTTCGAGAGCTTCCCAAGGCCCCCGCCGGCTCACTAGCCCTCCTCAAAACCGCGGACGGCGAAATCCTAGCCAAGGGCTTCTACGACCCTGCTTCCAAACTCGCTTTCCGCAGCCTGGCACTGCAACGAGATGGGAAACTGGACGAGCAGTTGGTGGTTGGGCGGTTGGAGCGAGCGGCGCAGTTGCGTGAAGCGCTGTTTGGGCCGAAGTACGAGGAGACTAACGGTTTTCGGTTGATCAACGGCGAGGGCGACGGTTTGCCTGGTTTGGTGGTTGATGTGTACGACTATGCGGCTGTGATGAAGCTGGACGGGGCAGGTACGGCTGTGCAGTGGGTATGTCGTATATGCCGCTATACATGTCACGTGCCTTTCTGGGGATGGGGCCGTGTGGGTGGGGATCAGGGAAGGGGCCTGTCGATATGCCGGTATGCTTTGGGTCTTCCCAACCTAGCCCTCCTTATTTGTCTCACCTACCCTATCCTCCTTCCTCTTCCCATTCTAACCCACCTTCTCCCAACCCCATCTGACTCCTCGCCACCCCACCACTCAGGCGCCGAGTCCTTCTACAACACTGAGGCCCTGGCGGCCTGGCTCATGGCCCGCTTGCCGCACCTGCGAACAGTGTTCCTGAAGTATAGGTCTTCCGGTGGCAACCAGGAATCTGGGTCCGGATCCGGATCTGGGTCTGACGGCGAGGGCTCATCCGGATCTCCAGCGGGAACCGCCGCTACTGCTGCTGCTGCTGCAATAAGGTCGGGGCCTAGTAAAGCCGTCGGTCGGGACCGAGGGTCGCGAGACTCGGGAGCTGCTGGGGCCTCCGCGCCGAAGCGTGCAACAACTTCCGCAGCGCTGTCAGCAACCAAGGGGGCAACAGGAGCGGCAGGGGCTGAGGAGGGTGGCGGCGGTCGCGGTCGGTTGCTGGCAGGGGAGGCTCCGGTGGCCGGGGTGCCGGTGCGCTTCAAGGAGAACGGAGTCGTGTTCCAGGCGGATATCGTGCAGGGGCAGAAGACGGGTGAGGAGGGGCGCATGGTGTGGGTGGGGCAGGAGAATGGGGTGCGCAGGCTTGCGAGAGGGAAGAGGGAAGGGAAGCTTGGGCTGCGGGTATAAGAAGGGCCCTATCTAGGGTCCCCGTGTGGAAGGGGCATGGGTATGTGGCGCGTGTGAGCGGGCACGTGGGAACGATGCGCTTCCTGAACCAACGAGGCCATCCAGCCCCAAGTACGGTACCCCCTCTTCATTCCACTCTGATCCTTCCGCCTCTCCTCCTCCCCCGCAGGTTTCTTCCTGGACCAGCGCGACAATCGCTCCTTCGTGGGCCGTCTGGCTCGGCACAAGCGCGTGCTCAACGTGTTCGGATACACAGGTTGGCATTGGGCGCAAGGGCGGGATACATGCTACCCAGCTACCCGAGCTCACAACCCGGCATGCAGGCCGCTCGCGGCACGGCAATATAGCCAGGCAGCCAACGCCAAAGCCTTAGCTGTGCAACCTACACATGTTCATGTGTCCTGCAGACAGTGCATCAAAGTGCGTACGTACGACAACACATACACTGACACCACGCAGGGGGCTTCTCCGTGTATGCGGGTGTGGGCGGCGCGTCCCACGTGACGACAGTTGATGTGGGTCGGGCTGCGCTGCAGTACGCAACAGCCAACTGGCAGCTCAACGGTCTGGATCCCAACCGCCATGAGGCGGCGGCGGTTGACGCGTTCGAGTTCCTAGAGCTCGCGGCTAAAGCGCGGGAAAAGTGAGACGCTGTATAAAGCGCTGGGGTCATGGGGGGGAGGTAGATGAAGTGGAAGCGAGGGCGCTTGCGTAGCCATACCGGCAGTAGAACGAAGATGGGGGTACTGCCGGGCATGCGGAACCCAGCTAGAAGGGGCTGCACAAGTGCCAACCTGCACCTTCCCTGACTGCTGCTTCAAAGGGCCAGCTGTTCTCTATATAATTGTCCCCATACGCCCCCGTTCCTCCCCCTACATCGCCTCAGGTGGGATGTGGTGATCATAGATCCGCCCTCATTCGCCGCCAGCAAAGCGGCGGTTGAGAAGGCAACGGCCTCGTACACTCGCCTCTTTGCGGCGGCGGCGGCGGTGACGTCACCGTACGGCAGCTTGTCGCTTGCATCATGCAGCAGCCACATCGACTCGGGGGGGTTCATGGAGGTGAGGGGGGCGGGGAAGGTATGGACGCGAGAGGGGAGGGGGGTGAGGACTGAGGAGTTCAGTCGGGGATCTGATTGGCCGCAGGAGCTGCGATCCTGAGCCTGTGTCTGGTATCTGCTGACTTCTGACGGAAGGCCTGAAGGACTTGGGGCTTACTGGGACTTACTAAACCCTAAAACATTCCGAAATCCTCAAGACGCTACCGCTTACCTCGTACCTCGTCTCCTTTACTCTTACCCGTGCGCCCCCACCCACACCCGCACCCGCACCGGTATGATGCAGATCTGCGAGGAGGCCCTGGGTCGGTCCCGGCGCCAGAGCTACGTGCTGCGAGCGGCAGGGCAGCCGGCGGACCACCCCTTCCCCGCAGCCGCCTCGGAGCTACGGTACCTAAAGTTCACGACCTACCTTTCGCATGGAGGGGTGATGGCCCTAGTAGAGGTGCAGCATGCATGCAGGGGTGAAAGTACTTGGTGTTAAACAAAGCATTCAGCATAGAAGTGAGGCGAGGAGAGGCGAGGTGGGCAATGGGTAGCCCCGCCGGGTGGATTTGGGGGATGTGTTTGTTTGAAGGCTCCGGTTGCGTGTCTCATAAAATATGGTGTTTTTGCCTCACGCGGCGATGGAGCCGGTCCCCGTACGTCACATGCCATGCTGTCAAGTACCTTGACCCATGACGGCTGATGATGGATGGCGCTGGATGGATGGGGGGGGGAATGGAATGCATGACGGGGTGATGTATGTCTCGGCTTGTGGTAGGGATGGATGTGGATTGGACCCTGTACTGGGCCGAGTGTTGGGAGGTTTGGGACAGGGTTCCTCTCAGCTGTAGCTTAGGATGACACACACCCGACTCTTGACTCCGATTCCTGTTAAGACGCGGCGTGGAAGGAGTCTGAGAAGGGAGGAAAGATGGTGATGCTGCAGGAATTGAGGGTGAACGATGGGAGCCACGGCCTAGGAGGCCGGTTTGATTGCAGGAATTTCACGGGGAAGGACAGGATCGACCCGGGGGTCTATGGGCGGGACGAGCGCGAATATCTGCCCTCCATAATTCACCGCTTAAACAATAGGCTTGTATGTTTTAAATTAGAGGACGCTATAAACAGCGTGATCTAGGAAGGGCGACGATGCCGTTAAAAGATCGTTAAGTGCGTGACAGCAATTGCTGGCTACGCTGAGCGGTGCAACATGAACGCCCAGCCGTCAACAAGCCGGCTGAAAGGATCCCGTTGAGCGTCAGCGGAACCGGGTATGCTTCCCTTCCCTTCGCTCCTCCGAAACCGTATACTACGTATAACATTTTCTTCGTTTCGAGCTACGGGGACTGAGGGCATTCTGACCCAAGGGCCCAACCCTGATTTTGTTCACTGTGTGTGACTCTAATTGTATGGGGGCTGCAAGCGGGATGGCTGCAGGCCAGCAGCTGCATGGGGGCTGCAAGTGGCTGCTGCAGCTGCCCTACAAACATGCATGGGTGGTGCATACAGCCGCCCCTTTCCTCCTGGAACCAGGCTGACCGAACCCGGCGGCTGGTAAACAGGGAGGAAACCCGCGTGCAGGTGAGTGACTGGATAAATGGAGGCCTGCTGCGGCTAGGCCCAGTTAGGTAGCATTGTGGGACATCACGCAAGAATTGTATGTTCGTCACTACACTGCCTAGAGATGGACAGCGTCTCCTTCGAGTCAGCCCCGAGCGTTTTCTTCGAGTCATCACTCCTTCGATAAGCTATCCTATGAACGAACACCACCAACCACCCAGCCAACAACAATGGCAATGCTATCAGCGCATGTGCCTTCCTCGTGACTCTGCCGGACTGCAAAGCCAATAGCACCAACAGGCCTGACCATAGCAGCAGCAGCAGCAATGATAGCAACCGTAACACCAACCACATCGATGGCGAGTTGGTTAGGAGCAGCCACAGCAGCAGCAGCAGTACCCGTGACTTGCACGCCACACATCCTGCACTGGGGGCGTATTGGACGTGCTGATGCCGCATGGCACTAACCACCAACCACCATGGCCTCCAACAGACCCCTCAACCAACCCTAGCGCCCAGCCCAGCCCTAGCCTGCACCGAATCCACTACGCTAGCATGTGTACATCGAACAATCCTTCACTTCAGCTCGCAGCCACACCTCATAGACCAGCAACTGCACACAGCAGCGAACATTATTGCATGCTCATGCATGCCTGCCAAGCTACCGTATGTGCTCCATCTTATGGATAGAGGAAATCGGACGCAATGTCAAAGCAGTGTACAGACGTGCCAAGAAGCGTACAAACACACCCCTCATGTACACAGCTAGTAACCAACCGGGGCCAAGCTTTTGGCCTCCAAAGCCTACAGCAGCAGGGCATTGCACACCTTGATTGCCCTTGTCAAGGCGAACTAACCCTTTCCACTGCACTTGTCAAGCCAAACCCTTTCCACTGCATTTGTCAAGCCAAACCCTTTCCACTGCACCAAGTCCCAATGCAATAGCGCTCCTGCGCGCGCCCTATCTATGCCTGCAACCCACATGCATACATGTACGACTGGCACCAGTACGACAGCATGGGTTCACCGTACCCTCACAGCGCTCAGCACTTGCCACCGCCCCTTACTTACGCTTGCCTCCCCAGCCACCTCACTGCTGGGGCGGCTGCAGGCCCAGGTTCTCCTGCATCCACCCCCACAGCCGCCTTACACGGAGGTCATCTGCACCAAACAATCTAGTTATCCACTGCATGCCCTCCAGCGCCACCTCCGCCGTCATGGGATAACCTGCCGCCAGCAGCCAGCTCAGCACCGCAATGTAAGGACGGCGGTGTTGGAAATAGTCCTTCAGGAGGCACCCAGGCGGGCCCCAGGGGCAGCCCAGACGCCTCAGGCAGGCCAGGGTAGCCAGGTCGTTGTTGATTGCAGCTCCAAAGTATGGGAAACCATCGTCCTGGATGTGGGTCACATGCATCATAGGAGGTAGGGCGGCATATCACAGTCATCCCCAGGCAGCAAGGTGCTGGGAATTTGCACGAAATGGAATGGACTTAGGCAAACGACCCGCGGTACCACAGGTAGGGCTTCATCTCCAGCTGTTAAGCATGCCCCTTCACGACACTGCCCAATAAGCGGACATCTATCCAAACGGATTTAAGAGGTGAACGACGCCAGGTTACACCTCCCTAGTTAGACCATCTATCTGCACAGTACTCACCGGCCAGGGGCAGCCCTGCTCCACCAGCCACTCCAGTGCCTCGTCACACCCTGACCTCGCAGCTCCTGCAATGGCATCGGCATCCCAGGGGCAGCCCCTCTCACGCAGCCACCTCATCAGCTCCAGGTTGCCTGAACAGGCAGCACTGCTGAACACCTCTGCACCCAGCTGCAGTGCTGCGCCCAGCGTCTCCACCAGCCAGACCGCCACATGCAGCTGCCCCTCCCTTGCTGCAGCCCGGACTGTGTCAACATCCATTGGGCAGCCATGGGCACGCAGCAGGGTGAGTGCTCCCAGGCTGCCACACGCAGCAGCCCCACCACCGCAGTCCAAACTGGGCTCGATACCCTCAGACAGCACGTACTGCAGCACCTCCACGTTGCCCCGTACGGCTGCCACCAAAGCAACACCGTGTCCCAGAGGGTAACCCCGCCCCCGCAGCCACCTCAATCGATCCAGAGCGTCTGGGCAGGATGCGGCGCCCGGGCAAGCCTCAGAGTCAGGGAAGCCCTGCGTCTCCAGCCATACCAGCTTGCCCTGCCAGTCAGGTGTGGAGCTCCTGGCCGCAGCAGTCACTATACATTCTTTCTCAAAGTCTTCCAGCGGCTGCTGCTCGCCCGCCCAGTCACGGAACAGGCGCTGTAGGGTGTGCAGCTCGCATCCGACAGCGGCTGCTTCAAGCAGCCCTGCGGCCCCAACATGTGCACCTTCTGCCGGGCGCAGCTGCAGCAGCCTCTCCATAAGGCCCACGTGGCCCCCTTCAGCCGCAGCACACACAGCATCAGTGCTCCAGGAGCAGCCGGCGGCCAGGCACCACTCGCATATTGCCTGCTGCCCGGCGCCTGCTGCCACCTTCATAACATGAAGCAAGGGGTAGCCCTGCTGTAGCACCAGCCACTGGCACATCTCCAGCTGGCCTGCTTCGGCCGCTGCCTGCGCAACGGAGGTAAAGCGCCTGTCGCACGTGACAAGAACCCCCGTGACAGCAACTGCCGCTGCGGGCTGTTAGCCGTTGCAGCTCCTGCCGCCGCTGGCGCGTCAGCCCACGCATGACGCCAGGTCGCTCCCATTGCTCCTTGAATGCGTGGGGCGGCACGGGGGAAGAAAGCTTCACGGTGGTGTAGCCAGGGCCGCGGAACTGCGCTGCCGCGGCCTTGTTGATCAGTCGCACGGTGCAGGCGACCTCGTTGGGCGGCAGGAAGCTGATGATGTGATCCGCAAGCTCGGGCTGCAGCTGAGGCCAGATGCGTGACGGAATTGGATGGTGCTGGGAAGTGTTAGGAGGAAATTCCGGATCAGCGGGCTGCTGCTCCTGAGGCCGCTGCTGCTGCATTTCTGACATTTAGAAAGAGGACAAGATGAAGGTCGAGGAGCTCAGCGAACCGCCCTGCAAAGTGCTGTATGCAAAAACGTTTCCGCGGCTTGACGCGCTGTCGCCTTGAACTCCACGCTTGGGGGCTAGGATGAGGAATGACACTCGCAAAGTAATCGGTTGTTGTATTAGGTTGTATTTGTTACCTGTTCTAGCGTTCTGTTGCATGTGAAAAGGGTAGCCTGGGTGGAATGGACCACATCGAAAGGTGCTGAGCTGGCAAACGGCTGGTATACAATGCTGACTCATGTTGCCCTTGGTCCAGACTTTATCTGCATTCTGCTAGGAGCCACACTGAGCTACCTTGCGGTCCTACGACTGGGAAAACAGGTGTGGGCCTAGGCGCAACCCTAACGAACACCGTCTTCCAGACCCGTGGGTCGAAATCGCTTCCACACTTCCCTGAAACACTAGTAAGGCCTGCCTTCGGCGGGAGCTACCCGTAGCTCGCGGGAGGGAGCTGGATGGACTAAGAGTAGGAAGGGAGGTGATGTCGCGAAGAAGATGTGGCTGCACGCATGCATATAGGGCGTGAGGATGCAGAAGGATGCTTGAAGCACAGAAGGAGTGGCAGCGATTGTCGCCAAGGCTGCTAGCAAAGAAACACGCATTATATCAAAGCGTACAGGCGGTGGAGTGCCGAAACCCCGCCCTACCCGCCCGAATTCTGGTGCGCATGCCGTGCCGTGCCCTGCTGCCGGAGTATTGGCACCTGTGCGTTAGCATTGAGTACAGATCCTACTACCCCTGCACTACTACATAACTCCCCGTCGTCACCAGTCGCCCACACAGCAGCCGCGCATCTGTCCGCAGTAGCTGCAGTCAGTACAGGAACGCAGCTCAGTTGCTTATGGACAAACCCCGCGCCGCCGCTGTGCATGTACCCTGCCACCCTACCAGACCACCTGTGCCATGCAAACTAGCAGTCTCGCCGTGCCAAAGTACGGGTGCAAATGCACCAACGTTCCTGCTCCATTCGAATTGTGGCACTGCCTCCGCTTTGTCCAAGTACCGGCGCCTGTATGCTTTCACACACCCTGCCCAAAGCCCGGCGCATCCATGCAGTCCCCGAACTGGCCAACAACAAGGGTGCATGCGAGAAGGCATGCCCTCCGGATGTGCGGTGAATGCCCAAGGCCCCGCCGCTAGCGCTAATGCTGTAATGCTGCTAAGGCTATCCATAATGTGCATGACACACCCATGCGCTTCAACACAGGGGGAGAGACCGTACCAAAGTAAGGCCGCCCCGGGCGTGCAACCATCACTATGTTGAACCTGTGCAGAACGAGAACGGAAGACCGCATCACACACACACACACACACACACACACACACCGATATATGCATATATCATGCACGATACCACATTCGTTTGGGCACAACATTTCTAGTAGTAGCATCCCTCGTACCACATATATAGCTAAATGTATAACCATCATAAATTACATACATACTCGTATGCATCAGTATGCATCCATTCCCTGCATTATCATCATCATCAACAGCAACAGCAGCAGCAGGGAGGAGGCCACAGCCTATCACACCCGGCCCGTGGAGATCACACACACGACACGTGTCACTTCCCGCCGTATTGCACCCCGATGGATCGTGTGCGGATTCGGTCGTCATTGAACACTTGCAACGAGGGCGCCAGAATGCGAGTGTAGCGGTCAAAGTACAGCATCTGCTTCAGGAACAGACCAAACTGCAAATGCGTGTGTTTGCCAGCCAGTCGGCCAGTCGCCAGGCAGGTAGTCAATGAGACGGAGGGAGAACAGCAGGAGGGGTGGGGGGCGGTGGCTCCGGTTAGGGGTGTCAAGAGTATGGTAGGTCACCGTGGTGGGTCATGGCGGAACCGGAAGGAGGTGAGGGGAGCATGGGCGACACATTGCGAACTGGCCTGGCGTGTCTCGGAACGATCAGCAGCTGCTCCCCAAGGGGGCTATCATCCAGCTCTCTCCTCGCCACATGGCACCTATACCCCATCCCATCCCATCCCCTGCTCCTGCAATCCCACCCCCAATGATGCCCTTCCCTCGACTCCCGTGTTCTCCGGAACGGCCCGGTACCGGTGCCCCGACCCTCCCAGCCGCTCACCTCCCTCGGAAACTTCACTCCATGCGTCTCCCCGATCCGCACCAGCTGCACGAACAGTCGGTTGAGCTGCGTCTGGTCCACCTCGAGGCTGGCGGACAGCCCCGCACCGCCCCCACCTCCGCCCCCGCCAGCGCTGCCTGGACGCACTGCGGGGTGATGCGGAGCAGCGGAGGGGGCGGAGGGGATAGAAGAGTACGGTAGGATTGCAGGAGGAGGAGGAGGAAGGGGTTGGAAGCGGGCGAGGTTAGTGTGTCGGGGTGTGGTGGGTGTCGGAGTTGCGAGAGGCAAGTTGGGGACAAGGCCAGGGCAGCCATGCGGGGGAGGACTGCGCGAGGACCACAGGGGTAATGCTGCCGGGTAATGGTGCCGCAAGATGTGACCTCTCCCGCTCCGCTCCATTCCCCTCTCACCCCTCTGCCCCTGTGCTCCTCCTCCCCCTCCTGCCCTGGCCGCCAGCGGGCCGCCAGCCGTCACCACCAGGCTGCTGTCCAGCTGTTGCAGCTCCGCGAAGAAGGCCTCAAGGTCACGAGAGAAGGCGGAGAAGTCCACTTGGGCGGAGCAGGCGCCGATGGTGGCCAGCGCGCGAGCCTGAGGGAGGGGGGTGGGAGGGCATGGAGGAGAAGGAGCGAAGGAGGGAGACGAAGACCACGTTGGCCACGATAGTTGGCGATCGGGTGATTGAAGCCCCTGACGAGCCAAAAAGCGTGTATCGGCCAGACCCATGGGTCAGTAGCCACGAGCGGCTGCTGCTATTGCGGTGGTTGTGGTTGTGTGGTGTTGTCGTACCATGGTTTCGTAGTCCGCTGTGGCCATGGAGCCGATCAGCGCCTCCACCGCCCGCCAGGTGACGGGGCTGATGCGACCCACGATGCCAAAGTCAATGAAGGCCACTCGGCCGTCCGAGAGGACCAACAGGTTGCCTGGCAGGAGGCAAAAGCGGCGAGAGATGGGGTCAATCAGGGCAAGCGTTCACCTCGGGCTGGAGAAAGACATCGGCCTAGTGACCGCGCGCCTTGTAAAGTACCGGTTAAGTACCGGTAATACCGGTACCCCCCATCCCTCCCCCCCCCCTCACCCGCATGCACATCCGCATGGAATGTCTCCGCCGCCATCACCGACGCGAACCAGGTGTTGAGTGCGTTCACCAGCACCAGCTCCGGGTCGCGGGAGCCGCCCGTGACGGCGCGTACGGCAGCCAGGTCGGTGAGGGGGGCGCCGCTGAGCCGCTCCAGAACCAGGATCCTGGGGGGTGGGGGGAGCGGGGTGTTAGGTGGGGTTTAGTTACCGTGGATAGGGAATGAGAGGTGGAGATGAGAGGGGATGAACATGCGGAGGGAAACACGAGCGGCCCATTGAACGGCGTTTGGAGGGCCCTGCCTCCCCCCTTAGCACACGCTGCCGCCTCCTCCCTACCACCTGCGCGTGGAGAGGTGGCGGTAGACGAAGGGAGTGGTGGCCACGTTCCTGAAGCCCCGGCTGTCCAGGAAGTTGGCGAAGTGCTGGTAGTGGGTGGCCTCCTGCGGGGCGAGGGCGGGGGGGGGGAGGGAAAAGGGGTGGGCGGATGGGCAGGGGCGACCGGGAGCAGCACCACGTGTGTGTGACGGGTGCACCCGCCCACCCGCTCTGCCAGTCACCCTAACCCACAGAGCCACCCCACCACAGCCCAAACCCCTGAGTCTTTTCCTCTTCAAGCCCCGCACCTCTTTCTCATGTTCGGACCGGGCTTGGTACCGCAGCACCGCCCATCACGTACCCCTCACTCCACCCTCCACTCCCCCCCGCCCCCACACCTGCGTGAAGTCCACCTCCGCCATCATGCTGGCGCGCATGTCCGCCAGCACGCCCGTCAGACTCAGCCGCGCCAGCTCGGGCTGCAGCCACTCCAGGAAGCGGCTGGTGAGGTAGACGAAGGAGAGGTCGGTGGACAGCACGTCCTCAACACCCGGCTTCAGCACCTTGACGACAACCTGGGCGGGTGCCGTGGGTGGGTACCGTGGTGTGTATTAATACCCTCTGAGCCGTGTGTGCATAGGGCGGAGGAGAGGAGGGGAGGTGGGGCGCACGGGCGAGGACAACAGGACTGAGTTGATGGCATTGTCCGCGCTGGCGAAGGTGCATGCCAGCCGCCCCCTTCCGCCGTCACTTCACATGAGCACCCCAACCGCTCCTCTTACCTCCTCCCCACCCCATCCCCACTTCCACTCCCCTTTCCACTCCCTACTTTCCACCCCCCAACCTCCCCCCCACCTTCTTTCCGCTCTCCCTCAGCACGGCCGCATGCACCTGCGCCACGGAGGCACTGGCCAGGGGGGTGGGGTCCAGGGAGGAGAAGACGGAGGACCAGGGGGCGCCCAGCTCCTGGGAGGGGCAGGGGAGAGGCCCAGGAGGGGAGGATAACGGATCAGGGGTTGTGCAGTGGAAGGGATGGGTCCAGCATGCAAGGGGCTCTGTCGGGGGTTTCGTCCTTCCTATCCGGTCCCCGTTTCCCTGTTCGCTTCCTGCCGGCCAAAACGCCCCAAAGGCTGGCCAACCAGGCAAAGAGGGGAGCTCCTGCATCGTTGGTTGGTGTGGTGTGGGAGCCATACCAAGGGGCCTGGCAGCAGCAGCAGCAGCACCAGCACCACCAACACCACCCGTCTGCCCACCACCCCACCTGTTCTATGATGCGCTCTATGACTGCGAAGGGCACGGGCTCCGTCTTGTCTAGGCACTTTTGGAACTCCGACACGTACTCGTCGGGGAAGAGCGAGGGCGAGGAGGCGATGAACTGGCCCAGCTTGATGTAGGTGGCGCCTGCTCCAGGGTGGCGGAGGGAGGGAGGGGCGGGAGGTGTGGGGAGGGGGGCAGAGAGGGACGGTGCGGTGCTGGGTGGGCAAATTGGGGTGGTAAGGTTGAGGTAGGCGGCGGTTAGGCAAGAACAGGAGTGGGGCCACAGCGGAAGTGAGCTTGTCATACAAGGGGCGAACGAATTGTGGGTGGCGCATGAGGGGGGCGAGGAACGAGAAGGGTTGGGAGGCGTGTAAAGGGCAGGTCATGGGTAGCACGACCGGAGGAAGCATCGAGGCAAGGGGCTAAGCGGATACCTCGTCAGGCACGCCGGCGATTAAAGCGAGAATGGTGCTGTCTTTCCGTACGGGACTGGAACCCCTCAAGCCAACATGGGTTAAATAAACACAACTCACCCAGCTTCTCAAAAAGCTTCCGCAAGAACACGGGCGGCGGGTCCACGCTCCCTTGCGCTAGGTATTCAGCTGCAAGCGCTGCGATGGATTGAGCTGCTTGGGCCGCGCGGAAAAAGCCGCGTGGGCCAGTCGATAGCGTCACGCGTATCGCTTCTTGCACAAGCTCGCGCAGCTCAGCCACCCGCTTGGATGGGCTGTCGCCGCTTGCCGAGGTGCTGGCTGATGTTGTAGCAGCTGAAGGGTCACTACTTGTTGAACCGAATCCATTTCGGGGTGTTGTATAGTTTCCGAATCTAGAACCACCTGCTGCGCCACCTGTTGTCGTCGTCGCACGTGCGACGACGTGAAGATAACTTTGGCGAAGAGCTTGCTTATGCAAAGATGCGCTTGCCCTATTGGTCCATCTTAGTGTTTGTTGCATTGTACGCAGCAACGGATGCAAGAAACTCAGGTAACTTCAGGTGCCTAACCGCAGCGCTCAAGCATAGTTATGTTAGCTTCCAAATGCAATTAAATACCAGATTTACACCAGACGGTGACCTATACAGATGTTAGGTGAGAGTATGTTGCATGCTTGGAGGGCATTCGGCGACAGTTATGCGCCACACGTAGATCCATGCCTGTCGTACGCGTCATGGACAAGTCGTGGTGCAATCGTCGAGGTCCACATTGCTCTGCACAGCTACTCCACCTAAGTATGCCAATGCAAATTCATTAAATAAAGGGCGTATCTATCACATACGCTGAGCGTTCACAACACTAGCTACCATGGAAACCCCATCTGACACGGACGCCAATCCTTGGTGTCCCTTAATACGGAATGCTTCCCAACGCTAAAACCGCTAACAGCTATACACATGATCGATAACAGAGGCAAGCAGACCGTCCCTCGCACAGCAAACGAGGTAAGAGCCTTGCCCAACTAAGACCGAACAGGACATGCATGCTTAGCTCATGGAACGCGTGATGGGACTGACCTCGTAACGTCCCAACAGCACTCTCCTATATAACGCATTGCGGTATCCCTCCTATTGCACGAGGCATAACCCCTTAGAACGGCCGGCAACTGCACTTAGTGTCCCCTGGGTAGCTTCTTTAGGACTCCTTGCCCTAGCAAGTGTAGGCTAGCGCATACTAGTTCCATAGCACGCCTTGGAATGTGTGGAACCCTCGCAAGGTGCACAACCCTCAAAAATGCCTCACGGCTGCGAAGACAGCTGATTGAGGCGGGCCTCCGCGTCAGACACCTCCTGCAAACGCGTGGCAAAAACATGGAGGTAAACAAGCCAGTCAAGACTGACAGTCGGAAAGGATGCGCAAACCTTGTCACCTATAGTGCATGCCTCGCGCCCCACCCGGGCAATGCGCCCCTCACATGGCCACAACCTCACCTGCGCTGCAAGGCCTGCCGTGAGCTCCAGCTGCTGCTTTAGGGCTGTCTTCAGCTCCATGAACTCTGCTCGTAGCCCCTCCACCTCGGTGTTCAGTGTCTTCCGCAGCTCTCCCACTTCCTGAGATGCGGTAAACCCCGATTTGTCCGTGCTGGTGACAAACGCCAAAATACATTGGAGCGAATTAAGCTTACCGTCCTGTATGACTTTACTTGCGTGTCAAGCTTTACCCGCCAGTCCTGAAGTTCCTTCTTCAAAGTTGCGACCTTCGACAGCAGCGCATCCTTTTGCTCGTTTAACTCCTGCACAAAATAGTGAAAAAACGCAATTAAGGTATGCCGTCATCCTTGTTGTCTGCTGCTTGGCTATCCAAGTTAGCGACGCTCTAGACAAATGTGTTGCGTACAACCCACCGTGAGTTGCTTTGACTCCACGGTAATATCCGGCTCTATGACTACGTCCGCCATTGGAAGGTGCTATGCGGGCGGTTGGTCAGGGAGCAGAGATTGCTACTAATTGGGGTCAACAACCCTTCTTGACCAACGCGCTGAAGTGGCAGTATAACGTGCTTGTCCAAAGTGCAAAGTGGGTGTCGCAAAACGTCACCTGTTGGCGATCAGGCGCTTCGAGAGGATCAGAGGAACTTGCCCGAGTTGGATTCGTACTTCGATTTACCGTACCGGTACATGCAAATCCCGACGCGCTTCCGTGGCGACTACAAGAATCCATCCATGCTATCAGCTGTCTGTTCATGTGATACAACCGTCATTAAAGGCATGCGGGGGGGCACCTGCATGCACATGAGATGTGGCATATGGGTTACTGTTTGTGGCGCAGACGCTGCTGATCCAGCCTCGCAACCCCTAGGACGGCCGAAACGGCAGTACCTTCCCGCTCAGGATACCGGGCCGTGGAACAAGCCTTGATTATTACAACGTGCAACCACGTCGCTTGACAAGTACCACCTGCATACACTGTTCAGCTCACAGTCCACTAGCCCAAGCTGCCCAACATCTTCCTCACACGCATTCATTGGCAGCTACACAGTGCCATCTAGCCATGGCCCCCCAGTTATGTCGCAATACAAGACCAACTTGAAAGCCAGAATCTCTACCGAAATTGCCTGCTGTTGAGGCTTACCAAGGTTGCGGCACGCACGTCCATTCATAACATTGTCACTGACCAGACACCGTCACCAAAACTCTGTCAGAACACCGCAAGACCTGAACCCAGTCCCCTACCGTGCAACCGCGGACCAACCAGAGGTAACTGCAACGCATATTTTGATCTGGAAATTGATCTCGAAGTTAGTAGGAAGGGAAACGATCATCCCAGCCCGACCCAGATGTCGGGCATCAACCGCTGTGACACTGTCAAGGCAACCACCGCAACGCCAACTCGTCTGCATGGCAACTGTGCCACCGGTACGGGGGCTATAGGGAAGTGGGTGCATGGGTCCCTGGGAGCCTTGACTGGATTCTATCTGTGCTAATGCCATAACTACACTCTCTGCAACAAATGGAAGATTAGCAGGCAAAAGCTTACCTTGCCAAGCACAAGTACGGACAACTGGATGAAATGTACGACATATAGAATACGGCAATGCATGATGCCAAAAAAGCCGTCGAAAGCTACAAAAGCCAATGCCCATTAACCAGGGCCCTGCCCAAGCGCTGTGGGTGTGCGATGCCTGTAGTGGATACTTATACAGAAGCAGTTGGGGGATTGACCTAATCTTTAAAAAACGCGCAAGAACAACTACTCGTGGCATAGAACTGGGCATGCAGGCTGACTACTACACACGCACCCCTGCATGCTGCACTCATGCGGCTAGCCAACGTCCCCAGCCGCCGCGCTTGCACGCCCAACCATAAAACATGCAAGCTGCATGCTGCGACGTCAGCCGGCTGGGATGCTTTGGAGCACAAACCGTAACATCCAGCGCAGATTCTGCGTGCACCGTGCACCATGCATCATGCATCATGCAACCCAATCGCTTCATGCTTCTCAGGTCGAAGCAGCTCACACATGCCAAGCGGATGCATACAATCAGTCAAAAGCTCACATGACTTGAACCTCGAAACCGACAACCCACCCAAGACAAGCAAATCACCCGTCCTCTGCATGTAATGGAAGAGCGTATGACACACGGCGCACCGCCCAATCGCCCTTTCGCCGGCCCTCATCCCTAACTCTCTCCGCTGTCACCCCCACCACATCCGCTGCAGTCTTTCCGACCACTGTCATCACCGCGTAAAGCCCTTCGGCAGATGGTTCTCACCATGTCAGCTCCAACCACCGCCTGCGGCCCGCGAATTGATCCAACCGAACCACCAACCACCAGAACCAACCGCCGCACTGCCACCCCCAACAACACGCTCCAGACCCCTGCTGAGGGACAAACAACCTACCAACCAGTTGCAAACGCACCCCGAACATGTCAGTTGCCGCCGCACAGCTTCCGCTGCCACCACCATTGCCACAACCAACAGGTGACGGCGGTAGCGCCGTCTAGCCGCCCCTACAGCGAGGACAACCTCTCATCAGAGGGACGGCGCCGCCACCGTCGTCACTGCCGCGTCGCCGTTGCCAGGGCATCAGACTGGCGTTACTCCGCCGTTCCAGGAGCTTGCAGTTGGCGCCGCTGCAGCAGCCGTAGTCGTAGCCGCCAGCTGCCTCCTTGCCTCCCGTCTCACCCACCCAGACAACAGCATGTCACGTTTGCGGTACAACCGTGACGACGCCAGTGCGATCTTGCGATCCAGATCCAGTAGATCGCTCGCTGCCACGTCAGCCCCGTCGTACCGCATTCGTACACTGCGGCCGAGTGCCGTACCCAGCTGGTTTAGCAGCGCCGCCATTTCCGCCGGCGCTGCGGGCACCGACATGGCATGCGCCACAGCTGCGTCATCATCCGCGGTTTCCTCCTCCTCCTCCTCGTCATGCGGGCTGTTAGTTCCCAGCTCCAAGCCTCGTACGGCAGTTAGTTCGTACAATGTACGGCTCGTCCAACGGGCAACGGAAGCGGAGGAGCTAGAGATCCTGCGGTAAAGCCCGGGCGGTAGTGCTGCAGCAGTGGAAGCAGCAGCAGGTGGAGTGGCAGCAGTAACGGAAGACTTGGCGGGTGCAGTCGACATTGCCATTGTTGCTGCCACTGCTGTCGCTTCTGCCGTACTCAATATACTCGCTGTCTTGCTTGCTGCAGTAGCGGCTGCTCCTGTCGACATGGCAAGGGCGGCTCCAGCGGCGGTTGCGGTCAGCAACTCCGGCGACAAGAGGGACCCGCTGGAAGAGGTGGGAGTAGAGGTGGAGGCGGGGAAGGGCGCCGCAGATGCCGGGGATGTCAACAACGAGGAGGAGGCGGAGGAAGAAGAGGCGGCAGGTGCTGCAGGGGAAATCGAGGAGGTTGAGGAAGGCGAAGAAGAGGAGGAGGGTGAGGAGGAGCGCAGCCGGTGGGCCTCCTGTACGGCAGCCTCCAGCAGGTCTACCAGGGGAGCTGATGGGGAGGAGGCGGAGGAGGGGAAGAGCGAGGTTGCTGCTGCTGCGGACATGTACGGAGGGATTGAAGCTGGGGACATCTGAGGAGAGGAGGAAGTGGAGCTGTCGGTAATACCAGCAGCGCCAGCAGCAGTAGCAGCCGTTGGTGGGTCGTACTCTGCATACGCATCGAGATCAAACGGCTCATTGTCCTGCATGTACGACATGCCGTAAGGCGGGATGTCGTACATGCTTGCATAGATGTCGTACTCGAGACCCCACATCGCAGCAGCGTCCGTCGTAGACAAGGAGACGTATACGGGGATGGCCCTAACGTTGGCAGCAGCACCCGGCATGGTAGCGTCAGTAACGACCTTGCTTAGAGGCACATAGCCGCTGCTACTGCTGCCGTAACTGGAAGACACGTAGCTGCTGCCGCTGTTGTTGTTGTTGTTATTGTCATGGCAAACGTCGTCTGTTCGGTTGCCATTGCCATTGCTGCTAGAGGAGATCTCGCCTATGTCAATGGGATGGCTTCGAACAGAAGCCATGCTAGCCATGCCGGCAGCACCATTAGAAGCGGCAGTTACGCCGTTGCTGTCAGGGCTGCTACCGTTGCTAGTGCCCCCGCCACTGCTCATACCCTCGTTAGGGGGTGCGGGCGATGATGACAACGGCACATTGCTGCTGCTATGTAGCAGCGGCGTGGTTGACGTGACGCCGGTGCTGCCTGCAGGGGAGCCGGACGCCGCTAGCTGGGCTTCCTCTAGCATGTGAGGGCTCGGTACCGCCGCCGCCGCGGCAACCGCCGGGGCCGTCGGAGCTGAGGAGGAGGGCGCTGCTGACTGGCTAGTGGCCGTACTGGCACTGCGTGACACACCTGCAGAGGTCGAGGAAGCGTATGTCTGCGTCTGAGGGGGGCTGGAAGATGGGGGCGGAGACGGAGCGGCGAGGGCTGCTGCTGCGGCCGCGGCTTTGACGAGGGTGGCTGTCAGGTGTAGCCGGTGAGGAGGAGGAGGAGGTGCTGGTGGGGGGCTGTTGCCGGCCGGTGCAGTGGTGGTAGTTGTGGAGCTGGCGGGTGCGCTGCTTCCGGCGGTAGCGGCTGCAGCAGCAACAGGAGCATGGGCTGTCGTATTCGTTGGGGACGCATGCGTGTCGCAATTCCTTTCGGAGTGCTGGGGCTGGGGCTCCGAACAGGATAGCGCCGGTTGCGGAGGCGGTTGTAGCGGCTTGGGTTGGGCGGGCGCTGCCTCCTGCTGCTGCTGTGATTGCTGCTGTGCCGGCATCCCCATTGGTAGTGACTGGGACGCAGCAGCAGCAGTAGTAGCAGTGGCATCAGGAGACACCATGGCAGCACGGGCACCCTTGGCGTAAGCCCATGCCATCACAGGCGCGACTGGCTTGCTACTCCCGGCAGCTGCAGCAACTGGAACGGCATCACCAGCAGCCATGCTATCACGACTAGCGCTGCGGCTAGCAGCGTTTGCAGCAGCCGTCGCAGCAGCTGCCGCAGGGTGCGACGTCGTCACCGGTCGGGCGTTGAAGGTGGTAACGCACTTGCACCACGACACGTGCACGTCGTACTGCTGTACGGCGGGACCCCCCGGGAAGGTAGCGGCAGGGATCTTGATTGCCATGTTGCCGCCCTCCTGCCATCGTACGACAGTGCCTCGCTCGTCCATTATGACGTACTTGCAGTGCACCCTGGATCTGCACACCGCCATACGGAGGAGTACTATTGGAATGGTGCAGGATAGGCCGTGCGTGATAGAGGCACGGTCGTGATGGGGGGGAAGGCGGGGGGCGGTTCTTTGCAGGTTCCCGTCCTTCAAAGCAAAAATGTAGCCGCTGTCCCGATCTGCATCCCAGCCCCGTCACCCGCTCCGCAGGTTACCCCCACCCCAGCCTAATGCGGAATATGGATCCACATCAACCCCTCCGCGCCGCAGCTCACATCACAGCCCTGACAGCACGACACACCGCTGCATCCTTCACCCTGCAGGCAAAGCCACCTTTCCAACCCACCAGCGCGCCCGGACTATCCCCCAACTCACCCCAGCCCCTGCCTAACACAACCCACAACGCAGCCTTGCTTCCCAACAACAGCAGCACACAGCCCGGCGTCTCACCCTGCCGGCAGCGCCACGCTGCAGCTCCAGTAGTCCCCCCGGCCCCACCGCATGCGCTGGCAGCGCCCGGTGGCCCAGCGGCCCAGCGGCGGCACGTCGCCCACCAGCGCCACTCGCTGGCCGTACGGGCACCTGTACTGCACCTTGAAGGAGACGTTGACTGCAGGGAGCAGGAGGGAGGACAAGAAGGGGGAGAAAGGGGGAAGAGGGAGTTGAAGGGGCCTAGGTGGAGAGGTTTTGGTGCTTTGGAGCGTGTGGAAGGCTGCAGATGGGAGGTGGACAGCAAGGGTGACAACATCGGGGAAAGGGGGACGTACCCAAGTGCGGCGTGTGGGGTTCCGGGCTCGACTTGCTCGCTTGGCGTGATGAGGAGTTTAACACGCGTGCGATTAGGCTGCGGCATCGGGCCTGCAACAGACACGAGCGATGTGGCGCATTGAATGCTTTTCGCAATAGCGCTTGCGTTGCTCGTTGATGCTGCCTATATCAGTTACAGAAGGACACCAATGCAGCGCGATTCTTATTCTTTACCTGATACTGAACACCTTGTAGGCATCGTAATCCATAGGAGGGATGCATTCCAGGAAATGCCAGTATCCTCGTTCCTTGCGCGAAACGTCGCGAACGTATACTTTAGGCGTTACGGCTGTTGCGCAGCGCTTGCTCACCGCTCAGGTCATAGCTGTTCTTTATGCATCTATGCTTTAGATTATCATACGGCTTTGTGTTATGATCTAGGTGAGACCCTACAACACCGGAGCAACTACTGCAATCCTACAACTTCATATGCTACTCAGCGATAATAGCAGATTACGTTTATGAGGGTGCTGATAGCTAAGTTCTTGTATGCGCCTTGCTTGGGAAAATTAACGTCGAGTCATGTCGTCCATCACGGTCGTCGTACACCCGAGTCGCTTGTATGGCAAGGGAAGAAGGGATTACCGCTGCTTATCGCTTGCGCATTAACGATAATCTCATTGTTTTCCAGCCGACCCGAAAGGCCTCACCATTTACGATTGCCCCGTAACCAAACCAACGCCACAGGGTGCGCCGCAGAAACATTTGATTTTAGGCGTACGCATATGGATATATAAAAATAAAAATGTAAGTCTGTACATCAGTTATTGACTGGAGATCAGCCTGCGGATCAGCTGTCTCGCCTGCGGATCAGCTGTTGACTTCGCACTTAGTGAGCGCCGCCTGTTCCTCCCAGCCCTAATTAACAGCAAGGATGTTGCAACAACCTGTCGTCATTCCTAAGATGGATTTTCGCGTATGCAACGGGCAGTGCGGCATGCAGCTTCGGATGCAGGAGCAGGCAATGCAGGAGACCCATGGGTCCGTAAGGGCCAATAACATTGAATCTCATACGGCCAGACAATTTGCGGTGAAGGTTGTAGCCGAAACCTGCTAGCAGTATTTAAGGGATTGGGCGTCCAGGCATGTTACCCTGCGCAGCGGTTCCTAACGAAGAGGAAGTAGTATTTTCCATTCGGCACAAAGGCAAGGCCTGGGAATTGTTGGATCCCGTGTCGTACAAGTCATGCACCTTTCACAAGGGACAATAGGGGTATCTATCCATCTACACACGTTTTCGGTGACTTCTACTACCATCTGTATGCCTATTTATTGAAAGCTGCTTCGAGGTACCCGCCCCGAGGGTCGTCAACTTGTGACCAGAGGATCACAAAAGGCTATTTGTGAGGGACAGCCTTATGTTCCTTATCTATTGACCAGCACCTGCTTGCTGTTTGCTCAATCCGTAATTTGGCAAGCACATTGCATCTGAAGGCTTCGCCAGATTCGCGCGCCAGAACGCCTAAGCAAAAGCCTGGCCTCCTAAACTATGAGCGATGAGCTTCGGCGCTGGGCAGCAGCACCGCAGGAGCCCAGCCACCCCTTGATCCGCCTAGTCGTGCCGGTAACCTCACCACCTCGGCTTGAGGACGGTTTCGGCGATGGCGAGGACGCCGTTGACTTGGGAGCCAAGCTCGCAGCACTGCGCCTAGCTACGGCCCTGCGCTCCCTACAACCTGGAGGCCCCTGCGTTTGCTGGCCAGTCCCATCAAACCAGCAGGTTACGGTTGTAGTTTGCGGCAAGGTGCGGCGAGGGCGGCAGCTTCATGCTCTGTCGCTCGCGCACCCTTTCGTTTAGCAACGGTGTGCCAGCAAGCCGTGCAACTACTGGGCTCCCTTTCAGTTACAAACCTCTGTGCGTTCAACCAAGAAAGACATTCACTTCCTTTCGGTTCTTCCTGTCTCTTCCGTGCAAATCAGGCGAATGCGGCTGCCAGTTACAAGGCACTTGCAGGCAACGCCGCAAAGCTGGGCTACAAACTCGGGGACGTCAAGTCCACGGTCGTGGTAGCTCCGATGCAGTATGAGGAGCTGCAGCGCACCGCTGAGGCGGCTGTGGGACATGCGCTGGAGACGCAGGGCTGGCACAGGCAAGGCGGACTCGAGGGCGCGGCACGGAGTGTTGCAGGGTGCTAGAGCCGTTACAGTTGCGGCTGTGATCTGGGTTGTACGAATGACATTGCGGGGAGGAGATGGTCTCCAAGCACACAGCAGCAGCCCTGATCTGGGTCAGGGATCTGGGTCAGACGGGGATCTGGGAAACAGATGGGGTATAGGCATGGTCGCGTCAAACCGTCAAGCCTCACATCCAGGCTTCCACCTTCGTCGTGGGAATTGCTTGCGTTGCGGTGTGTTGTGGGGAGCAGATGCTCTTAGGTACTTGCCTTTTGGCCCTTCTTTCTGACCCAGATCATGTCCTTCCTATACTGGGGAAACTTGATTTGGGTCAGAAAAACGGATCCAAAACATGGGTACCTGGGGCATCTGTGCTGTCATGTGGGTTTCGCGGCCAGTTTTCTTAACACACACCCATGCCTCCTGCCCACGCACCCGCGCTCCCTTTCCTCCTCCCCACTGCTCCCCACCAGGCTGGGCGCCATGTGGGTCCGCTGCAGCTTCCTGCAGGCCCCCCCGGGTCGCCCGCAGCTGGTGCCCGCCTCGCAGCTGGCCGTGCAGCCCGCCACCGCGGCCACCGGGACGCTGGCGCTGGGGTTCAGGGCGGCAGGTGGGAGGCAGGCGGGGAGAGATGGGATGCATGTGGGGGCGCTGCAGGTGGTGACGGGGGGAGGTTGCATGCTCCGGAAATTCGAGCAGCAAGGAAGAAGGGGTTGCGGGTTGAAAGATTTAGACCGTCACCAGGCTACGACACTGGCGCAGTGCTTCATCTCTTCCAGTGCCGCGCTTCCCTCTTCCCATTCCCCGTGCAGTCATCCCAGTCACCCACCTCAGTCCATCGCCCCCTCCATCCCACCGGTAACCTCCCGCCAACCAGCAGGCCTCTACAAGTTCTGTCCGGTGTGGCCCCTGCCGCCGCCTCCCTCAAGCAAAACCGCCCCAGCCGCCGCCGCGGTTGCCGCTGCCACCAAGCCCGCTACTAGTACGGCAGCGGCAACCGCAGTAGCAGCCGGAGCCAATGCTGCAGCTGCAGCTGCTCCTGCCGCTGGTGGGGAGGAGGCGGTTTCGGAGGCAGAGGCGGCGGCGGCGGCGGCGGCAGAGCCTACCGAGGCGGAGGCTGCTGCTGCTCGCGAGGCGGCGTTGCTACAGCTGTTCAGCGACAAGGCGGCGGTGCGGCGGGCGGTCGGGCGGCTTTCGGAATCGCCAGTGATGGTGGTGGGGCCAGGAGTGTGAGTTTGTGGGGCGGAGTGTGTGGCGGGATTGTGGGTAGGGATCAGGGTTAGGAGGAGGCGTAGAGGAGGCAAGGAAGGAGGCAGGCCAGCAGGCCCGTAAGGAAGAAGTGTTACCCTGCGATTCATGGCCATGGTCTTGAAACTGCATTGACTTCTTTCCTTCTTCCTTCATGCTTCCCCACCTTGCGCCTCCCTCCCCCCCCTCACCCCTAACCCCCCATGCACCCCCCCCCATGCATGCATGCATGCAGCCCTGCCTACATCATCGGCCTCAAACCGCTGCCAACCAACCCAACCGCCGTGCAACGCCTTCGGGACGCCTGGCAGGCTCGCTTCGGGCTGCGGCTGCCGGAGGGCCTGGGCGGCTTTGTGGCCGAGGTCGCCGGCAGCCCTGAGGCCGACCCAGATGAGGCTCGAGACGTTCCGGGGTGCTGCTTGTGGGTTGGCGGCAGCAGCAGCAGTAGTGGCGGAGGAGGTGGAGGAGGTGCAGGTGGATATGGGGGGCTGGTGCCGGCGCCGCCAGCGCAGTGCTCCATGGGAAGTGAGGGAGTGGTGGCGCAGGTGGGCGCGATGGTGGGAGGGAGGGAAGCGGACGGGGGTGGAGGGAGGAGGGAAGGGTGGTGAAGAGACGTGGTTTGAATGCGGTTACGAAGGGGGCTGGAAAGGGAGCCTGGGGAGCGTTGAAGCAAAAAGGGAAAGGTAGTCCAATTAAGCGCTGCCTTACTGGACGAGACTTACCGGTATGCTTAATTGTGGCGTGAGCTAACACGAACACTTCGCAACGTCTCTCCTTCCCTTGTCACATCCTCGCTCCCTGCACGCAGCTAATGGTCGATTTGTCGCGAGCCTCTTCCAAGGGGTTCACCTTCTGGGGACCCACGGGTCTGTCCGCTCGGACGGAGGCGCCGCCGGGAGCCGAGGCCGCACTTGCGAAACGCCGCGCTGGCGTTATATCCGCCGCCGAAGCCGCCGCCGCTGCTAAAGCCGCTGACATTGCTGACGCAGCGCCGCCGACACAACCGCCAGGTGAGAATACCGGCTGGACGGCGGCAAAGGAGGTGGTGGAATCTGGGTTTCGTACGGCAGAGGCGTTGGCGCCAGCTGCGTTGGCGTTACGCCGTACAATTGATCCAGATCTTGACGGCGCCGCTGGCGGCGACGGCGGCAAGTTCGACGCCGCCGCCGCCGAAGCGGCGGAGGCCGCGTACGGAGACCAAGCGGCGGCGGAGGCGGCGGGACGTGACGGTGGCGCCGGCAGCGCTGCGGCGCGTGAGGCAATGTTCCAACGCAGCAGCGATGAGGCTCTTCGGGCGGCAGCGGAGCTTCGGGCGGCGAATCGTGCCAAGGAGCAGGGGCTCTGGGCCAAACATAAGGCCTTTTGTGCGGCGCGAAAGGTGAACGAGTACCGCACCGTTTGCGTGATTTGTATTAGCTGAGCCGTTACTGTGTGAAAGTCCGGTCCAAGCCCCTACATGCATGGCAGTCTGGCGTTGTTGTTCTGTTAGCGTAATGAGGCATGGGCAGGGTGGCTGCCTGAGAGGAGGTGCGGCGATGTGCTTATAGAGATTGGACTCGTACCGCTGCAGCAAAGGTGTGGGTAATGGGTTATTGCCCGTCGGTCACCCGATGCAACCAACGCTTCTGAATGACCTCCATCGCTCCCGTCGCTTAAATTACCAGGCAGAGGAGGGAGAGGATGGGCACACGTCGGGAGCCGTCAACCGCAGCGGCAGCGCCCCTGCAGGCGGCCTGTCCCGACCACCGCGGGCTCCGCACTTCGGCTCCTCCTCCCTGCTGCTGCAGCGACCCGCCGGTCTCTTGGGCAAGACGGGTGCCGCCAAACCCCTGCTGGGCAAGGGCACGGCTGCGGCCGGCAAGAAGCCGCCTGTAGGAAGCAAGCCGGCGGGTGCGGCTGCGAAACCAGCCAAGGCTGCGGCTGGCGTCAGCAAGGCGAAGACTGCAAGGGCCGCTGCGGCAGCGGCAGGCGCGGCGCCAGCAGCGGCTGCGGCGGATCCTGCCGCAGGTGAAGGAGGAGACGCTAATGCGGCCGCGGCACCGCCTCCAGCGGCGAAGAAGCGTACAGCGAAAGCTGTAGCGACCGTCGGTCCTGACGGGGCCCCCTTGCCGGCAAAGAAGCGGACAAAGACCGCCGCGGCGGCGGCGCCGGCAGCGGCAGGAGGTACGGCAGTCCTCCCTCCAGCTGCGGCGGGGGTAGCAGACGCCACCGCCACCGTCGCCGCCGGCAGCTCCGCCGCGGCACCTGCAGCAGGGGAGCAACCGGCGGCCACCGCCGCTGCCGCCGTCGCCGCTGACGGTGCCGCCGCCGCTGTGGCGGCGGGCCTTTTCGATAACGACGGAGAGGACTTTGTTAACGCAGCGGCGACTGCCACCGCCGCCGTCAACGTTCTGGACGCCGTCAAAAAGCCTGCTGGGACGAGCAAAGGAAGCAAAGTTGGCGCATCTGCTAAGCGCCCAGCGCCGCCGGCGGCGGGGGCGGGGACGGATCAAGGCGCCGGCGTGTCCGCGCCGCCTGCGGCTGCCGCCACCGCGGGTTCGACAGCGGATGCAGCGGGTGGCGACGCCGCCGGGGCTCCTGCGGCCGCCGCAGCTGCAGCCCGGAAGCGCACCAAGGCGTCCGGCTTGGACCCGGCGGCAGTCGAGGCGAAGGTACGACGGGTCATCCGGTGCCGCACAACATATGCGACAGTACGGCGCAAACACGGATTCCGCCTTCAGACACTCCTGCTTCTATTTCGTTTTGTCCTTCTGTCTCTGAGCTGGCACACCCCAATACCGGTAACCTCACCAACCACCTCCCAATGATGCCGTACGTACGGCTGCAGGTGTCTGCCGCCGCCGCCGCTGGCCGCCTGAGCGACCTCACGCTTCCCGAGATGCAGTGCTACCTGCGGGTCCGCAAGGCGCCTGTGAGCGGCAAGAAGGCGGATGTGGAGGCCAGGCTGGCGGCGCTGCTGGGCGTGGTTGCGACGACGGCGGCGGCGGCCGCTGCGGGGCCTGCTGCGGCTCCGGTGGCGGTTGCGGCGACCTGAGGCCTAACGTGGCTTGGCGGCGAGCACTGGTAAGCAACATGTGAGCTAGTCCAAGGGAGGTATAGGAGGGCGGCAGCCCACGTGATGGGGCTGAGATGCCAGTGTCACAGGTGAAGATGCGGCGTACAGGGTGCGTACGAATCTGCGTGATCTTGGATTGGTATGTAGCAGGATGGGCCATGTATAGTTGCGGTATATGATATAACATAGTGTGAATTATCTGACATTAAATTAGTATGGATTCTCCGTGGAGGAATTTCTGTACATGCGGACATGTGCGCAGACGCACGGCGTCGTACAATGCGGTATTCGTACAGATAACGGTGAATGATTGTAGCGCATATGCGCGTAATTTTTTGCGCACGATGCCTAGACCTTTGAAAGGCTACATGCATGCCGGTAGCTTGCAGGTGACCATGCAGGGGAACAATGGTAGGCCCGCGTATTGATGCTTAGGATCGGCAGCAAAACAGGAAGGGTGGAGTCGATCGACTTGGCTTGCGGGTTAGCAGGGCGCGCGGCATGCAGAATGACTGGTTTATGGAAGCTCGCGGATATCGTAGGCGGTTCGCCGTGAAAATGTGCGTCGCCATTTGGTGTGACGTACGGATGGTCTATGGCCGTACATGCATGCCGGCTTTATCGTCATCAGTCCCTTGCCACGTGGCACGGGCACTACCACCAGGACAGTCATTTTCTTGAGCTTCCATATTGTTGCTGCCAAAGAATGCAGCATTTTGGAAGCCCTGACGGATGGTGTACAGAAGTCGTGAATGCAGCCCCGAAACGATGTATAGATGGAGATACCAAGGCTCGCGATACTTTTACCGGCATGGGGAGGTATGAAGAGACCCTTCCGCAGCTTGGAAATTCGTCCAACGCAACAAAACCGCCATTCGACCGAACATAGGCGTCCAACTTCCAAACCAACCAACCGACAAACTGTTCGTGCCCCTAACACTGTGCAGCGTGAGCTCCTACACCTGCAGCACACGGGCGCAAAACCGCATGAATGCACGCGGGTCACAACCCAAAGACAAAAGGAAAGGAGAAGCGCAGGAACAACAACAACGTTCCGCAAACTCAACAAGGTCCAACCAACAACAGAACAAGGTTCTGTACGCTATGTACATCATCCGGGGTTTGTCACCCTATGGGTTGGGGCTTTCAACGAAATAGCTTCGAAACCGACCATGTTAGGTACCAATACCGCAAACGCTACTCCTGCCCCCGCTGCGAGTCAGCTCCGCCACAACAAAGGCCGCCTGCCAGGCAGTGTCAAGACGAATGCCAGCCGCCAGATAAGCCGCAGAGCCAAGAAAACACCAAAGCCAATGCCTAGCCTTACACCGTCGCGCTTCGCGGAGCAGTCTCAAGGCCCAAACAGCCTCACCGAGTCACCGCATCCGCAGCCCTCGGCAGAACACGTCAAGCCTTTGCCTCGTCGATTGCGCCGCGGCTCGCGACACCCCAACCCCACCCGGACTCCTGCGCCACCTGAAGGTCCCCAGCCCCAAAGCACAGGGGCCATGGAAATCCCCTGCTCAAAAGCAAACCGCTGCGAGTGATGCCATGGTGCTTCTCGCTCTGCGGTGTACGAGCACTTGCAGCGTTTCCTGCTTGCAAGGTGCCCACGCCTTGTGGTGTTCTGTCCCTGCCCGGATCCCGAACCTACTGCGACGACGGCCAGGCCGTCGTCCCCTCACTGGTCCCCTTTTACGCACGAGCGGCGTCCCTCCCGCTATTGCGAAGATGCCTGGCCGTCCCCCTCCGCTTGCGGCGTCTCCCGCATGACGGTGAAGATACTGCGGAACTGCTGCCGCGTCATGCGCACGTGCTTCAGACCGCCGTCGGAGGTCTGGGGGGAAAGATGAATGATAATGTGTTGAATGATAATGGGAAGCTTGGGGGAGGGGTAGGGTTGGAAGGCGGACGTTTGGGAATTGGGATAGGGAGGCGGCAGGAACAGCGTACGTGCCCGACTGATGTGCTGCACGTGACCCCAAGCCGTCCTCCTTGGGCCTGAGGCCGCCAACCCCATACCCCACTCGCCAGCATGTCCCATCCCATAACCCACCCAACGTAGCACCCTGCTCGTCTTCACCCTCCCGTATCCGGAGGGCTACAATCCTCACACACCCCCAAAGCACTCCGGGGCCCCCGCCACCCAGCCACATTGCTTCCCCACACACGCACACGCACACACCCCTCTTGGAACACCCCTCTCCCCACCTGCGTGTAGAGCGGCTGCATGATGCGCTCCCAGCTGCCCTCCCCGAACAGTTGCCCAATCAACTGGTCGTTGGTGAGATCCAGCTGCTTCAGGTCCTCCGAAACCAGGTAGTACACGTGGCCCTCGCGACCCAGGAGCAGCAGCGCGCCTGCAGGGTTTCGGGGCCAGGGTTGGAGCAGGAGGGGTCGGAGCAGGTGGGCTCGGAGCGGGCTGGGGACGAGGGGTGCGTCGTAAAGGCAGGAGCTGGGAAGAGGAGGCCATAAGGAAAGTGGGTCGAGGTACGGACAGTCGGGCACGCAGAAAGGATCCAGGCGCGGGGTTTGTACTATTGAGGATTGAAAGCAAAATAATCCACCGACATGCTCCCTCACTCCAACTCCTACCCCCAACGCACCCTCAACGTAGCCATCCAGCTTGGTCTCCATCCATGAGCTGTTCTCCTTGCCGTACAACAGCACCCGCCCGTCCACACGGCGGCGGAAGTTCTTCGCTTCGCGGTACCGCTGAATAGCCGCCACGTCCTCAACCTCGTCCACTAGAGTTCCGTAACCATCGGATTTGGGGTCCGTGCTCGAAGAAGACCCCTGGGTCAGAGCACAAGGCGGCAAGCTTCGGTCAGGACAGCCGTAGGAACCAAGGGACCACTTCGAAAAGGTCATAATTTACTGCTGAAATTCATAGTTAAGCGAAGAGGGGCAGTTTGACAGCAGAATGACTGCTTGATCGAACCCGCGCTTACGGTTGCCGCTTGCGAGCCAACATGAAATCGTGCTGATGTAAGGCAAGTTACGCCATCTATCAAGTTCCTTCGAAGTCCTGTGTTACATCGAGGCAAGTACAGCTGTTGTCACGGAAATGCCGGAACACAAAAGCTGCGCGTTCACCCACGCACCGGAAAGTGCGGCTACACGAGTGAGAAGCGACATGGGCAAATTAGATAGCTTTAGTCCTTAGCTGCCTGCTAGATCGCGGAATAGGAACCAATAGAGGCGACCCGCGTTGTGTTTGTCTCAGCGAAGAAAATTACAGAAGTAATTAGTGGGAAAGCAGAATGTGCCACGAGAAGAAGCTGTGAGGACATAGGATCTGACGCAGGACGCAGGGAATCTCACGTTCTAAAAACATGTACGACAACGTCCAGGCCGGCATGGCCTCATCCCCAAAACGGCCATAAATTTGGAAGCAAAACATTTCCCATTTTGTGAGAAAGGTAACTATCTTGGCGTAATTACAACCTTGGCGAGGTTGCAAGATTCTTCTGAAAGCCCTAACGTTGCGCCTTCTCAGCTTTGCCTAGTTGCCAGCGGCCAGCCGAAGCCATCATGGCCACGAGGCTGCTGGTCGCAGCCCTTGTGATTGCGGCTTGCGGTTTTGCGGGTGCGGTCTCAAACGACTTGCTGCGCCAGGAGCATAACCAGGTGTTGCTGGAAGCCCAAGCTAATCCGCTTGGGGCTTTTAACCTATGGGTGAAGCGGCACGCCAAGCCCTACCTGCCTGACACCGAGGAGTTTAGGACGCGTTTTGCTGTTTGGCTGGACAACCTTCAATATATTCTCTCCTACAACGCGCGCACCACGTCACACTGGCTGCACCTAAACCACTTGGCTGATCTGACTACCGAGGAGTACCAGTCTCGGCTGGGCTTTGACAACCAAGCTCGCCTTGCAAGCAACCGCCTGAAGTCGAGCACTTTCATGTACTCCGACGTGGATGCGGACACCCTTCCTCCGGATGTGGACTGGCGCAAGAAGGGTGCGGTTGCTGAGGTCAAGAATCAAGGGCAGTGCGGTTCGTGCTGGGCGTTTTCCACAACTGGCAGTGTTGAGGGCATCAACGCCATTGTCACCGGTGAGCTTGTTGCTCTGAGCGAGCAGGAGCTGATCGACTGCGACACCAGCCAGGACAAGGGTTGCAGCGGTGGTTTGATGGACTATGCTTACACCTGGATTATCAAGAACAAGGGCATTGACACCGAGGACGATTACCCTTACACCGCCTTGGACGGTTCTTGCATCTCCGAGAAGAAGAACCGCCGTGTCGTCACCATTGACTCCTATGAAGACGTGCCCGAGAACGACGAGGTTGCGCTTAAGAAGGCCGTCGCTCACCAGCCGGTTGCTGTTGCGATTGAGGCCGATGCCAAGTCCTTCCAGCTCTACGGTGGCGGTGTCTACGACGACGCCACCTGCGGCACTTCCCTCAACCACGGTGTCCTTGTTGTTGGCTACGGTCGGGATCCCAAGGCCGGCACCTACTGGATCGTGAAGAACAGCTGGGGCCCGGAGTGGGGAGATGCTGGCTACATCCGTCTCAAGATGGGCGTCACCGACAAGGAGGGCCTGTGCGGCATCGCTATGGCTCCTTCCTACCCCATCAAGAAGAACCCCAACCCGCCCACTCCTGGCCCGACGCCCGGCCCCAAGCCTGGTCCCAAGCCCGGCCCCTCGCCCAAGCCCCCCAAGCCCGAGCCTGTCAAGTGCGACAGCAGCAACGAGTGCCCCGCGGAGAACACCTGCTGCTGCCTGCAGGAGATCTTCAACATGTGCTTCCAGGTGGGGGGGGAGTAAAGGCGGTTGGGTGAGAAGGGGGGGGGGCTTTGAGAATGTGGGAGGGACATGGAAGGGGGAGATGGCCTTGTTGCAGGAGAGTCAAGATGCTTCAGTCATAAGCGCACTTCTCAGTTGTTCTGAAGCATTGCTGTCAGAAGCGCGCTACTCGCTATCGTCGCCATGCTTAATGCTCACCCCTCCTGTGCGCTCCACGTCAGTTCCTGCCAACCCCTGCGCTCCCTGGTTTCGACCCGTTACCTGTGTCCCACATCGTTTGAACGAACCCCTCCCCCTCCCCCTTCCTGCCACTTCCTTCCTCGCAGTGGGGTTGCTGCCCGATGCCCAAGGCAACTTGCTGCGAGGACGGCGAGCACTGCTGCCCCTCGGACCTCCCCGTCTGCGACACCGACGCTGGCCGCTGCTTGCCCAGCCCTGGAGTCATGCTCGGCTCCAAGCCTTGGGCCACCAAGACGCCGGCCATTCACCGCTCGTGGTCTGAGCGCATCTTTGGTCGCGGTTGCCAACGTCAACGCGAACAGCAGGAGGAGTTGCCGGCTCAGTAAGACGCAGGAGGTGGCTTATAAGTGCTGCGGCATGCGACTAAAGGGCGTGCAGCTTGGCACCCGAGGACACTGGTTGCTCGCAGGGGATTCAGAGGTCTGAGCTTGTTTGGAGCGTGTCTGTGCTTTTGTAGCAAGTTGGGGGAGGGTCGCGGTAGGCAGGCATGTTGCAGGTACATACAGGCTTCTTACATCCGATTGATGGTAGTAGTCCTTTATGAGTGTATGGCTAGTGCTCTTTTTTGCCCCTTGTGAGTAGCGATGCCCTCGTGAATAGAGATCCTCCAGGCGAGGCGGGTCCTCGGGCTTGCATTTGGCGCAAAGTGGACCTTGCTTCGAGTGCCGTTTCGTGCCAGGTTTACCTTGCGCTATCGCATCGGAATGACATCCCCCACGTGGACATCCCGGCGTTGTATTTGTCAATAAGCGGGGCTCTGTCCTGCGCTGGGCGCAGCGCGTTTACTTGTGCGTTAGGCAGAATGAGCAGGTGCATCCGGGAGGGTGGAGTTGAGCTGGGACGACAGTTGTTGTGCCAGTTACGCAGACTACAGGAACAAAGATCGTGTTGTTTGTCAGCTGTATGGAAGTGGTACGGACGTGTATGTAGTGAACGTAGGTAGTCTTGAGGGGCGGCTGTATCGCTTGTGCTCATACGGTTTAGCTTGCTCGGATGGTCTTGTTTGATGTAACTTGTAGGCAATTTTGACGGTAGGCGGACGAGAAACGGCGACGAAGGGCGAGTATTGTTGCTGGGCGCTGTGCGTTGTTGAAGCTGGCCCTGCATATGGGCTTAGTAGCAGACACGTCGCCGAGCTGAGTCATGGTAGCTGGTTCACCGCTTAGTGACTTACTCGTAGGCAGCTGCAATGTACATCGGACCCTATCGAGTATTGAGCGCTTTGCTATTCACCCTTCTTCTGCAAAGAGGGCCTGAACCGCAAAGTCTGCCAAGTTGTCTCGTTCCTGTACCGGTATGTGTTTGATGGGAGAAGGGTGTTGCCCGCTTGCACCTGTTGTGTGCTTGGGAGCATGCACTTCTCCGGCTATCTTGCCGCCCGTCCGCCAGGTTGTGGCGTTAGTCCTGTATATTGTTAAGTGGCGAAGGCTGCCAAATACCGGTAGCCCTATTGTACACTACATCCGAGCTAGACGCTGGGGATGGGCCTTGTAACTTTACATGCTGTCGCTTTCGTGTCACCAACATGCTTGTCTATCTGCAGAGCAACGCCATCACGACAAGTCCACCGACTCTTCATGATAGTCCTCTAGCGGAGCAGTCATGTACGGTTGTCTTCTAGAAAGGGAAACCATCACCTCGTTAGTAGGTACTGGTAGCGGTTGGATGCATGCAACTGAGGAAGGCATGGTACATACGGGCGGCTTGGGAAGGGCTGCATTATGTGTCCGGACTCCAAATTGTGCAGCGGTCGTTGTGACCCAAGGGCCTGTGCAAACCATGCCTGGCGTTCCAGGCTTGACAGCTGTGCAGCAACGTCATTGCTTACTTGCTCTGTATATGCGTCACGTCCTTGATTTCTTCCTTGTCACCGACTTCGGCAGACCGTGTGCTTGGACTTTGGAGGGAGGCTCGACTTGTACGGCGTTTCGCGACTGATCACTATCCTTGCACAGACTTTTAACAGGCAGTCCATGCGGAAGTTAGCGACGGGCTTCCAAGGGCAAGACACATAGCGATACTGTACTTGGGAATAAGAATGCCGCCTAACTAGCAAAGCCAGGGCTTGCGCCCGAGTCTTGTTTTGACGACTACCGTGTAATTGCAACATGTCTGTAGCCACTGCGTTTATCAAGCGCCGGGGAACATCTTTTAGTGGTCGACGGCAATTAGCATCGCGAAGCCCTGCCTGTACTCACAAATCCTATTTCACAGTAGTTTGCAAGTCCAGCACAAGCACAGTAGGACAGCATCAGCGCCATGACGTAAGAGCTAGGCCAAGCGCAGCGCGAGCGACAGCTGCTCCCGCCAATGGTGTCGGCTATGCCGCGGAGCCGGCTGTGGCGCTGGTCGTCGAGCCGCTGTCTCCCATGGACGTAGATCAAGAGCTCTGGGCCGTGCTGGATATATGCTCGGACGAGGAGCTTGAGGCCCTTTACAACATCCTTAATGCAACATCGCCTTTCAGCCCATTGCTGAAGAGCCTCGTAGTAAGTATTGCTATGTCAACGGTTGTTCCTAAGAATGTATTGGTTCTCTGCAAGGCCCCGTCTTATGTCGGTTTATCGCTCCGATGGGAACTAACTGGAGCCTGTGCGTGGTCTGTCGTTGCACGCCCTTTCCTGAACCACTTACCAGGTGGAGCGCAACGAGCCGGCTTTGGTATCCCTCCGAGGCCGCCGTAGCGTTATGCACCGACTTGAGTCCCAGCTCCGTTTCCTAGCAGCGAGCTCGGTGCACCTGCTGCGGGGCGCGCGGCCATCGTACCGTGAAATACTGTTGAACGTGAGGGACAAGTGAGTCTGTGGGAGGGAGCGGGGTGAGACGCTGGATATCTCAAGGGACGGGGACAGGGAGGAACGGCCGAGTTCAAGCCTTATTGTGGTTACAATCCATTTGTACGCACATACGGACTGTCAATACGAGCCAGCGGACCAAGGACACAGTATGACACGAGTTACCGGTAGTCCGGGTCAAGACCCGTAACTGGCCGCTGCCCATTGCTTGGACGACCCATTTGTCACGCCCCTCCCTCCCCACAAACCACTATGCCAGGCGTGGGCTTCTCTCTCCCTCCCTCTCATGCCAACCTAATAACCGTTCAGCGCCCCTGCTCCTTTTCCCTACCAAAACACAGCCCCGCTTCCTGCTGTCTCGCTGCCACCACCTGCCACGCGCAGGTTAGACGTGCGCTGCTCACGCAACCTCTCCACGTTCGACCTGGAAACCGAGATCTTCCTCCACATCCTGAACCACTGCGTCGAGTACGTGCACAGCCCCGAGCACGATGCCTCCGGAGTGGACCCCTTGCAAGCCGTCGCCTTCGCCACCCTCACCCACGTGGGCGCTGACTTCCCTACCGCTGCTGCTGCTGCTGCGCCCGCGGCTGTGGGCAGCATCTCGAGCGCAGCAGCAGCTGCGGCAGCGGCAGGCACGGCGGCAACATCGACAAGCAGCGGGAGCGGGTTACATGGCACCAGCAGCAACAGCAAGAACAGCAACAACAGCCGAAGTAGCAGCAACCGTGCTGGTGCTGCGGCGGCCACAGGGAAGGGGTCGTCCACAGCTGCGACGACCTCGGCCCCAGCGCACCCGTCCGCATCCGTATCCTCAACATCAACATCATCTGCTGCTGCTGCCGCCGCAGCCGCCGCTTCTTCTGTTGCCGCCTCTCCTAAGCAGCAGCCGTCAACATCACCACCGTCCGCCTTCACCACCGTTGTCCCACCCAACTCCTCCTCTTCCTCCTCCTCTTCTCCCGCTACACCCTCCACCCCCTCACCCTCCTCAGGAGCTCCGCAGCCACCGCCTCACGCCCATCCCCGTCACCCCCATCATCACCACCCCCCTAAGCACAACTGGACGGAGCGGCTGACCGCTCCCTTCCACCTGGGCTTGAAGGACCTTGGCCCCACACTGCTGCACATGGCGGGAGTGGTCACGGTGACAAAGGTGCGATGGGGCCATGGAAGGGGGGGGGAGCTGGGCTCGGGCACCCCGTGAGTGACGGTGTTGGAGAGGTGCGGATGACTTGGCCGCTAAGGCAGAAAGGGGTGTTGGGTCCAGGAACATTTCCCTGGTTTCATTTGCTCCCTTAATCAGCTAACCATACATGATGTGTGCGACCTGCAGGTGGGTCAACGCGCCAGTCAGCAGCTGGCAGCCAACCTGCTGAGCAGCCACCTGCGCTACCAGGCGGCCCTCAGAGCCGCCACCGCTACTGCGTCTGCTACCGCTACCGCAGCTGCTGCAGCTGCTGCAGCTGCTGCGAATGCCTCGGCGGCGGCCGGCGCCAAGGGACTGGTGGCGGCCTGGAGCAAGCAAGCAGTGCTGGAGGTGGGTGGGTGGGTGGCTTGTTGGGTGTCTGGGCGCGCCTCCCGCTTGGACAATACCTAACTAACTGCGGGTACCTCCCGCTCCCCAAGTCCCTCCCCTTACCCTGCACCTACGCCACGGCCTGGCACCACCTGACACAACCCGCACGACCCCTCCTGTCCTCACACAAAAACTCCCTTCTCCCCTCCTTCCTCACGCCCCAACACACCCCCGCTCACACAGGCCGCCCAGCGCAGCCTGACCCACGCCACCGCCCGCTACTCCGCCCTCCGCGGGGCGCTGTCGCTGCTGGGGCCGCTGCTGTGGGGCTGGCTGGCGCTAGACCTGGCGCTCAAGGCGATAGGGCCCGACTACGCGCGAGTCGTACGAGCGGTGTTCCTGCTGTCACAGGTGGGTTGGTTGGTTGGTTGGCGGTTAGGATGGCGGTTAGGATAATGGCATTGCGTGGAGGGTGGAATTGACATGCCCCGAAGGGCCGTTTCGTTTTTTCCTTGTTGTGCTGCTTTGTGCTATTACGTTTCTCTTCTAACACATTGCTGCCTCCGCATTCGTACGGCACTCCAGGTACGGCTGGTCCGTACCCACGGGTTTGTGTCTTCCGAGATGCAGCGTATGGGACGTCAGCAAGCGCACGACCGGTACGAAGACGACTCGGACGCAGAGGATTACCAAGATCCGGGGGCAGCCTACTTTTGACTTGGTTGAGCGTATGTTTTAAGCGGTGGGCAAAGGTTATGCAAGGGCTCCTGTGTCCTGGCGTGTATTCAGAACATTTGGCCGCGAGTCGTTACGTGTGACGTGTGTGAGAGTGTTGAGCGTATTTGGTTACAGCAAAGTAGCCCTGACAGAGAGATTGTGGTACTGCATGACTGCATGCTAAACTCTGGTGTAGGACGGTGACACGCGTTTTAAGCGTTTTGGACCCTGTGAGCTGGTGCTAGATGAGAAGATGACGTTCGTTCGCGGGGTTACTTTTGACGTAGCATGTAGGTTGCTTTTGGTCCCGCTAGGTGAGAGATAGCGCCACATAATGTATGGTCAGAGATGCTGAGAGGGCTAGGTTTATAGACCCAGTGTGTGGTATGGATAAACGCACTTCACGGAAATTTGTTTTAGGAGCTTGAGTGGCATGCGAGAGACCGCTGGTTGTTTACGGGGTTAAGTTCTACTCCTCGGCTCAAGATGCGCATTTGGGTATATGTACTTGCGTAAGCAAGGGGCCGACACCGCATTTGACGTCCGTTTACGCACACCTTGAGCGCATGAGGGCATTCCATGTTCCGGTGCGCTGCTTCTTTGGGACGTCTTGCGCGAGATTTCATCACCATGTGCCGGTGTCCGTTCGAGGCATATACGATACCGTTTCTTTGCATGGCAAGGTGGCTGTTGTGGACTTGGTGTGGGCTGTGGTGGAGAGGAGCAAATGGCGACAGGGCCCTTTTGAGAACGGCAGGGTGGCGTGGTGCATAAGGGCTGGAGCTTAGTTGGTGAGTCTTTGTTCTCTTCCCATGCTCCTTTCGTCTGAGCTGTTGTCTTTGCTTACTTATTTCATGCAACGAGGGGTAAAAGCACCAAGGGAAGTAGACATGCCGGTAACTCAATACCCGCTGCTCTTGTTGCGATGTCCAACGAGGCACAACATCCATCGGAGCAGCTGCTCTGCATAGCATCTTTATGGAGGCACGTCTAATTGTAGTGGTTTGTGCCTTGTGTTCCGGTGGCTTACAACTGTGCCTATCGCTCAGCATGTGCGGGAGCTGTTGGGTGTCAGAACTCCTCACGCTTAGTGATCGTTGCGTTGTGCGGTGGACCGATGTACGGTATGTAGGAGCATTGCATGTTGTCCTACTTTGCAGGTAAACAAAAAGCTTTGGGTTTTGCGCTCGTAAACCCTCTTGCATGTTGCATACAGGGTAACGCAGTGGAGGGTGCAGCGACCCATGGGTCACCTCAGGCGACTTTGCCACTCTGCTAACCTCCGGGCATACGTCTCCCCCTACTACTTCCAAGCTATCGTGTACGTCTGTGGCTCCTGCTCTTTCCACTAGACACGTTAGCCAGGCTCATTACAGCAGCAACCTCAGCTCTTAGCAGCCTCGACTGGCATTACTGGTACATAGCTGCCTTTCTTGGTGCCTGTCTGCAAACCCGCAGTGCAGCCACAACACATTACATTGTGGATGACGCAGCCGTATGCTCCTTGCTTCCAGCAACCCATTCGTGCTCGGCTAGAAAGGGCATGAATTCCATGAGCGAGCAACCATCTGCCCATGTGCGCGCGGCGAGGATCCCCAGCGGAACGCTCAATCTGACACTCGCCACACGCAACACACGCAGCTCGGTTCCTTCCTCTATCCATGCGAACACGGTGAGTCACACCCCGTTCATGAGAAGAACACAGCAATTCACGCCCCTGTGTAGGAACCAAAAGTGTTGTTGCATGCGCCACTATAATGGTACGGCAGTACCAGAAGTTTACACGCTGCGGCTGCTGCTTGCATGGGAGGTGAGCCCCGGAGAGCCCCGCCCTCAAGTCATGTCGATCACAACGGTTTCAACCCCTCCTGCCTGCTCCTCCGGTGACGACGACCGCTCCCCTGCCTCCCCCGTCGCTACTGCCGACCCTGCATCCCCTGCACCTCGCCCATCCTCTACTGCCTCCTGCGTCGCGGCTGCTTTCCCCTCGCGCTCGTCTGCCTTGTTGCTGTCGCCGTTGGGTGCCGCCGCCCGCGACTGCTCCTCATCTCCCACGTACTTGACAGACTGCGAAGAGCACGATAGCGCATGGGAGTCCCTCAAGGCAATATCGTCGTACCGGACCTACCTTCGTGTAGCCTGATGCCAACCCTCCTCCTTCCGCAAGCCGCATTTGGCGATAGTGCGAGAGAGAGTAGATTATTTCAGGGGTATCAGCTGGCGAATTGCACGTCAACGATTCACCTTCACGCCCTACACGCCACCCCAGGCTGCTGCTGCCGCAGCTTCCATATCCGGTGCGGCTCCCAACCCCTCCACGGTGCCCTTCCACTCCCCAAAACCCTATTTCTCTGAGCCCCCATGTGTTCTACACTTTGTTCAATATGCTGCCTACCCTTCGGACCCCATGTCTGACCGTCCTTCCTAAGTTCTTATCCTCACTTACCTCCACTCTCCCCACCGCCACGAGCACCGGAGCCATCACCTGAGCTCCCCACGCCTCCCGCATGGCTGCCCGCACCACGAATTTGCCCATGTGGGGCATCTGCGGGGGTGTCGGGGGAGGGGGAGAAGCGACAAAACACACACACACGTTCTTGTTCTACTCAACTACACATGTGTGTTTTGCGGCCAGGTAGTACAACGCAATTGTCAACACACATGTACGGCACACATGTGCAGAGGGAACCATATGCAGCATGCAAGACACGGCATGGCAGGAAGGGGATTCCAAAGGGAATTCTGTACGACAGCCCGTTTACCTGGCTGTACGGCTCCACGACAAGCGGTCGCAGCGGCCGCAGTTCCACCACCGCGGTTTCACCTTCCCGCAGGCAGGCGAGGGCCTCATCAGCAGCGTCGGCTGCAGGGACGTCGGGGGAAAGAGAGAATACCGGTAAGACCCTGGTGCTAATTTCAATCAGTGCTAACCCGACTTTTCTTTTCGTTGGGATTGTTTACGATATCAGGTTCGTACAATTCGAAACAAGATACACAAGCTCCGCCGAACAAGGTATTGGTGAGGACTGGGCAGCAGGGTGGGTTTTGGGAAATGAGGCAGGGGGTCAGGTTCCTAAAGGTTCGGCAAAGGCGGCATTGTTTGTGCGCAAGGGAACGGAGAAGGGCGAGTACAATCGGCGCAAGTATAAACACAACCACCATCAAACAGGGGAATGCATCTTGCAGCACATGCATCCCTGCACGTGGCGTTAACTGGCTTGCCGTACACCCAGTATGACACCCAGTCGTACCCGGGCTGACGTACGCCAATCGCACCTTTCGAGACGAGCTTCTTCACAATGCCCTCCAGCCTGCAGGCCACCTGGGCCGTGTGCACGTGAACCACCATCGTGAAGCCGGGGCGTATAGCACGGGCCTTGCCTTCTCGCTTGGAAGTCGGGTCACGCCAGATCTGTTGGGGGCCGCACGGGGGTCGCAGTTGCCCCCGTGGTGGACGGGACTTGCGGGTGAACTGATGTGCGGCGGAATGGGATGTCGTACCGTACGGCAGTGGAGAGACAGGAGGAGCAGCTGGGAGGGAAACGATTGGGAACTGCCCTGGTGAGTAGTGGGGATTGGAAGTGACTGGGAAGCCAGGTACCTTGTCGCCACCCTCCCTCCCTCTCTCTCTCCCTCCCTCCCTCCCTCATTATCCATTTCTTTTTCTCCCTCACTCTCTCCCGCCCTTCTGCGCACCTGCACTGTAGCTGTGAACGATGCCGCCAACCGCGCCGGCCGGTCGCCCGCATCCGACACCACACAGCCCCGACGCAGCTGCGACACGCCCACACCCTTGATCGCAAACCCCACGAAATCACCCGCTACTGCTGCCGGCCCCGCTGCTGAAACACCTCCACCGCCGGCTGCTGCTGCCGTACTGCTGCCGCCGCCGGCGCCACTGCCGCCCTGCGCGGCTTCCAATGTAGACGGAGATGGCGCCGCCATGCCGCCGGTGGCGGCGGCAGAGGCGGCGGCAGTGGATGCAGCTGAGGAGCCCCCGGCGCCCAGGAGGGGCTCATGGAAGGACTCGACGGATCGCACGTGCGCGCTGATGCCGGGCGGCAGCAGCAGCGCGGGGGTGCCGCGACGGAGGCGGCCGGCGGCCAGGCGCCCCGCCGGGACGGTGCCGATGCCGCCAACTTTGTAGATGTTCTGGACGGGGCATCGTAGTTGTGGGAATTAGTTGCAGGAAGCTGTAGTTGGTATGGAGGTGGAGGTGGATGAGGACGGGGGACAGGGCGGCGGCAGCGGCAGGACAGCAGGAATGAAGTCGTTGCGTGGGAAGTACGCCATAGGACGCAAGTAAGAGGACGTCCTTGCTCGAGACGCGCGCAACTCACAATGACCGGCAACCGAAGTGGCATGTCAGTCGCCGCCGCCGCCGATGACGACGACGACGCACTCGCCGCCCCCGCCGCCGCCGCCGCGCTGAGGACGGCCCCCAGCAGTGTGCTCCCCGCCCACCAGGGCATGCGGGCGACGGAGGGCTCCGTGAGGTTGTCCCCCATGTAGCCGGAGACGGGCACGAAGGTGATGGCCTGTGGGTGGGAAGGGGGGTGTGCAGGTGTGCTAAGGAAACTGGCCGGCAGGAGGAACGTACGGATAGTCGGAAGAGGATGTCCGTGCGTGTGCGGGTTTGGGATGAAGCGGGTGCAGAGGGCGATGAGGTCCGGGAGGGCAGGCGGGTGCGGTATGGTGGGGCGAATGTGTGGTGGGCTTTTGCTGGCTTCCTGCCATCCCGGCTCCTTGTCGCCCCTCCGCTCATGCAGTCTCCACACCACCCGGCCCCCAGCGCCTCCCCACCTCCACCCTCTTCTTCAGGTGCGGCTTCAGCAGCTCGCTAACCGCCCGGACGGCCTCTGCGTAGCGCTCCTCGCCCCGCCCCGGCCCCTCCGCATCGTAGGCCGCGTCAAGCTGGTTAATTGCCACCACCTGCGCTTGTGGGGAGGGGGCATGGGTGCGGGCAGGGGGGTTGGAGCGTTGGGATGGCAGTAATGCCTCGGGGCGCAACACGGCGAGCCTTGGGTCCGGTGCCCCAACACACACAGGGTGTAAGCCGGCGCGCCTCCCTTCCTCCTGTCCAACCATGCATCCATGGCTACCGGCATCAGCGCCCATGGCGCACCGGAGGCCCTTTGGCTGCCTTCCGCGAACTGACCACTTCACTACCGCCAGGGCCCCACTTTCCTCGCACTCCATCCTTCCTCCTGCCCTCCTTCACCCTTCCGTCCACGCCGCTGGGCCACCCGCCCCCTCCGCCCGGCCTCGCAAGCCCCTTCTGGCCCACCCTGTTGCCACTACTGCACAATGCTGCCGGGACCCGCCGCCCTCCCCCCCCGCCGCCCCATGGCTCTCCTCCTTAAGGTCATGCACATGCCCAACCCGCGCCGAACAACCCTAGCCAGCCAGCCAGCACGAGCCCAAGATCCGGCCAGCCCCTCCCTCTCTTCACTTCTTCTCCTCCTCCTTCGTCTCCTACTTCCTTACCCCACCGCCCTCCCCCTCACCAGCGCCTTCTGGTTGACCATGTTGGCTGCCAGCAGCGCCAGGTCGCGCGTCTGCGCCTGCCATAGCTGCGACTGCAGCACCGCGGGTCGGCTGTCTACCAGCAACACCGCAACATCCGCCTGGAGGGGGGGAGGGAGGGAGGGCATGGGGGCGGGGAAGGAGTAAGGAAGAGGGGGCAGTTGCGGTGGATTCGGTGATGGCGGGCTAGGGTTGGGGTTGGGGGAGGCCGATGCAGCAGGATCATCAGACGGACCATCAGTCGGGCCCGCTGGGGCCTGCATGGGTCGCTCGTGTTGGCTGTCGCAACACATCGCTTCAACCATACACACGGCTCTATCCAATACGTTCCTACTCGCGGCCAGTTTATGCTTGACTCACGGCCCAAACAGCTACGGCAAGTGCCGAGGTGTCGATTGGAACAGCTGCAGCTCGGGGGCTCACAGCGGAGTGCTGCTTCATTGGCTGCATGCTAGGCGAGCCAGCCGGCGTGGCCGCTCGCCCACTCATTCCCGCTAACACCCCAATGGTCAGTGTCGGTCGTGCGCAACCCAGTCTCAATTCCTAAACTCGCACCCACCACCCACCTGCGTGGCACCTGCGATGGTGTTTCGTAGGTAGTCCGGGTGGCCCGGGGTGTCGATGAGGGTCAGCGCCACAGCTGCGGGTCCAGCTGTTACGCCGCTGCCAGCTGCTGCTGCTGCTGCTGGTGAGGAGGAGGCGGTGTTGGAGGCGGGATCTGTAGCTGTGGGAGTTGACATGGTCGCCGCGGAGGGGGAGGGTGTTGTTCTGATGTGGGTCGGCGGCACCACCACCCGACAGAGCTTGAGGTTCACGGTCATGGCTCGTTCACGCTCCAAGCGTTGTCGGTCAAGAACCTGTGAATGCCAATGGAGTGGGTAACGGCAGTGCGAGGATGCATGATGGCTGAATGAACATGTGGAAGGTCACAACACGCATGGTGAGGCTTAGTTGCGCCGCGTACGCGTCCTCCTGGAAGCTCAGCTCACCCACGAGTAGCGCGAGACGGGCCGACTACTAGTCTCCCTTTCGACACGCTCCAAAGTACGTTTGTCATGTCCGCCCAAGTTCACGACCATGTGGCCGGCAGTCGTGCTCTTGCCGGACTGGTGGTGTCCAAGAAAAACAACAGTGGCATGGTGAGGCAAGCTTTCGGCCATTGGCATTGTTGGCGAGGCCATTCTGACACGATTACTTGCACTACCAGTACTATGTGACAGACCTAAGCATTGTAGATCATTACGATCATAATGAATGCGTGTATGAACTAACACCTCCAGAAGCATTGGGGAACACTGATTTGATCATCGCTTGCCCCATTGCCCCACATGTACGGCACGGCAAAAACTGAAGAAGAACAAGCAGCGGCTGCATGTCCATCTGGCCTTAGGAACTTCACAGCGTACTCCATAATTTACAAGTAAAGCTGCTTTGCGTCTGTTATACGTTGTCCCCAAAGGAGGTTAGATCTACGCCTTCACTGCCAGTGGCTTTCCAACACAGCAATGGCATCACGAATTTACGTTGGAAACCTGCCCGCTGATATTGCAGAGCGGGACGTTCGTGATGAAGTAAGGCGAAGGAATATACACTCTATTTGGCTGGAATTACACTTTTCACGTCTCGATTGACCTTTATATCGTCATTCTCTACAGTTTGAACGGTTTGGCCGCGTCAGGACTATCTGGGTAGCCCGGAAACCGCCAGGTAATTTGAGGGTGCTGGGTGGGCACGTCCTCTTTACAGTTACTGGCTAGTTAATCCCCCTTAAAGAGTGTGAATCGTATATTTTGCGATTAATTTTTATCGTTACCTATTGGACATAGCTGTCCGCTGGTGCTAGCCTTCGCCATGTTGCTGTTGGCTAGCTGGCGGCCAAGCTACGCTTCACCCGCTTGACCACAATATTTATGACGACGCTTATTGGATTCCCCTGCCACTAGTGATCCTGGCCTCTCTGGGTGCAGTGCCGCGCAACTTTGTAGCCTTGAGAAGTTTTTTGTGTTAAAGCTCATGGGTGCCGTATTTACCACATCAGAAACTGGCCTCCCCTTTCGCACCCTTGGCTTTAGGTTTTGCGTTCCTCGAAATGGAAGATGACCGGGATGCCGCTGACGCCGTTCGCAAACTGGACGGTAAGCATAATTGGGCAGGGTTTATTGGTGCAACACTGCACGGTTTTAGGTCGTGATCAGCTGTTTCGACAGCGCCTGGTACTTTACAAACTTACCTTGGTCCCTGTCCGCAGGTTTCCAAGGATGGCGTGTTGAGTTTAGCCGTCGGGCTGACCGCGGTCCGCCCCCTCGCGGTGGCATGGGCGGCCCCATGGGACGTGAGCTTCGCTGCTACGAGTGCGGCGAGGTCGGCCACATTGCACGTGATTGCCGGAGCATGCGTGGTGGCGGTGGCGGCATGGGCCCCCGTGGCGGCATGCCGCCGCCCCGCGGCAGGAGCCGCAGCCGCAGGTAAGGGGCTTTGCCACCGAGTTTACGTTTGTGGTTGACGAACACCTGTTGGGCATCTGTGAATACAACTTAGGGCGTAGTCAGTCAGCCACTTATCTTGAATAGCTTTAGTCAGCCACCCAGGCTTTAGTCAGCCACCCAGGCTTTAGTCAGCCACCTATTCTAACACCATGCACTACCCGATGCAGCCCTGTGCGGCGCAGCCGGAGCCCTTCTTACGATCGACGGCGGTCGCCCAGGTGCGAAAACAGGCGCGTGCTCTCTCCTTAGCAAGAGCTGTGTTCTGTATATCAGCATGCATTGCACGAGATAATGGGGTGTCGCATATGCCTTCCTTGCCTACAGCACCTTACATCGTCATTTTGGGTTTGCAGCTCTGTGCTGTGTTCTTGCTCCCCAGCCCTGGTCTCAATACTCCTAACATGCCGTTTGCATTCCCGTATGCAGCCCGCCGAGGCGCCGGGACGAGGGCGGCCGTGAGCGGGACCGCAGCCGGAGCCGCAGCCGGGACCGCGTTTAACACCTCGGGCTTTAGCAGGACGCCACATGCATCTAAGGGTTGTCGCTGTTATGATGTTTTGCGTGGGGTAGCCGTCTGCGCACTATCTGCCTGTCGATGTAGTACCCTATCTTGATGTGTGTAGTAGTGACTTGTTGGTACGGTGGGAGGGAGTGTCCTTAACAAAAAATAATGGATGTATCGACCATGGGGTCTTCTCTAAACTCTCGGGTTGGCTTTGACTTGGTGAGTTAGTGTTTGCCGTTGGTTTGGCTCAACATGCTTGGACTGCAGTTACCCGGTTGGGTCTAGGGTAGAGGTCTTGTCATGGAGGAGCTTTTCATGTCCCTGCTTCTACTGAGCAGTGCATGCGCCTGCGGCCCTTTCTGTCCACAGGATTTGCTGCATGTCTGCTTCAAAAGGGGTCCACTCCTGCCCTCCTCGTCTCGTTACCGTCCTCACGCCACTGCTGCGCCTGCTTCGTTCGCTTCTGTGGATTGCCTTGGGGTCGTCTGTGGGATCAACTACCGCAACTGCTGCATCTGCCCTTCACTGCGCCTTGTGGGCTTCCGACATGCGCACAACTCACCAACCTATCGTCGCCTTTAAGTGTTCCTGCACTGGACTTCGCTTCCTGTGGTGGCTAGGGGGCTGTTGTAGTCCATGAGCAGCTATGTTCCTGCGCCTCGTAAACCGTCCCTGATTGCGGTGGTCACTTTCAGGTAAGGAAGCTATTGGCGTGCATGCTGCAGGGTTCGATACATAGCTCCGGTTGGTGGGTGTGAGGCTTGTGAGGCACATGTTCCCCTCGTTGGCGTATCTCTGCACCGCGACACATCGGTCGCGTTCAGCTGTAATGCTTGGAAGGACTACTTTGGGCCCCTGGTGTATCCAAAATTTGCAACATTACTTCAGTGGTCGTGTAAGCTGTCAAGCGGCTCGCAATAATAAGTGCAGGATACGGTGGTACTGTTACAAGCTTGAGGCGCGTAAGGCACTGACCAGCTAAAATTCTCGGGAACCGCAGAGGATTGTACCAGGTATCCCTGTTGACAAGTGCTGTGCAATTTCCGCACAGCCGGCAGGATTGGTCCCCCCCCGGCATTTACTGTGGAAGGAGGCGCATTCAGCAAGTCATCCATCCACCGTGGTCGCGAAGGGGGTGGGGGCTTCTTCAAGAACCTTTTTGGCCGCTGCGACAAGTCGTTCACCGACCAGCATCCGCCGGTTGAACAAAATGCCCCACCACCACCAGCCGTCTCGTTTTCTCCAGCTAAAAGTCCTAATCACCTTTGGGCCTCGCTTGCAATCCCGGCACGCCAGCCCAGCGCCAACCCGCACAGTCGAGCCAGGCGACATGCAAGTCAAGGACATGCATCACCGGATGCAGCTGCTGCAAGCCCAGGTGCAGGACTACGACCGAATTAAAGCGCAGCTGGGAATAGAGCAGCGATCGGCACAGGAGTGGAAAGAAAGATGGAAGTATCAAAACTTCAAGCTCAATCTCATGGTGGATTTGCTGGTCCTCCGCGTGTTGGAGCTAGACCAAGGAACTGCGGCTTCTGTGCGATGACGGTTTTAAGAACTGGATGGGGTTTCTCGATGAGGAGGTAGCTCCATTGGTAGATAAAGTGCACCATAATTGTGTGAAGTGCATTGGTTGACGGTGCGGTTATGGGGTGAGAACCGGCACTCACCAACACCTTGCCCTCTGAAACTGCGTTACATACACATCCATACATGTGTGATTGGGGTACTCGTGCGATGCATGGGTTTGGCCTACGGTTTGTGGCTTTCGGTAAGGGTGTTTGTTTACGCCTTGGGAAACGAGTGCCCAATTCTGATCCAATGTATACTGGTATGCTGTAATTGTACCATGCGCCTGAGACATAACTGGCGGGTAAAGTATGGTGCCGCATACCGCTTGACAAGCGCAGGCTCGCGCAAGTAAATACTTGTTGCTCAGGTTGGCAGCTGCTACCATGGCGTCCCAATGGTTTAGCAGTGCCTCTTCTTGTACGGCCCTTCATGTATTGGTAAGTACGCTTGCTTGCGTGCTTTATGGGCCTCGTGTGGCTTTATAGTAGTCGTGGAATGCGTTTAGAATGCATACCCCTATAATGTATATTGGCTGTAATGCCTTGTATTGGCCGCAATTGCCTTGCTAGGCTTGGGCCGCAACCGGCCCATGGGTCGTATCGTGACGTTTAGCGTGGTTGAGTTTAGTTCGGAACACCTGAACAAGCATGAGAATGGCACGTCGCCCTCGCGGTCTTCTGTAAACGGGCTGATGCCTAGATTGTAAGAATGCATGTGTAAAGTTTATGTAAACACCTTTACATGCACTTTAAGGCATGCCGTACGGGAACGTAACAGTACATATAAATTGTACAGCAACCTTTGTCATCAGCTCGTTCCGACGAGCGTTCGACGAGGTGGCCGAGCGGTCTAAGGCGCTAGATTCAGGACTAGCCAGTATAACTGGCAGGTAATATTCTAGTCCGTAAGGGCGTGGGTTCAAATCCCATCCTCGTCATTTTTCGCATTTTGCGTTTTAAAGTTTAATGTTTCTTGATCTGTAGGTCCTTGTTTCCCGTGGTTTTGCAAGTCAAATTTATCAAGTATGCTGCAAAATTCCTTCCACTGGTATGCATTGCCGGTTCACGCTTTTTGTCATTAATGTGCACTTTCGTAAGTCCTGTAAATCGCAAACAACAAGTGGGAAGGGTTGGTACCGAAGTTCGTAGCTGAGGAACATGAAATTCCCTAACGGAAACATTACATTTCGGAAAGCATGGCTTGAGCTTCGCAGAAGTAAGCAACACTCCTTTTGTAAGTCAATATATAGAGCATACCGGTATTAGCATACTGGTATATTAGCATACTGGTATCCTAAACATTTGCAGCAATATCCCGCGATACGGCTTCTATCCAATGTGTCCACATTATCCGTGCATGCGAACAGTACATTGCTCCCCCTCATGACATGCATACCACTTCCACTGGTCCCGGCATACTGTAACCGTCTTCATCAAAACCCAAGGGAACTCAACATAGTAATACGTAATAACCTCAGCTGACATCAACGCCACGCACAACATCCCTCTCACAGAAGGGACTCGGTTTAGGCATGGCAAGAAGTATTCAATAACGTCATTCCCGGTCGCTGAATATGGTGCAGTTTTGCATCTGGTTGGACCACCGTAGTAACGGTCCCTTGTTGGCACCCGACGTTTGGCACAAGGCACGGAACCACGATGGCGAGCATTGGAATGAAGGATGCCCCAGCCGCTTATCCTTGTCCCTGACCCAAATGACAGCATAGAAGAAACAGTGAGTTACTCACAAGAAAGACCGCCAACTGTCAACCGTCAACAACCAAGGCTACAACATCACCGCTAACAACAATGGTCCCTCCTCACCCTACAGCACCGTCACATCCTACACATAGGAAGACGCTTACGTGCATAAAGGAGGGCAAACTCATTGCCAACAACCGCAGCTACGCTTGAAGCACGCATTAGGCACTTGTCGCATTTATGCATCCAACTCCCGCATTTATGCATCCATGGCCGAAAGTACGCCAATCTTACCGCCAGAAAGGCTCAAAGCTGCGAAGGGCGAATTTGAGCAGTGCCTAGAAGTAAGGATTGCAAAAATATAATCAAAGGCGCAGGCTAGTGGCGGCTTGATAGCCAATCAACAAAGTCAATGAAACCGACGCATATATCAATAACAACTTAAAAAGCGCAAACCACAATCACCGCTGAATAGGCAACAGATCTATGGGGCATAACGAATCACAACCAGTAGGCCTGTCGCCAACACACTGCGGATTGACTACAGCCCCGCCCTTTCTTTACAAAGGCGCTGTAAACCAAACAAACCAACATCGCATCAACACAACAAGCGAGGATATAAGAAGGCTAGGAAGGCCATGACAAGTCTGGAGTACAATCAGCGGTAAATGTTGTAGCTTGTAGCACTACGGCGAAAACGGCGTTTTGGAGTCCTGGTCACAACGGACACGTGTTATGGTTATGAGCCGCTTTGCGCAAACCAAGTACAACAACTAACAAGTACAGCAAACTGACAGCTGCAGCAGCGACCGTTCCACCGGCCCTAGGCAACAACACTCCTGGCGGACGCTCGACCAAAAACGCCACAGGAAAACACAACGCAACGGCAATGCTCAAGTGGCAAGCTCTTGCCTTCCCGAGGATAGACATAGACCTTTCCATAGAACGGCCCTCAACATCAACAGCAGCATCCCTCTTCCTCGTCTTACAACCCCTTATTTTATAGCCCTCCGCAGCACGATCATGCATGGACTTTCACCCAAGGGTCCTCCATTGCAAAGTAACGACTAAGCCATATGAGCTTTTCATGGTATACATGGGTGCAGACGCCTACTGTACAAGCGCCTCAGGCTTACGGCATTCCGCCGCTTTTCCTTCCCTCCATCCCTTGATTCATACCGTATATCCCCCGTCCTAAGCCTGCAATACCTGATCACCGATGCATACTCCATCACTCCTGACCGTCAACGGCACGACCGCTCATACATGATACAAGCCTCGACGCAAACAGCGCCAGCTTCTTTGACAACCGGGTAGGATGGCTGACCCGTGGGTCACTGCTCCGATCTGACAACGCAGTAGCTTGCTTTGCTTCACAAGCATTGCGTTGCTGCCGCCGGACGCCGCTGCCGTCAGATGGGGAGCAACTCGGGTAGTAAGCAGCGCTGTCGCGCGCAAAGATGTTGACAATGTCGCTCACGTCGTCCTCCTCGTCCAAATCCTCGCAGCGCCCCCGACCTTTCCGCACAGCTGCCTCCGCCTCCAAATATCCCTCGTATCCAAAACCATCATACGGCTCCTCGCCTTCCAACCCAGGTGCGCAACACTCGTGCTGTGACGCGTGCTGCGCATTTCGAGAATCCCGTCCGCCACCGCTGCCAGATATCCACTGACGCACATAGTCCTGCACCGAAAGACTCGCGAGGCGGTGCCGCGCCGCCTCCGGTTCCTCGGTGTAACCATTTTCCCCCCTACGGTTCACACCGCCGCCGATCGGCTGACCTCCGTATCCCACGGTGCTGCTGTGTCGGCGCTGCGCAACAGTTCTCCTTGCGCCGGCAACCGCCCCAGCCCCACTGTAGCCGTCGCTGCTGCCAAAGCCGACGCGGGCGTCCATGCTGACCGGGACGACCCCTTGCGAGCTGCAGCCGTTGCAGTAGCTGGCGCGCCGAGCTGCCCCTCTGATGACACGATTTCTCACACTGACATCCTCTTCCTCCTGCCTCCAAAAGGCCGATACGTCATCCCAACCGGCTTGCTTGTTCTCCCGGAAACTGCTGCAGCCACTGCGACGACCACTGCTGCTGGTAGCGCTGCTAGTGCAACTGCTCACACGTGGCGCACCTGCTGCCGCGTGAAAGCTGCTGTTCCTGCCGCCGGCGCCACGCATGTCGCGACAATCGGACCGCGTGCTCCTGGAAACCATGGGAGAAGGAGGTCCCGCAACCCGCATGGCTGCAAGCAAGTCATCGCTGCCGTTGTGGTCGTTGCCGTTGCCATTGTCGTACATGCCGTTAACATGGCTCGGCGGCGGAACAATGACGACCTGCAGCTCTGCGCCGTTGCTGCGAGGGACCGTGTGTACGGAGCTAATGGGTTGCGAGTGTTCCAAGGCCCGAAGCATGGAGGGGCTCAGGAAGAGCTCAAGTTGAAGTGGCTGCGGCTGTGGTAGCTGCTGCTGCAGTAGGCTGCTGGAATCAGAAACCTCTCTAACCACCCCTTCACTTTCACCTTCTCCGCCTGCGTCAACGTCTTGCGGCGGTTGCTCGCTCTGTTGCCGCTCCTGCTGCTGCAGTTGCCCATGCTGGTGCGGCTGCGGCTGTTGTTGACACGGCTGCTGCGCGGGTGGCCTAGTCTGCTCGCTAGGTTGCCGTGACTGCAATGGCGACGATGACGATGACAACAGCGGGGACGGTCTGTTTGCAGCTCCGGTGGGGACTTCCGCAACCGGCCGGACGCATGTGGTCTCGGCTCTCGGGCCTTCTAAGCAGCTCTGAAGCGGTGGACAACCCATGGACAGCGATGAATGCAGCAGCGTGGAAGTGTGCGGCAGCCAAAAGGATGCCGGGCCGGCGCTGCTGTGCTTCTTCGGCAGCGGACTGGAGGTGAGGGAACCGGAGCGGGCGACAACGTCCGCTGCCGCCTGTGGGTGGATACAAGCGGGAGCCAAAGGTAACGTGAGGAGGAGTGTGCGGAGAGACGGGTGGATGTCGGTGTGGGATCCACATTAGAACACGTAGCAGGCTGCAAAGCACGAAGCACATGCAATGCATGGTGCAGCGAATCCTATACAAGGCTGTGCACCCTGTGTGGACGTACAGCCAGTGCAATTCTTCTGCTGCTTCTTAATGTAACGCATGATGACCTAAAACGCGCATGGAAGGCTCGATAAGGCCCCGCGGGTCTTAGCATCCGCATCCCACCTGCTGCGCAACGTGGTCGAGCCAACGTACAGTCTTGGCCGCCCGGGGACCTCGGCTCCCGAGCCAACCTCCCGAGAGCAAGAGGCAGCCGCGGCTGCTGTTGCTGCAAGTCGTCAGGGCCGCGTCCACGATCGCAATCCGAGAGAAACTGCCGTTGGTGACGCTATCTTGTCTGGGTGTTATGAGTTGTGGGTGGACGGCTTCAGAGCGCGACACAATGGTAGGCGTGATGCGACGTACTAGCGGTGGTGGGCTGCAAGGTGGTTTTGGGTCGACTTCGGTCATATGTGGGCTTTCAGGGCTGATAGCTGGCTGATCCACGTGTAGCGCGACGCAGGAGGGTCCAATAGTTGCTGCGTGCTGGGGATCGCGGCGAGGTGTTAAGAGGCTGGCATCGGAAATCGGCTCATCTCCAGCTGGCAGCTGCGTGTTCCACGTCTTGACGTCCATCACGCTGACATGGTATGCACCGGTGTTGTCAGCAAAGTTCGTAAGCGTAAGTGGGGGAGGCCGTTTTGAAAGGCTCTCGGCATTTCTGCACATTGCAACTGGCAGGAGGCACGCAATGAAGAGCAGGTGCTGCTGAGGTAGAGATCTGCAGCTGTTATACTCCTTGATGAAGTAAAGGTCGCAGGTGTACCAGCAAAACCAGCGTTGCGGGTCTAGCTGCAATTGGTTTCCAGGGTTGCGGCAACAGTCAGCAGGGTCGATTCCGAAGGGAAAACACATGATTTCCTATCATGTAGTAACAATTAAGGAGTAAGCGACACAAACCAGGATTACGCGTATCAAAAGCGAGGAATCGATGTGCAAAAGCGAGGTGGAGGATTGGCTGCCGAAGGCTTCCGCCACGCACCAGGGTAGGAAAAGGCCTTCTCCACCACGCGTTTTGTAGACGCCTTAAAGCGGAATAACCATGGCACCGGCCTTTGAGCCCAAGGCGAAGCCTACGTTGGCGGGAAACGTAGCGAGCCTGCTAAGCACTCAGTCTCCTACCTAAGGTATAGGAATATATAGCATCACGTATGTAATAAGTTGACACTTGGCTCACAGTCGGCGTATGCACAACAGCAGCGTGTTAGTATTGGTGATCTCAAGCAAATACTTTGCAATACGATGTGAATGGAAAAAGAAGAGTGTTAAGATCTCTAGCCATATTGTGCTCGCAGTCAGTTCGTGCTTCAATATGCCGTACAGTGAGCTTTGTCATGGGTTCCGAAACTGAAGGGAAAAGCCCACTGCCTTAAGTAACGGAGCAGGCAAGAGATATCTTATTACTACAGGTGATACTAATGGTGGCATTGTAAGGGACATACGACACCGGCACGTGTCAATGTCACTGGATTAGGCAGTTGGACATTAAAGCCCCTGCGGGTTTTGCTCGAGTGTTATGGCCACAAGAGCACCATACCCGCTAAGGTATTACTTATTAAGCGGCCTGTCCTATAGGTTTCTGGAGTTGCTTCGTCTTTATTAGGGGGATTGCGTCCATTACAGGCCCCCGTGTTGCAGCTTTATGTGTACATCACATTTTCGCTGGGTTGTTTCCTGACATGCCACCTGGTTTAGCCTGATATCTAGTTTGGCCTGATAGCCTGGCTATGCCAGTTGCCTAAATAGCTAAAGCCATTCTTAAACACGCTGAGGAATCGCCCAGTATGATACTAGGAAAGCCACCAGCCCACGGATGGTACCTCGTAGGCTGCAAAGCTTGCGAAACCCTCAAGTACAGGAGGACTGGCGGCCCAAAGCGTGAAAACCCTGACCGTGTTCTGAACGATGTCCGAGCCCCGGGCAAACCTGTCCGTGTTCTAAGCTTGAGCATGTGCTTGGGCAAAGATCTGCGGAATGTGGACGTTCATTAACGGGAACTGTGCCCGGCATAGCTTGTTTAAGATGCGCGCGTATAAAACCTGCCAAAACCCCAGCCTGAACGGAACAGTATAGCGCACACCTTACTTCTTCCCGGCTCAAAGAAGTCAGCCACAGACAAACAACAAGCAAGACAACATGCACATAACGTCCTCAGAAGAAACGGAGCCAAACGCTCAACCGAACCCTGGGTCATAAGAGCGGCATCTACCACTGGGTATGGAGGTACGCAGTCCAACAACCCTCCTCGCACGAACCATGAATGTGACAGATTGCTGGCCCAAGCGGCCAGGAAGGGCTTTTGCCAAAACGACAAACGACGCTATGCGAGCGGCAAAAGCGATGTAAAGTGTATGGTACCGGTACCCTAAACAACCCATCACACTTAATTATAGCCGTTTCCAATTGAAGCATCTATAGCCTACACGGCAAACCACACGCGGGTTGACTTTTGGCATGATGCACGGCCACGAACCTACTGCGATTGTGGAATTGGCCGGCAACGGCCAAGCACGTTAGTTGCGCACCTCCTGCGACACACACATGACCCATGGGTCTCTTTCTGCAGCAACAGGGTTAGCAGTCTACCACTACCACTGCTACCACTATACACATGCACATGCAAATGCAGAACAAATCTTCATCAATTTTCGAAAGCATCCGCATCATCATCATCATCATCCGCAACTGCCCAAAAGCATCTTTCCGTGTCATATGCAACAAACGATGAACCATTGAATCCATGTCCAGCCGCTCATATTCGTCGAATTGCTTCAGCTGCAGAATCATATGCATCTAGTAGCAGAACCAAGCGCGCACCCAACGTCCTATCTGGGATATAGGCAGGGAGTAGCCATCTTCTGTCCTTTCCCTCATTGCTTCTTTCCTTGCTTTTCCTTGCATGGAGTAAAGCAGATCACAACGCCGTTCCATCTCGCTCTAGCGGCATCAGACGTGTCGCAGCGGAACCGCAACCCTCCGGAGGCCAGAGCAGAGCCGCCCCGGAGGAAAGCGCCGCGCATAGGCACGTATCGAGCAACGCACAGTCCAGCATATGTTCAGTTATTAGCCCCACAAGCAGCCCATCAGAGCGGTCCACATCAGCCAAATCATCCAAGCACAGTGAACCTGCTACTTGGGTTCCTTTCGCTTTCGGTTGGGTACCTACGCACCATTTGGTAGTGTTGTGTTTGTTTCCTGCTAGGTGACGGACTCCTGCAGCCGTAACAACAACAATCAACACGTCAGCCCACCTCCGCACAAACCGCAAAGAGCGAACACACGGCTGTCGTCCAGAGTGTACTAGTACTGCGGTTTGTGCGAACACACGGCTGTCGTCCAGAGTGTACTACTAGCAGTACTAAGGAGATCCAAAAACATTTTATAAGCCACGAAGGTGGGCATGTGGCATCGGGTTCTCAGCTAACCTTCTCTTTACCCACTCCCTCACATTGCTAATTCGATGGCAACCCAACAAAAACGGGAGGCGCTTGACGATTAATATTGGACGTATTACGTTCATTAATTCCAAACTCCATCCTTGCAATGTGCAACCCAACATGCAACCCACCGTCCCAACCAACATCAAAATCGCAACGTTCATCCTGCCCTCGTACTGCCGCCCTTTCAACTCCGTCCCTCCGTCCTCCAACCCGCCGTCAACGCTCACAACGCCCTGCCCCCCAACACCTCGCCCTTGCAAGCCAATCTCTTGCGCGCCGCCGCCGCTGCTGCTGCCGCCGCAGCTGCGGCCGCATGACCCGCCGCCGCTGCGTGTACGACATACTTGCACACACCCATGACTCCCGCTGAGACCCCCGCTGCTGCTACCACCCATGCAACACCCCTCATGCCGCTGCTTTCGCCACCCAGCCCTAGCCACCATGCAGCTCCGCCACGCATACGAACCGCCGCCGCCGCCGCCGTCGCCGCTGCACCGGCGGCAGCGGCGGCACGGCGTTGCTGTAGCAAGATGCTCAGGGGCAGCTGCGCCAACAGCATGTCCAGAAACCACTTCCAGTTCAGCATGTACGACAGAAGCGGCAGTACAAAACACATGTGCAACTTGTCGTACAGAACCGCGAGGGTCAGTAGCTCCGTCATCAGGGCTGGGGCAGTGACGGCGGCGCCGGCGGCAGCGGCAGCCGCTGCCGTTGCCCACCATACCACCGTTGCCGCAACCAGCAAATGTACGACATGCGCCGCCACCGCCGCCCATCGCCGAAGCCGCCGGTAACCAAGCGGAGTTAAGAGCCTCAACAATAGGTACGGCCAACCACGTACGGCATACGACAACAGGAGCGCGTAAATAAGAGGAATGTGGAAAACGCTGTCGTCGCCGCTGCCTTTACGGCCGTACACCACACTGCCGCCGCCGCTGCTGCTGTACACCTCCCGTACCGCCGGCTCTGCTAGACTGCCGTACCACCTGAACTGCATGAGCTGCCAGAGGGCTATGGCAAACTGTGCGGCTGTCCCAAACCAGGTGTCGAACCATACAATCACACGAGCCATGCAAGCCTCTGGACGGTCGCCGTCGCCGTCGCTGCCGACACCAGCAATCACCGGCATGCGGCTGACAACACCCGCGGCTGCGGCGGCGGCGGCGGCCTTCGATTGCGACGCTGCTGCCTCCCCGACGCCCTCTGCCGCCGCAGCCCCAGTTGCCGGAGTCTTGAGGTTTGGGGCCCGGGCTGGTACGATCTCCTGCGCTCCTTGCCAGCTGCTGCGGAGTACGGCAGCTGCAGTGCTCCCACCGCTCCTGCTGCTCGCCAGCGATGCCGTACGATCTACGACGCTCCTGTAATGCAATCCGCATCCGCTGCTGACGCTGCTAGCGCCAGAGCCAAGTCGGCCGCCGCTGCCGCCGCCGCTGCTACCCGAATCCGTTAGCCGCGACAGGCGCTGCACCGTCAAAGGCTGTTGCGGGGACGGTTGGGGTGGTTGGCATGGCCGCGACGGCGACCGCTGCCGTTGCTCCAACGGCATTCGCGGTGGCAGCGGCGCCGGCGGCAGTGGTACCTCCGACACCGTGGATAGCGGCCCGGTAGGCACAATAAACGGAGACGATTCCTCTTCCTCCTCCGCCGCTGACACCGCCGCCGCCGTCAGCGCCGCCGCCGTCGCTGCGGGCGGAGGCGGCACGTGCCAGTGCTGAGTCGTGAACGGAGATGATGGTTGAGTTGGCTGCTCGAAGTTGACGCGCCGCGCCGCGCCAGGCCGCCACGGCGGTGCCGACCGCGCAGTTGCAAACGCATAGCTGCCGCCACTGCCGCTAGACCCGCTTACGACGCCGCTGGCTCCGTTACCTCCATGCACGGCTGCAGCAACGCTGCTTGACGTGTGGCCGGCAGCAGCCAGTGTCGTTGCAGATTCCGTAACTCGCGTGGCGCTGCTGTTGAAGCGGGATAACCAGGCGCTGCTTGCCGGCGCTGCGTCACTACCTTCCACCGTATGGGCGAAGCTGTCGTCTCCCTCAGCCAGAGGCGGCGGCGGCGCCGCTGGCCGACCCCCAATGTACGGCAGGATGACACGGCCCTGAACTGCGCCGCCGGCGCTGCCGCCAGGGCTGTCACCACCGCCACCGTCGGTCTCCCTGCGCAGCCCCTCGCTCCCCTGCATCACCTCATCGCCCCTACCTGCTGCAACCTCCACCTCGCTTCCAGCGGCATTGCTGCCGCTCGCCGTACCCGCCGCCGTCGCCGCCGCTTTTAGCTGCTCAATCGCTGCCTCAAGCTCCACATGTAGTTCCCCAGAGGGGCCCACCTGCGCACCGTCGACGGTGGCAGCGGCGGTGCCATCGCCAGCACCAGCGCCACCCCTCATGGCCCGCAAGCGCCCGACCAATGACGTCACCGCGCCGTCGGATGCGCCCAGCAGCGTCGCTTGCGTCTCCAGGACTAGCTCCAGAACCAGCGTCAGGTCTTGCGCAAGCAGGAAATACAACACAGACCTTAGCGTGTCGTACCAAGCATCCAGAGGGACCCATGGGTCGCAGCCGAGCACCATTGGCCCCGCCGCGCCTGCCGGTGACAGCGACATGGCACGCTGCGGCGGCGGCGGTGGCAGCGGCGGCGGCGACAGGGGCTGCCGTGAGACCGAGATATGTCCAAACAACGCATCACCTGCAGCCGCGTAAGTGTCCCCAGTACGTGTAACATCTGCAGAGAGCGACCGCGATGACGGCACCAGCGGTCTCCTTGTGAGACAAAGCTCTAAGTCTTGTAGGAAGGGAACCCAGTGCTCGTCCAGAACAGCGTGCTCCGCCGCCCATCGCGCCGCCGCAACAGCCTCGGCGTCGACACCAGCGCCCGTAACGGCATCATACGACTCGACAGGGCCAGCCGGAGCGGCGGCGAGGCCGGCGGCGGCAGCCGCGGTCTCCGCCGCCTCCAACTGAGCGGCGTCCGCTGCGGCGGCGGCCATGGCGGCGGCGTACGACACCTCGAGTCGCTCTTGTACCATCATGTTGTACAGTCCAGTCAGCTCCGCCGCCGTGTCGGAGGACATCACGACCAATGGCGCCATTGCGATGAAAGTGTACGGCATGTGTCGCCGCTGCGGACCCGCCGACGCCGGCGGCGCTGCCGCCGTCGGCGGCAGTCCCAAGACATGTACCGTGGCAATGCCAGCCCGTACATTCCGCAGCTGTACGTTGAACCGGCAGGCGCCGCCGCCATCGCGCCTGGTAGTGCTGCTGCTGCCGCCGCCGCTGCTAGAGCTGTGCGCACTGTAAGTGGGACTGCTAACACCGCCTTCCTCATTGGAGATCACATCACCCAGGGCGCCGTTAACGCTCATGGCGCCGCTAATGCTCATGGAGCTGCTGGCAATGCCGCTGCCGCTGCTGCGCTCGTATTGCACATCCGATCCCGCGGGGGAAAGATCCGACGGTACGGCGTCGCTATTATCGTACAACACGCGATCGCCCTGTGTTACAATGATCCGGCAGCGCTGCGACGGCGGTGAAGGTCTGCGCAGCGGCGACGCCGCAGCTGCACCTGCGGCACCGCCACCAGCAGCGCCACCAGAAGCCTCTCTGGGCAGCAAAACCACAGTCACCTCCGCGGACCCTTCCCCTCCGTCACCACCACCGCCGCCGCCACTGCCACTGCCGCCGCTGCCGCCGCTGACGCTGGCCGGACGCAGCTGCGCGCAAGGCGGTTGCAGCACCAACGTCACCGGGAGCGGTAGGGGACCAGCTGTGGCGGCAGAGGGGTCCAGCATCATGAGCGTGCTGCCCACCCGCGCTGCTGCGATCACAGAGAAGGTCCCGGCCCCGGACGCGGCAGGCATCACGGGAGCAACGGGAGCGGCGGCTGCGGCGGCGGCGGCAGCTCTTTGTATCTGATCCACCGTTGGGAGGTCTTGCTCCGAGGCCGCCGACGCCGCCGACGCCATGCCATCGCTGCCGTCGCTGCGAACATTTATTTCAGGTGAATGGGCGACACCGTCAACGCCTTGAGCAGCGGCGGCGGCGGGGTGCTGCTCCTCGCCAGACGCACTCGTCAACGAGTGCCATCCGCGCGACGACTCGCCAGTGAGGGCGGTGCCGGGCGAGACAAAGGTGGTGGCGTAGGCAGGTGAAGCGTCGCCCGTTGCGCCAGGAAGCTCGCCGCTGCTGCTGCCGCTGCCGCTGTCGAGCCGGAGGCCCCGACCAAAGGAGCTCCTGCGATCAGGGACATAGGAAATGCATTTAAGCTATTGGCGCAGCGCTGCAGTAACAATGTTTACTTGGTGCAGGCTGGCCTGGTTTTAAGCATGCCTAGCTTAGGCATGCCTAGCCAATCCAGGGAAATGTAATGTACAGTAAACTTTGGTGGAAGTGCGTAACCAGCGCCAAGCTTGTATGGGGGCCAGGGGAAAGTGTAGGCCCATCTGGGCCCATAACCAATCGGAAAACATGACAGAAATGCGTTTGCTGGCTCGTAGGACCCACCTGCGAGCTATCCAGCGACCGTCCGGTTCAAAGCCGTCCCCGCCGTGCCTCGCCGCCGCCTCCGCTGCAGCAGTAGTCTCCTCTTCATCGGCGCCCTCTAACTCTTCGCCGCGCAACGGCCAGTGCTCAATAATGCCGTACACGCCGCCAGAAGCTGCTGCCGAAGCCGACGCCGTCGCCAGTTCTGGTGGCCCCGCCGCCGCAGCGGCGGCGACGGCCGCAAATGGGCTTTGGGTGGGCAAAACCGGCGGTGGCGGCTGCTCCGAGCTAGCAGGCGCTAACTGCTGTGGCGCCAGAACTGCCTGAATGCTGGAGAGAATCTCTTGCTCTGCGCGACGCTGCGCACCTGCTGACCTCTCCCCCGCCCCCACCACCCTTGCCGCCAGCGGCCCTGACGCTGGCGTTTCGACCATCGCCCGCAACGCACCGCCGCCTCGCTCGGGTAGCGGCGGCTCGTACGCACCTGCCGCCGGCCCTGCCGCCGCCTCTTGCCGCGTACGACCGCCGCCGCCGCCGTCCTGCTGCCGAACACGTGTCCACAAAGGGCATCGCCACCAGAGGTATACCAGCAGATGCACGCAGCCAGGCAGCGCCACCCAACTCGACATCTCCGGACTGGACTGCCCCAGAGCCTCCTGGGACTGCGCCAACACCGCCTGTGTCGCCTCCACCGCTGTCGCCGCCAACTGCTCAAACGTCAGACGCTTGCTGCCGTACGTCGCTCCTCTTCGTACGGCAGCAACGGCGGAGCTCCCACTGTCCAGCGGAGCATTGCTGCTGCCGCCATCGGCCGCAGTGCTGCCAGTCGCGCTAGCGTCGGCGCCGCCGCGAGCCGACGAGTTTGGTGCCGGCGGCAGCTCCGACCTGACGACCACTCCGTCGCTGCTGCCGGCGGCCAGCCACCCGCCGCCGCCGCCGCCGCCGCCGCGGATGCGACCAGGACTTGGCGGCGCGCTGGCACCAGTGAGGCTCCGACGCAGCGACGCAGCGCTCAAACGACGGATGGGTGCATACAGCGGCGTGTCTCGGAGTTTGAGGCTCACGAAGGCGTGACGTCGGGGGCTGTGGTACAAGCAACTTGGCGGGGCGGACGCGCCGCCGCCGCCACTGCCGCCGCTGGCGCTTGCGTTGGCAGTGGTTGGGCCTGAGCTGCCGGTGAAAGTTCCCATGCTCGTCGTACCGCTTGTCGTACCTTGATAGTGCGGCTGTTGCGGATTGCTGGCGTGGCCGGGAGCACTCCGGGAGCACCGTAGCAGCGGCGGCATGGCCGCGGCGGCGCCCCGGGGGATCCTGGGGTGCGGGAAGGTAGCCAGCGAAATATCCCCTACAACGGCGGCGGCGGCAACCGAATCCACTGCGGCGTCTGTGACGCGGTGGAAGGGGCTCACCGAGCTGCTGCGCCTCCTGCGCACACGAGGAGCCGCACCGGGGCGCCGCGGCCCGCCACCGTCGCGATCATCATCGTCGCTGCCGCTTGTGGTGCTGCTGGCAATGCAGCTGTCGCTGCTATCGTCACCGTCATCAGCGGAGCTGCGGCCGCCGCTGCTAACGGCGGCGCCGGCGCCGCCAGCGCCGCCAGCGCCGTCATCTGAAAAGTTGCGTGTTCTGCTGCCGCCGCTTTCAGCACCCGCGCTGCCGTCTACCTCCGAGATACTGCCGACAGAGCCGGAAACCAGTCCACGAAACCCCGCCTGCAACGCGCCGGCTCCTAAGCCTGAACCCGGGAAGACGCTACTGCCACCCTGCGGCGGCGGCGCCGGCCGCCGCTCCGGAGATGAGGTAAACGACAGAAGCGTGCTGTCCAGGCCCGCCTGCCGAGGACTTGCTTGCACTGGTGGGGCAAGAGCTTCGGTAGCGCGCGAGGGTGATGAAGGGCTCCATCGTCTTGACAGCGTTGATGCCAGCGATGGCGCCGCCGGCAACAACTGCAGCGCTGCCGCCAGCGACGACGAGGGCGACGACGGGGATGCGCCGGGGTGGTCCAACCGCACTACGTGACCCTCTGCGGCTAACGGCGGCGGCGGCGCGGAAAGCGACGATCCCAGCCACACCAGTGGCTTAGCCCCCGCCAGCGCCGCCGTACCACTTACGGGTCGCGTGCCTCTGACCTTGCCGCCGCTGCTCATGTTGCCCACGGCCCTAAGGATCTCATCCGCGCACTCCCTAGCGGTGCCTTGCCATGCTGTCGCCGCAGTTGCTGCCACATCCTCGTTCAGTGCACTCCTGCCGCCCCGATCTCCCGAAGTCACTGTACCGGCGCCGCTTCCTGCTGCTGCGCTGCTGCCACCGCCGCCACCTCCAGGGTCGCCGTCAACAAACATGCCCCAAGTATCGGAGCCAAGCGGCTGTCGCGTTTGGTCGCCAGTGCATCTTCCGACGACCCGTGGGTCACCGTGGCTTTGTAGCTGTCCGCCTTGAGTCTCGCCGCATGGCTCGCCACCCAAAAGCAAGTCGGAGGCACGTGCGGTCGGAAATTGTACGGCAGGGCCGAAGGGAGCAAGGATGGAAGCACGTGCGCACGGCCTTTCTGCTGCCGCTGCTGCTGGTGCCGCTGCTGCTGGTGCCGTCGCTGCAGGGGCATGCTGCAGGGAAGGCTGCAGGGACGACTGCAGACAGGGCAACGCTGTATCCTTGTTGGGTGTGGAAGGCGGAGTTGGGGGTGTAGCTCCGGCTGCAAGTAGGTCCTCGTCATCTGGGCGTGGAGTGTCCAGGCCTTGGGTTGAGGTTGAAGCATCGCCAAGCGACGACTCCGGTGGCGTGCTGTCCTGTGCTTGTTCTGATCGCTGTTGCGGCCGCACGAGACAGCGCATACTCTGGTTGAGCGCAATGGAGCACAGACATATAAGAAGAGATTGCCAGTAGGTTGACAGCAACACAAACAGCCGCAAGCCGCCAAAAGCGGCGAACGCGATAAGCAGGGACAGCAGCAGCCATCGCAGCGCAAAACGTGGGCTTTGCCGCATCGAGATGCGCGGTTGGATATTGGCTGTGGCTATTGAAGTGCTGTGAGAATGCTCTGTGGTAGGACTACACTCGGCGGCGGCTTCAGGCACTAACGTTGCCGGGGCGTCAAGTCGTTCTACAGTGCTTTCAGTCGCGAGTGCCATGCTTCGGCCCACGTTGGATGCACCGTTATAGCTAAGGACACGTTGGTACATATAGTCTAAAGAGATGGGTCTAAACAACTAGCATGAGCACGGAAGAGCGGAACCTCGAATCTGATCTTTTCACGTTTTCATTGCCAGGGATGTCGTCATACGAGCACCCATGGGGCAATGAGCTCACCTCTCCAATCTAAGCTTGGTTGAATTTTAGTTATCATAAAGTTGAACCTTCTGTATGTTATAGATAGAGATGTCCGCCAACGGCTAACGCGCCAATGTCGTGCCAATGAACCACGGGCCACTCTTGCGGAAACGACGCTATTTATTTGACTGACAGTAGCCCCCAAAGCGGAAGGAAAGAAGATCAGGCATTATGACCTAACGGCATTTGCAAGGCATGCCGCCTGGAAACCCCTTTTTCAGGTGCCTCACAGGCCCCCGCACCGCAGACCACCAATGAATTCCCTGTTGACTAGTTGCAAACCAACATAGGAAATCAGCTAAAACGAAATAGGGCAGAACTTTGGCACATTCGCCAACCCCGTCGAGAGTACCCTAGCCCGTGACGCCAGCAGAGATGGCTCGCTAACCCACCACAAGAGCTAAATTTTACTCCCGGGGCAGGTCTGCGCCACCAGGCCTGTCCTGTTCGGTTAGCATGGATGAAGCGCATGCGCGGCAAACTCAACATCGCACTCCATACCTCTGCTGCTCCTTAGCTCCTAAGAGCACCAGTACCAAAACGGCTAGCATCTAGTCAGTCAGCTTCTCAGTAAGTAGCTAGCCGACCCCGCCCCTGGCTCTCTCACTCAACATGTTCTCCTACCGGGCAGCTCACTACAATGTTCTTCCTGTCTGTACCTGTCTATACCGGTAACCAAGCGGCACAAAGTTGGCAGCAAAGCATAAAGGGGCCTACCATCCTCCGAAGAAGGCGGCGCTGCCCGGAATGCTCAGCCTTTGTGAACTCCCTCAGACTCAGCCAAGCACATACCAAACCTGTGGGAATCCTATTGATACATCTTGAGGACGCCTTGTAAGGCTATTATACAACAGGAGAGTCGTACAATGGAAGTCGAAGTATGAAGGCCGTATGGTGGGCAAAAGTGCTGTGAGATGCCCTCATCCTGCTGTCTCTGCACAACCCTAGCGTCCAACGCAACGCAAAAGGAAAGAGGAACAAGCCATCTTGACTGGTGGCTCCTGATACACCCCGCACGTCTTGTAACCGCACCCCACACCCCATTCAGTCACTTACATGCGTCTACTATTGCAGCCACGTACCGGACCTTGCTTCTCCTCCTTTTTCCTCCCCAATTCCTGCAACCCTCACATCTTCCCTTCATCCTCGCACTCCGCCATACTCTTCCCTTTAATCAACCTTGGAATGCGGCCGCTGCTGCGGCTGCTGCGGCTGCTGCGGCTGCTTTTCCACATGTCGTTGGGCTTTCTCTTGCGCTTGCAGCGGCCCACTGGGTCCCCCCGCCGTCCCCCCAGAAGAGGAGCCCGACCCGCCGCTGTGCAACTGCGTCCGAAATGCGTGTCTTACACTCCGCAGCGTCCCCTTGAGCTGCCCCTGCAGCGCAGCCGACGCAGGCGCCGCCGCCGACACCCCACTCGCCGCCGCCGCCGCCACCACTCGCGCCACGTTGCTGACCCCCCGCTGCAAACCGCCGCTCTGAAGACCCGCAGCCACCTGCTGTGATGCCGTACCCAGGCTCAAAGCCGCACGCGCCAGGCCCTTCCGTACCATCGCACCGGTACTACGTGTACGGCGCATCTTGCCGCCGCTACCGCCACCGACAGCTGCGCCGCCGCCACTGGCGCCGTACTCAGCAGATCCATCTCCTCCTCGGCGGCGCCCCTTGGAAGCATGGTCTACGTCATCGGCGCCGTCGTCGCCATAGTAGTCGCCCCGCGCCTCCTCGTCTTCCTCATGGTCGTCGTAGTCCTCTTCACCATTCTTGTTGCCGTACAAACCGGATCCAGGCTCGTGTACGGCACCCATGCCGTACGCGTTGAGTGCGTTACTGCCGACACGCGCCAGGGCCTTGCCGGCGCCAGCGGCTGCATGTCGACCTGCCTTGATGGCTTCGCGAACCAGTCGCGATGTGAATGCGACGGTAGTATGACGTAATTGTACGGCAAGTTGACGACCGGCGCCGCCGCCGCCGCCGTCGCGACTGCGGACAAAGTGTCGTGCCGGCGCCGAAACCAGGGTGGCTACGGCGGAGCCTACTTTGACCACGGCGTTGACCGGAGCTAGACCCGTGATAAACTTGTGGGCCTGAGGGAGTTGAGAGAGGTACGGTAGCAGAGGGGGGCGCGTTGTTTAGGTAGCTCTTGGGAATCGTAAGTTATCAGTCCAGCCGTGGAGCATTCCGCACCAAGCCTGCCAGGACAAACACGCCTGAAGCAGGGCCAATTAATCACCCTTGTCGCTGGCAAACTGGCAAGGTCGAACAACCACCCTTATGCATGCACACACCCCGCCCCTCCCGCCACCCACCTGCGTCCGTGCGATGTCGTTCAGCCACTCCCGCACGAGTGCCGCCCCGAGCCCGTCCCAGCCCGTCACCCCTGCCAGCCGCAGCTCCCGGCAGCTCAGCTCCACCCCGCCCAGCGGCACCAGGTTGATCAACTCCAGCAGCTTCCCCTCAGCCAGCGCGGCGATGTCAACACGGCGGGGACTGCGGGGCAGCAGGGCAGGCGGGAGGTAGGACAGAGGGAAAGCAAGGACAACCATGGGTTGAATGAGCGATGCGGGGCAGGGCAGGAAGGGCAGGGAGAAGTGGGGTGGTCGAGGGGTGGATCGGGAGGTAATGATGAGCTCTCGGCGGTGAGAGAGAGTGGGGAGACCGTTTTTGACCAGCCTCCTTCCGGCTTCAGAGACCATAGCTGGCAACCAACAACCAACAACCAGCCCCACACCCCACCCCAACCAGGCCGCCCTCACCGGTAGTCCAGCAAGACTGTGAAGTGGCGGATGTGTGTGCGCTGGAAGTAGGGCGGCGGCAGCGGCTCGCAACCGCCCAGCTCGGATAGGGCAGCCTGAGGTTGGGTTGCAGGGAGGCGGGGCGGTTGAGGTTGCGTGAGGCAACGCAGCTGGGAGGAAACACCACCGTAATTAAACAGTAAACAATAAACAGGAGAGAACATGCAGCTCGGCAAAGACTCCATGCGCCCCCCGTGCACCTCTCCCACCGCCTCCCGCTCAGGGCAACCTGTCACGTACGCCGCTACAATCAGCCACATGCGCATACCTGCATGCTGGCTAGTACGGCAGCCGCCGGCTTGAGTGCCGTGGACACAGCCGAGCCGTACCAGTTGAGGTACGAGATCACATCTTGGTTTAGTTTTAGCCTGTTGTACGGCAACAGTGAATGCGTGAATGTCAGCAAACAAAAGGGTTGTCTGATTCAAGAACGAAAGCATTAGGCTGCATTACTAATGTGGGGCAGTTTGGGTCCTGGCGCGTCATGGCATCAGCTACAGCGCCCATAACCTAACGGCTACAGCACACTACGCACCTAGTACCGTACCCCCATTGCCGAGACGCCGACTACCGTACATACCCAATGCATCCGCAGGTGTAAGAAGACTCCGACCCCGTCGATAACAATCCCGAACCCCCCTCACCTCAGAGGCAGCAGCGCCACAGCCAACCTAAACTCCTCATCCTGTGGGTCACATGCCGCCGGATTGGGTCGTACGGCAGTCAACGAAACCGCAACCAGCGGCGTACGACTGTCCCTCGGCTGCCCTCGCACGGCACGGTAGCCCAGCACCCGTACTCGGCCGCTGCTTCGTCCGCCGCCGACGCCGGCCGCGCCGCCAGCGCCAACAGCCGCCAGCGCTAGCGCCTGCTGCTGCTGCCGCGCCGCCAATGCGCAATCCCGGATCTCTAAGTCATGCACCGTAAGCTTCATGTGACGAGCCAAGTGACCCCCGGGTCCGTAGCTTTCTAGCTGGAGGCCCAGGCCTTCAATGACCAGCTCCACTCGGCCTTCCTGGTGACCGTTGGAGCCGTTACCATTGTTACCGCCGTGGAACGTGCCTCCGCCCAAGCCGGCGGCAGCAGCGGCGCCTGCGGGGGGGCCGGGGAATGCAGGGCCCCCGGCACTTGCGGCGGTTGCAAAGCCGCCCGCAGCTGCTGCAGCAGCTGCAGCGCTGTGGAAGGCTCGCGAGCCTGCCGTGGTGGTGTGCATGACCCAGATGCCTGCAACACAGCAATGACGGGGTGAAGGAGAGAGGGGGCGGAAGGGGTGCTGAATGGGTGGATGAGCGACGAGGATGTAAGGGCGGCAGCCGCATGGGCGGCGGCAGCTGGCAGCCGAGGGGCTGTGTTGTGTCTCATGGAAAGGAGCTGGGTGACAGCTGGCAACAGGACACACCCTCACCCATACTGCCAGCACCCTGCCACCCTTCTTGCATGTACCTGCGGCCTCGGCTAGCACCTGCCCTGTGTTCCCTGAGGCTAGCACCTGCCCTGTGTTCCCTGAGGCTAGCACCTGCCCTGTGTTCCCTGAGGCTAGCACCTGCCCTGTGTTCCCTGAGGCTAGCACCTGCCCTGTGTTCCCTGAGGCTAGCACCTGCCCTGTGTTCCCATGTCCCCCAAAACCACCACTGCCACCGCCCGCGTGCCACCATCCATACCTGACAGATCCTTGAAGGTAATCCGCATCAGCGGAGGCGGCTGCTCCACCCCACCACCACCCCCACCTCCTCCTCCAGCCGCTGCTGCAGCCGTGGAGGCAAGCCCCGCAGCACCCTCAACCCCACCGCTGCCGACCTGGGCCGCAGCAGTGAAGCCCCCTGCGCCTGCTGCGCCGGCGGATGCAGCCGTGGCGCCCAGGCCCCCGCCCAGGCCTCCCAGACCGCCCCCAGGAGCGGAGCCGTCCTCATCGGACTTCCTGGGCACCCGCACATAGTCCTCCTGCGGTTACCGGTATATATGTAAGAAGGCAGCACAAGGTAAGGAGGCAAAAGGAGGAGTACATACCCAAGAAAAGGGTTTGCTTTTGGGCAGTGTAACGGCTGTGGTAGATGGCTCATGGCTGATGTGGATGTAAGGCACGTGTAGCGCCTTGGGAGAACAACCTTCGCCCTGCCCCGGCACCATCCCCCTCTACTCCACACCCACCTCCCCGTCCTGCTATATACGGTTGATAGACCCACCTGTAGTCTCCATGTTGGTAGGGGTGGCGAAGAGCCCATTCGCATTGCCGCTGCTGCTGCTGCGGCGGCGGCAGTTGTAGTCGCAGTAGCTGTCGTCGTCGCCGCCGAAGACGACCCAATCGACCCCACCGACGGCGCCCTCGCAACCCCAACCGATCCAACTCCCAACCCAACTCCAATTGCAACCCCAACAGGCATGCCAGCAGCACCAGCAGCAGCCCCCGTTCGGACCGATGACGATGCCGACGCCCCCGCTGCCGGCTCTAGCAGCGAGATCTCCTCCATAACACCGCCGCCGTCGCCGCCGTAACCAGCCAAGCCGAAGTCACCCTCCATGCTGCCCCTGTTGCCCATGTAGCAGCCCTCCGCCAGCCCGCGGCCTCGCCCCTCAGCACGCGCCCCCCCTCTTCCCAGCATGCCCCCGGGGCCCATCAGGAAGCCGCCGGCGCCGCTGTCCGGCCCGCCGCCCCCGCACACGTCAAAGTCTGAATTGTAGGCCTCCTCGTCACCCTCCTCGTGTACCGATCGGCATGCATCAGCGGCTGGGGGGCTGCCTCCGCTGCTGTCTAGCAGGAGCGACGCGGGCAGGGTTGCCGGTGCGCTGCCGGCAACTGCAAGTACCGGTAGGCTGTCGGGTTGGCGGGGGGCGCGGATGGGCCGGCCTGCCTCGTCATCTTCAGTATACCAGGTACCTGGCAGGAACGGAGGCGGTGTAACCTGGTAAGTACAGTTAGGCGGCAGCCGGACACGCCGCTGAAAATGCCAGGGTGCCGTGGGTGAAGGGGGGCGATAGGACATGCATGCCGCCCTCGCGTGTGCACTGACGCATGCTCTACAGGCTGTGCTACCAAGGGAAGGAGAGCAGCAGCCAAGGAAAGGAGAGTTTCTGGCCATATGCACAGACCCCAAGAGCAACACCTCCTACAAACACACCCATGCACACGCGCCCATGCTGCAATGCATTACCCCACCCCCCTACCCTCAAGCTCCGGGTTCGCGCTGACGCCGCGCCATCGTGCATGAGGGCCCTTGGGTGGTGGGTGTTGTACGACAAGCAGATCTTCGTCGTACTCCCCCTGGTGGTTGACCGGGAAGAAATCGTCGATCAAGATGAGCCCCGCAGGACCCGAACCACCACCCGCAGCAGCACCGCCAACAGCGCCACGTGCTTGGCCGTCGGCGCCATCCCCTGGAGCGTACCTGAGGTGCGATGCGGGGGATGGCAAGGAGGAATGTAAGGCGCAGGACCATACGGGGGCAGTCAGGGGGCAGAGTGGGTAACTGATACTAAAATGCTGAGGTGGAAGTGATAACACGCTCCTGCCCAACCGGCATCGCAACGGGGTACAAGAGCAAGACGAATGCAACTGGACACGGCAAACGAATTCCAGATCCCTTGCCGAGTTCTTCGCCTTTTACGCCATCCTTACCATCCTCCGCCCGCTCCTCCTCCCGCTGCTGCAGCTCCTGCTCCGCCCGCCCCTCCCTCCTCAGCCGCCGCTACCAAGTCGGGCACCCCCCGGAAGGCATTCTCCTCCACCTCGTCCAACAGCAGCGCCGTCAGCAGCGACCCCGCCACGTCGCCGTCGGCGCTCTCCGACATGCATGTCGTACTCGGAACCCCAACTGATGACCTGGTAGCGCCACCACCGCCTCCGCCTCCGGCTGCGGAGGATGCGACGTCCGAGGCGGCGGCCTCCCAGTACAGGTCACGAGGGCCGCCGCCGCCGACACGGCCACCGTCGCGGTGCCGTACGGGAGCACCGGCGGCGGCGGCGGCGGCCGCTGCAGCGGCGGCCTGGCGTGCCGTCATGAGCGTGCCCGTCTGGGGCACATCACCACCAGACACCGCCGGGAAGGGAACCACGTCAGCAGCAAGAAAAGCAACATCACGGAGCGTCACCTAGATTGCAGGCCGGTAGGGGGCTGGCAGTGTTTCCAATTTCTGTGTGTTAAGATAACTGGCCAATGTCTGTGTGTGACTGCAACCTTCTAGCCAGTACTAACAGTATGGGCCATCCCAAAGAGGCCCAGAACACCTGCATCGCTAACACCCACACCTGCATCGCGAAGTGCGCCAGCAGCGTTGCGGACTCCACCGTCAGCATGCCCAGCAGGTGCTGGTTGGTGACCTCCACGTCCAGCGTGCGGTGGCACTGCTCTCCCTGCTCCTCCTGCAAGGTGTCCGGCACGGACGCTCCTCCTCCACCACCATCCTGCTGCCCTAGCCGCTCTGCGGTTGGGGCTGCAGCAGCAGCAGCTGCTGCGGCGGCGGCGGCCGCGACCGCCGCAAGGTTGGCGTCTGAAGGCACTTCAGCGGAGGCCTTGGGCTTGCTTCGATACCGGCGTTGCTTAGCCACGACCTTGATGGAGGTCTCCTACGGGACCGGACAGCGGGGATACAGTGGAAGGTATGCTGGTGGAACTAAGCTTTAGCGCCTGGGTTTCCATGCAACTTACAGCAGCAGGCATTGTCAGAAACACGCCAAAATCGACGTCAGCCAAGTCACGCAAGCGGAAATTGGCCTACGTGCGTGCCAACAGGACGACATGAAGGTTACAACGCAAGCACACATGCCGACGAAGGCGCACCTGGAGCACCCTATGGTATCCGCACGCCTGCAGCATGGGCTCCCGAATGGCCCGTGGGTCGCTCGCGGCCCAGCCCGCCCCACGCTGGTCCACAGCCGCCAGATGCAGCGTCAGCGAGTGCAGAGCAACGGTGTGTACGGCAGGCTTGTCCGGCGCGTTCTCCTTGGCGCCTTGTTGCGCCCCCAGCGGCAGACCAAAATGAACCGCCTCGACGATCAGTACGAGGGCTACAGGACTGACACGACCCTGTCCCGCTGACGTACTGGGGGAACCGCCAGGGGCTGCTGTCCCTGCCGTCGGCGCCGCCGCCGCCGCAGCTGTCGTTGTGGGGGCCATGGGATACTCCATGGGCTCGTGTCGCAGAGCCATGTCCACAATGTTGACCAGCAGCCGGCCTCGGGGCTTGCCGCCGGTGGCTGCTGCTTCGGGAGCACCGTCGGCTGCCGTTGCGTCGGACTGCTGTTGTCCTTGCTGTCGGTCCCCCTTCTGGTGGTCCACCTTTGTCGCCGCTGGCGACGGCGGAGGCGGCTGACGAGGCGGCTGCGGAGGCGCCAGCGAGCTCAGCAGCGCTCCCAGCTGCACCGCCCAGTCCATGCTAACGTAGCCATGGTCCGTAGACACCGTCACGCCCTGCAGCAGCACGGAGTGAATCGCCTCCCCCTCCTCCTCCTTACCAGATGGCGCAGCCGTACAGGTCGCTGATCCAAAGCCGCTAGTGCCGTACGAAGGTGCATTGCCGCTGCTGGCCTTGCCGTACAGTCCTGTGCCAGCGGCAGAAGCGCCGCTTCCGGAGGAGGTTGAGATCCGACGGCCCCAGCCGGCTGCTGCTGCCCCAACCTGTGCCTGAGATGAAGGCTTTGAGCCCTCCATGCAAACGTACTCGAGGTAAGCAGGTGCCTTGTCCGCCGCTCCGCTCGAGCGCGGGCAATGCAGCAGGCAAATGGCAGGGCCAGGTCCGCGCACCGTCGCCGCTCGCTGCTGCGGCGTGGCGGCAGACCCATGGGTCGGCTGCCCATGGCGGGCACGGTCGCAATCCGCGCGCACGGCAGCAGCCGGCGGCTGTTGCTGCTGCGCCTGCTGCTGCTGTTGTATCTGGTGCTGCTGTGGGGGCTCCAAATGGCCCATGAGCGTGGCGCCATGCACGTGCACCGACGTGACGTTGCACTCGGATTGCGTGCCCAGGTTGCTAGCTCGGAACAGCGTCAACTCCTCCAGAACAAGCTCATACAGCGCCACTCGAGATCCGCCAAGACCCAGGCCTAGGCTTGGACTGGGGCTGGGGCTCGCATTCGAGCCATAACCCGGAACCGGAGCGGGCCGGGAAGTCGTACCACTAGCGGCTGCAGCTGCCTGAGTCGCAGCAGTAGCAGCCGCGGCCCCAAAGCCACCACCCAACGGCGGCGATACGGTCCCCTCATCGTCATACAGCTGAATCGTCAACCCAATCTCCAGCAGAGCACATGTTTGCGGCACATTTGGGGGCGAACTGAGCAGGCAACCGCTGTGGTTGCGACCCGTGGGTCCAGCAGCGGACGGCGAGGCCCAGGAAACCCGACCCTTTGCTGTGTCTGGGGCTCCTCCGGGTGATGGTGATGGTGTGGCCGGTGGTGATGTGGCCGGCGGCGGCGGCAGCAGCAGCCCCGGTAGCATTGCGACATCGGCCATGTCGGCCCGGGTGAGCCGCAGCAGGGCTTGAGGGGCGCGCAGGTGCACGAAAGTGGCTGAAGACCTGCGCGTGATGCGTATCCATGGCAGGGGATGGCGTAAAGCCTTACTTCGATTTTCTTTTCTTCCCCCGAGACTGTATGTTAGTAACTGTTGCGATGTTACATGGTGGGTTACATGGTTACTGCATGAAAAGATGCCGAACAAGATGAAAGCGAAGCAAGGCTGTGCTTCACACAACCATCCTGTGTCGTACTCTTACCTGCGACAGCGCTCGTGGAACGCCACACTCCGGAAGCTGCTGCGCTCCTCCCATGCACCGCCCTCGCCGTCCGGATCCGCCCAGCGGTCCTGCGAGTGTGCTGCCACGTGGCCCCGTGCCTCCGAAACCAACTCCGGGGCGGTGCCGACCCCTGGGTCGGCGCAAATGTGGAGATGCAGGCCGGCTCCCGGCGGCACGTCATTGGGTCCGGTAGGGGGTGCCGGGTGTGGAGGGAGACCCCAGGCGGCTTGGGGCCCATGCAGGGCAGCAGTTGGCGGCAGCATGGGCCCCGGGCTGAGGCTGAAGAGGGACTTACTGGTCCAGGGCACATTGGCAGCGGAACCTGCGTTGGCACGGGAGGGCAAGAGATGTTCTTGCACAATGCGGCCTGGTATAACCTAGAAGAAAAGCACCCTGCCCCTTGCCTAAACCCCGCTCAGCTTATGCCGGGGGTGCTTGCTTACCTGCCGCGCCGCTGCTGTGGCCCCATAGCTGTGACGTGTTGCTGCCTGTCCCCGGCCCAGCGCCCCCCGCCAGCACCAGTAACAGCTCCACCACCCCAGCCACCACGTCCACCGTCGTCACCTGGGAAGCCACGGCAGGATTATGAATGAATCACAAACGTGCTTTTGAAAATGTGTAAAGGTGGTCCATGGTGCATTGAAGGCAAGGTGGTACGTGAAGAAAGCACAGCTGGTCATAAACGACCCGCGGGTCATGCAGCCGACCCGAAGGTCCATGCGCTCGAGCTAGACCCACCTGCGAGGGAATCAGACGGTCTGTAGCTGGTAGCCGGTGGATGCTGACCAACGGCGGAAGCGCAGCCCCGGTCCATGCAGGAGCCCAAGCTGCGGGGTAGCCAGCGGCATGCGCAGGCGGCTGCGGCCCTCCATGACTGTACGACGCATGGTGGCCAACCGTCCAACCGCCATTGTACGGCTGCTGGGTACCGTACGGAGGACCGTACGAAAACGGCGGCGTTGCGGATGCGGGCGCGGTGGTCCCTGCCGCGCCCGCGACGCCGCCGCTTGCGTGGCTCGGGTGCGTGTAGTTGATGTTGGTGTAGTGAGGGAAGGGGTGGTGCGGGTATGCTGTGGCCTCGGGGTGAGTTACAATGTCTAAGGCAACGAATGCCGGCGAACCTGCATTGAGAGTAAGAAGAAGGAAGTTGAGCCGTATGCACTAACAGGCAATTTCAATGGGAAGCAAGCAGGTACCCTGACAACCGAATCTTGCATGTAAAAACCAAGCGCTGGTGGGCATTCCAGGTAAGCTCCTTGGTATTGAGGTGTGTACAAAGGACCACAGTACTCGGCACAGACGGTAACAGCAAGAAAACCACGTTTAGGATAGTTCGCGTGCCATGCTAGGCACGTACCGGCGGGCTTTGGAAGCGGCGGGGTAGGTGGGTTACTCGGCAGCAGCGCCAGCAACAGGCACACGTGGTGGGTTGCCAGGGTGACCGACAGGCGGGGCAGAGGGCCCGCGGGTTTCGGAACAGCCTGGAGCGGGGTCGAGTTGCGGGGAGCATGGAAAAACGTAAGAAAGCCATACCCGAGTTAGATTACTTGCCCATGCGAAAGCTTTATACATGAGTTAGGAAAAGCTGGAAAAACACGGTACTTACCACTACACATCTGCGGTTAGCTTTTGTGGGCTTGGTGGCTTCTGAAGCCAGGCTCAGCGGCGCCGCAAAGGCCGTTACCCTCTCCAAGAACGGCAACGACAGCCAAACCGTAATAGGCAGCAGCTCCAAGCTGACATCCAGGGACGGCGCAGCTTGAGCCGTGCAGCCACCACCGCCGCCGCCACCGCCCTCAGATGCCCCAGCGCCCTCTGGCGATGCATTTGCCCCCCATAGCGCGCGGAGCTTCAGACACCCTGACCCGAACAAGCCTCCGCCACTGCTTGCAGGCGGTGTACCAGCCTGAGCAGGCGCTGCGGCGTGTCTGTTGCCGCCAAACCTTCCATGAGCTGACCCATGGGTCGCATGCGTGGGATGCGCTGCGGCTGCCCCGTTGGCGCTAGGCGGCGGCGTGCTGGCGCATGACAGGACGGGCCAGGTCTGCATGCAGCTGCTTCCATCGGTTCCGGCAGCTGTCTGTGAGTTACGCCCATGCAGCTTCACCCCATGCCTAGGACTCAGGGCCCCAGAAGCCGCTGCCACAGCCGCTGCAGCAGCCGCGCCAGGTGCGCTTGAGGACGATGTCGACCGCGCAGGCGCGGGCTGGGTGGGGCGGAAGCGGTAGGGCGCTTGCGGCAAGCCTTCGGGCACACGACTCCACTCCAAGGGCGTCATGCCGTACTTGATACCCACGGTTGCTGGCAGTTGCTCGTACAACTGTAGCTGCCCTGCCTGCAGTGCCACGCCGTTGCCATGCACGCCATCCTGCCACAAGTCGCAGCTTATTTCGTGAAGCTCCAATACCAGGCTGCCACCGCACGCATTGCAACCGCCTTCCCCGGATGACACATCAGAACCAGGGGCGCTTGCAGTGTTAGTGCTCCCGTGCCAAGGTGATCCAGCCGACGTGTCAGGGCTGTCGCCGCTGCCAACGCCGCCCCTACGTGAGCCGCTAGTCACTTGGTGCTGGCCTCTGCGGCCCAGCAGCGATTCCTGCGACTGCTTCTGTAATGACTGTTGCTGAGACGCAGCCGAAGCATAGCAAAGCACCACAGCCGTGTGCGAGACATGAGCATGCACGCTGACAATCGGCTTGGGCGCAGAAGGCTCGGATGCGGGCGCTGCTGCCGCTGTTCCTGCCGGCGTTCCTGCCGGCATATAGGTAGGGACGGAGGGCCCCGCCGCCGCTCCTGCTCTTGCTCCTGTTGATGTCTTAGCCGCAGTCTGCTGGGGCACTGAGCGCAGGCCCAGGGCAGCTTCGGAAACCCTCCAGCCCGGTCCCTCGTGCGCGCCGGCGCCCACCCTTGCTGCTACTGCCTGTCCCAGGTTAAGGCATCCCGGGCCGCCCGCTACCGGCGCGGTGACCCCGCTTGCAAAGCTGCTTGCAAGCGAGCCAAACCGGCTACGAGCGTCCTGGAACTCGTTTACATCATCGTATGACAGTGGGTCTGCACCGCCACTGGAGCCGCTGCCGGCTCTTAGCATGTATGGCTCCAGAGACTGTGCGACGGCGTCTTCACAGTCGGGCAGCATGATCGACTCAAACAGCGACCGCTGGCCCCAGTGTTGTCCGTGCCTGCCCCCGCCATTGCCGTACATCGATGCAGCCGTACCAGCTGCGCAAGATGCCCACAACCCCGCGGCGTCGGTTGACGACGAAAAGTCCCTGTCGGCGCCACTCCCCTCCATCTCGTCATCCTTATATGTAGGCGTGGATGAGCCGCCAAGTGCGGCACTAAGCGCTGTCAAACAGACGGCGTGGCTGGGCAGGAGCTGTAACCGTACCGCTCCTAGCTGCAGATCTGCTGTAATCTGGGTCGGCTGGTTGCAGTTATCGTGCTTAACCATGCGCAGCTCTAAGCTGAGCTGCACGCCGTGCTTGCCGGGTCCCGAGATCAAGGTTACCCCCGTCGCTGCTGCTGCGGGTAGCGGCATCACCGCCTGTGCCGCACCGGAGCCTCCTGCAACCGGGACATCAGCTGAAGCAGCCGCGTAGTCAACTGAGCCCGCGCCTGTTACTAACGGCGTTGTCTCGAACAGGTCGAGGGACAGCCCCTTTACCTGAACAAACTTGGCAATCTCCCGCCGCCCGCCGGACATGCCCGCCGCAGACGAAGGCCCGGAACCCACGCCCGTCCCAGAACCTGCTGCCGTACCACCGCTAATAGAGGGCCCGCCACCCTCGTCCCGCCCCACAGCACCTCCATGGGGCCGTACGGAGGCAGGCGGGGCTGCGTTTCGGTGGTTATTTCTGTGCCCATGCGCGTCATGACCCCGGTGCTGCTGTTGCTGTTGATGGTGGTGATGGTGTTGAGGGGTCACTGAAGCAGCCACTGCCTCAGAGATCGAGGCTAAGTCGCCAAACTCCACAAGGTCGAGTTTTAGCGCGGCCGTGACCACGCGGCCCTTCTCCGAGGGATGCGGCAGCTCGATGCGCACCAACACGTTAGACGCCTCCACTCGCATGTGTTGCAGCATGGACTGCAGGCTGCCAGCGATGCGGCGAATGCCCTCCATAACTGCGCCCTGGCCCGTCCAGCCAAAGTCGTCTGCGAGGAGGAAGCCCATGCCGCCACCGCCGCCGCCGCCTCCTGCCGTGCTACGAAGCGAGGGTGGCGATGAGGATCCATTGAGGCCGCTGGAGGGTATGTCCTGTGGGAATATGTTGGGCGCAGTTGCGCTGCTGTCTGATTGCGGGTGTGCTGATGTCGCGGCGGTGGGGTTGATGGAGGCCGTGGGCGCGACGGTCAGCATAACTTCGTTGACCACTACGCTGCATTGCGCGGACGAGAGGGAGACTAGCGGCAGCTTGGCGCTGACGCTGCCCACGTAGCCCGCCTTGACATACCAGCCGTCCAAAGCCTGGAAAGCGTTGGGAGGGACGGGGAAAGAGGGGACGAACGTGGGTTAGCAGGGTATGCGTTGCGGCTGAGATCAGATGAACCTGGACGAGAGAAAGACTGTTGTAAAGGGTGGGTAGGGTGGGGAAGTGGGAAAGCAACTTTTGGCATGTACGCCCAGCTACCAGTCCAGACATCCGAAATGGCAAGGCAAACCCGCAAGCTCGCCTGTTCGCCGCGGACCCAACCCTACCAAGTCCTTATTGACAGCATCACAGTTGAGAAGAATGTTCTTTAGCTCGAGTTTGCCGGTATCCAGTTTAACGTCGAGCTGCTCAAGGTCGATTTCCGACGTCAAGTACTTTCCCACGTTGCGCTTCAACACAAACTTTAAGAAGCGCTTGAGAAGCCAGTCTGTAGTGCCCAGCATCGTTACAACTGTGCGACCACAGGCCGCGTAAGACTATACTGAACACGAGAAGTTCACCCAGCGCAGCGCAGTGCTAGAGGTACAAAGTTATCATAGCTAGAGAACTAGCCATACAGCCTAAACTGAGATATGACGTTGATTCTGCTGCGTCATATCGTCTATCCCTAACGGCCGAGGAGATTAGGGTTCTTTCATCCACCGTAATCCGTTCACTAACATACTGGTAACAATGTATAGAGTTGTTTTCCTCCGATGTAGCAGCGAAGGTTTTGGTGGCGGTGCGCGTTTGATGACCTTGGCCGATTCCGTAGTTCCACCATGTTCAAGCTGCAGAGCTGTCACCTACACGTGGTCAGAGACAGACCAAGGCACGTCCTCTACCTACAGTGTTGTCCTCTATACTATTTTATCGAATTGTTGGATTGTGAGCTAGTCCTTCATAAAGCAAACATGGACCGGTCTGCGTAGTCGCGTCCGAGCAGAATGCCTACCCCGTGAATTAAGCCCGTTAACATCTTAATAGTATCCAACGCCTGACTAGCCATGGAAGACCTCGATGACTTTGCGGACCTCAAAGAGAACCGCTTCGCACATCTTCTCAAGCCTATTCGCGACTTGCAGGAGAATTTCAGTATTGACTTAGCCGGAGAGCTTGAAGAGTACCTTGAACTGCTTGAACATGCTGAATTCTCTTTCGAGGGAGACCGCCAGGGCATGGTGGACTTCGCTCAGGCGGCCCTTGTCATTCAGGGAAGCACGTGCGTTTACTCCAAGAAGGTTGAATACCTTTATAACCTGGTGTACCAGGCCCTCGAAGCTGTGAAAGGAAGGAAGCGTCAGCAAGTATTGGGACCGGATGGTCAGCCCATCGATGGCGACGCTGTCCCGCAGCAGGCTGGCGCACGAGGCCGTGTAGCCCGGGCCGCTGAAGAGGATGAGGACGAAGGACTGGAGCGCTTTTGGGACGTAGAGCCACTTCTTAAACAGTCCGCGGATATCGACCTGGCGCCAGGCGACGGTCTCCTGGCGAACACCGGCAACAACACACGGCCACCTGCAGCCCTGCTCGCGCTAGAGGACCAGGGGCAAAGTGCAGCTAGCAGCGCAGAGGCGAAGGGCGACGGAGATTCGGGCGTCTACCGACTGCAACAGTGTGTGGTCCATTGCTCCGGCACCCTGCTCCTTGACGCGAGAGATGGCGACTTCTACGACTCTCAGCTGAGGTGAGCGAGCAAAGAGGTGGCTGCACGGGGGCCCTTAGTGCTAACAAGGGCATGTTGGTGTTTGGGGTAACCCATAGAGCATGACCAAGATGCGGAAAGCATGTAAAGGATGCTGATCGCGGCATGGAACGCTACCACATGACACAACTCTGCGGTTCGCCCTCGCTCATGCTCGAATCCTACAACAACTAAGCCCGCAACCCTCATGGCCCAAACCTGAATCCTCATGGCTTCCTGCGCCCTGCACCTGCAGGTTCATTGGTCCGCAGCCCCGACACGACAACACGTTGGAGATGATGATAAATGACCATCAGTTGGGCCAACCTGTGCAGCTGATGCCCATGCCCATGGCACCGGCGAAAGCTGCCGACGCCGCACCGGGCCCCGCACAGCAGGATGCCGGCGACCCCAACGCCGCCCATGCAGGCGCAGCCATGGACATGGACCCAGCGCAAGCACAGGACTACTACGACGATGACGGCGGCGGCGGCGCAGGTGGAGGCGACTGGCCCAGTGACGACGAGTTTGCGGAGGCTGCAGGACCCGACAAGGCTGGCGCGAAGGACTTGATGAACATAGACGGGGTGTCAGTTGGCGGCGACGGTAGGTGTGACACTGTTTTCCTTGCGGTATCGTGCCAGATGCCGCCGAAGCACATGGGCTTAAGAGGTGCAGCGAGTGCGCTGGATTTCTATGCATCATATAGGGAGAAAACATGCCCCGCCAAGCACGTGTTAGCATGTCACCAGTGTGTGTCCCAAACGCTGACGCAGGCAGCGCAAGAACGGTGCCGATGGCAGCGGGCCAACCACACCAGCCGCAGGCGGCCAACTCGGGCGCCGCGGCGCCGAGCGTTGGAAACAACGAGGCGGACGCGGAGGGAGAAGAGGAGGTCTTCGATCCGTACAAGCCTTTGGACCCCGCCGCAAAGAGCCGCCTCCCCGACAAGCCCCTTGTGGTAGGTGGCACCAGGGTAGCCTTTAATTGCATGGCTAGCCAGGGGCTAACGGTGGCTTTGTGTCAGTCGGCCGAGCTGTAAGTGACAACGCAAGAGACGTCTTGAGGCGGGCGTAGCTCCCTTGAGTGCATTACAACCCGCTGGGTGCTGCTCCCTCCGACGGTTAGCATGTGGGTCGCTTCGACACTGCCCCCGTGTGTTGCAATGCGTGCAGGTCCGTAGGCCTCGTAAGTCACGCCGGAATCCCACCAAGACAGCGCGGGCGCGCGAGGCGGGGCCTTCCGGTGCCAGCGGCCTGCTGCTGCCTGAGTTTAGCTACTGCTTGGCGTTCCTGCGGCCCGCCTCCCGAACGGTTGAGGATCCCCATGCGCAGATGCGCGGGGCGGCCACCACCGGCCTCAAAGCCCGACCGGAGCGTGTTGCCCTGGCGAGGGGAGGCATTGCAGCGCCCATCTTTGATGCCCGTGATGCAGCGGCGGCAGGTAAACGACGTTTATTGCGGCGCCTGTTATGCTTACCGTGGCGATCGACCTCTGCAATAAACCACTGTTAACACCTGCAGACCATGTATGTACTTCACCTAATCAAACCTATCCAATCGCTTAATCAAGAACTCCTGTCTCTCGGTACCATGCGGGCTTGCAGTCGCAGCCGACGAGGCAGCAGACGCGGATCCCGCACAGGCCGACCAAGAGGACATGCCACCTGCGGCTCAGCCCTACGGCTTTGATGATGATGACAATTACGGCGGCGGCGGCGCATCAGACGTGGACGATGACGTGGATCCGCTCGCTCCCGGGGGCGGTTTCGGGGCCGCCGCCGCATGGCACCAACCCGACGGCGCCGAGGCGGACGATGCGGATACGGCTGCCAGGACGCGGGACGGAGTTTGGCCGGGAGGTGTACCGCCCATGGGTCAGTTGGGCGGTCCCGACGGGGCCATGGCCGTGGACGGTGTGGAAACCAGCTATGAGGAGCTCTGCAGGTGGGCTCGCTGGAGCTGTAAAGGGGAAAGAGGACGGGATGGGAGAATGGAAGAGGGGAACAACCGGTCCGCCGTATCGCCCGGAACATGGATGCTCGCCCACAACCTCGTTCTTCGGCCGCGCGCCAAGGGACACCATTCGTGCATCACCCCTTGTTGCGCTCACGCTAGCATGCCGACCGCTCTGCCTGCACTCAACTCCCTGTTCCATGCGCCTGCGCAGGGCCCACATGGAGTCGATGCTCATGGCTGCTGCAGCACGGGAGGTGCAGAGCGACCTCGCACGGCGTGTCAGCAGCTGGCGCCAGCGCATTGACCCGGTGCTGCAGGTATGGGGAGGTTGGGCTTAAAGCGGTTTGCGTCGCTCGTGTTGCTAACCATCTGGCCGCCCCTATCTTGCATGCGTATAATGCCTTATGCGAACTTATCCCTTTTGCCCAAACCTCCGCAATGGAATGAGCACGGGGTAACACAAGCAAACTACCCGCCAAAGCAAACTGCCGATGTTGCACCTGAAACTCCTCAGGCGGAGGAGTCCAGACCCGCCTTCGACATCCAAGACTATGGGGAGCGCATCCTGGGGCGCCTGGCGGAACTCAAGGTGAGCTGGCTGCACGCATGGATAAGGCTCGGGAACAGAAAAAGCCGAAAGTGGAAACGGCGAGGAAGGCACGCATCAGGTCCGTTAACAGCATGCCATGCTGGCATGAAAACGCTGGTTGCAACTATCTCCTTTTCACACTGACCACAAACTTGCAGATTTCGGACAAGGAGCAGCAGCAGGGAGCTGTTGTGGCTGCGGAGCAGCGGGCGCCTGTCAACTTTGGGGTGGTGGCCCGGGAACTGCAGAAGTTCGAGGTGTCGCGCATGTTCTCCGCGATGCTGCAACTCATCAACAACAGGTACGAAAGGCAGTGTGTATGCTGATTGTCGACCCGTATGAAGACATGGTAGGAGGGTTGCGCGCAGGCCTGCCCCTCGGGTTATTGCGTTGCGGGGCTCATGCCCGTGTCGGTCGTCCTCGTGTACCAGGCAACAGCCTATCCAGGCATGTACAAGCAATCCAGTGACATGCCACTGTTGCATACGATTGGCGCCCACATCCCCAACCACCACAACCGCCGTTGCCTGTACCCCAGTACGCGCCCTCCGCACTCGGTTTACCACTTCCTGCTCCCCCAGGAACGTCGCACTGTTCATGAACGATACCGCCAACGTTCCGCCTGGGGAGGTGCCCGACGAGCCCTTCAAGCTGCGGCTCCTGAGCACCGACATGTACCACAAGACCATGGGCGAGCGGCTGGCAGTGCACAACCACCACCAGGTTTGTTGGGTTGTTGCTGGCAATTAGGGGAAACAGCATGGCGGAGGATTGTACGCCTATGCTGGTTGTGCAACTCTGGGACGTCTTGGCGAACGCTAGATGCGCATTGAAACTCTTTGTAACAACAGTCCTAAAAGGCCTCTCGAGATCTTCCCCCGTTTACGGTCGCTTTCCTCCGGTGGCATGTGCTATGCACGCAAACACAGGCTGGCGGGGCGGCTGGCGCAGGGGAGGACGGAGGCGACGACGAGGACGTGGAGAACCGCGCGACGCAACGCGGCCGGGCCAAGCAGGGCAGTGGCGGCCGTGGCAAGGCGGTGGGCGGCGGAGCCAAGCGCGCCAAGAAGGCCCATGCGGCGCCGCTGGCAGATGCGAATGCAGACGATTGACAGGGCGACATGCTAGGCGGGGTGGAAGATGAGGGGCGTGTGCGGCTGGCAGGGGGGCGGCGTCCTTAGACAGCTGTCAACCATGTGATGTTTTCTCCGAGGATAATTACGGGAGGCAGGGAAACTTGCTTGGTGTTTCAGGGTTTCCGGTGCATGTTTTCCCGTTCAAGAGCGGGATGTGTCATAGTGAGCCAGTTACAGACAACTAGGGAAGCGTGATAGTGTGATAACCAGTTAAGCATACATGTGACCAGGAAGGACCCATGCGTGATAACGGACGGCTCTACTCTGCCAGGCCTGCAGATATATTACCTCACCACTGCATAGACGTACCTAGTGCTTTGCCATTTATGTACAAAGCGGCCAATCCAAAGCCACGCACGTCAGGTGACTTCCTTGGACTTCCATATACACTACCGCACGGTAACGTCAACAGGGCATGGCAATCCATGGCCGCTACGCTGTAAACGCCAGGAGCAGTACGCGGAGCCCTCATGCTCGTGTGCTGCTCCCTCCTGCCCCGCTCCTCATCTACAACTCCACCACGCACTACCGTACCACCATCACAGCACCCTATTGTCACTCCTTCCGTTTCCTGTAACATTCTGCCAACGCCCTCCTGACCCTTCATCCCGTTTCATCGCTTGTGGTAAGAGCTGTTCCACACGCCTCCGTCCTTAGCGTAATAGTCCATGGGGTAGTGCGGAATGGCCTCCTCATCCCCAGCGCTGCCCGCCGCCTCCCCATCTGCCTCCATACAACCGTCAGCCGCAGCAGCGGGGGCTGCTGTGCCGGCCACCTGGCTGGCGGGCTGCTGTTGCGGCCCCTCCCACCAGGCAGGCACCACTCCGAGCGCGACAAGAGCCTCGTAGGGTGTGAGGGTGGGCCGCTTGAAGCCCTCGCCCCAATCGATGGATAGCCGCGGACACGCAATCTGTGGAAAGAAGTCGAGAGGAAGGGAAGGGTGGAAACGGGCGTGATGCTGGATGTTGAGCGCCGAAAGATGCTACGAGAAAGAACACCCACGGAAGAAAATGAATGAAACGACCTGACTAGGCATCTCCCTTACCTGCACAAAGGCATCAAGCTCGGGAAACATCGCCAGGCGCGGCGGGGACACCTGCGCAGGTCAGGGCAAACACCCACATGCGATGTTCATGGTGTATGGCCTACAAAGAAAATGCACGGGTATGGAGATAGGGGCTCATTCATATTGCGACGCTTTACCCGTACGCGCAGCCATACAGCCCTTCGCCAGGTCTTGCGCCTAACAACGTGAAAGCGTGGACGCATCCATCGCCAGCCCAATCGTGCAAAAGCAGTCTGCCGTACCTCCGACATGAGAATGAGGGTGTACGGCAGCCCCTTCTCCACCAGATGGCGCTCCAGGGTGGCCAGGATGGCGGGGTTACCCTGCGGGTGCAACACGCCACACACACATATGCAGTCGTACACCTAGATGCAAGTGCTGTAACATAGCCACGAACACCCATTAGCAAACTGAATGCGGATTGTAGGTGATGCAGGCGAACACAAAAGGGAGTATGCGGAAAAAGTGAGGGTGCGGATTCAACCACACAAAAGCTCGAGCGTCCGTCGGTGCCCCTATTTAAGGCATCTTCAATGAAGCGATGCCTCTCTTCTGCATGCATCGGTCCCCCTCCATGCACGCCTCAACCAGCGCCCACCTGTCTCCCAAGCGTGCCCAGCACCACGCCCCACCGCTGCGCCCCTCGAGCCGCCTCAATGGCCCGCCTCCTCACGGCTCGCATGCCTGTAGAAGGCACCGAGGTGGAACAGGTGCGCACGTGGGCACATGAGCGGGATTTGGCATCCCCAATGCCATGAGAGGGGGTGCATATCGCACCCAAGCACCCAAGCAGCAGGCACGCAAGCACCGGTACATACATATGCGGTATGGCAGGCATTGCGTAGGGGTTAGAGATTACAGGGGTCATCCACGCAGCATAAGGCCTTTCATAACAGTGCCTACCTTTGTGATCGTACCGCTCCCGTGTGAAGATTCTGCCGTACGGATCGTAGCGGTAGGCGGGGATGGCGGGGTTGGCAATCATCATGGCCTCCAGGTGGAACCTGTGTTGCCGCGTACGACACGGGCGTCATGCAGGTGAAGTCATAGGCGCGCGGCTGGGAGACAGATGCGCCAGCACAGGCTTCAAAAACAAGGCAAGGAAAGGCAGAGAAAGGCAGAGAAAGGCAAGGGAAGGCAAAGAAAGAGAGCACGTTCTGGGCCCCGCGGGTCCTGCTCTGGTAACTTAATGGAACCCTTCCGTACGCACCGTCCATCCGACAAGAAGATGATGGCATCCGCGGTGCTTGGATCCACGACAGGTGCCGTACACCCCAGCACCTCTCCAGGGGACAGCGGGCGGCACTTGGGAACAGCGAGGGAGGGGTAGGTGGCGGAGAGGCGTTGTCGAGCCAGCTGTACGGCGGATGTGAACTGGATGGTACCTTTTGCAAGTGGGTAGGAGGGAAGGGAGGCGGAAAGGGTTAGGGAGCAAGGCGCCGAAGAATGTGGCAAATGGCAGCAGACGGCAGGGAACACCGGAAGAGAACGGTTCGGGGGGAAAGGGGCATCTCCTCCACCTATGCACCGTCAGTCTGTCCCCCTACTGCTGCTCATCCACATGCTTCGGAAGAGACGGACGCTCCTATCTCATGTTCTTTGGCCCCTGCCCTGCCATCCCCTTCCCCTTCCCCAGTCATACCCGCCCTCCACCACTACCAGTAGCTTAGCAGCCAAGGCCCAGCTAACTCGCCCTTCACGCCCCCGACAAGCTGCAGCTCCTGCATCCCTCCCCTCTCCTCCCCACTCCACCCTAACCCGCCCACCTCCATACCCTCCCTCCCTCCCAACCCTCCGCACCCGCCAGCACCAGCTTGGTGCCCGGGTCCGGGAAGTTCAGCTTCACGCTAGCTACCAGGTGCTCCACATCCACTGCGATGTCCACAAACACGTACAGGCAGGGCAGCCCGCCGCTCATGAGGTCCACGGGGACCAGGCAGGAGTGCCCGTAGTGCACCAGGAAGTCGGCACCCAGCGCAGCAGCAGAGTAGTCGTCGATGCAGCAGGCGCCGTACGTCACATCGCCCATGACCAGCGTGTGCGTTACACCTGCATGCGCCGTACGTAGGGGTACGTGTGCGGGGGGAGGGGATTGGCATGCGTGGGTGGGTTACGTGGGTTGCGACATGCCCGTGCGGGGTTGGTGAGTTACGGCAGCATGCATGGGCGGGGTTCGCAAGCAGCATGTGGGTCAGGTTACGGGGAGACGATGAGGCGGGTTGCGAGGGTGGTTAGGGTTGGTTAGTTACATGCATGCTCCCAGGCAGGGCACACAACAGGGGGGCATCCTAGCGTGCCAGGCAGCGGCTCACCTGCAAAGGTCTCCAGGATGTCTGCAATAGTGCACGCGTACATCTGCAAACCCTCCGGGAACTGCAGCGCAACGGTACGAGCACCCGCCTGCCGTAAACGCCAGACCGTTTTATGGATTTCGAAATTGTAGTTGGCTGGGAGTACGGCAATGGCCTCGTTGAGCTGCGGATTGTGCAGGATGTCATCTGGGACTTGTTGTCGTACAAACCGCTTGACACCACCGGCGGGCCCAGCGTGGTTGCTGCTGCTGCTGCTGTTGTTGGCGGTGGCGTGAGGGACGATGGCGCCGGAGGAAGCTGCAGTTCCGGGGGCGTTACGAGAGGGCACGTGGTGTAGCATCGTGAGAGGCCCTATCTGTAATGACAACAGGTCGCTAGACGTGAGGGTAAGGAGGTGTACAAGGGGGAACCGCATTACGCAAGGCAGCTCGGCGTGCCTTGTCCAGTTACGGGTTATGCAGAGTTCCACGTAAGTAAGGAGTAGGGAGGGCAGGTGCACGCAAGCATGCCCGGTTGGGAAAGTTGGATGCCCTCGCCCAGCCCAGTCGCTGGGACATCGTTTGTTGTACACGCTTACTTCCAGCCTGAGCGCCAGAGAAACGCCGAGCATCCTCTTCCGGCGGCGCGCCGTCTGCCATGGCCAAGGGTTCTTCGCAAGCACGTGTCGCGTTCAGGTATCAGCTGAGATTGTGTATATGCACAAAAGCCGACAAGAAAGTATCTAAAGCAGTAGCGAAGACTGTTAAATATGCAACAAAAGCTAGCCAAGTAAGCTTTACACCGATATTCCGGAGGCGTGGATAATGAATTGTTTCACTTTGCGCTGTACAAGTTGCCTTTTGCTTTTTTTCTTGTGGAGAGGGCTGAGAAGGAGTACTACTTTGTTATTAGTCAAGCACTTCTACCAGGGCCCTAGTGGCCTTCACAGCCTTCCTTGCAGGATGCAAAGCTGTGAGAGAGTTAACAGAACTCGGCAAAGCGGAAATTAAGGATTACCCTAAAGGGATCTTCACAAGGTCGATCCATCCTTAAAAGCTAAAGATGTCCTGAAACACCGATGCCCCATGGGGCATGTCCTCCTATAGTAACTAGTGCCAACGCGAAAGAAAATGTGGCGTAACTGCTTCCTTTTACGTCGGGAGCTCGGGACCGTTGGAGGCCGGTAGGCAAGAAAGCCGAAGCAAGCGCTATAGCGAGCGTCACACCTGCCAATGTATTGTTAGCATGCAAGTAAATGGGGTTACGGCTGGGGAGGCGTCACAGCATTTACATGATGCCGTGATGAGATGACTTGCAGCAGCAACGCGATTACAGCACGTGCAACGTTGCTCACGTACTGCAAGTATAGAGCGCCCGATCATTTGCAGCAATAATAACTAGTACTTGGCAGCGTGTATGTGTATACTATATGCAGGGATTACAAGTCCTTCGTTCGCATTTTGGTTAAGTCGAAGCCCCGACGACTGCTGCAAGGCGCGACAACAGCTACCAAGCTGCCTTACCTAGCTTTACTATTGTGCCTTCTTGGCGTCGCCAACGTAATGGCCCAGCAGTGCAGCACGTCGGGCAGGATGCCCACCGTTTTCCTTCCGCATGGCGGAGGTCCCATGCCCGTCCTAGGACATCCTGCACAGCTGTCCCTCGCAACATACCTGCGTGGAATGGCAAAATCCCTACCCAAACCTACGGCTATCCTCTCCGTGACTGCACATTGGGAGGTAGGGCACACTGCTTGGAGTCGTCGTCCAGCGCGACTGGCCACAGCAGTGGCCGGGGTATGCATGCTTTCTGGCGTAGTAGCTGCTTAGGGGGGTTTCATGAAATATACAGGTTAGGCTAGTCATAAAAACGGATTGCAACGGTAGCGGGCTGAAACGGTTGGAAGTGTACGACATCACAAGGGATCCTGTGCCAATGGCTATGCCGCACCGCAGAGCATGCGTTGTAGCGCCTTTCACCGTTCCCCCTTCTTTCCTTCCCTTCCTACTTCCACAACTTCATTACACCCTCAGGCGGACAAGGTGATGGTGAGCACGTGCCCCAAGCCCTCCATGCTGTATGACTATTACGGCTTCCCTCCCGAGGTACGAACACCTTGCACTTGTACAACAGATCGCAGGACCCGAACACGCCGGGACACGGCGCAAACCATATATCCATACAGCACCGGAAGGGCTCTGGACCTTCTTCTCTTGATGCTCCTTGTTCATCCACATTGAAGCTTGTTTGACTTCTACAAGCAGGTCTTCAACCAACAAAACCGAGCACAGCATAGTCCACACCACCACCACCCCTTCAAACCTCTCCTCCTCACCCTCTTCCTCCCCCCGCCCACTTCCCACCCCACACGCAGTCCTACCGCCTTCAGTACACCGCTCCCGGCTCCCCAGCCGTCGCCCAACGCGCCCTCGCACTGCTCGCTGCTGCCGGCATCCCCGCCGCCTCTGACCCGAGCCGCGGTTACGACCACGGCACCTTCATCCCCCTCATGCTGGCCTTCCCGGAGGCAACGGTACCGGTGGTGCAGATGTCACTGCTGAGCTCCCTGGACCCCAAGTAAGGGGCCGGAAAGGGTGCTCTTTGAAAGGAAACTGGCCGCGGGGAGGGTGTGTGGAAAGGGTGTGTGTGGGTTGTAAAGCTGTATCTGGAGAGGCACATGCGCGTATGCGATCAACCTACCGTTGGTCATGTAAACGTCGTGTGAAAGTACCGGCCGTGGAGTATGGAGCGGCCACCCGGGTGGTGCAGTTGTGCATGCCCCCATCCCCGGCCCTTGTCCTGCCCTGAGCCCTTCCATACCCTTGCGCGCATGCAGGGCCCACCTGGACATCGGCGCCGCACTCGCCCCGCTGCGTGACGAGGGAGTGCTGATCGTGGGCAGCGGCCTGAGCTTCCACAACATGGGCGTCTTCATGCGGAACATGGGCGAGCTGACGGGCAACAAGTTCAAACCCAGCCAGGTCAGTACCTACTGCTGACCCATGGGTCATGGCTCATGGGGTCATGGACTTTACAGATCATACCCGTTTTTAGAGATGGTCCTGATCCGACCTGATACAGCGGTTTTACTTTATGGTGTTCTTGCGCATGCGGTAGCGCATGCGGTACACACATAACAATAGTATTCGGCCAGTAAAGCACCTTTGCTGTAGACTTCCGTATTATTCAGTGGTATGGTTTAGTGCTCTGGGGCCCCTATGGCCTATGCCCTCCTCCAAGACCCTCGCCATCGGCCTTGTCTTCTTCGGCGCTTAGCCATTTTCCAACCATTCCCCTGCCACCCTCTTTGTTGCCCCATCAGGACTTCGATTCCTGGCTGCAGCAGGCGGTCACGGGCAGCCGGGGCGCTAAGAGGGCAGAGCTGCTGGCGGGCTGGGCGGCGGCGCCTGGAGCGCGGCAGGTGGGCATGGGGAAAGGGGGCGGGGGGTGAACGCAGCGGGGATGTGTTTTGGCATGCAGAGGATAGCTCCGAGGTTTAGGCGTACATGCGGGTTCGGCGGTTATCTGTTATCTGTGGGGAGGTTTGCACACGCATGGATCCCCCTTCGGCTCTCTGGACCCCGAACACAATTCTCGCCTCCTGCTTGCATTTCCCCACTTCCGCGGCCCCCCCCCTTTCCCCCCTCCTTGTCTCTCTACCCAGTCGCACCCGCGCGAGGAGCACCTGATTCCCCTTATGGTAGCGGCGGGGGCGGCGGGGGAGGACGCGGGGCGCACCGACTTCAGCGAGTGGATGATGGGGGGGAAGGTGTCGGGGTTTGTGTTTGGGAAGACGGACAACAAGTAGGGGTCTGGAGTACCAAAATGTTATAAAAACGGACTAGAAGAAGAGTCTGATGCGGATCGGGCTTTGCACTTGGTGGCGTCCTGGGGCAGCCGTCTACATAGCTGTGAACGCAAGGAGAAGGGAGAGGAGAGCGAGTTGGCGGAGGGGGTTGTGGGCACTTACACTGCTGACAGCAGGACGGTCCCGTCAACTCGGCTGTATTGTTGGCGCACATGCGGCAACCCATGGGCCATTACGAGGGGTGGCCTGATGACGCCGTACCCCGATCGTTGGAGGCATCATCGGTTTATCGCTACATGCATGGCAACGGTATGCATGTGCACGCATGCATGCATGTTAAGGCATGGACAACAAAGAACTGAAGAGGAGGTTTATGGATGGGGATGCGGGTGCGTTGTGGGTGTGGGTGTGGGTGTGCAACAACGGTTAGTGCATGAGTCGGTAACCCACCCCGTTGTTGTTAGCGTAGGACTTGTGAACCCGGTTGCCCGGGCGGCTGTGACCTGCATCGCTGGTGTTAGGTGATCCACTACCGTACTAAAGGTGCGAAGCATTATGCTGGCTGCACGGCATTTTCGTGAGCATGACTTTTACCCTGAGCTTTGCGGTGCGCACCGAGCTCTGCAGTGTCTTTCCCTAGAGGAGATGATTTTACTGAGTGTTAGGGAATTTGGCCGCGAGTAGGAGCGTGTCCCCACCAATACGAGAGTGTGTGCGAGGGCCTGGCCAGTGACTGTGCCATCACTGAACTTCGCATCGGGGATGCTGGCCAACGGATACGTATTGCCACTGAACGTTGCTGCTGCTCATCATGATACCGGGAGGGTAGGCATGCGGCACCGGATGCGGTAAACCTTAGTGACATGCGTAACAACCTGTAGCAATGTGCAAGATTGTAATCCTGGTATCCTTGCTTGCACATGTTCTTCTACCCGCCGCTCGTGCTGTGTACAGGGACGCAATTCCTCTGCGGCACTACCATGTATCACACATACTCCTCGCCATGCCACTAGGAAGCTGCCATGGCTTGCTTGGAGGGTTAGGGCAAATGCAAGCGACCGGACAGGGCAGTTAGCACCGTCGTACACGGCCTAGCAGTACTCAGGCTGTGCCAACCAGCTTTGCTGCTAAGTATGTGTATATTATTGATACCTGCGACGGGCATGTTACAGGGCTTCGCAGATGGAGCTGGTTGTAGCGGGTTTGGCAGGCGTTGGTTACCATGGCATGTACATGTATAGCATGGACATCATCGCCTATGCTGAAAGCACATCAGTTCATCATAGGTGCTCTGGTTGTTGTAGTTCGACCAAGGGCGCTTGCCAGCACGTGTAAAGAGCATGCTCACTGCTCGCACTCGCGATGGCGTGCACGTACGGATTGCTGCCGTAATTGCTTCACGTAAGCAACGAGCGTTGCCGCTTCTGTTACTTGCGGTTCATCATTCCCTCCTAACAAGTAGCAACCAAAGAAATGGCTTTGGCAAGAGTATTTGCCCGACGGGCCGCATCATGTATAGCACTGGCACCACGATGCGTGAGGAGTATTCAACACGAAAGCAAAACAAACATTCAACCATCTGGCGAGAATGGCGACGACGCTCCGAGCACGTCATCTGAGCCAACTGTGGGCTGGTTGCGCGGTCCGAAGGCAAACAAGCCTAACAAGTCCATAGAAGACGAATGGGAGGAGCTACGTGATCCGCAGACCGGCGCTGTTTCTTGGCGGAGCCTTCTAACCGGTGCGTAGGGATGCGATGGTTGGGTTGCGAATAGTAAGTATTCCAAATCCACAGCATTAGTAGGATATCCGTTGCTGGTACCGAGTGCTATAAGGCGCTGCGTGGTGTTTGGCTTAGAGATGACGATTCTGGGGCACGTGACTGCATGCATGCCATCTGCACCGGTACCGTTACCACCACCAGAAGCGGGCGCTCCCCTCCTCGCTACAGCACGCGGCTGGATGGAAAGTTCCCATGTGCTCCTCCCGGGGCCGCTGTCGTGCCCTTCCGGCATAATCATGTTGCCCTTTCTCCCTATCTAGCCCAACCCCTCTGTTGAGCCATCTTCTCGCTTCCCTGGCCGCCCTGTCCTCCTTTGCCAACTCATACCTACTCTATCATCTCCTCGTGGCTGCGATACGGTGTCTACCAACACACGCAGGCGAGAAGACGGTTCCTGGCGCGCCTAAGCCAGACACGTGGATCGAGGTACGACATGAGTCCTTGTGCCGTGTGTCTTGTCTCCGGCGCTCATTACTGCTTGCTGCCATACTCTGTACAACCCCATCCCGACTGTCCTGCCGTGCAGGTCGTGGACAAGAGGACGGGGCTGATATACTACTGGTGCAAGCGGACAGGTGGGAAGGCGGTTGTGGGGCGATGTGAATCAGGAGGGGAGGTCGTGGTTCAGCAGGGCTTGGGGCGTTGGGGCTTGGGACTTGGGGTTTAAGAAATGCGCTTGGGCAGCATTAGGAACGTCCTTGGCAGCTGCCACCTGGGGTAGAAATGGTCTTATTGTTGGTATTGCTTATTCTCATAACTGCATCCATTGTTCTGCAGGCGAGACGACAATTCTTGGGGAACCCAAGCCAGGGCCGTACGGCAGGAAAATGCAAGTAGACCCGGACGAGCTGCAGCTGGATGAGGGCGGGGGCCGCGGAGGGGCTGCCAAGGAGGGAGGGCCCAGCTTGATGCGGCTGGTGACGAACCCGCTTGTCATGGGTGTGGCAGGGATGGCGGTATTGGGCATAGCGTACGAGGTGATGTTCAAGTAAAGTAACGGTGCGAGCGCGGCTTAAAGAGAAGCTTATTGGTGGGAACGAGGGGCAAGACTGATAAGCTAACTGACGGCTCACGGCGATTGGTATTCGCTCGCGCCAAAACCGTTGTACGGCATCCATCAGTCGTTGGTTAAGCTCTTCTGGAGCAGCAGACCTGCAGTATCTTTCTGTCTATGAAGCACCGTGTGCACTGATGCGGTATGTGTAACACTGACGAAGCATAACTGGATAGCGTAAGGTAGCTTACCGGCAATAGGCAAAAGCCGACCTAAATCCGAGCCTTCGCCGCTCGCCACCAATTTTCCTAAAGCTGTATACATTTCCAGTAAATTAATAACGCGTCATAAAGTAGCTAGCGCTATGTCTCCTGCGCTGGATGCTCTCACCGAGGACCATGCCGCTGTTTATGACCGGCAGCTGCGTGTATGGGGCGTGGAGGTCCAACGCAGGTGATCAGATAAGCAGTTGACGTTTCGAAGCAACCGATAATGTATTTACAGGGTTGTGAAGGCTCATGCCGCGATCGGCTCCCAGCCCGATAGTAATGCTGCTGCCGCAGGCTTATGGAAGCCAAGGTCTTAATCATAGGGCTTGGAGGACTTGCCGCGGAGGTAAACATTTGCCTCTTCTCTGCCTTGTCCCATCACCGCTTGCATCATTAACCTTTTCCCCCATCTCACCTCCCTCCACATCCTACCAAACCTTACCCAGGTCGCAAAGAACATTGTGCTGGCGGGTGTAGGGACTGTGGCGCTCATGGATGATGCGCCCGCTACCTCAGCCGCACCTGGGAACTTCCTCGTAGAGCCTGCAGCTGCAGAAGCCGGGAAGAGGTGGGTAGGAAAGGTGCTGACGTAGACCACCGGCACCGACCTGGGGAATGCATGTTGGGTTGCCTTGAAGGCCAACCCTCCTCAACCTAATCCGCCTCTGCTCATTGCCCATACCCCTATCCTGCCTACTCCTAGCGGTCCCTCGCCCTACTTCCACCCCGTCATCTCTCCCCTCCGCCCGCTGCATGCTGATCCCCCACCCCGCAGTGTCGCGGAGGCATGTGCCGCCACGCTGCAGGCCATGAACCCGCTCATGTCGGTGCGGGTGGAGCCGGGGGGACCGCACAGCGTGGCGGCGCTGCTGACCGGGGGCGAGGAAGGAGCCAGCGAGGCGGAGGTAGGGGCGCAAGGGCCGCAGAAGGCAGGGAAGCAGAGAACTGCAGCAAGCAGGGGGGTTATGAGGAGAGTGTGTCCACAGGGAGAGGGCAGTGCTCATGAGGCGAGGCGGGTGAATGCACAGCATGTTTATATCCGTAAGGGAGGCGGCGCAGGTGGGTGTGCATGGCAGGCGCGTAGGGGACGCGGTGGGAGGGCTACTACGGAAGGGCAAACTCTATGCAGAGGGGGATTGGGGGAGTGAGTGTCCACTAGGGGATGGGCCCCTCCCCTTATTCCCCCCTTGGACCCCTCCAACGAATGCCCTCCACGTGGCATCCGCAGGCCCTGCGCGCCCTGCTCTCCCGATACGACCTGGTAGTGGCTTGCGGCGGCGGCGGCAGCGGTGGGCTGCCCCTGCGTCAGCTGGCGGCACTGGACGCGGCGTGTCGCGATCTGGGTCGGCAGCTGTTTGCCGGGGAGGTGCGCGGCGCCAGCAGCTTCGTGTTTGTGGACCTGGGAGAGCAGCATGCGTACACGGTGAAGGTGGGGATGGGTACATGGGTTGGGCAGGGGCGGGGTGGGAGGTGGACTGATGGTTACGGCTGATGGGGTGGGTGGTAAAGGAAGAAGTGGTGGCAACCGTGTGGCGATGCGTCACCATGGGTTGGGCAGCTGTGTGTTTGCGGACAGGGGGGCGCAGCATGCATAACCGGTTCAGGTGGGGGAAGACGAGTTGGGTAAGAACCGTCGGGTAATTTGGAGCGGTGGCGATGGTGGGGAGGGTTGGTGGTGGGGGAGGAAAAAGAGGGTCCAGCGAAACGGGTTGGGAGTGGCAAGTTAGGGCGCCGCGGCCCCTGCATATGTGCGGTGCATGCAAAGTGGATTAGCGGGTTGGATGGGCGGGCAACCCTTTCGTTAGTACGGTATGCATGCAATGCACAATGCTAATTGTGCCATGCATGCATGTAACATTGTACGGCAGGGCGAGCCGGGGGAAAAGGTGGTCAAGTACGGCAGCTTCCGTGACGCCATGGCGGGGGATCTCGGCAAGGTCAATAAGCGGACACACCCGCTGTACTTCGTACTGAGAGGTACGGCAACTACGTTGCGTAGTGTACAGCATGCTTGTTAGGCATCCCTTTCGTTTTGGGGTTTGCCTCGCTGTGTGTACGGTAGGCAAGGGTCAGGTGATTGGAGTTGGTTTACTACACCTCGCCCACCTAACCCTCATCCACATAGACTACTTCCAATTGTGCACACAAACACAGTTCCCAGAACACTACCGCCAAACCGACCTGCCTGTTACCAGCCTCTTCTTCATCCCTCCATTCATACCCAAGCGCTTTCTTCCCTACTTCCCCCCATCTCCTTCCCGCGCCTCCCTTCCTTTCCTCCCTGGACTCCTACAAGCCTGCTGGGAGTTCGAGCAGGCGCACTCCCGACCCGCGGGTCACTCCGATGTGGCGGCCGTGCAGGCCCTAGCGGAGCGCCTCATAGCTGCTGCGGGCAAAGCCGCCCAGGCTCTGCAGCTGCCCGAGGGCCTCCTGGAGAGCTTTGCGCTCGACGGTGCCACTGCCGCTGCTGCTGCTGCAACTGGGTCAGGGGCAGAAGGGACGGGAGCAGGGTCAGGGTCAGCGCCGGGGGTGGGCGAGCTGGCACCGGTGTGTGCGGTTGTGGGCGGTGTGGTGGCAAACAACGTGCTGCGGGCGGTGTCGCACGTGAACCCGCCGCTATGCAACTTTTTCTGCTATAGCTTGCTTGCAAAGGATGGGCTGGGCATGGAGGAGTGCTTCATGTAGGGAGGGGAGAGCCGGGTAGTGTTGCGGGTTTGTTCGTACAGATTAGGGATGGGTGGGTTCGGGAGGGGCGCCAGGAACGAACTGGTTGGGGTTGGGCAACGTGTGTTATCCTTGTGATGCCGGGCTAGGAGCCAGACCGCCAAAAGGAGGGTGTTGGACGGCCGTAGGGCGCCTTACTGGGGGGTCGGAGTCGGCTGTGGAGCCGGCTGTGGCTGGGAGGGTGCGTGCTCAGCACTTGTGGCCTCGGTGCTAAGCGATGGCCCAAGAGATGGAGCATGCAGAGTGCATTGTACTCGCATTGCATTGTATGCACAGACAAGGAAAGTGTGGGTATGGTAGATCGCCGCGTAGGGCATCCGTGACCCGTGCCTTTAGCGGTGCGGTACGCCGCCCAATGAGGTCATGACTCGGGCCTGGGAAGTATGACACAGGGCTGCCAACTGCAACTTGTCAAACCTTTAAGAGGAGTTTTACGTCCAGAACGTCTTGCATGCATCGAAAAGCCACGGTCAGGGCTGCAAAGCGAGGAGAGGGTCGAGCATTCGACTTGCTACATGACTTGGCCTGCCGGCCGATTCCAGGAGGAGCTGTTTTGCGCCATTAGGAGCTCGCCCGTTTGGTGTAACGCCTTGAGCTTGGCTACTTTGGATTTGGAAAGCATGTTACTGGACACTACCCGTCAGCGCTTAGAAAGTGTGTACCAGGTAGCTAAGCACAGAAGTTGCCCGCCAGTATCTAGCCCAGGCTCCAGGCTTTCCGGAACAACATCACGTATACAGCATAAACCGTAGTAACATCCTCGTCACCACAAGAGTTTCTGTGCAGCCTAGTTAAGTCAGTTTCACAGGCCGCGATAGGACTTAAGGCACCCGTATCCCCTTATAAATCCAGGGAAGCACTTTCTCCGTGTCAGCGCACAATGAGCACTTTCGGCTGGTTCAATAATGCGCCAGAGTGCAACGAAGGACCGGTAGGAAAAGCCCAACCAACCACTGCTCCCCATCAACCTGCAAGGCAACAGAAGTGCCGTAAACACTAGACAATTAAAGCAGCTTTTTAACAGTTATCTGACAATAAGGTTTATGTTTCAACGTCGGCCCTACTTAGGAAAGCAAGGAAGCGGAGTTCTGAGGCAATGGCTAACCGTAAGGGCGTAAACCCAGCTGAGCACTAGGAAGGAAGTCTTTTATAAGGTAATTACTTCTGTTGTGACGCCAATTATGACGAGGATTACATTCCCAGAGGCTATACGTATATGGCTTGTCACCCAGTAAGAATTAGAAATAAAAAAGCGTGTCGCTATTTTATTGTCCAATTCCTTACGACTTATGTACATGCGTGCACCCAGCGCCTCTCGATGCCGTCCCGTTCCGGGCCCGTTTTGTACGAGCATGCCACTCCTGTGCTGCAAGTGCAATCCACCATGCACCAGCGCTACCGGCCCTTGTAAACTCATCTATTCCAACTTCCTAATTTTTAGTTGTTTAGGAAACACACTCCTCTTATTTGTTCGTCCAGCTGCGAAAAGCAAGTGCAAAATGTGCGTCCACAGTCATTATAAGGATATATGTACATATTAATTGGGTGGATAGCCCTCTTGATGCACAAGGCTTTCCGAAGACGGCACGACAAGACGTGGCAGTCCCAGTCCGTGGGCGGGACCAGGGGCAGTCCACAGGCATCTCCCTTAAGCCGCCGGACATCCTGAAGATTACTTTGGACTTTTCGCCGTTGGTCTCCGGGACCACGGGCGGCTTTTTACGGTTCCTCCTTCCCTGTGCACGTAAGCGAGACCGTAACCATACCGGGTAAAAATGCCCATTAATGCTCACGCGGAGTTTAGCAAAATATGCGTTGCATATGCCTGGGCCTGACGGCTTATGGTCAACTTGGCGAAAATTGGGATTTCACCGAACTACGCTTTTGTTGCAGTGGCTATAATACCGTGGCCGAAAGCACGCAACTTATGTCTGTAGTTTGGGTTGCATTCGTCTTGTTTTGGGGAGGGACTATCTTGGTTACTTCCAGCTGCAGGCTGGTCAATCTGCGGCACTTTCCTTATAATACATAGGCTTCACAGCACTTTCTAGCAAAAAAACGAACCTTTCAGCACTGTTGGTATGAAGCCAATCTGACGTGCCTGGCGTCTGTCCGTCTCCTTCAGGATAATCGCGGAGTGTGGAGAGTGCTGGCCAGCACTGCTACAACGGCAGCATGCCCCGCAGGGCAGCAACTCCCGACAGCGTTAGTGAAGGCGGGGATCCGCCGCCCGACGCAACGCTGTCGGCCATAGAACGAGCAATTGAGAGCGCAGGGACGCGTGACCAGGGTCTGCTTCGGGCGCTGGTGCAGGCAAGGGAACTATGTCCTTCCGATCCTGTAGGCGCTCAGCGACTGCTTGACGACATACTCAACGCCCAAGTTCTGCTCGGAATAGGCCGCGGTGTCGTGGATGGGGATGAAAGCCCTGAAACACGAGCGGGGCCTTTAGGTCGCGACGGTGTGGAGGTGTCAACATCCTCGGACCGAACAGTCAGCAACTGTAGTGATGGCGGCGGCATCGGTGAGGCTGCGTTGATTTTGTATGGCAACGATTATATGGCAGGAGGGACCTTGGAAGAGCGGTGGTCATCAGCGCCCCCAACCGTCGTGCTACCGTCCGGCACCGAGCTATACAGCTGGCAGGCCGTGCTGTGTGACCTTCTATCCTCCAGCAAAAAAGACCTGTACAGCTTTCGGGAGAAGCTCGCCTTTGCGGTGCAGCTATTACAGCTGAACCCCGTCGCGCGATGCACCATTGTGCCGTTGGAACTTCAGCGAGTGCTAGACACCAGTGACAGTGCAGCCCAGCTGCAGGTGCGCGGGCAGCTACAGGCAGAGGTACTGAAGTGCTCCGCGGCGGGGGCGTGCCTTCGAAATCCTAAAGGCGCAACTCGTCTTTGGCAGGGATGCATTGCCAAACTTCAAGGGACATTCTGTTTTAGCTCTCTATGCATCCCGGCATTCGTTCTCCGCCGTTAGCGGGCGTCGGGTTAGCATTACATGCACATGCTGTCCAAAACCCACATACACCCGCTTACAGTGCTCCTGCTCGGTTGCTACTGTTCAACACTCCACGCAGGGCGACCTCCGAAACTTCATCCTTGAGTTTTCGAAGTCCTCTGAGCCGCTTTTCCGCGTCTGCATCGATTGCTCCGCGCGGCGGCTGGTGCGGCGCAGTCCTGTACCGCCAGCCAACCGCTTTTCGTGCGGCCACTCCTGCTGTGTGTTTCCCGTCCGATCATGCAAACCTGGAGGTTGGGATGAGTTTGATGACTGGAAGAAACTGTTTCCGCTGCCGCTTCTGGACATTGCTGCGTTGGGAGCGCAGTCGAGGTGGCTGCGGCGACCCGAAAAGGTGGGCTGGAGCCCAAAATCTGACCTGGGTCGGGCTTGCTTGGGGTTTGTGCGCTCCTTATCGTCTGGGCCTCATCAGCACTGGCAGTGCCTCTCGTTCATTATGGTGCCTTGTAACCTGCTAGGTGTATGTTGTTTAGGCCTTTCACTCAGTTCCCGACGCGGTTTCCCTCCGCCTGCGTCACCTGTCACAGCTTGCGAAGGATGAGGCGCCCATGCTGGCCCGCCGTGACGACCCGTCGCCCCACGGCCTTGCGTCCGCCGCCCCGGCGTTTGGCGGCAGTGCAACTGATCCGGTAAGACGGTTCACTTCACGACACCACGCGGTAACAGAATCCGGAGAGGGGAGACAGGGCAGTCGTTTGTTCGATTGCTCAGTGGCGTAAGGAGGCTTCTCACACTGGACGTTTTGGATTTGAAATATGGTTGGCATGGACGGTGCGGACGTGGCCATGTCACTCTCATTTTGCTCAATCGTCCCATTGCGCATGCCGTGAGCCACAAACTGCTGGGGTAAAATGCGCATCTGCATTACCATGGTGCATTCCACTCTGCCGCAGGACGAATTTCCGTTTGGCGGGCGCGCTGGGACGGTGTTTGCCAAACGCGTTCTGCCTTCGGAGCGTCGTCAGCAGCAGCACTTGCGGCGCGGTGCGCAACAATTCGCCCCTACCCTTGACATGGAGGAGGAGGACGATGGTGATTACACGGGACCTCCACCCAAAGCGGCACGCCGCATTAACGGCGCAGGTATGGGCTTCTGTAGCAAGGGGTGCAACCCTGGGTCTTTCAAACTCTTAACGCGTCTCTTCGCACGCTCAACACCGATGGCGGTTCCCCTTCACTTGGGCAGGTTCCACAACCCTCCCTACGGCGCCTGCTCCTGCGCCCATGGATGCCGACGAGGATGAGGAACCGCTGGACGGCCCTCCCAGCCTCGCGCCTTGGCTGGCTGCAGCCGGCGCTGTGGCGGCAGCGGCGGCGGGCACCGGGTCGCAAGCGCAGCAGGCGCTGCCAGACAACCTGCCTATCCTGGATGCGGATGGAGTCCTCCAACTGGGCATGGTCGTTTCCCCTGGTGACAGAGCACAGCATGGACACGGACATGGAGGGCATGGAAAGGGGTACGGGCATGCGGCCGGGAAGACGCTTCCCGTGGTGCTGTCGGAAGGAGGGCGACTGCGTTTGGTGTCCCGTGCCAACGGCTTGGGGCTAGCGTCCCCACCTGGTGGTGGTAGTGATGCAGCGGCAACGCAACCGCAGCTGTCACAACAGCAGCAGGAGCTGATCGTGATGGCAGCAGTCGCTGCCGCTCAGCAGCAGCTGCAGCAGCAGAACAGCAGCAAGCAACAGCCCCGTGAGTACGACAATTACAGTTTCCGGATCCAGGACCAAAATCAGCCGTCGGAGCCTGAGCTTGGGATGCGAAACTCGCACAGGAGCATGAGCATGGCCGACTCCGGCCAGGGGGTTAGCGGTGGACGCGGCGGCAACCGCGGCAGTGGACGTGGGCGAAACGACAGCATGCAGGATGCTGCAGCTGCCGCGGGTAATCACGCTGCTACTGCTGCTGCTGCCCAAGCTTTGGCGCGGTTTGACCGCAGCATGCAGCCTCCGCCGGACCGGGATGTGGGTGAATCACGCTTACCGACCCGGGGGTCCATCACCAGCAGGGACGAAGCCGCGGGGCATATGGCCGCCGGCAGAGGGCGCGGTGCCGGCGGTGGCAGCAGCATCGGGGACCCCTCGCCGTCTCTCAGACTCGGTCTCGCCGCTGGCGGCGGTGGTGGCGACAGCGTTAGCGGTGGCAGGTCTGTCCATAGGGACCTAGGTGACGCGGCAGATGCTCCGTCCCTTAACACCCGCCTAAGTACGGATTCAGGCACAACACAAGTCTTTCCGCTGCTGCCGTTTGGGCGAGCGCAAGCAGCCGCGTCACTGCATGGGCCTGGCAGAGGCCCCAAGGGCACCTCCCGTGATGGGCCTCAGTTGTCGGAGGTAAGCGGTGGCATCAGCGTAGGCGCCGGAGGCAGCAGGTTGCGTGGTACGGCAGCGGCTGCAGCGGCTTCGGCCGGCCTGCCGCCGCAGATGGATCAGGTGCTTCGTCCGCCGGCTGAAGTGCAGCAGCATCTACGGCTGTTGGCGTTGCAGCAGCAGCTATTGATGCAGCAGGAGCAGCAGCAGCAACCAGGAGGGGCAGGGGGCTCTTCCGGGCGGCCGCAGCGGCAGCCACGTATGGTGCGGTTGTCTAACGGCCAGCTGGCAGCGCACCTGGGGCCCGCAGAGGTGGATGACGTTATGGCGGATGCAGGGCCGGAGACTCGGCCAGGGGTATATCGACCCGTCGCAGTTACCCGCAATGCTGTTACCCGGAATGCGTTGGGGCTCAATGAGGTGCACGAGCTTATCATCCTTCCGAACGGGCGGAAAGCGCTGATGCTGCCGGAACGAGCTCCGACGGAAGTCGAGGTCGAAGTGCCGGTGCAGCGTGTGGGTATAGCTGGTGGCGGGAAGGCGCTACAACACCTTCATGATGAGGGCGGAGATCTGCCGTACAGCGATGGCACTGGGGCGCGGGATGTGCTCCCTGTTGCCATGGGGCCTGCGCGGCTTGAGAGCGGGTTGAGGGAGACGAAGAGCGGTTCAGGCGGCTGGGCGTTGCAGCTTGGGACAGAGACACAGAAGCGGCAGCTCAGTAGCCGTCAGCAGCAGCAGCTCAACCAAGGTGCAGTACGAGGCTCAAGCGAGCGCTTCCCTACCGCTGCCAAGCAATACGGGGACCTTTTGTTGCAGGAACAGATGGATTTGGATCAGCCGCAGCATGCTGCCAAGCAGTACGAGGACCTTTTGTTGCAAGAACAGATGAATTTGGATCAGCCGCAGCATGCTTTTGAGGAGCCGGAGCCGCCGCAACAGCTAAGACAACACCGCATTGGCAGCGCAAAGACGGCCGTGGCGACAGCGGCTGGTGAGGTGCTGGAGCTTCAATCGCGCCCCATGTTCGAGGGTGGTGCCAGCGCTTTTGCAGTACAGCAGCTGCAACAACGCAGGCAAATGCCATCCGCCTCTGCCCCCACCATTGCTGCCGCATCTGTTGCCATGGGCGCTAGAGCTGGCAAGGCAAAAGCGATGTCGGCTTCCGTCGTCCCAGCGGGATCCACAGCCACAAGCTCCCTCGCTACTGCGCCTGTGAAGATGGGTTCTCCGGGCGGCACCTTACAGTCCTTGCCCGTTTCAGCGGCAGCCGTTGCCACCGCCGCCGCTGCTGGCGGCGGCGGCGGCACCGGCTCAGTCATCAGCGTCATGCGAACCACTGACGGCCGTGTATTCCTGGTAGAACCCATTCAAAGCGTCGACATGGACGGTCCCCCTCTGGCGGCGTACTCGGGTGGGCCGCCGGAGCCCGCGACTTCCCTCGTTACAACCATGGCACACTCACCTCCCCCATCATCTCGTCGCCGACAGGCTCCCACAGCCTCAGACAGCGCTATCAGCGGGCCCTCCGCAGGCACGGCAGGCGCATCGCTCGGCACCGCAAGGGCTGCCGCTGCTGCTGCAGCAACCACGGCTGCTGCAGCTCCTGGCCCCTGCTCCGCTACAACGACAACGACTACCTCCGGCGCTCGGGTAGGCGGCGCAGTCATAGGGTTGGTGCCCGTTACCGCTGCCGGCGGCAGCCAAGGCATCCGAAGACTGCTCTTGCAGCCCATTGGCGCATCGGCCAAGGATCTCAACCTAGACACCAGGGAGCTGCCGCGGGTGCAGACCGGCACCGTCGTGGCTCTGCAAGCGCCCGGGAACGGGGCTGTCGTGGGAATGACCCGTGGGTCATCGTATGCCAGCCTACATGACGTGTTGGACACGGTCTCCTCCCAGCCGCTGCAGAAGGGTGGCGACGCAGCGGCCGCGCGTGGCTCGTCAGCCCAGCAAGATTCGGCATTGCTGCTGCGTCCGCAATCATTGGGAACGGCTGTGGCAGACGGGGGGTTTCCGCATGGTGTCGTGGGCCCACAGCAGCAACAGCAGGCGCAGGCCCTTCAGGCTGCTGTCTCGGCCAAGCAGGAGGCCGGCGGGAGCAGTCCCGGACGGGCAGATCCTCAACAGGGCGGCAGCCATGGGACTGCAGTGGCGGCAGCACTAGGCGGCGGCGCTAGCGCTAGGCCCGGCCTTGCAGCAGCGGCACTCTCCCTTCCGCCACCTTTGTCGAGTGAGGAGCTTGAGGCCGCGGCGCCAAACGCCTGGGAATCGTACTTGCAGGCGGTCCTGATGCTTGCAGCATCTCCATTTCCCGCGAACTTGCCAGGAGCTTGCATGCCGCGTGCCCCCGGGTTTGGTGACAAGCCGGACTTCCTACGGAGCATCCCCACCCAGGAGCAGTTGAAGGTAGGATGGGGGGTATATGGTACATTAGTAATGTTGATAGGATGCTGGATATCCGTACCCTAACGTTGCATACAGAGGGACATCTTCCGGTATCCGTTTCCATGTGCCGAGCGCATAGGATCTGCTGGGACTGCTTTGACCCCTTTTGACCCTAAACGGTCATGTGCAGCTTTTCACATCAAGCTTCATATGCTTTGCCCATCATGGCCCCAACCTGCAGCCCGAGGCTTGTGATGTGCCTTGGTCGTCGCGCCTGGTATTGCGTGGCAGCGACAGCAGGGCTGGAGGCAGCAGCGGAGGCCGGCCCAGCACCGTCTGCGGGGTTCCCATGCAGCAGTTGTCCCCAGGGGAGCACATGGAAATCGTGCGCATATGCGGAGAGGTACCGAAGGATTTGTTACGGCTCCTGCCGCCGGTGCTGGTGGTATCGGACATGCGGCTCAGGAAGGATATCGCCGTCGCTAATCCAAGGGTAAGGGAGGCGCAGCAGCTGCGTGCGAGCGCGATTGGATGCGAGTGCCGTGCTTCCCTTGCTGGCCATGGAATGCTGTGACCCAAGTGGAATGCGATAAAGGGCGGGGGCGGGGATGCTTGCATCTTGCTGTTGGGCGTTACAGCCACCTGAGCAGTAAAGGTCCCGCCGCGAAAGCATTCCTGCCAAATCCGATCTACGTGAAGTACAGCGTTCTGTCAGCTTGGCTCTAACCTAACTTACTGCGCGTGCATGCATGCATGCAGAGCAAGCCGCTCATGATCTGGCTATCGCCGGACTCCACAGCACAGCAGCGAGAGGCGGTGGACCGGCTCTCGCTCATCAGGGTCGGCTTTGTCGTACAGTTGGACGAGCATCATGACTTCGTGCTCAGCCCACAGGTGGGTGAGGGTGCAGACGTGGAACGCACGCCTAGTTAGCAACATGCATGACCATGGCGTGGCTGCATGTAGGGATCCGTGCGCTGGAGAAGAGGGAGACCAACTTTCTTGAAGCAGCAAAACATTACCGCAAAATGTTAACCGTCTTGTCGTTTCTGGTCAAAAGCCTTGTAAATTTGTTTGGGGTACCCAATCACTCGCCGCTATTAGCACGCCGAGATGACTAGGTCCAACATGCTACATTGGCGCCCGTGACCAAACTGGAAAAGAACAACCGCATGGAGCGTAAGTGCCTTAAAGGCTTCCTCCCCTGCGCGTCCCCTTGTTCTGCGTAACAGGAGATCCGGGGAGAGATTGTGTTGGTAAGCGTTGTCCTGCAGCGGGGCGCGCCCAATGCCGAAAAGGCCGCAGGAGTGGCGCCCGTCGCGCCCAACACTGCTGCTGTTGCTTCTGCCGCTGCGTCATATGGTAGGTGGGACTCCGATGCAGCAGCAGCAGCCGGAGCAGCCCTTGGAGCGCCCATGGGGCACCCCAGGCCTGCAATGGAAAGGACGGAGCCTTCCAATTAGTCGCATCCCGGTGATAAGGGGCTGCTGCGGCAGAGCGAAGCTTTCTGTCCGCATGCTGGGCCCAGCAAAGCAGCAGGGTCGCTTTTGTAGCTCGAAACGGCAGCAACGTTACAGAAGGAAACCTGACACCTTGTAGTTGGAAAGCAGAAGCGCGATTGGTGGCAAATCGTTACCGGTGACAACGGCGCGTGCCTTTGCAAAGGTCGACATCGGTCAGGTCCTACAAAAGCTGTGCAGGGCTTGAGGGACCGTTGGAGGCTTGCATTACGGAAAGCTACCGTGCTCAGTCGTCACATGTTCGTCCCGGCAAGACCCCTAAGCGCCAGAAAACGCCCGAGCGGCAGAAATTGGGTAAATAGGGGGGCGAGAGCGGTTCTTGGGTCCTTGGTCCGTGGTGTAAGGTGACAAAAGCATGTGCTTGTCGTACTGAGATTAGAGTGCATGCGTACAACAAGAGGGGGAAACGCTGATGTACGGTGTTCGTGACGAGGATTGACCTTAAACCGGATGCTTATGTGCCTACGGTTGATGCACAAGTGGGCAAGCATGCCCCATACGCAGGCCCGAGAATGTTAGGAGATACCGGACATTGCTTAACCGTATTGAGAGCCAGGAGGCTTCACTCTTTCTGGACGAGGGCAGATGTTCGTTGTGTCTTTTCTTTATTCATGCGCAGCGCTCGTCGATGGGCGCTCCGCCTGTGACACATCCCAAGGGCAGAAAGAAGATAATACCGGTTATTTCGACATTGGACTGTTGTTCCCAGATGGGGGCTCATAACCTTTAATGGTGCGTTGCAACGACCAGGCAAATGTCAGCGTCGCCTGAAGCTGTTAACAACGACGGCTTTTGTGGCTGGTATGGTTGTGGCCTTACCGTGTGGTCTGGCTCACGCCGCTGTGTTGTGCTTGTGTGTTGTCATCCATGCGTGCTGCGAGGTGTATAGCTCACGCTTGAAGGGTTGTTTCTAGCGTTTTTTCTTTCCCTGCTATAGTTTGGGCCTGGCATGCTGTTTTCGCCATTCTAACCGCTTCCCTGGTGGTTTGGGTTGACCATGAGATTTCCATGCACCGGTGTGCAGCCCACTTATGCTCAAAAACTACGTCCATGCCCCACCATCAATTGCATATCCATTTTCACCTCTTATTACCTCACTTGCATCAGTGGAGCCTGTGCTCCTGCCATGTACTGCTTTTCAAGGTTAAATTCCATGGTACTTGGGTTGTTCACCACAGTTGGATGCGCGCAGTGCCGAGCACAGGGATTGCTTCCTGGTGCGTTCGATGTATTGCAACAGTTTTCACTCAGACTATGCTTTGCGGTGCGACTGTGACATGATGTCGGCGTGCATGGGCCTTCTTGACAATGTCGCGAATCACGACAGCCTGGGCAGGAATGGGGCTTACGTCCCCTTGCAGGTCCTAGCGAGGCTAACCATGCTCTTTTGTTCGCCACGTTTAGCCCTCTTGAGAGTGGCATTGTGATGAGTTTGTTAGGAACTAGATCGTCTCCGTTTGCTTGGCTCTTAACCGAGTTGTCAGTGGATGATTCGTGCTTGGACATTGCCCAAGCAAGGATGTGATGGAGGTGTGGACGTGTTACGAAGCAAGGGGAATCGTACGCCAGTACAGCGTAACGGAGTACTTAGGAGTAGGGTTGCGGCTTCTTGGCGCATGGTCCTGGCGTCCAAAGCTACTTTGTTGGCACAGTTATCTTGGAAATGTTGAGTCTAGGTGAGGCATCCTTGGTGGTTTCGATCTTAGGCAGTGGCCTCTCTCGCGGTTGTGCGGTCCCATCCCATGATTACTTTTGCCGCAGGCACATGTTTCGCTGTTTGCATGCTCAAAGAGCCGAGCATGTTGTCTGCGTTGTTTTTTGTGTGGCACAATACCCATGGGTAGTCCCATGGGTCACATGTTGTTGCCCTGTCGTGGCTCTGGATGGTACGCATGTGGTTGCTTTGGAAGATAGCGCATGGTCATGACCCCTAGCATGGGTAGCATGCGTGTGCAAAAACATTTGTTTATAAACGCTCGCATACCTAAGCCTTAAGTGGTAATGGATGGCGATAAAAGCGCGCTTGTTTCTGTATCAAGCGGCGTTTGTGTGTCAGCGTGTTTGTGTTGCAGGTTAGGCTTTAAAGTGTTGGGACCCGTGGCAATGTGAAGGAACTGGGTTAGGGTGCCTGACAGCAGGCAGGCAGGCAGTTCTGCTGTCTCTCCCGAGCGGTGGTGGTGGCGGTGTGCATTGTTGGCTCTGTCTATGGTCGTATTGGGCCAGACTTGCTGGACCTATGCGGCTGGGGGGCAAGGCTTGAGGCGCATGGGTGCCCGCGGCTGACGCTTTGGGTACCCCAGGGCTGGCGCTTGCAGCACACATGAGGGGCGCAATGGAGCTTGTGTAAAGGGTGGGTGTAGATGTGGATGGCGACAGGGTGGTGGCTTGATACTTCAGTTCTTGTGGGTTTTGAATCATGTTGCGTCGTTTGCTGGGGTTTGAAGCATGGTGCGGACACTGCGTGACTTCGTGTGAGTGGATGGATGCATGCGCTTCGTTGTGTGCACGAATATGAAGACAATGTGAGGAGTGCTGCGTACCTTGCTCCAAGCTGCGCGTGGTATAGCTGTGTTGCATGTGTATGATGACACCTTCCATTCCACGGTACTGTCTCTGGCATGCGCCCACCTCAAATACTTCACTGCGCTTCCCGTCAGTGAAGGAGAATTCGCGTTGAACTCTTCTCGCATGTTGCATGTTTCCTTTAATTTAGGAAGGGCGTTATGAGTGCAAAGGTGTTGCGCCTTTATACTGCGACAGGAAGGCAACTGCGACAAAGTTCGGCTCTGCTCCCAATGCAATGAGATAACTGTACAAAAATTTCAATACAGCTTTAGTTGTGCTGGGGGCCGGAGGGACGAACTGGTGGCTTGGCCGATTGGGTGAGTTCCTGTTTGTTATGGAGGCTTGAAAGCCCCTTGAAAGTGATGTGTAGGGTTGGTTATTCTTTGCCAGAGTGCATCCACTAGCATTGCCTGCCCTGAAACCTGCGCACGCGTGGCAAATCGCAGTAAGGCAGACCCGTGGGTCATCACCAACATGAATTGTCTTAGGCGCGGCATGGGGATGCTGCTGGTATGTGTTTATAAGCCTGAGGCTGCCTGGGAGTCCGCTTGACGAGTGGATTGGTTGGCTACAGGGAAGACACCCTGAGGAAGTCCTCGTGTCATTTGGCATACGGAGCAATCAGCGTGCCGTGTCTGCATAGTTTCTTGTACCTCGCTGGTAAACCTTTGTTGAGGTTGTTAAGTGCGCTCATCACCGTGTGCTGCACGACCTGGAGAGACATGACTCATGTGTCTTTGCGGTACACCTGACGAGCTCATTGACTTGCAGTCCGCGCAGACCTGCTTTTTCGGCGGTTTCTCGCACCCATGGTTCGAACGGCAAAGTCATTGAGTCGTTAATTTGTGTTGGTGTTGTGTCATGTCGGTGATGATTATGGTTGGGCTAATGAATGGATCATGCATGAGGAAGTTGGAAGTAAAGCAATGTAAGTTCAGTACAGGCGTCGAGAGGCCTCCATGGTTGGGTTCCAGCACCACTGTAGCCATCATGCCTCCGTTTGACAAAAACACAGTAACTCGCCTCCACATGAACGCAGCCCGGCCCCGTGCACTAATCTGGTTCACGTTGTGAAACATGGTTTGCTCCCATACACAGTCGGCCCCGCTTGGTCATGCACTCCGTCCATATCAGTACCGCTTCGTGCGAAAGGCACACTTCCATCCTCATCCTTACGTGACATTTGATTACACAAAGGCTACTGAGGGGGCTATAACAACCTTTGGCGAGTTTTAGCCCAGTGGTTTACCAAATTGGCCCAATGAGCAGCCGTCGCAAGACAGCTCAGCTAAGCATCGTGATACACGCATGCAAAGTTTATACCAGAAGCCGAATACTCCTCCCACCAACATCCTCCATTAACTTCATCAGCCAGTACAGCCCATAAGTATTAGTCATTGGGACAGGCCTTATAATGTATACGCAAAACACAGTCCCTTTTGCGGGTATCAGCAACCATGTGAAGGCAGTCGATCCCATGCAAGCGTTGTACATAAGGACCAGGGTAGTTGCTAATCGCAGTATTAGCAACTGCCCTGGTCCTTATGTAACTTACATCTACCGGTATTCTTCCCTCTCAGTCTTGTAGCACCTAGCACTGCCTTTAACTCAGAACTCCTAAGCAACTTCTCACCACACGGCCCGTGCATGGCACATGCAATTCCACGTATGCATAACCCCAGCGTCGTTCCCTCCACATGCGCATTCACACCCCGCATGCTACCACGCGGACCGCCCCTTCCCTGATCCCAGCTCAACCCTACCCTGATCCCAGTGCCCGGAAGAGCTGAAAAGCGAGGCCCGAGTTGCTGTTGGTAAGCTCCTCCAACTGCTTCGGAGCCGCCTGCGTCACCTGCTTGACATGCCGTACAAAGTAGGCCTTGAGGTCCGGCAGCAGGTCCGACAGGTTGTGCTTGTCCGCCCACAGCAGGTCCGCCACCACGCTGCCCGGCTTGCAGCCCGCCAGCAGCCGCTGCTTGAGCTGGCCGCATGCGTCAGGCAGCAGCAGCCGCCCGGCCAGCTCGGCAGTGGGCCGCAGCAGGGGGGGTGAGGGGACGTCCAGCATGCCGGTATACATGTAGGACAGCAGCGCTGCGAAGGCATCTGGGTCAGCGTCCTGCAGGGTATGTTCCGCTGCATTGCAGTCCCCAAAGTCGCCCATCTGCCGCTTGAAGTACTCGCAGCGGTCAGACAGCAGGGCGCGATGCGCAAGGAAGGTCTTGTCGCGCACCCGGATGCACACCATGCCGCTGGAGTGGCTCATGCTGCTGCTGCTGCTGCTTACACCGCTGCTGCCGCCGCCCCTGCTGCTGTCGCCATCCTGGGGGGGAGCCGCGACCAGATACGGTGCCAAGCTAAACCGGGCTGGATGCTGGGTGTCCGCCTGCTGCCTGCGCCAGCCCGCCAGCACCTCGCAACTGGGCCTGAAGCCGCCAGCCTCGCCACCTCCGCCGATGAGGTCCAGCGATTGTTCTGCGGTGACGGCCAGGAAGCCAAACGGCAGCAGGGCCACGCAGCGCGGGAATCCAATACTCGGCGGCAGCGCCTCCCCCATCAGTGTGCTGACGTGGCCGGCTGAGTCCATCTTCCGCAGGGCCTTGTGATCAGCGATGTACAAGGTGCCATCAGCAGCAGCAACGACTGCCCAGATGTTTTCGAAGCGCGCCTGCTCACCGCCCACACTGCCGCCGGCCATCCAGACATCAGTGCTCCTCTGCACAACCGAGCCACAAGACGGCAAGTGCATCCGCGGTCGAGTCGTAGCCCAGGCACTTCCAGGTGTTTGCCTGGGTTGTGAACACCGTGAGGGCAGGCAGAGTTGCAACGGTACTAGTGTCGGCCGGCGAGACGCCGGCAATCTCGCGTGCTGTGATCATCTGCCACGTAGATTGCTCCGCGGCCGTCCGGTGCCAGCGCTCTGATGCACCCGAAGCGTGCCGCCCGGCCCAGACCATCCACGCTGCTGCTTTCCCCCAAGCCGCCCCCAGCCACCCAGCTGACCATGTTATTGTCATCCAGCACCATGATCCAACTGAACGTTGTGAACAACCAAAGGCAAATCGGCGTGTCCTCAACAAAGTACACACAGCCTGTAACGGGCTCGTAGACAGGACAGCGGGGGTCGTCCAAATAGTGTGGAGCAGGGCCTTTGTGGGTAGCGTGTGTGAGCACTAGCGCTGGTCCCAGGCTAGCAGGTCCTCTGTCAGTCGGCCCATAAAGCAGCCGGACCTCATTGTTTAGGAAAATGAGCGTTTCCGGTGGCCCGTCATGACGGGGCCGGACGACCACGCCTGTTACAAAGTCTGGTGCTGTTACGGACTCAACGCGCATGCCTTCGACTCAGAAACTTCGCGAAGTAGGTTGGTAACGATACGGCGAGCGACAAAAAGTATGGGAATGGAAAGCTTTCGGGAAAGGGTTGAGGCTACAGCTGATGGTAGTGCACAGCTGACCATCCCTCGTCGTGATGTTGCCTGCCTTGGAGCCAAGGTTCGACTCCGGACCGTGGGTCAGCCACAATGGCCTTAGCGCAGCGTCACATCTTTGGACTTAACATGAAGGTTATTTTATGCGGGGTCCGGGTATCAGTTCCCAAGACAAGGAGAAGAAACCAGCGCGGCAAGATCATACCTGTTGAGCGCTTCTTATAAAGCGGTATCGTGAAATGCACATCATGCTTTTTATTGAACAGCTATTTGGAAGCTAAGCGGTACGGCTTGTTCTATTAATAGCTTTGCAAGCATTGGTCGTACTTTCCTGTGCGAATTGGCGTTTGGGAGACTATACCTGTTACCTAGGGTGTTCTCAGTACAGGCTCACTCACACGCACCGTAAACTACGCTCTTCGAGTAATGCTTGCAATAATTCGGGATACCGGTACAGATACTACGACGGATCCGGCTTTACCTCTTCGGGTAGGATCTAGGGCTCGAGGCTACTAATCTTGTTAGCAGTTAGAATTACGCTTGGAGTTATTCAAAAACGTTGCGCGGCCTCCGCTTTTGAGGGAGCTCCAAAGGAGATGTCATACCTGCGCTTGCTTCGGCAATCGGATCTCCGCACTATTCAGGTGTGCAATGCGGAAGGCTGATAGCTGCGAATTTTATATTACTGGTAAAGTGTCATGGGGTACGCGGGCTTGCGGCTGATGGAATGGAGGATGGCTTGCAAGCAAATGCATACCACGGCTGTGTCCAGGGTGAAATCGTAAATTACTTGTGAGTAGTGCGCTATCAGGCTCTAAATACTTCAGTCACGCGGCTCTGCGAGGCGTGTGGTTGTAGCAGCATGGTGCCGTCACTTTGCTGCTGTGGGATCCGTCTGCGCTCCCACCTACACGCCTTACGTGTTTACATTAGCATCGTCCCGTGCCCTCTGCTACCTTCATGTGCTGCTTCGCCTCCGCATTCCCGGACCATGTTGCGTCATATGCTTCGTACGACTACGTAACAACGGTCGACGCTATTCAGAACGCCTACACGCAGCTCTTCCAGATGAAGCAACCGCCGAGGCAAGCATTGGAGGCCATACTGGCATCCAGCAGGTAATTGAATGCATTTACGCATGCAGTTAGGCAACACAGACAAGAAGGTGCTTGACTTCTTGGCATGCGACCATGCATCAATAAACGCAACTCTGCAGGCAGGCGAGGAATCCCGGCGCTATTATGCAAAAAAACCCACCCCAACGCCCTGAACAAACCTACCCTTGCTGCTTTACTCCTGCGCCCGGTAAGGCGCAATCCAAACAAAACCGTCCCACCCATCCTAACCGAGCCCTAGCTCACGCCTCCCATTCCACACAGGTGGCTGTCCCTAGCCGCTGTGTGCCCCGACCCAGCCCACCCGGAGCGCCCCGACTACCTGGGCGGCTTTGTGCTGTCCGTTGTGGCGACTGTTGGGGGGTTCACAGGAAGAATGGTGGGTTGCAGGCCTGCAGCAGGTTGCAGGGACCCATGGGTCAGGGTTGGAGGGGGAATCCCTGCATGCCGGTGCATGTGGCCATTGGGCCTGGTGCATGATTTGAATGGCCTGGGCAACATCCGTTCTGCTGTCGTGTGGCACGAACTATGCCATGTGGAGCTAGCAGGCGAGTGTGTGGGCTGAAACCCTGGGGCTTGGGCTTGTTGGCAGTGATAAAGCCACGTCACTGCGGGATCTGGGGTGCGTTCTTCTAACGGCAGCGGGATTTCCAGGGTTATGCTTGCTTTCTACAAGCGAGCAGGGGATGCGCAAGGGGTTGTTTAGGTGTGATCCAAGTCCAGCGCTGGCCCCTAGCGCTGAGATCCATATCCCACGATCCACTTCCAAACACCGTGCCCTCGCCATTGCAGGGCGAGCAGCAGATGGGCAGCCAAGGCAGTGCGTCGTCGGGGAGTCTACCAGGACAGCCGGCAGCCCAAGCAGGTGGCAGTGGGGCGGGAGGAGCGGGAGGGGCAGGAGCCGGCAGTGGGGGGTCCGAAGGTGCAGCAGGCGCCGTCCGCCGGGCAGGTGTGGGGGTCCATGCGGCTGGCTTGGAGGCGGTGGGTCTGCCATCGAAAGAGCTGGCCGTCAATATCAGCCTGCTGGTGAGGAGTCCTTGCATGTTGGGAGGCCTGCTGGGGAACTGTCATGCAGGCTGGAGCAGGTTGCGGCGAGAACTTCACGGCACAGATGTGGTTTGTGGTTAATAGAAGCAGGCTGTGGTGCAGGCTACGCATGTTCACATGCCTGCATCTGAAGGACATTACGTTACATGTGTTTCAAGGTAGCGATTCGTCTTGCTTGAGCAGGCCGGTGCCGTACTCGCAGGCAGTACTGCCGTCGTATCGTCGAAGAGGTCTCGCTCGGCTGATGCTCCGTCAGGTGGTGGATTGTGCGCGAAGTGCCGGGTGAGTGATACCGCCCATGCAACCGAGATCAATGATGAGGGATGGTGCACCCGACGGTCAGTTCGACCTTAGACGGGCATTTGTACGACACTGATGAGCAAGTTCCCGGGACAATGTGGAGCGTAGAAGCATTGCAGGGACAAGGAGGCTGCGAAGGAGCACATTCCCGCACCCCAGCTGCGTCAAACCACACCTGCTTGTCGCCTGCACCCCCCCCCTCCGACAGAGCTTGCGCCGTATTCCTGCACGTGCGTCCCGGCAACACCTCGGCATTAGCGCTCTACCAAGCAGCTGGTTTCCTGGCGGCAGCCCTCGTGCCCCATTACTATGACGACAGCGGCAGCACCCCCGCGGCCGCTGCTTCTTCGTCCGCTTGTGGCGGCGGCGACGGAAGCTTTGGGACACCGGCAGCGGCGGCGCCACCCCAGCAGCGGCCGCAGCCGCCGCATCCGGCGGCGGCAAAGGGTTCGGAAGCACCCGCGACGGCGACCACGGCAACATCTGGTGAGCCGTCGTCGCCGTCGTACATCGCCGGCGGCGACGCTGTGCTGTTGGTACTGCCGCTGACGGCGGCAGCGGCGGAGGCAGTGGCAGCCGCGGCGGAGGCGGCGAAAGCGGCTGTTGTTCCGGCAGCAAATTCGGGGAGGAAGTTGGGATGCAGCTGCTACGGCGGTACCGGTAACAGCCCCAGCAGCTATGACGGTCATGGCAGCACGGATGCGGAGGAGCCTTGGTGCGAGGGAATCACAGTCGAAGGTGCGTATGGGACCTTTGAAGGGACCTGCCCTGTGTGTAGGACCCAGTGCCGAACCGACCGCGGGTGGTAAAAGAAAAGCCGGCAACGAGCTACGGCTGTGGGGTTCGTCCATCAAGGAGGTTAGAAAGGTGCCGCGAGCTGGGTCACTTCCATGCCGTGCGTTGGCAGTCAGGCGGTACGAAGGTTGGAATTGCACTTGCATCCCTCGCTGCTCAGATGCACATGCACACACCCCGCATGCATGTTCATGTGAGTTACGGCATGCGCCCACAACATTCCATGCCGATGCAGCACCTGGTCCTAGTGGCGCTAGTCAACGGAGTGTCAAGGATTCTGGACGTCAGGGGGAAGCAGCAGCGGCGGCAGCAGCTATGGACCTCAGCGATGTCAACACCGTCCGCACCGATGTCAGCTACAATGGTGACGGCAGCAGCAGCAGCGGCAGCGGTAGCATTGGGGATAGTACGACCGGCATGAGCAGCAAAGGCAGCATGAGCCCTAGCAGCACCGCTAGCAGTAGTGTCAGCGGCGGCACGGGAGGCATCTTGGGCGTCCTAGCAGCCGCAGCAGCTGGTGCGGTGGACGGGCTGTCAAGCTTACTGCCCGGCGGAAGACTTCGTAACGGCAGTCGCCGCCGTACAAACAATAGATCTGTACGGCAAGTACGAGTGGGCGATGAGCTCATGGAGGAAGTCAGTGGGCCTGACGGCGAGGTGTACCTCCAGGCGGGGAGCAGCGAGGATGAGGATGAAGGGGAGGATACCTGTACGGCAGGGGATGCAGCAGCAACGGCGGCAACAGGGTTACCTACCGGTGCGTCGGGAGCGCGTGAGAGGCGTGATTGCAGCGGCAGCAGCAGCAGTAGCAGCAGCAGCCCGAGCATGAGGGGTGCTGGCGAGCAACGGGGGGTGACGGAGGTGGCAGTGGGCAGCAGCTGTGCTGGCGGAGGAGGCGCGACTTCTGACTCGGACTGTGTGGATGGAGGAACCGCGTTGGAGGGCACTGCCTCGGGGGGCGCTTGGGGCGGCCGTACCGGTTGTCACGCAGTTACAGCTCATTACCCTCCACGAGTACAACAACAGCTACGGCAGCAGTGGCGGCAAGTGTCGCAGCTGCCAGGGGCTAGCGGTGCAAACATCTTGCGGGGCTGCTTGGTAGCAAGGCGCATAGGCTCAGGGGAGGGATTGGGGCATGGGCAGACGGGGCCTTTAGGGTCCTGCTGCGGTGGTCTAAGCGCGGTAACAGGGGGCTGTCACGTCCAACCGTGGCGCCAGCGGCACTTGCAGCGACCTTTGGCGATTGCGGCACCAACAGCAGCAACAGGACACCGGATTGCAAGCGCTATCGGTGCGGCGCGAGGTACACGCATCTTTACAGTAAAGAACTTAACAGCAACGAAAGCTGGTCTTGGAAGAAGCGCTATGATATGCTGAGAATGCAGGCAGCACTTGGCTAGTAACGTTTCGCTCTCGCTTTGGGGTGCAGTTTCCAGATGGCTTTCGACTTGCTCCCAACTAGGCATGGCGGGTTGGCAAGAGGGCTGGTGTTTGGCTTATGGTCGAGCCACGTAGTTGCGTACCGAGGTGACCTGGCGTCTTACGTCCTTGTGTACGGCGTTCCCATGTGCGACATAACATACCATGAAGACGACCTCCTACTTACAGCTGCTGTTCGCACATCTTGTTAATGCCCCTCGTGTAATTCAGTAGGCAATGATATAATTGTGCTAGGTTAAGCGCTGCTGCAAAGCTGAAGTTTAGCACCGATACATTAATAGGCAGAGCCTTTTCTTATTAGCTATGGCGGCCTTTCGTGGTCGTGCGCCCGCCGTTGCGGTGCTGGCGCTTCTGCTGCTCCAGGCCCTCTGCCTTCTGAGCGCTCCGCGGCTGTCCGCTGCGCTTCTTCGCCGCGACCTCTTCCCTGGAATGCCCAAGGATGCAACAAACATCAAGGGCAGCACCGATGTGAAAGAGGAGCTTTCGGAAGAAGTCGTGAGCGCTATTGCAGCGGGACTCGCAGCCGCATCTTCGCAAGCCGTGACGGCAGCAGCCGCGCTGGACTGCGGCTTGGGTCCCGTCCTTTGTAAGACATTGGATTGTCCCGAGTATAAGGTGCGTGAGGCAGAGAAAGGTGGTCGTGTCATGGATGCAACGGACATGCGTGTGACGCAACAAGAGGAGGCCGCGAGCACCTCGCTCCTGGTGACCCGTGGGTCACTTGCTTCTAGTATCTAATGTTGGTTTAACCCTCTTCGGGCGCTGTGCAGGCGCTGTGGATGTGTATATAAAGCTTTTATGTGGGGTTAAATTGTTTGCTGGCGGCATTATCCTCAATCATTGGTTACATTGCCATCGCGGCGACGCACCTCCAGTTCGCTTGTTGTTCGGCTTTCAAGCAGCTCGCGTTTCCCAAGGTCACATTCACCCTCCATCTGTGGTCCCCCAACACGTCGTACGTCACCGACAGGTGCTGGATCGCTACGAGGGCTCCGAGCTCCGTCGCTACGATCCCGGTGAGGCTGGCGCTGTCCCAAGGGCTTCATTCTGTTTGATTGCGTGCCGTGTCTTGGCGGGGCACCCGCGAAGGCTGCGACATTGAGCCGTGCCCTACATTTATGTTACCGGCATCTTGGGTTTGGTCACACTATCATCTTCCGTACCGGTTTGCGTAACATGTCGTACCTCCCCTCTCCATGCCGTACCCTCATTCGCCACGTCCGCAGCCACCTTCACCAGCACGGTCCTCTCGCTAGACGAGGAGGGGAGCATCGAGCGGGCGGCAGTGAAGGGCTTCCATGTGGGTTGTGTGACGGGGTGTGTGACGGGGTGTGTGTGGGCGTGCGTTCACAAACCTGGCCGCGAGTAGCAGCATACTGAATGGTCGAAAGATGACCTACCCCACCAAAAACGCCGCGGGAGGCGAGGCGAGGCGTGTGTGTGTTCAAATAACTGGCCGTGTGTGCATGTGTCAAGAAAACTGGCCGTGTGTGCATGTGTGTATGTGTTCCGGGCGGAGGGATGAGTGGGCGTTGTTTTTGCGGCCTAAGGAACGCGTGCGGTAGTTCGCAAGGGCCATGAACGTGTGTGCGCGGGGAGCCAAGCAGCTCACCACCGGTGCTGACCACCCCCACTACCCAACCACGCACCGGGCTGCGATGAGCCCCCGCACGTCCTCCCGCGCTACCATGTACGACTCTACTTCCCGCACCTTCCCACTTCCCTCACCCACTTCCCTCACCCAACCCGCATGTACCCCCACCCGCCACCATTACCGGTACTTCCCCCACCCCTCGCAGCGGCTGCTCAAGTACAACCTGGGCGACAACGAGGACAGCCAAAAGGTAACCGATGAGGGGGGGGAGACTAAGGGCTGCAGAAGGGTGGAAGGACACCAAGTTGGGAGGGAACGCTGCTACACTGTGGGGTTCGATACTTCCATAACGGGTTTCTGGGACATCCCTCCCTCCCACGTGTCGTCCTCTCCCATGCTGCTGCCCCTCACCCCCCACCCCTCCCACCTCCCTCCCCCCCCCACCTCCCCGCAGGTCTCCATGACCGCTCCCGTGCTGTACGGCCTCGATGTGGACCGCACCGCATCCAAGCGCCACGACCTGCGCTTCGCCGACCGCTTCTCCGTCTCCTTCTTCGTGCCCTTCCGGTTCCAAGTGAGTGGTGGGGGCGGTTGTTGCCTTCGTCCCTCCGTCTGTATGTTTGTTAACATCCCCATTTTGCCACTAATGAATGCATGTATGCTGCAACATGCATGGCCCCACCCCTCCTTCCCTGCCCACCTTCTTTCCGACTTGCCTCCGACCCCCCTCACCCCCCCCAAACAGGACAAGCCCCCCAGCCCCTCCGACCCTGACGTGTTTCTGGTGGACGCCGAGGTGGGCTGCGGCGAGGGGAACGTGGCGGTGGCAGTGCCGGTGGTAGCGGGGTGTGGGTTGCTTGGAGGGGTTCCCGGGAAGAGGAGAGGAGAAGGAGGAGAGGAGGAGGAGTGAATCGGTCCCTTGCCAGCAGCCCAGTTGTTGCTGCTGTGAACTCGTTGGCACTCAGCGCTGCAAACTGGGGGAGGTGCAGGGGTTGGGCTGCACAGTAGGGCTGCGCAGCACTGACGAAACTGTATGTACGACAACTTCCGTGTTGGCTGTGAAAAGTGCTTTTGCTGCAGGAATCCACCGCATCGTCGTGCGCCGTACGCCGTGCAAATTCGGCGCCTTGAAATTATGCGCCCTGCTTGTTCTTGTCACAGTTCTTGTTCGCATACCTTGTCGCACGCAGGAAAAGGACATCTTCGTTCGCTCCTTTGGCGGCTACGCCACCGGAGCTCGCATCACTCACATCGCCTCCGAGTTCTTGAGGGACCTGTACGACGATGGTCACCGGGTGGACTGCCGTACCATCTACATTGCGCAGTACAGCCCGCCCTTCCAGGTGAGCGGGGGGTTTGGGGCTTGCATGTGGATGTGACCATCCATAGCTTCTTTACTTCCGCTTCCCGCCTGATTTACTTGTGGGCACCAGTTGTGGGCGTTCAACGGTCGTCCTCCCCCATACTGTCACCACCCCGTCGTGCCACTTCATAGCTCTCGCCCTTGTTGCAACCCCCGTGAATCTCTCGCCTCCGCTGCTCCTCCGCTGCTCCACCGCTGACGCAGTCCTCCCCCCCTGCCTGCCGTACAGCCGGTGTTCCGCTACAACGAGGTGTGGGTGCTGCGCCGCCGCCGCCACGGCAAGGACGCGACCGACGGGGCCAGTGATGCCGCCGGGGAGGGGGATTGCGGCGACTGGTTGAAGCCGGAGGCAGCAGGCGGGGAGGGTGGTGGTGAGGCATTGGAGGAGGAGGCACAAGCCCTGGATGCGATTGCTGCGGCGGTTGCTGAGGCGAGGGCAAAGGAGGAGGAGGTGGTGCAGGTTGTGAAGGCCGACGGGGGTTCTTCGGAGGAGCACCTGGTTCAGGCCTCCGCCTAAACAGGAATGCCGGGACAGTGCGGTGAAGTGTACAATACATGACGCGCATGTTGTAGGCTAGGCGATGGTGCGGTAGGGAGGGGCTGTGGGAAGGAGTACTTTGGAGGTAACTGGGGGCTGTCCTAGTTGTTGTTGTTGGGCATGCATGCATGCATGTACTGTATGGATGGAATGGCCCCGGGGATGTTGGTAGGTGTTGGCAGTATTGGACAAGCTGTACAACGGGTCCCGGTGCAACTGCAATGGTCTCGGTTGTTGCTGCAGGTGTTGCTGTTTGCAGGTGTGACGTGATTATTGCGCTGCCGGTTCTGCGGCTGGGTGAGAACTCTCCCTCTCCTTGGGGTGGCAGCGATGGCGCTCGACGGATCATGTAACAAAAGAAGGGAAAAACGGTTGTCCGAGGTTCTTTTACGAGGCTGATGTATGCAGCTTGCTTCTGCAAGTGAAACGTGCCTTTATCCATATGCGCACTACAAAATAGCTGCTTGCATCATACCAGGTATTCACTACCCATCCATGAAGCTTGCGAACGCATGACCATGAAACGTAGTGCGTCGTGAGCTGATAACTGGCAGCCCGGACCTAGCAGTGCATCTGATCCGGGCGATGGGGGCGCGGTAGAGGTGGATTGGGTAGTCGTTGACAGCAGGCAGGCAGGCAGGCAGGCAGGTTTAGGCCGCGAGGAAGCATATGCGCAGGGTCTGTGCAAGTTGCACGGAAAGAGGTAATCAGAAACCAGGAGTAGGGGCCTCTGCATGACGTCAACGGGTTCAGGTACCGGTAGTGCAGGATGGAGCCCGGGCAGGCGGCACGTCCCGCTTTCATGCGGCCCGGCAATGCGTGCAGTGAGTCCAGCTCGGTGGTGGCCCAGGAGGCAGATGGGCACACGCATGTCGGGGGGGCTGCAATGCGATGCAGGAGAAGCCATCCAACAAGGGTTGTGGGCGGTGCGAGTTAGCCTAAGCCGCGTAGCCGGAATCTCAATGGTCGTCAGAGGCTGCGTATGGCAATGGGGCTGGTGCATACCGTCGCTGCTTTTTGTTCATAGGGGAGGAGGGCGAGTTGAGGGTGTGTTGTGCAGGAAGGCGTGGGTGGGCGGACAAGGTTGGGTTAGGGGGGGCCTCCTTTTATGACCCAAGGGTCAGTGGCAGGCAGGCCCGTCTAAACCCCGTCTAAACGCAGACTCCTTTGCTGTAAGAGCAACTTACACGGCATTTTCACATTGTGGAGGCTTGTAACGTACAATAATGTATTGTAAGTGGGTGTATCAGCTCTTCAGCTGCTCCGAGCAGTAGATGACCAGCGCGGAGTGTGGTGACGAGCCATCGCTCGATGGTGACCTTGGGACCAGCTCCTGGGACAAGCCAGTCGCGTTTTAGCTGCTTCATGTCAACGCGTCCAGCTGGTTTCCGTGGGCAAAACTTGCCTTGGGGTGTCCAATGTACGTTAACGGAACGCGGAACCGTCGGCAAAGGACATCCCGTGGGTAACGAACGGATCCCTCGCAACGTGTGAGACACATGCGGCGGCATCCTGGTAGCTGCTTGATGTAAGGATGTTGTTCTTCTTTATCCCTAGAAGATAGAAGTCTGCTGTCCCGGGCTCTTCGGCAGCGTCGCTCGAGCCCGACATCCTCGACATGGGATCCCTGCTAGCGGAAGCGAAGTCCACCGTGCCCAGCTTTCCTTCAATGTCATCATAAATAGCGCAAGCGACTGGTGCCGCGATAGACTGCGGCGCTCTGCTAAGATACAACCAATCCGCCATCATGCTTCCTCACATTTGCCAGTCAGCTCCTCAGCTACGGCGGAACTGGCAGCCTCAGCTACCACCTCCAACAGCAGCAGCAACCGTGACAGCAGGACCAAGACTTCAGCCCACCCATGCAGCTGCTACCACTCCCGCTACTGCCTGCGCTGCTGCTAGTGTTCCTACTTTGCCCGCATGCGGCCGCCGAAGCAGTCGCAATGCGAGCTGCGGCGGCGGTGTCTGTGGTGTATCCTGCGCGGCACACTGGTACATCTTGCCAGCGGGCCGCCGGTCGCTGCCCTCGCCGCCGCCGCCAATATCGCTGTCGCATGCCGTTAGCGCGGCGGCTTCCCGGAGCCGCCAGCCTACGCTGCCGCCCTGCCCCGCCCTCACTAGTTGCAGCGGCGGCAATGCCGGCACCTGCAGCATTAGCAGCAGCACTGGCAGCAGGACATGTAGCAGCAGCAGTAGCGGCGGAGGACGCATCATCAAATGCATGCGGCTGCGTGGCCGCACCACCACCAGCAGCGTCACCAACACTGCCAGCGGTTCGGGCGGAGCTAGAGACGCGCGGCTGCGTTGCAGCCCCAGCAGCAGCCCCGGTACCAGCAGCCCCAGCAGCAGCAGCAGCGGTATCAGCCAACTGTCCCCCCCTGCTGCCGGCCTTGCTGCCGCCAGTACAACATACTGTCCTATGAGCGGCACCGACAGCAGCGGCGGTGCGACCAGCAGTGCCATTTCCACCAGCAGTGCCAGCAGCAGCGACAACGGCCTCACCACCACCACCTTGGAACAGCCTCAGGACCATTCTCCGTCGCCGTCGTCGCCGGCGCCCTGGGTCGCACCCCCAGCACCCTCACAACCAGCCCCTCCCGAAGCCGCTGACGGCGAGTACCCTGCGCCCTACTCCTCCTCCTCAGTTTCACCAATGGCGCCGCCGCTGCCGCCGCAGGTTGTGCACTCTGGTGAGGAGCAGCAGCAGGAGCAGCAGGGTGCCGCCAGGGCGCATGCGGAGGGGGTTGGGATTGCAGCGGCGGCCGCGGAGGAGGGCAGTGGGGTGGAATGGAGTGAGGAGTGGGAGGGAGCGGAGGTGGGAGAAGGGGAGGAAGGGGAGGAATGGGAGGAAGGGGAGGAAGAGGAGGTGGGAGAAGGGGAGGAAGAGGAGGTGGGAGAAGGGGAGGAGTGGGAGGAAGGGGAGGAAGGGGAGGAAGGGGAGGAGTGGGAGGAAGGGGATGAGGGGGAGCATTACGGAGGACTAGAAGACGGCTCAACAGGAGGCACAGCAGCAGCAGCAGCAGCAGCAGCAATACTGGACAAGGTTGGGTCGATGACGTCAGAGCAGCGGCACCTGTCGGCGCAACTCGGGGTGAAGGAGGCGGTGTTTGTCGCACTGACCGCGAAGGCGGCGGCGGTAGCGGCGGGCGCTGCCGCAGCGACGGCAGCGGCAGGTGCGCAGGCGGCGGAGGAGGGGGTGGCGGCGGCGGCATTAGACCTGCACATGACGGCGGTCCAGCGCTTTGTAGAGGCGGTGGCTGCGAAGGAGTTAATGCGAGAGTTGGCGGCGCGGCGTGACGGGGCCCAGGCGAGGTGGGTGGTGGAGGAGGCGGGTGATCTGCGGAACCAGCTGGCGGCGGCGGCGCCGGGTGCAACGTCGTCCTCAACGGCGGCGGCGCCCAGCAGCAGCTACCGCGCCGGAAACGGCGCCACCACAACGGCCAGCTCACTCTTTGTATCCGCCGCCACCGACGCCACGCCCCCCGGCAACCACACCGGCAGTTCCGCACTCGTCCGGCTGTTTAGGGCGGCGGCGTACGGCATGGGCATGCACATGCATCAGCTACTGGACCGCTGTACAGGCGCCGTACATTCCTGGATCAATGCCGTATATTCGTACTACGACAAGGTTCGTACAGCGCAGCAGCTTCTGTTGCTTAGTCAGCCGCAGCTGCAATCTTGGCTTTGGGAGGTAGAGCAGCGGGTTTGGCTGCAGCAGCAGCTACAGCAGTTGCAACAGCAGTGGGAGGAGGAGGTAAAGTGGTTACGGAGGGGTCACTTTTCGGAGCTGTTGGGTGCGCTGAGCGGACGTTTGGATGCAGAGGAGGAGCTTCGGAGGGTGCGGGAGGAGGCTGCTCTGGAGGCGGAGGTGAGGGACGAGGGGGGGGGTCTTTGCCCTGGATCATTGGAAGCTAGCTAGCGGATGCACCTCTGCGGCATGCAGGGAGGACTGACAGATGCTCGAGCGACACCGTCACGCGCTTGACTTGAATGATAATCAGATCCGGATTAGGTCCGACTAAAGTTTTAGATGCCCTGGAAGGCCGGGAGGTTGCCCCGAGTGCCGGTAGCAAGGCACCTGCCACCCTTGCGGAACGGTATGACTATGAACACTCGGCCCCTTCTCCCACTCCCATTCTGCGCCTCATCCGTTAATCAGCTCTCTCATCCGTTAATCAGCTCCCTCACCCCCCACCTCGCAGGCCCACCGTGCAGAGCTCCTGGGCGCCCAACACCGCTACGACGCCCTCTCAACGCGCATGCAGGACCTGCAAGCCGAGATGACCTCCTTGGAAATACGACATCGCGACCTGGTAAGCAGCCCTAATTCCTTGTGTAAGGCAAAAGCCAGATCGTTTTGTACGTGTACATTAAGATGTACGGTTGTACGACAGGTAATGGCTGTTTAGGCTACCGGATTGGGCGCATGGGGACAAACGGGATTTTTGCTTTTCCTGGAACACAGCTTACAAAGGAAGTGGTAGAAGTTGAGTCATGAGAGAGGTTCCGGACGAGTAGCAGTAGCAGTAGCAGGTTAGGACTTCCTCCTGGTTTCTCCAGCGCCACGCATTCCCGTCCTCACTTCCACGGTCTCCGCCCCCGCCCTGCCGCCGCTGCACTGCTGCGGCTGTTGCGCTGTTCCCGTGCTGCTGCAGCAATCTGACAACTCGAATCTGGAAACAGATCTGGAGTTGACTCGGGAGCGAGAGGAGCAGCTGCAGTGGCAGCTGCAGGAGGCCCAGGCGGAGACGGCGAGAGCCCTGGACGACGCCCGGCACCTGGGAGCTGCACTGACCAATGAGGAAGCACAACGGCAGCAGCAACAACCGGGGCAACAGCAGCAGGACCGCGGAAAGCGGGGGAAGCAGCAGCAGCGCCGGCCCCACCACAACCCCAAACACCCCCAAAGGGAGGAACACTACGGCCGCCAACACCGCCACCCGCAACCCTACCCCCCACACCACCCGCCACACGCTGAGCCCCCCTACCCAACGCAGCCGCAGCCGCAGCCGCAGCAGCCCCACCAACACCCGCAGCAGCAGCAGCAGCAGCAGCAGCAGCAGCAGCAGCAACAGCAGTCATATCCGAATTCCCAACGGCGGCTGAACTACACACAGGGGCAGCCTCAATCCCTGCTGTCATACCCGCCGCACCAGCCGCCCCCAGTGCTGTCGCTGCATGCCGCGGTGCTAGCGCGCAACGGGGACTTTGAGGTCGGGCTGGGCGTTGGAAACATCCGGGAGCAGCTGCACACCATGAACAGGCTGGCGTACGACACGGTTGGTGGTTGGTGGTTGGATTACTTTGACGAGCAGTTGGCGTTAGAAGCTGGTGTTGCGGCTCCTAAGCGGGTTAGTGACAAGCATACGTGGGACGGAGCGAGCGGTAGCGTCACTGCTGTGAAGGAGCTATCCTTACGGGAGCCTTAACCATATTCAAGGTGCTGCGTTCCCTAAAGCCCTGTTCAGCTTACAGAAATAGTGCTTTCCCATCGGATGTATATCTTCTAATCTTTCGGCCTAACGCCGTTGATCCCCGCCTGCATTGGCTCCTGCCCGTCCATTCCACCTCATCCCACCAGGCGCAAGCCCTTCTCGCCGACCCGCATCTCTACGCCGAGCTACAACCCAAGCTCTGCTGGCCGCTACAACACCTCTTCTCGCAGCAGGATTCCCCGCCGGCGTCGCCGAACCAACTGTCAACTGACGACGACCTACGACGACCGTTAGAAGCGCGCCTCGTCGCTCACTCGCTGCTGCAATGGCTCAACGGTCAGGTCTGGGAAGATCCGTTGGACTGGCTGGGCGTCTCGCTGCGGCTTCGCGAGATGCCGACTGACGACGGAGGCGCCGCCGCGACCCATGGGTCAGGGCCGAACACGTCATCCTTCGGTGGGTTCGGTAGCAGCAGCAACACTGACATGTTCTATTATACCCCAGCGGAAAGAAACACGGTCGCGGTGCTGCGGAGCCACATGGCGAGGCGCTGGTTGGGGGTCCTTGAAGAGCAACAACAGCAGGAGCTGGAACAACAGGACGAACAACGGCAGCAGCGGACGGACCCGCTACACAGGCGGCGGCAGCGGCATGAACAGGCGGTTGCCGGCACAGAGGCTGGCGGAGGTGGCTGGCAGCAGCAACAGCAGCAAACGCAGCAGTGTCGACAGCAGCAGCTTGAAAACATGGCAGGCGATGGCCGCGAGTCAGCGGAATCTGGAGCGGCCGCGGCCGGACCTCGTTTACCAGGACCCACCAGTCGGCCATCTCAGCAGCTGCAGCAGCCGTCACGGGAGGAGGAGCAGCGGGAGGAGCAGGAGTGGTACGGTTACGGGTACAGCGATTACGGGGCCGTTGTGAACGACGGGGGCAGCTACAGCAGCGGTGGTGGCAAAGGAGACAGCGGTGGTGGCAGCTTCGCCGCCAGCCCTGGGAATACCGTGCGCGTTTCGGATGGCGAGGAGGAGCGCGAGGAGGGAGAGGCTGACGTGGAGCAAGAGGAAGAGAGCGAGGAGCAGGAGGAGCAGGAGGAGGACGAGGGCGTAGAGGAGGAGGAGGAGGAGGAGGAGGGCGGCAACGACCATGTCAGCACCCCCATGACGCCAGAAGCTTCCGCCGTTGAGGCAGCTCTGTCAGACATCTCCCAGAGCCTGGCTGCCTGGTTGCTCCGGCGGGCCCCCGTGAAGCGTCAAACACTGCAGCAGCACTACCAACAACAAGAACCGAAACCGCGCGAAACGAAGCGGCATCCATCGCTCAACGGTGCCGTGGCTGCCATCCGGCTGTCTGCTCCACGAGGCAGCAGCGCCCTCGCGGGAAGAGCAGTGCCGTCGGCACCTGAGGTGGCTTCGGATTGCAAGCTGGGATTGCGGCGGTTAGTACGGCAGGCTCTGCAGTTGGGCCTTATGGTGCCCGCTGCGCATCCCTTGCTGCGGCTGACCCTTGCGCCTGCGGTCGCATTGGAGGAGGGCAAGCAGCAGCAGCAGCAGCAGCAGGAGGAGGAGGAGGGCGCAGGAGGAGCGGCAGGAATGGCAGATGGGGCGCGGAAGTGGCCGACGTGGGTTCGTTTGGATGGCTTGGATGGTGCGAACAGCGGATTAGGATGCGATGGCAGCAGCAGCGGTAGCAATGGCACTGGAAGCGGCGGTAGCAGTATCATCAGTGGCAGTAGCTACAACCGTGGTCCTGCAGAAGGGTACGGCAGCGGCCGCCTCGGCAGCAGCAACAACAACGACCCCGAACGATATGAGATTGCATATCGCCAAACGTTCGCGCCCTCCGCCTCCGCCAATGCTCAGGTTTCTTGCCAGAATAGCAGCGGCGGCTATGGCGTAGCCCGCAGTAGTCATTCAAGCCAGAACGGCAATGGCAATAGCAGCAACGGCGGCAGCGACGGCCGCCGCAGCCCTGGTAACAACAACTGCCATGTTTGGAGTGCAGGAGGGCACGTTGGTGGTGACGGCAGCAGCGCTCACGACAATGACAACAGCAGTAGGCACGATGGCAGCGGTGGCGTGTTCCTGCTATGCAGCGTCCAGCCTGGTGTGGGCTACGTAAGCGGCAACAACAGCGGAGGCGAAGACCCGCGGGTCACTGTGGATTCCATAATAGCCGAGAAGGTGTTTGCTTGGTCAATGGAGGGCCTGTAAGGGAGTGTACCGGTGTGCGATTGCGATGCGGGATCACGGAAACGGATGCGGATGTTGGTATGTAGTCAAAAGTGCTGATACGATTGCCATGGCTGGGTGTGGCTTCTTCGGGAGGCGGCGGATAGGGCTCACCCAAGGTGGGGCTTTCCTACAACGCGTTGCACCAATTGCGCAATTACGGTAGTATGTTGTTTGCGCCTGGCACATGTCTTGACTAAGGAAGCAAGCATGGCACGGAGCATGAGTGTACACGAGGGTAAGGAACAGTGTACAACTAGTATGATGCTAGTAGTTAGCTCTAAAACCCCTGGGGGTGTCGAGGGGAGCATGAAACGGAATGAGGTGCCGTTGCTTCTGCAGATGGCGAGGCTATTACTCCTTGGCAATTCGATTTCAACATTTCTCTAATGATGTCGTTTGGGCGCACGCATCAAGTCCACCTTTAGTCATAGAACAGTGTTGCTTACAAGAGACCAAGGATTACCAGGTCATTAGCAGCTCTGGCTTCCCTCTCCTTCCATGAAAGCAACGTTGTATAGCGGTTAGTGCCCACAGGCGCGCATGCTCCTCCCGTTCAACCAGTGCAAGACAGCACCCCATCGACCGCACACACACACACTCTGTTAACCGGAGCTCCAGCAAACACCCTAACCGCTCACCTCCTCCTCCCAACTTCCGCACGAAACGCAACAAGCCGTCTTTCCTATTAGCACCACACTCTTAACACGCCTCGGGCTCCCAGCACATGCCCCCAGTGCGCACGGGCGTGTACGACTGGGCGCTCGATTGCCCTGCTGAAGGGGCCCTAATGGGATGCCCGACCAGCGCGACCGGCAGAAGAAGGAAACCTCTTCCGCAGCTAACACGATTAGGGCACTCGACGCAGATCCGATGCACATTGGAGCTCACGTCCGAAAGCGCAACAAGCAAAACAGAAAACGCAAAGAAAACACGCAAGCCTGATGTACACAGGACACAGATGCATGCGCATGCGCACACCACCATTAACCGTTATTGGCAAACAGGGAAAACAACACATGTCGCTACGTTGTGTTATGCCGCACTGCTAGTATACCGTCTGCTAGCCCGGGGTAACCACCCGCCTAGCCCGGCGGGCGAAAAGGCCCTTCATGAAGCTGGAAGCTTCATTACATGTAAAGTAAGGAGGCATGGGGATATTACTAAGCCGACGCACAACAACACCTTGGGAACTTACGCTCACGAGAGGTTTCACTATTTCGGTGAGTGCCCAACTGCAGCTCCTCGTTCCGCCCTTTCCAAAAGGAAGAGTGCAAGAAAACCACAATTATCTAGGCAAAAACAGTAAAAGCTGTACGGATATACGGCTGGATGATAAACGCGCCGAGAAATTACCTTCTCTTTTAAAAGCCGCTTCTTGCCTGCAACCCAAGCCGCGCCTGCCTGCACACCCAAGACGCCTGCACGCCGAAAGTACCCATGTTCATCAAGCCAACCAGAAAACGTGGACACCTCACGCCCATCCATGAGACCCCGCAGTGCGTGCTCACGTATCCACCGGATTAACAACTACCCCTTTTCCGTCCAACCAGCCCACCTTCCCATCAGCTGCACCCACAACCCACAACTCGCAACAACAAACAACGGTTACACTTGCGCGCCCGCTTGCGCGTCTGTACACGACAGTACAAGCAGGGTTACGCGTCAGGCCTGTTTATCGGCATTTACCCCTCCACTTGTCACGTTTAAGGCACACATCCAGTCCTACGTGAGAGCCGGCACAAGCCTGATCCAAAAGCCACACAAGCTCCACGCCCGCGGCCTTTTCCTTCCAACTGAGAAGGACTACCGGACTCGCATAAAGGAATACGACATGCCTCCTCTTCACAATAGAAGCCCATCTCCCTCCCTCGAGCAACCTACCTAGCTCTTTACCGCAAGCAACCACAAAATGCCAAGGCGGGGGTTTACAGTATACCCGCCAGTAACACAATACCGCTCGAAATCACCGTTTCTTTCACCCCGCTTTCCGCAACATGCGCAACATCACCAGAAGCTCCAGAAGCACACGCGGGAGCCGGCTTTTGCATACCTGACCACCTTACCTCTATGGCCCCTAAAGCCTGACAGAGCTTAAAGCCGCATAGGGTCCCCTACATCCGAAAGCGCTAGCTGGCTTTGCCCGCAACTGAGCTTTCCAGAGTGGGCCTACAGGGCCCCTCGTAGCACCCCAAGAGCCCCTCCGTTATCACCCCCAATTATGCGGCCCCGGAAAGGACCAGATGGTAGGCTGCTGGAGCTGATCCAAGCTCCCATCTACGGTCCCTCCTTCTAGGCCTTCTTCTCCTCGTTCATGCGGCCACCGTTTTGCAGCATGTACTCGAAGGCGTCCAGCCCCTCCTTGTCCCTGCATGCGTGCGGCATGGGCAGGAGGAGTTAAAAGTGCGGCATGGGGAAAAGGATGCGGAAGCCAGGTGCGGAGGAAAGAGTGGAAAGGAAAGGGAAGGTACGCGGCACTGGGATTGGGCCAACCTCAGTGGTTCATGGCACATGCAAGGGCGCATCGCTAAATGTTTGGGTTGCCAGCACCGTCCGAGTCGACCCCTTTTGTGCTAAAACCAGGTGGACAAGGTGCATGAGCTCGCACAACTAAGCAGCTTTCTCAGTTCAAATGCATTGAGCCGCTGGATAACGTAACTTTGATGCGAGCATGGTGTCTGCAAAGCCCTATCGGGTCTTACGCCCGTTTATGTCCCTAGCCCCACCGTACTCAAGCATCCCCAATCAAAAATGCTCGAGTGCATGGGTGCGCCTGGACATATCCTCGTTCCTTAAAGTATAAAGGCCCGCTTACTTTTGCCGCGCAAGGTAAAGAGGCGTCACGCCAAAGTTGTCCGCCTGGTTGATCAGTTCGGCCCGCTCTTCGGGCGAAATCAACTCCATGATGCATTCCAGCATAGCACGATCACCGCTCCGTGCGGCCAGGTGCACAGCAGTCCTGCGGGATGGGAAAGTCGGTTTAGCCCAATTCGTGAACCTTTCAGCTTGCAGCATGCATGCGTACCGGCCATTGCATTCAACAGCTTTGACGTCGACCCCGTAGTCGATTAGGAGTTCGGCTACGTCGATATGTCCGAGCTCGGCGGCCCAGTGCAGAGCAGTCCGGTGAAGCGAGTCGCGGATGTTAACCTGGAAGTCAAGCGTCCTCTCTGCTTGTCTTTTGATGTACCCTACGAAGAGGAAGCAAATTTGCGGTCGGACGGGTCTGCGCGCACGTCAAACCATGCTAGTATGGAAAAGTTAGCTGCGCACCTTTATCGTTGCGTGAAGCTGCTTCAAAGATATCCTTCGGGGGTCGCCTCTCGTCCATCATGCCTTTCAGAAGCGAAGCAGCTGCAGGCAGAAAACAACATGCAAGTTCCGGCACAGGGAAAAAAATCCCAGAAACCCCGGCCAACGGCCTACCGGCCCTTATGCTATTTACTCACAAGCAGTTCCAGGCCGGTCTGAAGAATACATACTTCACGCAAAGGTGCCGATGGCAACCAGGAATAAGGAAGATGTACACTGTTGCCAAGGACTACTGTGAGTATTGTGAGTGTGATGATGTCAGAGTTAAATACTAGGTGGGGTCTAGCTCTATGAAAGTCTCTGAGAGGCCACCTGTACGAACTTGTGTTAAACGTGGCCTGCTTGCAGGGTCTTGGATCAATGATGCGGTTTTATGGAAATCCTACAGTTGTGATCGCACATCTAACTACCGTTTCATGGCAAGCAATATATTCGTCGTACCGGCAGTACCCTCCATCGCACTTCTGGATTCCGAGTTGGACATGTAGGTTGGGACAGATGAAATTGCCTTGCGCTTTTGGACGCTGCGTGTAATGGAGGATCGGGCGTGCGGTAACGGGCCATAATAGCCAACTAACGGCTGCGACGGCCCGCCCACGGTCTTATCATATCTATGCACGCCGGTGACGTGAGACACCCTGGTCCCAACCTAGCTATCTATCCGCTTCAGTTCCCTCAAGTTTTTGGTTAATACTAACATGCATCTACTGTGGGGTATTCTTGCTTAGTCCCTACTGAACGACCACTGTGTCCGCCGCACTACAGTGGCCTTGGCATGGGCTGTACGATGTGCCCTCACAAGGTTTCACAACCCACATCCTTCAAATATCACAGTCATAAACACCTCCCCACCCTACATGGGGACTTGATACCACACATATTAGGGGCTTGTTGCCTTTTTTGGTAAAGACGCCCTTCATATCCGTACCATGAATGGTTCCGTACAACCGTACATGCTTCCTAACACCCGCAGACGGGATGTGGGCAGGGCGGGGCCTAGGGCATCGGACTAGCATTTGTAGGGTCCCCAACCACGCATAAGCCAGTTTAAGCGAAACAACAGAATGTGTTGAGAAAGCAGCAGGAAACTCCACAAGTACGGCGGTGTCCTCTATTCCGAGTTACTGTTTCTAACAACAGTACGTATGTACGAATGGAACATAAGTAGGGTAGTACACGCAAACATTTCTCTGAATTACGACTATCAAACATTTAACACCATACCCGAGACCCAAACCGGTACCCACCCTCTAACCCGCTCTCATCAGCGCTCCACCCAACGATCATGCGAAGTGGGCAATCTGCCAGAAACCATTACCAATGACTCTGAACACGACGAAAAGCCACACGAATGAAGGTACACGCCGACTGGAGATTAGTGTACGGCAAGAGACAGCGGGCACGATGCGCCATGTACCGTGCTAACGGTTGCGTGTGCACAATGCATGCAGGACACCCACATGTGCGGGCTGTGGTTCGAGTGGCCCAATATGTGTACATGTTGCATGCTTCCTGTGCATCTCATTCTTCAACAGGTTAACTGGGATGCGTGCTTTCATGACGCTAACCCTCGTTCGTGAAACTACCTCCCTCTCCCTCACGCTACGTATGTAAGCATCATTCTTCATCAGCTCCTCTCTCGCTCATTGTGGCCTTTCGATCGTTGACATGTTGACGGACTGAATTACCGTACACAATCCTAACGCCGCAGAGCGTCAACTGCAGCTACATGCAACACAGAAACCCGCTTCCTCATCGCCGCCGCCTCATCAGCCCGTGCCATGATACCCTAGCATGCATGCCTCGTTAGCCCATCCGCCATGCCGTCTTCCGATTCCAAGAGCCGGCTCCAAATCCTTTTCCCAGGGAATTGTACGGCACGGCATTCGTTATGTGTACGGCATTCACGAAAGCAATCGCTGCCACCGGCCCACCGCTACCGCTGCTGCTGCAGTAGCTCGTCCATCATGGCCAGGTGGCTCCAGGGGGGTGCCAGGGAGTTGGCGGCGATCATACCCGAGGCAGCCGCTGCGGGCACCCCAATGCCGGGCATGCAGGAGTCGCCGCACATGCTGAGGCGGGGGATGGGAGTGCGGGGGCCGGGCCAGCCCTGCGGGAAAGGAAAGGAGCGGTGGCGGGGTCGGGTCGACAAGGAGTTCAGCAGCAGCAGGGGCAGCAGTGAGTGCAGCAGCTGGCTCCAGTGATCCCCATGTCCGCAGCCGCCGCAGCCTTCGCAAGCAGTGCAGGGGTCGAGTGGGGTGACGAACACAGACCTTGTCAGGCGGTGCTTGTGTTTTGTTTGTTGCGTGATGCTTGGGTTGCGTGACAGAGCATTGCTGCGCATTGGAGCACTGCCGGAGCCCGCCACCCGCCTCCAAAAACCCTCGGCACACCAACCCCAACCAGCGCTGATGCCCGGCCCGCACTTGCCCCAATCTCCCCAAACTCCTAGTGTACGGTAACGCCTGTACGACAGAGAGGAAAGAGAGAGAGCAGGCGTGTGTATTCCCCCACCTGAACGCTGTTGGCACCTGCACCACCGCCACCCGCAGCGCTGATGCCGGGGCCGTACGAGCCCCTGTGTCGCCGTACAAACCGTTCGTGGGTCAGCGGCGAGCCAACCAGCACCAACTCCGCTCGCTCGCGCACATCTGGGATGAAGCGCTGAAGAGCCTGAAGGGAGTTGGGAGAGAATGAGAGAGAAACGGGGAAGGAGAAAGTGGCACAGAGAGCATAAAATGTACGAGAATGCTTAGTACCACTTCTAATAAAACCAGAAGTGATCCGGTTGGAGGGGCATGCCAAGCACAATCCCCGCAACACCCTCGCCCTGACGCCCACGGCATCGCACCCCACCTGCCACAGCGGCTCTGCCCTCTCCTGTTTCAACCTCCGGTACTCCCCGCTGCGACGGTCCAGTCCAGCCCACTTGTCGTACGGTTCGTTGGCGGCGCAGTAGCAGTGCACGGTGGCCTTGCCTGATCCGGACACATGCAGCAACGGCCATGCACTTATCAAACACGTACGGGTTCGGCTGCCGGATGTCAACCTCTCCACTCCTTCCCGTGGTGTTTGCAAGCCCCTAACAATTCCTCCCACACCTTCAGCTGCTACCGCATATTCTCGTGCCAAATCCAGATGAATCTGTGCGATACTCCCATCCTGTGACGCCGCGAAGTCAAGCCAACCTCTTCTTTGGCCACTTGCATGCCGCATGTGCATGTCCCACCTCACTCCACCTCACCCCACCCTTCCGGACCACCCCCCTCACGTCTCACCCTCAGGCGCCAAGCTGGGGTCGAACACGGACGGCAGCGAGGCGATGATGACATTCTGCGGCGCCGTAAGGTCGCTCCAGTGGTCGACCAGCAGGTGGTGGCAGTCCAGGGAGGGCGGCAGGCCGGCGGCGTCGATGCCCAGGTGCAGGTGCATGAAGCTGTCGAGCTGCGGAGGAAAGGAAGTGGAAGGACGGTAAGGGGCAGCGGTAGTGGCGCATGGGCGCGTCATGCCGACCCCTCCCCCGGGAGACTTGGGCCTAAGCAGCGCCGGCCCCCCACTTACGCCTCCCTTGCCTCCCCTGTCCACCCCTCCTCTTGCCCTCCCCTCCCCATCCGCTTCCCTCCTCACCGCCGGCGTCTCCTGGCTCGCCCGCAGCCACTCCTCCGGCGCCGCTCCCGCCGGCAGCAGCCGCAACGTATCCCACACCGACGCGTTGCTCACCACCCCGCACCGAGCGCGAATGACCTCCACCACCTCCTCCTCCGTTTCCTCACCCCTAGTCCGCTCAGCCACCCCTGCCTCATTCTGCTCCTGTGCATGCAGCTGTTGCACCTCCACCTTTCTAGCAACACCGTTGCCATTTCCATGCAAGTCGCTGCTACCGGTACCGTTGGAGCCCTCCTGCCTGCCGTTACCGTACCCATTCCGATATCTGCCGCCGCTACCTCCCCTGCCCCTGCTCCTGCTCCGCAGCCTCACCCCCGCCGCCGCGCCCCCCTCCACCAGCACCTCCTCCACATGCGCCGCCAGCAGCACCCGGCCGCCGTGCTTGGTGATGCCGCGGACCAGGGCGTCGATGATGGCCCCACTGCCGCCCATCTGCGCAGCAGCGGGGTGGGAGGCAGGGGCAGGTGGTGGGGAAGGAGAACGGAAAAAGAATGGCGATGGTTTTCAGGTTGAAAAGCCGCTAACAAAGCCGCTAGCATCGTTGTACCGGTAAGCTGTTGGCACGAGTACCGCTCGCCTAATGAGAAATGGCAGGGGATGTGGAAAGGAAAGACCAAATGGGGAGAAGGTTAGGCAGCACCAGCCGCTGGCTGCAGCCAAGGTGCTCAATGCTGAGAACCCGAGGCGTCAACGGCATCATCCGTGTTGCCACCTGGCTCCAAGTGGGACAAGTGAAGAGCCCTGTCCCCACTCCTCCCTCCATGCATGGCCCTGGTCCCTCACTGTATGGAGTACCCTCTTTCTGCACCCGCAGCCCGCATCCACATCCCTCACCAGCCCCCTCACCCGCATCCCGCGCCCGCACCTACCGGGTAATCAATCCCGCTGCGCCCGTTGTTGCGCTCCCCGAACATGAAGGCCATCTCGGCGCACAGCGTGTGGCGGGCGGTCATGCCGGACAGCACGAAGCACTGGTTGGGCGAGGGAGGGGGGGAGAGGGGGGGACGTTGCGGAGGGGACGGAAGAGAGAACAGAGCGAGGGGGTTGCAAGGAGAAACAGCCATAGGCTATGCGCGTATAAGCAGTCATTGACACGGCGCGTAGCCTACTCATGCGTCACACGTCACCCTGCAAGTGACCCCTTCCCCCGCCTCACCTCCAGATCCATGAAGGCCCGCAGCCAGGGGTGCGTCACGTGCCGGTCCACCAGCACGGAGAAGGGACCCTGAGGTGGGCGTGGGAGGTAGAGGCGGGGAGCAGGTAGGGGAGGGAGGGCATGGACAGTAGGAGGGGCTGCATTTACTATTTAACTTTAAGAGGCTATGAGCCTGGCTATCGCTGTGTTCCGAAGTACTCTGGACTCGCGTTCAGGTGGCTCTCTCAAACGCGTACATGCATGCATACAAAAACACGCACACGCACTACCCCACCCCCCACGTGGACACAAGTCTCACCGTTAGCAGAGGCGCCACCCGCGCAGTGGTCAGCAGCTGGGGCCCCAGGAAGCGAGCAGCCGTCAGAACGACCCACGGGTCACCTCGTAGCGCGGCGGCAGGGAACAGACCTGCGGCGGCCTGCCGAGGTGGTGACAGTGGTGGAGGCAGCGTTCCAGGGGCTAGCGGTCAGGAAGGGAGGCTGGAAGGGCTCCGCCCAGCGCTAGGGATGCAGGGGGAGTGCCAAAATGAGAATCTGTCAAAACACACGCCCCCATACGCATCCCAACCGCTTATCTCTACAGCTACAAGGGCTTGCAGCCACGCCCGTTGCCGCCATTGGCCAGTGCCTCCGAACCACCACAAGGCGCCTTCCCGCATTCCTTAACCCCAAAACCCACACGTTATCCGTGCCCAATACCCCTGTCTCCCACTCTTTCCCCCGGCCCCCCCCCCACCCCCACCTGCAGGGGCTTCATGGCTGCCTGCAGCTCCCGCCACTGCGCCAGCGCCTCGGGCCCTCCCTGGCTCAGAATGGTGGCCTCATAGGCGGAGGCGGAGGCGATGGTGGGGAAGGAGGGGGCGCCGCCGGGCGGGTGCACGATCCACTGCAGCAATGGGCGCAGGGTTGGTGCGCGCAATTCAGCTCAATGGAGGGGTTGTTATCGTGAGGCAACGAGGGTTCGCACCGTGAGGGCATAGTCAGGCAGTAAGGGCGGGATACAGGAGGCTGCGTTACCCGTGCGGGGTGGAGGGCAAAGGTAAAGAAAATATATTCAATGGCTAGGCCAAAACCAACCCGGCGGGGAGGGGATCGGGGGCAGGGCACGACCCGCTGGATCTCCGTGGCTCTCCGTGTGCTTTGGATTGCTCAACAGAACCCGGGACGTACCCGGTCGTATTGCTTGCATGGGACGCTCTCCCCCACCGCATCCAAGACCTGCACATGTCCGGGAGGAACCGGGGAAGAGGTTGCGCGGCAGGAACTGTGTGGGGTTCTCACACCAGGCAGGAGGCTTACAGGCGAACACAGGAGGCAACCTGCAGGCCCGCAACACCAAATCCTTTGTTGGCGAAGAGAGAGCTACATGGCACGGAGGCCATTCGGGGGGAATACTGTACGGAAAGAAGGAGGCGACACGTACAACAGCCATAAGGAGCCGTACAGCTGCCGTACCTGCTTAAGAGGGTTGGGGCTGCCATCCCCGGGCGGACCACCAATACCCAGGAAGAATGAGGGCCCCGCATCAAACGTGTAGCCGCCTACCTCGAACGAGTGCGCCGCGCCACCTGTGCAATGATGTTGGTGCGCTGGTTGTGTTGGCACCGGTATGTGGCGGTAGTGACGAAACGGAGTACCAAGTGCGCATGTCAATTACATGGAGTTGGGTACCTCGTAGATATGCAGAATACCGCCTTTGAAGGGCCTGAGCAGTGCTGGGTAGCACGCTGTGATCTTTGAACGGGCTTGCTTACTCTATGGATAGTCGGCAAGAGCCGCTGACGGTGGCGGTGAGGGGATTTGCGTCATAATGCAGTAAGCAAATCAGCAACCGTAAACATCCTTACCAGGCAGATAGTGCGACTCGCACACAGTGACACGGTAGCCGTACTTGGCAAGAAGAGCCGCGCAGCAAAGACCTGTAGAATTTAGGAAGCGAATGACATGGTGATTATCAGCACGGCCACGTTCTTCCCAATGCTAATGCGGATGCAGAACGAAACCTTGACGATATCTTCAGAAGCTTTACAATTGCGTCCCTGGCTCTTTTAAGTATCGACATTAGCGTCGAGCCGTCGACCCAACTGCTCGGCGATGCCCCAGATGGAACCTACCGCCGATGCCAGAACCAACAATCACAAAGTCCGTTTCATGATTGCGGTTTCTACTCGGCAGCGTCGATGCCCGGCTTCGTGTGTTCTCGGGCGTTGGGTTGGCACCGGTTGACCTGTCAACTGGCGCAGCAACAGCGCAGCTGACCAGTCTCTTCCCACATGGTACTTGTATATGTCTTCCTGTATGTTGAAAGTAACTTTGTGGCCTAGCCAGTCGCAGGTCTTCTAGCTTGTTTGGAACAGACGGATACTTGCAGGATCGCTGAGTTATGTACATCCTGAAAGCTAAGAACTCAAAAGACTGTGAACAAAAGTATCTACCTCTGTAGCCCCACACAAGGCAAGAAGTTCGGTATATCTACCGACGTGAAGCAGTACCGTGCTGTGGCTACGAGTGGGCAGCATTCAAAGGAGAGCACAGCACAGCGCACGGACAGCAGCTGTTACCTATTGCTTTTGCTGCCTCTGTCGGCGGCAAACTTTCATCAACAAGGCTATAATGCAACAAACAGCACTTCATAGTCAGCCTTCAAGAAAATAGAGAAGGAAATGCCGCGGCGCAAAATGCTTCACAAGGCTCGTTGCGAACGCTCGTAGTGTAGTAAACATTTGTTAAGCACCGATATAACATGTATGGACTAGCCCACCGAGCGCTTCAGCTCCTTCGGGACCGGGAAACCCAGCTTGAGGATGATGTTGGAGAAAGCAGGCGATCTAGACATGTAAGCTGTTACCGCCATCTCATAGCCCCAGTCAAGTTGTTAAGGATGCATCAGGCGGATGGTGCTGCGCACGTTGCTGCCACTTTTCCTAATAACATTGCATTCCGTTTTGCTTGTAGGCGCGCGGCGCTGCTAAATCGCGGACTACGTGGACATGGGTAAAGCCTTGTCCACTTAGCAGCACTCTTTCATTACTTGATTACTGTTCGGTTGTGGCTCATGGGCCACTGCATAGGCCCAATGACCTCCCGTTCCAACCCAGCCCCGCCCTCAGCTCCTAGCTGCGTCCTTTTCGCACCGTGTTGCTCTTCATTCCCTAAGGTCCTGATTTCCCTACTGCCTGTTGCTCTGTGCCATGGGCTCGTTACGTGGACCCTACAAACGTTCCAATCCACCCCTACCGGTGCACTGCTTCGCTGTCCTCCGAACGTCTCCCCTAACTTCTATTGATTCCCCACTGTCTTTCCATCTAACCGCAGGTAATGGCTCAGGTGTTAGACCTGCTGAGGCAATACCCAGGGGGGCTTGCGGTGAGCTGGGTCCCAGCACCTGCGGTTAACAGCGAAACAGTGTGAAGTCCCAGCGCCTTGGGGTAACATGAGCACAGCACAGCTATGCCGTCATTACGTTCTGCATTAGCTCGCGAGCAGTTACGACTGGTCCTCGAAAAAGTGACCTCTATGCCAGGCATCTCCACCTACCGGTAGTTGGTTAATCCACGCGGATGTGTTGCCGTAAGCCATAAACCCGTTACGTATCCCAATTACTCGCCACGCATGTGGCTGTACGGCAATCCTTCATGGTGACCCTTTGCTTTGCTACAGCTAGACAGCCCCCACGATGCTTTCTATCCCTCCGCCCCCTGACCGCGTTGCGCTGCACAGTTTATTTTAAACACCACATTGCTGTTGTGTCCGTTGTACCCATGCAAACGGCGCGTGTAGGAGTCCTCCATGATGACCGAGCTGCTGTCACGGAGGATGCGCAAGCAGGTAAGGAGCCTGGTGGGGCGGGGAGCTGGTGGGGAGCTGGTGGGGCGGGGAATCTCTAGGCGCTGTGTAACCCTGCCTGCTGGCCGGCCGGCCGCCGCCCGTCCAAGCATGTACCGCCCGTCCAAGCATGTGCCCTAGATGAAGTTTGTCGAGGTTTGCTGAGGGGCCTTTTCTTGGCTTCTACCCTCTTGTTTCCCTCCTGAGGTTTCTTTTAGGGCTATGTCTCCCATCTTGTTGGCCTGTTGTGGTGCTGTCTCTACGGTTTGTTCCGTTTCTTTTGCAATGTAGGGTTGGGTTCATCATCCGTGTTCCCTTTTAGGGCACCATTGTAACGATCATTCATTCATGTACCGCGTGCAAGGTTGCGGGGTAGGGTCCGAGGCAGGGCCCGAGGATGCGGATGAGAGCCAGCTCTCGGGGTGCCGATCTGCGGAAGCGTTGAAGTACAGGAGGCTACCCATGTAGGCGTTGTCCCTGCTGCCTGCACGCATGCCGGGGGCTATCACACCATCAACCACCACCACTGTTGTGTCCCTCTCACAGGGCAAGCCCGACTGCGCGACGGCAGCGGCGGCTGGGGGGCTTCCTTGGGACAGTGCCGACGGGGCCACCAGCCTCAATGACGGGGCCAGCGGCAACATGAGGAGCGGCCCTAAGAGGGATGGCAACAGTGGCGGCGATGGAAGGCCCTCTGGGTGCCTACTACAGCCCCCGGCCTTGGGAGGCAGCCCAGCAGCAAGAACAACAGCAACAACTCACGGTGTTGACGCCACGGGTGGTGTCGGTAGTGGTGGTGGTGGCTGCACCAGGCTTCCCGGGCAGATTTCGTTGCTGGCGTTGGCGGCAGGAGGTGCGTTGTGCGGGTTACGGCACGCATGTATATTGTTAGCCCTTTGTTTGAAAGATGTATTCGCAACCTCCTTCCTTGCGCGTAACCTATCCTGTCAGCGTTTTTGCCGCCAAGGGACGTGTCACTTATTCACCAGGGCCCGTGCGTGCATGACGCGTTACTTAACCACGGATAGCCCAACCTTCCCTCCTGGCAAGAGTATCTTGGCGACCGCGTACGTCCCAATCCACGCCTCTCTCTTGGCAGTGATATCCTGTTGTGCACCGTGCAGGTCGCGCGGCGGCCTCTGTGTCCCGCAGCGAGCAGCTGCAGCAGCACCAGGGGGCTGCGGCAGCTGCTCCCCCGCCGGTGGCAGTGGCCTCGGTGGCGTTTGTGGAGTGCCTGAGGGAGCCGCTGGGATCAGGTGGGTGACGCCGCTGGGGGTAAGGTGGGATAGAGGGAGGAGGAGGAGGAGGAAGAGGAGGAGGAGGAGGAGGAGAAACTTATATGTCTGAAGCACACCGAGGTTGAAGGCGGAAAGTACGCACGCATTGGAGGATGTCCCATGACCTGTCGGGGACTTTGGGTAACACGTTTCAGCGATGTGCGAATGGATGCACGCCCGACAAGCTGTGGTGAATGCATGCCTGGGCCGTTACAATAAGCATGAAGGGTTCAGGAAGCTCTAAACTCACAGGGAGGAGGGAGTAGCGGGGCGCGTGACACATGCGCCATCTGGGCTTTTCCTCCTTTCCACACGGCGCCTTGTCATTCCCACTAACCCTTGCTCCTCTCCTCCTGTACGCTGCCTTTCCAGGTGCGCCCTACGAGACTGCGGGTGGCAGCTGGCTGCTTCACCTTGCGGACGCGGACAGTGGCAGCAGCAGTAGCGGCAGTGGCAGCGGGGGAAGAATGCCGGGAGCAGGAGCAGGGGGGCAGATACGTGGCGGTGGTGCCGGTGATGGTAGTGGTGCTGGGGGCGCAGGAGGAGGAGGCACAGCGGTGCCCATGTACCTGCACAGCGAGTTGAGGCTGCTCGTGATGGGGAGGCTGCCGTTGCTGGCAGGTACGTCCCTTATCGTCCTTGGAATACCGCCCTCCATTCTCGCCGTTCTCAGCTCTCCACGCGATTCTATCTGCCACCGATGTGAACCCCGGCCGGCCGCCCCACCTCGCCTTCCCATCCTTGCCCCCCGCCCCAACCACCCCCCGCAGCTGGACGGCGGGTTCGCATCGCAGCAGTGCCCCCTCGCACCGGCCCTGCAGCCGCCAGCCCCATGGTGGGTGCACCTTTACAGGGTCGGGTGGTTGTTGGGTTCTTACTTCTTAGCCCCTCGGACCTAAGGGGCACACGAACTCCTCCCTCCCCCTCCTGTTCCGCTACTGGGCCTAGCATCTCCTGCAACTCAGTCTCACGTCCTTGTCTGTAATGCTGCCAACCCGCTCCCGGCCAGCTGGGGCCTGCGCATGTGCTTCTGGCAGGAGTCTCCCTGCCCCTGTCGCAAACGTATTGCGCCTCCTGCTGCTGCCCACTCCTTCCTGGCAGGCTTCCCGGCTGCTGCCCACTCGGCACCTGGTCCCGGAGCTGCCCCCCTCCTGGCTGGCTGGGGGCTGCTGGCCGCATGTGGACGCGCTGAGACACGGAGGCAGTGAGCCCTGGAGCCTGCAGGCGGTGGGTTCGCAGTCGCATCAGTCGCGGACTTTGTGAGGTGCTGTGACGCGCTAGATGGCTTAGTAAGGCGACCAGGAGTCCGGTCCTGAGCGAGGGCTCGTGGGCAACACGTTAAACTCGGTCCGCCTTCGCCAAGACCGCCATACTACTGTCCTGCTACAGGAAATTGCGCTTTCGCACCACGGCTCAAGTACCCCTATGCTTTTGCCTATCCATGATCACCGCTTAACTGGCCGTACTAATGTGCTGCCTTGTCTGGCCGTACCTCGGTGTTCCTAACTGTGGCCAACACCAGGCCAATGAGGACGCTGCCGCCTCGCTGGCTCCCGGGTGCTGCAAGGTGGCCGAGGGCTGGGTGCTGGCGCGGGTGGCGGCGGTGGAGCCGCACCCGCCCGCAGAGGGGGGCGCGTACGACCGACACAGGTGGGTTTTAAAAGGATACCTGCCGCAAGCCGGGATGTACTGTGATTGCCGGACGATGAATGGGTGTGCGCATGTGTCATTGTATGAGGTGTGGCGTGTGGGGTGGTGGACGGTGCCGTGGCGTCCCTCAAAAGCTGCATGTGTGTGGTGTTGCGGTGGAGCCGACGGAAGGCCAGCTGAGGTACTCCGGCTTACTCTGTGGCGTCACTTTGCATGCCGCATCCTCATGTATTCATGAGCTCATGCAACGGCACTTTGCATGCGCGAAGGAACGAAGGCTAACACGCATGTACATACGTAATGAAAGACTCATAGTTCTTCCATATCCCCGTGTTACTGCCACAGGCAGAGAACCGTACATCTAGTCAACCCCGCGCTGCCATCAACAACGTTGCCATCAACCGCCAGCAGTTGTACGACAACCTTCACGCTATACGGCGATGCCGTAGCAATGGGAGATCTGATCCTGCCGGGAGAAACGATTGCCGTATATCAGCCCCTGGTCATGGTCCAGGCCTCATCCGCCAGGGCTGTTGTTAACAACCTGGAGGACGAACGACAACAAGATGCGCGTACGGCGGCGCCTGTCGTATTGTACGAATATACACCGGAGACCCTTGTGGTTGTGCTGCCGACGACGGAACGGACAACGGAGGCAAGTGCAACCGGGCTTGCGGTTATGGGGCAACAACAACAACAGCAGCAGCTGCAGCAGCAGCAGGCCTCAGTATACAATCACCCGTCGGAACAAGAGCCCCTTCACGCCGTGTCGGGTTTAGGTTGCTTCTCATCCTCCTCTCCACAACCTGCTACTGCCGCTGCCGCTGCTGCCGTTACGAGTCCTGCAACACGTACTGCTAGTGGTACGGCAGTAGCGCTTGCAGGACGCGTAAGCCCAACAGCTACTCCTGTCGTACACTTGGCATCCACTACCGCTGCTACCACTGCTGACGTCGCCGCCGCTGCTACAGCCGCCCTGGCAGTCCCTCCCGGCTGCCGTACAGCGGTTGTAGCGCGTGTAGAGGCGCTGCTGGGGTTCAATCACGGCGCATCTATAAACAAAGGGTAAGTGCACCTCCCGTCGCATGGAACTGAACGGCTACGGCTACGGGTATAGTACGAAGCCCAGGTTGCGTGAAATCGTCGTGGGCAACTGTTGTGCACCGCACCCCGTTAACCTGGCTAGGGCTGCGATACATGGGTGGGAGTTGAATTGCTGTATGCGCTGGAAACGAATCTGGATCACCATCCACACGGGCACGGTTGGGGGAATGCGTTCCCCGCGGAATGGGACAGGCACTTCTGAATGGGAGGGCTCCACCAGAACCCATGGGACTGGAAATCATTGGTGCAAAGTGGTGCCTGTACGGGACGTTGCCGTACGATTGCAGGGGTCGTGTACGAGCGCTGCTGAGCGACGGTACGGGTCGTGCTGCTGTGGAGATGCACCTGGAGAAGGGGAGCAAGGTACGATGCATGTGGTTTATATCAATTGAGCCGCGTAACTACATTGCACTGAACTTCACGTGCAGTGCGTTAGGACAATCGGTAATGTACGGGGGCCCTTCCTCCGCATGCTAACAAGCAAGCATGCGTCTTACTGCCAGGAATGACTTGGCAGTGCACAGTCCCCGCGATTCGCAACATGCATGCTTGTCACAGACGATTCCATTTCCAAACCTTGAAGCCCTCCGCAACGTTTCTTGCGCCTGTTCGTCTCCCGCAACAGGCCCCTAGCCACCTTCGGGAGGGTCACATTATCGTGCTCCTAGGTGCCGTACCGCTACCAACCGTCAGCTCAACCGCCATGACTCTGGCCTCCCTAGCGGCAGCCACCCAACCACGGCAACAATCACAGCAGCAGCAGCAACAGCAGCGTCCACAACAACACCCGCAGCAGATGCAGCAGCAGCTACACCGGCAAGGTTCGTTTGGCGACGACGGCGGCAGCAACATTGGAGGACATAGAGGATCAGCAGGCGTGCAGCCGCTGTCATCCTCAGCAAAACTGCCTGTCGTATTGCCCGCGTTCGTGTGGGTCGAGGCGGCAGACGGTAGCGAGGTGCACAGCCTAACAGCCATGCCTGCCCAAGTCACCACGCCCTCCCTGGTGTCGTACACCTCATTAGCTGCCGTACAGCTCGCGACTTCTTCGCTGCAGCTCCGAAGCCCTGGTGTTGTCCTTCCATCGTACCATTCGTACGGCAACCTGCCGACGCAGTACCACCCACCTGGCAACTATTACCAGCACCAGCATCACTACCAGCAGCAGCGGGGCGCTTGCCACCAGCAACAACAGGGCTTCAGCATCGCTGGCGCCAGCAGCAGGCCTAGCAGCCCCAGTAGTAGCGGCGGGGGGAGCAGGAATGGGAGTACGTGCGGAGGCAGCTGGCCCGCGGGGCAGTTTGATGCCCTTGCGGCCGCGACCCGGCAAGTGCCGGATACGAGATCCGCATGGGGCCGCGATGTGCCGTACGTGCGTCAACCGTACATTGGAACAACGACGGCGGTAGCTGCCTTCTCTGCTGCTGACACTGCCACTGCAACCAGTCCTGTGTTTATGACAACTGGCGGGGGCCGCGCCATCCGGCATGTCACAAGTCCGTCTGCATTGACAACAACAGGGCCCAGGCCAGGGCCAGCTGGTTTCGGTGCCACTGCCACTGCTACTCCCTGTACGGCTGCTGCTGCCGGTACGGCACGTGGTTCTTCACCACCAGCCTCTCCTTTAGCGTCATCTCCCGGTGCGGCAGGGGCAGCTGCAGCTCCGAAACCGGATGGGCTGTGTGGGGCGGTCGCGTGCGTGGTGGTGGTTCGAGCAGCGGATGTGGCGACGCATCGAGTACACAGGTGCGTGTCTTACGGGGGTTTGTTTCTGGACACTGACACAGACACAGTAGGTTAGCTTGATTAAACGGCTGATGCCTTCGAATCTTTGGGTCCAGGTGGGTGAGGGCTGTGCTTGGGTTTGAAGTGAGGAGGTCCCCGCCACATGAGGGGCGTGCTGGTCAGCAAATGAGGGTGACAGCAGCCGTTGTTACCTACCTCGACTCACACGCGCTCCCAGGAACTGCGGGCGGCCGGTAGTTCGCTCCTCGGCCATGATGGACATCGACTTTGCCGATTTTGACGACGATGATGATGACTGCGATGGTGGTGGTGGGGCTGGCGGAGGGGCTGCTGGTGTAACCCCGGCAGCGGTGTCCGTGCCCCCTGGCCCTGCTGCTGCTGCTGCTGCTCCCTCCGCCGCCCAGGATACCCCCAGCAAGGACCAATCCATGGTACGTGCTGCAACGCAGCTAATGCCCAACAGGTGCATTTCGTGACCATGAGCTTGAACGGGTATGGGCGTTGGGCGTGTCGGCGTCTGTACCGGGATGTCGTACTTTGTTGTCGAGCCCCGTATCTCAGCCGACCCAAATCGCCAACCACGCAACTTGGCATTCCCTGTGTGTCAGGACGGCTTGTGGGAGTGCGAGTTCTGTAAGGTGGATGCGGTGAAGGAGGAGCTCGAGTGGCAGTACCACGGGTCGCTCACGCTGGAGGATGTAGTGCAGCCGTACAACCCGCCTAGTACGACAACCACCACAATGTCGTCGATTGCAAATCGAAGTTCAGGAGGGGGAGCATCAGGAGCGGGGTCGCAGTTATCCGTAGGGACGGTACCTGCGGCAGCAACAGCAGCCGCTGCAGCAGCGCATGCAGCAGTAGCAGCCGCTACTGCGGCCGGCAATGCCCCTGGGTTCGCTGCAACATCGTCCGCAGCTATAGCTGCTGCTACGTTGACGCTGCCCGCCGATCCCGCTGCGTTGCAGGTGGGATGGGCTTATAAAATGGGACCGGAGCTACGTGCCTGGCCGCTTGTTGCACCATGTTTCTTACCTTGTCCTCAATGGGTGCCTACCTGTCATGCATGCTTCGTACAACCAGCCACTCATACCTTGCCGCATGTGCCCGCTACCCCTGCTTTTTATCTATGTGTGTGTACCGCAGGGCCTGCTGGGCGTCAGTGCGGCTGCATTCCACTCCTTGGCTACTGCCCGGCGGCGCAAGGTGGTCGAGGTGAGAGGCGCGACCCACGGGTCAGCGAATTAAGAGCCACAGCCTGCGTGCGACATGCTTTTTCTCCTTTGTCCTGCGTGCTTACAGTACTGCCATGCTGTTAATACATCCCTCCTTTACCGCCCCCTTTTTCTCTTTCTGTGTACCTCTTGCAGTCGCACACAGAGAAGTCTGCTAACTCATCTCCCTGCCCTCCCTTGTCCATATTCAATGCCCACTCCTTAAACCTCGAAGCCACCATATCATGGACGGCACCCTTTCCTCTGCCTGATACGCGATGCAGTTCCCAACCCCGTCCCTTTCATCCTTGGGAGCCGCTCTCTCCCCTTCCTGCATAGCCCATGACTTAACGGCCCTTCTCCGTTATTCTGCATTACTTTCTTCCAAGCCAATTCCCACTCTGCCTACCTAACTCACTGTCCCCACGCGCAGAGCCGGCTACTGGACCGGAGAGGCGCTCCCAAGCGCTGTGTGGTGTCCATCTACCCCAAGCCACCGCCCCTGGGAGGCGCAGATTCAGCGGATGGAGTGTCAACGGCGCTCAACTTCGGCGGGGGAGTGGGCGAAGGCGGTAGTGCTGGATGCTCATGCCCTGACCCGGCGCGGTTTTGGGCGGTTGCGCAGTTGCATGAAGTCGAGTGAGGGAGAGGCAGGAGCCAAGAAGGAATGGGGTGGGGCAGGGCAGTAGTTGCATGCAATGGCGCAGGGCTATGGCGGGAGTCGTGGCAGCGGCGCTTGAGGAGGAGGATGTCTGGAGAAAAGCCTCCTCCATCGGAACTGGCCCGTTGCGGGGCCTCTCCGGTGGCAACGGCCCTTTTCGTGGCGCTGATGTGGGTAGCTAGTGGCAGTGGTGGAGGCAGAGGCTTGTATTGGCAACCTCTGGTGCGTTAAGAGTCACAAATTCCAGCTAGTTACGTCGTTCCACGCAGACCGATGCAACCTTGACACCGCCACACGCCATCCTGCGACCTCGCCGCCAACAGCCTTATACGCTAAACTCCATGACACTCCTGAAGAAACTTGCACACGCCACGTACGGCACACCGTGATGCAATGCACGGTAAGCACGCATGGTATCTGTGATGAGCTAGGCGTCTAAGATTTAATCCCACAGTTTTTACGACAAAAAAAGAAGAAGCAAACGCTAGCCGCAATCACACATTACAGCAACTGCAATTAGCATGTGCCAGCAGGGCACGATCGGAACAGAGATTACGTGCAGCAAGCTTGAGAGAGTGCTGGGTAAATAAAGTTAGTCACGTTCCTCAAAAGCGGAACGTTTCATGCACGATGTTGCATGAAACTGCATTAATGCAACAACTAAATTCTCCATAGCGCTGTCTTGCAGCACCCTCAATCCGCACGACACCCTGGCGCACAGCCCAGTTGCCATGCATGCATGAATCATGCACGGTATTACGCTTCGCACTCTTGGCCTGCTGTTCTGTCGTTCCATTTAATAATGCGTTCAGTCGTTTCATAGTGTATGCTGACTGCAGCCACACACCGCTAATGCGCCCGCAGCAGCTGCCGATGCATCGTGGCAATAAGCTCCATCACCACCATGGGCACCACGTAGGGGTAGTGCCGGCCGTCGGACGACTGGCTGGCCCAGCACTGCCCCTCGGTCAGCGCATACGCATCCACCACACCCACATGGTCCCCGCGGGCCCTCAGCTCCTTCTCCTCCCTCAGCGCCAGGAGCATGCGTCTCCGAAGGCTTGCGGTGCCGTGACCCACGAACAGGCCTTCTCGGCAGGCATAGGACAGGGCGGGGATGTTGCCCAGCAGCGGCCCGGCGGTCATGTTGACGATCTCCACGCATTGTCGCAAGAAACCTTCGGGGTCGGCGGCAGCCTCTTTGAGGGCATCGGCATAGGGACCCTGGCGGTCGTGGGAAAAACGGACGTGGCCGGGCAATGCATAGATTTGTTTGGAGCGAGAGGGATGGAAAGGAACGGACAGATAGTGTAAGGCAACTGTTTGCTTGCATGGCAGGTGTGACGTTTGAGGAAGCACACTGGGAGCATGTGGGCCGGCTTCCACACGTGGGCGCTCCGCTAGGTAAACGCATACCCGTCACACACATGACACCCTCGATCAGCGCATCATAGCGGGGTTTCAAGCACCCCTCAAAACCTACTCACCCGGAAGTTGGACTCGCAGACGTGGTTGGAGGTCATGAAGATCTGCGGGGACCCCGGGTACAGCTGCGGGGAAGCAGGCAGGTCGTGCGGGTAGGTGGAGGGGAGGGGGAGGGGATCAGCACGGGAGCTGCTGGGCGCAAGCGAGCCGCCGCGTCTGGCCTAGGCGCAACCCGAGTGGACTCACCCGTGCCGCTGCCCGTGAGAATTCCTGTATCGTCTCAACGTATCCGTATTGCTGCTGCAGACACTCGAAAGGCCGAGCACGACCCAGATGCATCAGGTGAAGCCTGGATGGTGGCGAGCAGGAGGACCCATGTCAATGGCTGGACGTAGGTCGGTCAGGCTTCCACCGGCGTACAGGAGCACGAGCTGGGTGAATAGCAGCAATGTGGCCTCGCTCCCAGCATTCATCACAGCCTCTCAACACTCCTAGCTACCCCCTAGCAATCCCAACCTTTGCGGTGATTGCGGAAACGACACCGTTTAAAGGATACCCTACCCGCAATTGAGGTAGAGCACAAGCTGCGTTTCGGTGTCCGCGTCCACGTCTGCAGCCACAGACTTTACCGGTAATGCCTGTGTCCCTGCATTGCTCGTAGCTTGCCCCCTTGCAATGACCCAATCTTCTCCAGCCATAATCGCCGCCTCCCGTAGTAAGCCACTGCCCACCGTCGCAGCCTCTGATGTGGCGGCTGGCGTTGCTGCGGTCAGCACTACTGGCTGCGCAGGCGATGACTGACCCACGGTTCGCGGCTTCCAAGCTGGAGGGTTTTCCTTGCCCGTTGGGTCTGTATCGCGGTGCAGCAGGTAGGCTAGGCGCCCCGTGTCACAGCAGCTGTTGTCGATGAACGTGACGCGGATGTTGAGTTCACTGTTGTAGCAGCTGCTCTCGTGTTCGTCGTGAAGTGCGTTAACGTCTGTAGGGCGGCGGGACATTGTTATGGGCATGACAGTAGTTAGGCGAGGATAACGCGGCCATGGGAGGATGCCAAGTGCATGAAGGAGCGTGCGGCACGATGGGCGAATAGCAGCTGCGTTGGCAGACTTGTACTTCTACGTCACTTCCCTATTGCTTGCATTAGCCAGCACTGCAAGATACAAGCGGAGCCTCACCAAGAGCCCATTTTCCCCGCATGAAGCCCGGTTGAAGAATGTTACATAGGAAGTTTTTCTGTTGGCGGAATGAACTTCAGGTATCCAATGCGGAGGGTAAACGGGCACAGGAATTGGGTCTCTGAGAGTTCCAAGACAATTTGCATCCAGGCAAGCTATGGACGGTACCCCGTGTCGGACTTTCCGTAGGGCTTTACACACACACGGCTTCGCTCTTTCACAAGCAGGGCCGTACCTCATTACAAAAAGCGCAATATCTATTTGGGGAATAAAAGTGCTCAAGCATGCCCGTAAACGCTTTTAAGCCACCCAGCAAGGCTGCACGTGATCATCCGCTGGCCAGCGCTGTGTAGCCGCACACAGCAACGGACTGAAAGACCGACTACAAACAAAGTATGAAATACACAGATGAACTAGTTTATTACAGTCTGCTCAGGAATATGCACACCTGTCGCCGTTCATGTAAATGTGAAGTTGGCCGTTTCCCCGAGCGTCTTGCAACGCACAAAGCATGGTCCGCGCATATGTACTCCATATATGCACCCATGCCTGCTTTTGAGAGGGTGAGACGGCATCAAACTCAGCTATAAGCGGTTGCAGCTGTTGAGAATCTGCCCCAGCAGGCGCTTGTGAAAGGACGCGACCGCCGCAGGCCAAGATGCATAGGAAAAAAGCAAAAGACACCAGGTTTAGGTGCCCGCTATTGTCCATAGTAACACGGTACTGGTATATCTTTGCGAAGTCTGCCCGGGCTGCCTTGGACGTAAAGCATATTATGATACAACAAATAAAGCTCCACTAGTACCGGTAGTCAATACAAATGAACCTTTAGTCTTTTTCATAGCAATCGCTAATCGGGAACGGGCTTCAGAGCTGTATCGTACGGCCTTCTGCGTGCTTATAGGAGCAATGGATTCCGATCAGGAATCTTCCAATTTATCGAGCGCCATGCTCAATACCTTGCACCTTGCTTGACCAATCCGGGCTCAGTGGCTTGTTCGCCGCACAGTAGGTACGTTAGTTAAAAGCTGCAGCTTCCTCTTTTTGCCAAGTCCTGCCACTCCTTGTTTCGACTAAATATGGTTTGTCCACAGAGCGCATTTCGGCGGTTGGTATGAGCGAGGCTCATACCGGTACAGTCTGGATGACATGACGACGACATGACGACGGTTTTGGATACCATGGTACACAGACCGTAAACGTTTGTTCGGTCGCTATGCACGTTTACAGTAATGTCGCCGAGGCCATCCTCCGGGCCTGATCTTCACCCTGCCTCACAGTCGAATATTCCTCACAGTTGAATATTCCCCCGAGAGGTTGGGGTAGAATACCTAGACAACACCCTTTCCTAGCAACTGATAACAATGGTTCAGTGGTGTATAAACCACCACCAGGTGAATAAAACGTTATCCCTTACTTGAAGAGGGACAATTGATCCCAATGACTTAAGTTTGTGGCATGGTCTATAAGGCCCAAAGGGTTGTGCGTCGCACCTGAGACGTTCGGACTCCCCTGTAAAAATCGCATACACTCACAGTCTACTGTTCCAGCGCATGACATCCTTGGAGCAAAAAAATTCCAATCGCCACGTACGACACACCGTGGTGCTATACATGATTTATACATGCAAGGTATCAAGCTTCGCAATCCTCATTTGTTAAAAGCTAGGCGTCGAAAGTTTCATCCTGCGCAAATACGAAAGGAAGCAAACGCTGACTGCAGCCACACACCGCTAATGCGCCCGCAGCAGCTGCCGATGCATCGTGGCAATCAGCTCCATCACCACCATGGGCACCACGTAGGGGTAGTGCCGGCCGTCGGACGACTGGCTGGCCCAGCACTGCCCCTCGGTCAGCGCATACGCATCCACCACACCCACATGGTCCTCGTGGCCCCTCACCTCCTTCTCTTCCCTCAACGCCAGGAGCATGCGTCTCCGAAGGCTTGCGGTGCCGTGGCCCACGAACAGGCCTTCTCGGCAGGCCTGGGTTAGGGCGGGGATGTTGTCTAGCAGCGGCCCGGCGATGGATGTCTTGTTGGATACCGCCACGCATTGTCGCAGGAAGCCCTCGGGGTCGGCGGCAGCCCCTTTAAGGGCATCTTCATAAGAACCCTGGTAGGTCGTGGGAAGAGCGGACGGGGCCGGGCAATATATACGTGGGTGTAGAGGGGAACGTGATGGGAGAGGTAAGGAAAAAACAAAACAGGTAATAAGAACAGGTAATAAGAGGCAATTGTCGCTTGCTTGGCAGGTGTGATGTGCGAGGAAGCACGCTGGGTGCATATCAAAGCGCATCTTTGCTTTCATAGAGGGATGACTAACTTCTCACCGCTCACAACAGTGTCCTTACCCGGAAGTTGGACTCGCAAACGTGGTTGGAGGTCATGAAGATCTGCGGGGACCCCGGGTACAGCTGCGGGGAAGCAGGCAGGTCGTGCGGGTAGGTGGGGGAGAGGGGGAGGGGATCAGCACGGGAGCGACTCGCCACTGCACCTCAAGTTCCTCAAGCAAGCGGCATCCGCGTTGCACTTGCGGTGAGGCAGGGCTTGCGGAAGTTGCATCGACCTCCTGGCCTAAGCGCAACCCTCAGCTCCCAGAGCCAGTAGCAAGGGGACTCACCCGTGTCGCTGCCATTGAGAATTCCTGTATCGTCTCAACGTATCCGTATTGCTGCTGCAAACACTCGAAAGGTCGAGCACGACCCAGATGCATCAGGTGAAGCCTGGATGGTGGCGAGCAGGAGGACCCAAGTCAGCGGCTGGACGTAGGTTGGTCTGGCATCCACCGGCGTACAGGAGCACGAGCTGGGTGAATAGCAGCAATGTGGCCTCGCTCCCAGCATTCGCCACAGCCTCTCAGCCCTCTTAGCAACCTTCTAGCAATTTGTGTGTTGTGAAACAAACGCTATACCCTACCCGCAATTGAGGTAGAGCACAAGCTGCGTTTCGGTGTCCGCGTCCACGTCTGCCTCCTTTGTCGCCATCTTCGCTTTGCTTATCACCGTCGTTTCTGCCTGCCGCCTTCCTGCCTTACTCGCAGCCGTCGGTGCTGCCTTGCTCGCAGCTTGCATACCTCCAATGGCCCTTTCTGTGCCAGCGGCATTCGCCGCCTTCCGTTGCATGCCCGGGCCCGCCGTTGCCGTCGCAGCTGCTGATGTGGCGGCTGGCGTCGCTGCAGCGAGCACTGGCTGCTTAGGCGACGACTGACCCATGGTTCGCGGCTTCCAAGCTGGAGGGTTTTCCTTGCCCGTTGGGTCTGTATCGCGCTGCAGCAGGTAGGCTAGGCGCTCCGTGTCACAGCAGCTGTTGTCGATGAACGTGACGCGGATGTTGAGTTCACTGTTGTAGCAGCTGCTCTCGTGTTCGTCGTGAAGTGCGCTGTTGTCTGCAGGGCGGCATGAAGTAGCGTTTAGCATGAATAATTGGGCGGGAACAGGGGAGCCAGAACGACTCTAGTGCGACGCACAACCCTATAGGGCCTTAGGACGTGGCCATGGGGATACGACATTTGAGCGAGGGAGCGTACAGCACGAAAGGCAAATAGCACCTGCGTTGCCGCTCTTGTGCTTCTACTTCATTTCCCTAGCCAGCACTGCAAGGAACAAGTAGCTCTGAAAAGGTACAGCCTCACCAAGTGCCCACTGCCCCCGCATGAAGCCCGGTTGAAGAATGTTGCACAGGAAGTTTTTCTGCTGGCGGATTGTGCTTCAAATATCCAATACGGGGGAAACGGGCAAGGATGAGGGATATACGTGAGCGTCAAGGCAAAGCAGATCCTAGGATGGTTACTTGGAACACGCAACGCGGAACCTAAAGGCATCGAGAGAAAAACTGGAGGTCCCATATAGCTGACACCGATCTGTTCCTACCACGCTATTACGGCTTGTGGAATTGGCTCACCTGTCGCCATTCATGTAGATGTGAAGTTGGCCATTCCCCCGAGCGTCCTGCAACGCGCGCAGCATGGTCCACGCATATGTGGACCACATAGACAGCCATATTCCCCTTTGAGAGGGTGCGACGGCGTCGAAATCAGCTAGGAGTGGTGGCTGCAATTGAGAGCCCTCCCCAGGCGCTTTTAACAGGACGCGACCGACGCAGGCTGAGAAGCATAGGAAGAAAGAAAGAGACACCGTGATAATGCGTCTGCCATGGTCCATTTTACAGCGACCAGTTTGCTGCGTCTCTCTGTCTGCCCTAAGGAGGAATGGATGCTGCGTCCCTCTGTCTGCCTGACAAGGAATGGCCGCCAAGTGTAATTTGAATAGGTTATGCAACAACTTCGTATATGATGCGGTTGAATACCGGTACAGGTGGCCCCGGGTATAGTGAGACACCTTTGCACTTACACGGCTCGCAAATTTGATAGAAAGCACGAAACGAAGGCGAATTTGCGGCAATGTCTAGCCCTATGAGTCCTTCGTACGGCGTAGTAAGCGCGGCCTGCAAAGTTAAGCCTATCACACTGACACTCACATTATTCGAGACGAGGTCACAATGCGCTCATTTTCCGAAAACCGGGGTAATCTGAGACACCTGATTTCAGCACTAAAACAGCCTCAAAAAGCGACTAGAACGCATTGCCTTGCGGCATATTAACGTCATATATCATTAACAATATAATAAGCAGCCGGAAACCTGCCAATGGTCACAAGCCCTGCTTCACAAGGTGAGATCCGCATCACATCATCATGTGCACAGCTCCACTCGTCCACTGACACCGATTCGCATTGTCACAATATGAACTGATAAATATGTATGATAAGAAACCTGCTTATGCAATGCGCGCTCTCTCCCGGCTCTCCTTGAGACAAGCCTCAGGCCTCCTCGCTGCCCACACTCATGCCGCTCGGCTCACTGACTTCCGACTCAGAATCACTCTTCTTCCCACGACCCTTCCCGCGGCCCCTCCCACGACCCCTCCCCCGGCCCCTCCCGCCACCCCTGCCACTGGCACCGGCCCTGCCACCCCCGCTGCCACTGGCACCGGCACTGCCACCACCCCTCCCACTGCCACCGCCACTGCCGCCACCCCTGCCACTGGCACCGGCACTGCCACCACGACCGCCGCGCCGTCCACCTCCAGAAGCTGCTTCTCCTTCGGCTGTTCCTGTTGCGTCTGCGTCAGCAGTGGTGTCGTCGTTAGCATCTGCACCAGCATCTGCACCAGCGACGGCGGCGGCAGCAGCAGCAGCAGCAGCAGCAGCAATCTGCGCTGCCGTAGCAGCAGCGGCTTGCGCAAGTGCAGCGGCCAGGATGTCCTCTGGCAGAAACTGCTCGTATGCGTCGAGCCGTGTCCGAAGGATTGTGTTGATCGACACCAGCTGGCTGCGGTTCATACCGGCCACAGCTTGCCGCCCCTCCAACAAGCGCTGCCGCTCGGCCTCCACAGCGGCTGCCTTCTCCTGGCGCGCACGCTCCCTTGCCTGCCGCTTCTCCTCAATGCTGCGCTCTTCCGCTGCCCGCTTCTCCTCCTCCTCTCGCAGCTGGGACGCGAAGTCTTGACCAGTCAGCAGCAGGGGTATCTTCACGCGGCGGGATGGTCCTTCTTTCTCAGCTGGCAAGGGCGGCACCTGGACGATTGCTGCCAGCTGCGATTGCACGTCCGGCGCATCGTTTCCGCCCTCGAGCTGTAACGCAGCTGTCGCGAGGGCGTCAAGACCCATTGCCGGCTCATCATCTGCGTCGTCGCTGGTCTCCTCTGGGTCGCTCAGTACAGGTACGGTGAGTTGAGCCGCCTGTTGTAGTTGCTGCTGGGGCAGGCGGTCAATGACCTTGTCTGGGTTGTACGGATGCAAGCCGCAGTGACGGAAGGCTGCTTGCTGTGCAGCGACGGTGAAGGTGGCCTGTGATGCGGCTCCCATAAATCGGAAGACAGCCACCTCCGATATCGTAGTGCGTCCCGTCGCGGTGTAGTTCACGCGCTGCTGGCTGACCTTCGCCTTAAATCCGCCGAAAATCTGGTCACAGGGTTGCAGCTCGTGCGTGCACTTGCCAGGAAAGGCCAGTATCTCGATACCCAGCCGCTTAGCCTTGGCGATGACGTCCGGGTGCTTGCGTGAGCTGTGACCATCGACTACCAGTCCGACGGGATTCTCTGGGCTGACACCGCCAGGTACGTTCTTCGCGAAGTGGTCTAGCCAGTCAGCGAAGACCTCGTGGTTGATCATGGCGGTCTTGGTGCAGACGAAGACCGCACCTGGCATGGTCTCGTCGCAGTGCATGAGGGGGTTCTGAGCTCGGCTAGTGCCCTTCACGATGAAGGCATGCGGAATGAGGGCATCTGGCGAAAAACACGTCACAGCTGCAAGACATTTTGGCTCTTTTGAGGGGTTTACCTGCTCACTGACAGATGATAAGGCTGTTGGCGGTCCGGGTCGTGCACCGATCTGCTGCTTGTTGCTGGCGTAGCGGGCGAATGTGGCAGGATGGATGCCACAGTGCATTGCGGCTTTCCTGCCGCTGCATTTTGTTCGTCTCATGAACTCCAAACCCTCCGCAAGCTCTTCGTCCGTCCATGTCTTCAGCTGTTTTACTGGCTTTTCTGCAGCTGGCTTCGCGGCTTTGCGCTTCTTTGTGGGCATCGCCTCTGGAACTACAGTCCATAACGATCTAGCAGGTCTCTAAGGATTTGGCAGCGTGCGGCAGTAACAAGTAAAAGGCTTCCAGCTTGCCGGCCCGGAAAGTGTCAGGCTACACGCAAAACGCGATGAAACACGACCCAGAGGCCATGCAAGGCTTCTAATATATATAAGGGATCACAGGAAGAGTCTGTGCTGGGTGTCGAGGCCGCAGTTTACATGGTAGCCAGTTCAAATCAGGTGTCCCGCAGGGTCGGCAAAGCAGACATTGCTCCGGAACCACGCGACCCTTTCCTTCGAAACAAATTTGATAAAAAGCATATATTCAACCATTACTAGTTATATATAAAAGGGCTTAGCATTCTGTGCACCCACGGCGCCATAATTTGGAGTGTCTCACAATACCCCCTGTCTCACAATACCCGGGGCCACCTGTAAGTGTGCGCTGTCGCTAAATTTCTGCATGAGGGCGTATGTTAGCGGTTAGCTTGGATCTTGACTAATGACCCAGGTTTGGGTAAAGCGGTATACATGGAAGATATAATAAACAAAACTCAAGGGGTAAGAAGCAGGTGCTTGCGCCGCTCGAAAATATACCGGTACGTCATCATGTCGTCGGGACCAAGTAAGTCGTCAGGGCCAAGCAAGCCGTGGCCCCTGGACTGTAAAAGCGGCTAAACTGATAGTCATTGCGGCTAGCAGTACAATTACAATGCATGCCAACGCCTCTCGCAAGTCAGCGGTGTGGCCATCCGTTGTGCATGCCGCAACGTTGGTGTATGCCATAGGGAACCTGCGGCGGCTAGTTGCATCCAGACTCTATAAGATTATCTGATCTCCACAGGAATGGCTGGCCCTGACTGGCGGTGATTATTCAGGAGCATAAACATACAAAGCTGTGCACTTGCCTACTTTCTCTATCTGTCTTCTGCAGCATGGCTTCATTGTCCACCTCTTGCAGAGTCCATGCGATGCGGTTTGGTCTCATTACCTGCAAATTTCTGTCATAACCCACAACACGGATCCTTTCCGAGAAACCAGGTGCCACCTGCCTCAGCCCGCCGCATACTGGTAACACCTGAGAAAATGCACGACACATGGTTGCAGCGTATACAACATAGCCCGTCACATTATCCAATAACAGTTATGCAAAGTATCAGCAACTTCCATGCTTGCCTACTTTCTCTTACTTTGGCATGCACTCCATGCACATTTCGCCTGTTTCTCCAGCTTCCGTCCTGCCACACTTCCTTCCGCGCCGCTAAACGAATGCTAACTACGATTGAGACAGGCAGCCGTACAGCGGCTTCGGCTGCCGTACAACCAACCTTGACACGTTCCGACCAGCCAAGCAATCCTCACTCGACTCACGGTCAACCGCTACATATTGTGCGCCCTGCTTGTTGGTCATGCCGCTAACGCCTCCACCCATGCGTTCTACACGGCCTTGCCACTCCGAAATGGCGCCGTTGTAGTGGTATATGACAAGTGGAGTAGCAAGGGGACCGGACACAACGTGCGCATTGCGCACCTTGCGAAGATCCCCAGGACGGATCCCAGTGGCGTTTAGGCGGTAGGTGAACATGTGCGCGTTTGCGCCTAGCGACGCAAGCTCCAGGTTAGCAATGCCCTTGACTGCAAGGGCGGAGGAAGGAGGGAGGAGGATGACGGCAGGATGGAAGGCGAGAGTCGGTGGGTACAGCGCGCGGGATTTGGGTCATGAGGGGTTCGGATTAGTTCGGAGCCCACAGCACGTGTACGAGATGCCGTAATGCTTGAGCTCAATTCAATTGCAGGATGCGCTATACTCGGCAGCATGGCGTACGACATACGGCATCTCGACATGCCATGCTACTTCCATCACTCCTGAATTTCCGTGCGCACCTGTGAACCCAGATCCAGGCGAGTCCGGTCCAGGGAATCCCCCATCTGGGTCACACGCGTTTGCGTTCTACCCCAACTACCGGTATTCCAGCCTATCTACCATCCCAGGAACCGCACCCACCGTGCGTTGAGGGCTTCATACACTTTGTGAACGTGTCTAGCATGCCTTGCCCGGGCTGGCGCTCATACACTCCCATAGAGCCCAGTCGCACCCAATGCGCTACAACCGCTCCGTACTGCTCGTACTGCCGTAGCAGCGCCGGCAGGCTGTAGTTGTACCTGTACGAGGGCGTTGTACGACAGCCGGCTATCAGTGCAACAGGCGAGTACCGTGGTTCAAACGTGTGTTGTTAAGCGGTATGATGCGTGAAGGGCACGTGCTGGACTAAAGAGACGTCGCTTCAAGGCGCGTGCCCTGAAACTGCATGACGGCTTGGACGTGGAAAGACGTACGGCAGCCGAAACCCACTTGGGATCGGTAACGATGATGTATTCATCCAGATCCGTGAAGGCCATCCACTTGAAGTAGCCGCGGCCCTGCTCGAAGCATTGCTGGTAAATGCGCCCTGCAAGGCGAGAGTAAGCCCCACATCAGCGCAATTGCAGCCCCTCCTCCTCAGCGTCATTATACACTAAAGTGAAGTGAGCAGCAATAACTAGAGTGCCAGACGTGTGGCCTTGAGGGTGCGTAGCTGCATGCAAGGGGTTCAGCCGCCGACCCAAATTGGATACCGGGCCTGAGGCGTGCCCGGAAGACGTGCCCTAATCTCTTGCCCAGATCCTAAGCCCATGGCTTGTAACTTCGAAGATCGATACGTAGGCTGGCGCATGGGGTTGCGTAGGAAGTCGGTACCCACCTTGCAGACCGTTTGCGAACTGGCTGACGCGCGGCGACTCAGAAGTAAACATCGTGTACTGCACCTTGCCACTTGCAGCATAGTCTGCTATTTCGCTGAACATGGGTGTAGTTGAGTTGTGGTCGTAAAGGAAGATTTTGTCGAAGCCTGATTCGCAGCAGCAGTTGAAAGGAGGACCAGGTTAACCAAGGCGCAGCCAGGGCGCTCTATAGGAGCTTCTAGCACCATTGAAGGAAGAATTACCTGCAAATAAGTGGTACTCGACCCACTTTGGAGGAACCGAGGTTTGCGAGTCAGCCGTAGAGTCGCGGGACCCGGTTACTGACGTAATATGGAAACCGGTCGCAATATACTAAGCCTCCGACTGTCATCACTTCGGCCTCACCTCACGTATATCTCTGTGGCCATCTCGTGCTAGCAGGCAAGCCGCCAAGTACTGGGGTTCATGGTGGGCGAGCCGGGAGGCAGTGCCAGGGTAGGCTAGCAAACAGATTACAAAAATTGCACGGGCAATCATTTCTGTCTCAGGACGTTAATGCAGCTTTCCGAATTTTGGCATAATTAAGGGAATACTTCCCGCGCCAAATTTCGACTACCGTACACCGTTCTTAGTAACCCCTACTGGCTCGCACGCACCGCACATACCCAATGTTGGTAATATGAGGTTTCGCCCCGCTTCGTGTCAGTTTGGGTCGTCCTACAGGAGCGTTTGTAACAGGAGTTTTCCAGCGGTTTCGCTAGGATCAGTCCTGGGGAGTTGTTCGTCCGTTGGTCTGTCCGGTAGCTCCGTTCGAGAATGCTGTGCCATGGCAGAACTTCAGCCCTAGGTGGTGGTGTCTTCGTCACCTAGGCAACCCAGGTCAAGCCTCTCAGGCTACAGCCCGAGCGCAGGGGCTACTGGTAGCGGAGCGCAACGCTACCCAGTGCTGTGTAACTACCCCAGAGTTATTTGACTGTGTTTCACAGAATCCTCCGCTGTACACTTGCTGGTGTGCCTAATTCGCCAGCAGCTTTGGCTTACGAGCCACTTCAGCTTGTCTGTGCCTCACCGCTTTCCGGTAGTCCTCGGAACGGCCGTTCCGAAACAATGCTGGTATGCTGCAGATAACGGCTCTGCTGCGTTGATTCCAACCGATAACGCTGGTTGTGGCGAGTGCGTATGCATGTGTCCGCCTGTTCGAAATTGCCTCGCTTTGCTGCTAAGGGGACACAATGTGAACGAAGCGGTCAGCGAGTGGGAAAGCTAGGGAGCTGACGGTACACGCTGCTGAGCCGCTCATAACCCGCTCTCGTGCTATGCAAAGTAAGCAGCATAATGTAGCTAGGCTTGGAGCTGCTGGGGTTGTAATATATGTAGGACAGCACATCTACAACGGGATAGGGGTTAACGGTATGATAGGACCTGTTGTACTGGCAGGAAGTAAGTCTGCAGGGCCATGCTGGCACGTCTAAAGCCCACAGCAGTGTTTATCAATGCATGGTAAATGGGGGCGCTGTTGGAGCAGTGACTTCGCGTAAGGTGTGGGTGGCGTCTGCCCAAAGGGAAGGACGCACGTATCGTGTACGGTGTTACCTAACCGTTAACCGTATCCGGTGGTTGGGGCTTTGGTAATGTGCAGGTATGCCGTCAGAGACCACAAAAAATGTTGGTCTTTGTATTCTTCCAATAATTAAGACTCGTATTTATAACAACTGCCCCTACGCCGCCAAGCGATAGTTTTCTTACGGACTGAATCTTGCACCAGTTTGCAGGGAACCGTTCTGGAAGTAACCGCGTAGACAGTCCGTAGCTGAGAAGTAATGCCTTCAAAGCAAGGCTGTCGCTTACACTGGCGGCTTTCCAACTTGGGGCACCCGAATGCGGACCTTGACAAATTAGTTCAATCACATTTGCTAAACCATACTGTGCAAGTATTGCTCCCCGTTGATAGTGCCGGTGCCAATTCGCAAGCGGTTGTGGATTCGCAGTTGTTGGCCATGCTGCCACCGGATGAAGGCTACCAGGTACGGTTTGATGCAGACGGGAGCCGTGAGCAGTAGAGCGATGTATGCCTCAAGTCATATTCCTAAGCTGCCTACCCTAGGTTATCCGTGCCAGCTTGGCGGACATCCTCGCCCAGGTGTTGAACACATCCATCGTAATGCAAGAAGGCGCCAGCGTACAGGTAGGTGACAAGACCGCGTTGTTGTCTATGGTCCATCCTCACAAGCCTTCCAAACATGCCCAATGTCGCGGCAGCATTGCATGTGGGCCCCTGGGCCGCGCCTCCTCACATATTTAATTTTTTCCTCCCTCCTGCAGCCCAGTTCCCCCCTTTGTACCGATTCCCTTCCCCAAACAGGCATTATCACTCGCTGATCGCATCGAAAGCAATCATGCGGTCGCTATCACGCCCGACGGAATGCTTCATCTGGCAGTGAGCAGCGAGGTCTACTCACGTTTAGGCCTCACAGGCACCCATAGCCCCAGCAATAGAGGTAGGGAATCGGAACGGCTTTGGGCAAGGTGTTGGGTATGGGAGACAGGGAGGGAGGCAAAATGGGGCAGCACAGGTTCTGGCGGACGGCTGCGAGGGAGAGGAGGAGTCAACCTGATTGGAGGGACTACCAGGGGGCGGATGACAGTGCTGCAAACCCTGTATCCGTATTGCTGCTGCTGCCACGCCACCTACGCCACGCAGAACGTTACGGTACTTACTGCGTTGCTCTTCCCTCCGCAGATCGCTACAACGTAAGTTTGGACCTGAAAGCCAAGTCGATGCAGCCGGGGCAGGAGCGGTACGCGCAGGTGAGTGGGAGCTCGGTGCCTGGGCCCGCATCCTGTCGATACCCTTCCTCACCCGCTACCCGCTCCTCACATGCGCCCTGGCGTCCACTCAACCCCTTTTCACACAGTCAACACCCCCACTATTCCTCACCCGTGTGCAGGTACTTGCGAAGCTGCGGACGTGCTTTCCCCCGCAGGTAAGGCGGCGTCATCTGACCCCGCATCCACCTACCGGTTTACGCACTCGGTGATGTCGCGGTGTACCCGGAGTGGGTGCGCGCCCTATCTTTTCCACGCTCTAAACCTTCACCTAACTCGCATACAGTACGTTCCTCCTGACGGCCAGCTTTCGTAACACACGCACGCACGCACACGCAGGCCTTCCTGGCGCGGCTGGAGGTGGGCGGGCGGCTACGGCAGCTGGGACTGCCGCGCGAGGTGCTCACACCGGCGTATGGCCTGGAGGTGCGTGCGGACGTTGTGTGCGGCATGGGGGTGCGCGCCTGTGCCCGTGTGCGAGGCGAAACGTACTGTGATTGCCGAAAGATGAAGTCCTCCCACCGAAACGCCACAGGTGAAGTGAAGTCCGTTGGCTATGGTGTAATAGAGCTATCGAGTAGTATCGGAATCATTGTAAAGCAGTAATAGCAATGTCGTAACGCGACCGGACCTAAGGACCAGAGTAGTAAGTATGTAAGTAGGTAGGAATAAGTAACCGTCACTGCCCGTGTGTGTCTACACATACCTGGCCGTGAGTCGAAACTTGCGGACGGAGGGTCAGCGGGCAGGGGCCACGGTGGCCGCACAGTCGCATGTTTCCATGCCCGCTTCGCTTCCTCCCATCGGGTCCAGGGTATTGTACCGCGGCACCTAACTTGGCGTTCTTGGGCCGTACCTTCCTTCACTTCCCTTCCCCTCACCTCCCTCCCTCCCTCCCTTCCTGCCCTGCAGTCCTGGATGCCGCTGGAGGCAGAGAGCCGGACCCAGCCGGGGCTGCTGCTGCCCCCCCTCGCCCGGGATACCTTTGAGCGACTGGGCGCTGTAGAGGCAGGCGCACAGTCGGCAGCAGCAGCAGGGTTGGGACCAAGTGGTGGAGGGGATGGAGGCACGGCGCTAGAGGGAGAGGAGGAGGAGGAGGTGGGGCCGTCTCGTAATCATCAACGAGATCACCACCGTCAGCAGCAGCAGCAGCAGCAGGGTCGGGACCGGCAGCCGGACTGGCAGCTACGGCAGGTTATTTCGGGGCTGCATACCTGGCTGGGTGCCCTCGCATGCGGATTAGGTAAGGGGACCTCCTTGCATGGCAGGGGGAACGAGGGGCAGTCTCCAAGCCCCTGCATGCGTACATGCCATGTAATGGCGGCCGCCATCACCGCCCTCTTCCAGGCAGCACTAGGCGTAGTAGGCTGTCGGAGTTGCTGGTTGAAGGTTTGCGTGTGCTGCGATCATGTAGGCCTCTGGGACAAGCATACGCTCGTGTCCTTCACACGCCTCCTCCTCATCCTCCATCTCACACAACACAGCCTCATCCGTGTAAATGTTTGCGACGTCATCACCAGATTCCACTTCTCTCGCGGCACGTCTCCTTACCTGCCTCCTCGCATAAGAGCCCACCACCTGCCTACTGCTGTTGTCCCTCCTGCTCCTCCGCCTCCTCGTTACGATGTTGCGCTCTACCGTCGCCCTCACTGCTCTTCGCTCGCACCCGCGGCCACACCCCCGGGCGGGGCCACCCGCAGGCCCCGCCACCTGCAACGAGCTGCTGCCGGTGGAGCTGCTGCCGCCGCACTGGGAGGATGCACCGCAGGCCGTGCAGGAGGAGGAGGTGGGCGGGGGGCAAGGCTGGCGCCTCGTTGGGTAGCACCTGGGACTCGAGTACCCTCTGCGCACTGACACCGGTAGTGGGCTTCGGCCTTGGTGCTGGCCGCTTGCCGCTGATACATACAGATGGTGCTGCTGTGTCCCAACCCGCTTGCCTGCTGGGCCGCAGGAGCAGCGCCTCACCGGCACCCTGGTCAGTCGCAGCTGGAGGGGGATGCTGTCGCACAGCCAGGTGTGCTAAACGCCGAGATGGCTTCCTGCCGTGCCCTGCATATCCTTGAAACCGCGCACATGCCTGCACGCGACGCGTATTGCTGCTTTGTGAGCTGAGCAGCTGTTGCGATAATGCGGCGCTCATCTGTGGTCATGGTCCCCTGTCTGCTCCATATAGACCCATGGGTCAGTGTCCCATCTCTTCCGGCCCGGCCCCACATGCAAAACCACAGGTGCGCCAAGTGCTGGCCTCCACTATCCAGCTGCTTGAGCCCCAGCCCCAGTTGCAGCACCAACACCAACAGGTGCCGCAACCAGAGCAGCAGCACCAACGTCGTGTGCCCTGGGCGGTGGTCAACGTGTGGGGCTTTGCGGACACGCCCGTGGCTTGGGCGGGTCTGGAGCACGGGGCTGCATGGAGCGGCTGCAGCAGCAGTGGGGGTGCGGGCGAGAGCTGCTACAGCGTGTTGCTGCTGCCCGGGGGAGACTATTGTGTATTTAGGGCGCTTGGATCCAACGAAATGCCTTTGAAAGGGGCACGTGTGTAGCTAGGTGACGTTTTGATCCGGTGGTGGGGTAAAGGCAGTGGGGCTGGTTGGATGTCGAGGTCTGGAGGGGCGCCTTGGGGAGAATGCCGGTATACCGTGGATAACCTTACATTGTCCGGATCGGACCGTATATGTTATTTAATTGCTGTGGTGTTGGTTAAAAGATGGCGGCGGGGACAATTATATCTAAAGGGTGTCTGGGAAGGGGGTCATGAAAGCGCGGGAAAGCACGGTTGGTGGGGTTAGAAGGCTCGGCAGCCTGTTGCATTCCTGGCATCTGGTATGAACATTTATCCATGCCACGCACCAAGGAGAAAGTGTGTTGCACGGTTGGTGCGACTGAATGAATGACGCGTTGGTCCACCCCGGTAATTGGGGTCGAAACCCTCGCCCTAAAGGAATGGCAGACACGACCAGTATTTCGGCAGGCGCTCCTACTGTCACCCGTAAAAATCAGTACAGTAGTATCCGTTTGATTGAAACAGGCTTAGGTAAGGTAGCTCGAAGTCCTCAGGGAAGAAAACTTCAGACGCCCAACCGTGCACGCCCGCCTTAGTTCATCCTCCCAGACGCAGGTTAACTCGCGCTTCCTCACAACGCAGTCGCTATGCCGAATGTTAAGGAAAAAAATGTTTGAGACACAGGCTGGGGCCTGCCTATTACGCCCACCCATTAAGGGTACCGGTAAAGAATGAAAGCCATTCGCGCACTTCCTTACATAGTGTTGATGTATCGGTTCCGTATATCGTCTTAGAAGCCGTTAGCTCAAGCTATCCGCAGAGTTACAAAAGTCTATCAACTGCAAGGAAATGGCAACTACTAGAGGAACCGTAAAATTGACAACGTCTTTAGAGAGAACGATAGCACTGCTGTGGTGCGAATTCTTTAGTACCAAGGGGAATGTCGCAATCACGAAGCTTTGGGGTGCCGTGCCGCCCTGGAGCGAGAGCTGCCGAGCACGCATCGATGCGTTACGAACCCGACAGCGTGCTCCATATATATAGTGTACTATCGAGCACATCCTCTGCGATATAGCAGAGGTAAAACGTTATGGCGACCATGGCCAAGGCGACCACTATTGCCCTACTGGTAGCCGCTTGCTTCTGCGTAGCTCTCGCTAGGGATAACGCTGTTAGGACAAATGCCCGGCGACTTGCTCTCGCTGGAATGAAAACCCCAGGTGAGCTGGAAGCCTGGCTGACGAGCAGAGACTGCTGGGTCCAGCTGTGCTTACAAGGTGCCGCATGTAGCGTCCAAACACCTGCAAACACAAACATCACCACACCTGCCTCATATGGATGAAGACATTGCGGCTTCCGGGGTCTTCATTATCATTTCGTCCTGATGCCCTACCACGGCTACCTAGTGGGCCTGTGGATGGGCCCGCATGAAATTACGGCCATAGTGCATTAACTGTATAGCGTTTGCAATTCCATGATTGACGGCTACTGGTATTGGCTTGCTTGTCCCCTTTGCTTGCCCGTCGAGTTTTTACCTGAGTCATGGGAAAGTACCTGGCCTCACGATCGGGTATCTAACGCATACATACATCCTTGCCGTTTTTCCTAATTGATTTGGCGACTCCTCCGTCTTTCACCCGCCTTGACTGGCTGACATCCCGTGGAACAGTGGGATGGTGGTACACGCTGAAGACAAAGTCAGGTACGCAGATTGGACGCCGCAGCAAGGTATATTGCTACTGTACTATCGTTTTGCGGGCCTCCACTCCTCCGCCAATTGAACAGCCTGTGTTTGCATGTTTGGGCGCGGCAGCCCCCAGCAGCCCCCCGTTCCGCCATACTAGATCCGCCGACTAGTTTACGCGACGGCCTAGGTGCCGGCCCAACGACGTAAACATGCATCGGACGTACTGTCTATGCGTCTGCTAGAAACTTTCACACAGTTTGTGGGCTGGATCCTGTTTTTGTTGGCTGTATGATTGCCTATTTTTGCCTTCTGCCGTATGACTCGCATGTGCGCGATGGTGACTCACGTTTTCGCGCATCATCTCACGTGCGTTTCTTCCCCTGTTCCCTGTTACTTATACTCCGAAAGGCATGTTCTGTGGTCTGCGGGACTTCCCTCCGAAGCCTGATGGTTACGGCTCATCTCGCCTGTACTGCATCTTTCCGACGTACGACCACTATTGGATGTGGCGCGTGACTAAGGTACGTACATCATATGTATGCCTCCAAATTGCATTGCTTTTCGCGACTTCAAATTGACCCAATTGGGAGTGTTTCTTGCACTCTAATGACGCGCGCGGAAGGGGGTGTGCTGAATCTGGGTTGCTCAGGATTGCTCAGAATCTGGGAACCTCTTTCGTAGTTTGCTTCCGCTGGCCCCGCTGCCCCCCTAAACATGTATACGGCAGGTGAACGACACAGGCGCTCTGACCAGCGGTGACGAGGTCTACCTCACCGTTTACCAACCGATGCTGCCGTACTGCAAGGTATCTTCCGGTATCGTCGTCTGCGGTAAGTGTTGTACGGCAATCAAAGCGAGTAGACTTGTATGGTGAGCTGTACACGACATTAACTGGCGTCAACTGGGAAAGGTCATGCAATCTACCTTTTGCCAAATGCCGTACGAAGAAGTTTCCATTTGGGTCGCACATGTACCACTTGTCGTACGCAGGTGTTGGTGCAAGTGCCGCTACCAAGTTTGTGATTGAGAAGGAGACCGGCAAGGTGAGGAGCGTCATCGGCCATGAGCAGAACGGCAACCATGTCACAGCAGACAGCTTGTTAACATTAGCTTGTTCAATGTAGTGTAAATGCCGTCAACAGCAATAGTTCGGCACAATCGAAACGATTGGCATATGGCTGCACTTAAAGAGTTCTTGCCTGTATTACTAACCTAGCCACACGTCTCACTTCCTCCTCTTTCGGCCACATGTTTCGTCCCTGCTGACCTGCCTGCACCCCTTATGCCCCCGTCGTTCGCCATGCATCAGGGCGCCATCAACCTCACCACCGACGCTGTGTACCTGAAGTCGGCTACGAAGTACTGCAGGTACGGCATTGTCCGGCATTGCACTGCAGCAGCTACTACCGTGACAACACAGACAGTGCCTGACTTCTCACTTCTCATTGCCTCCCGCCCTTCCCTCCACCCTCTCACGCAGCCTGACGGGCAAGAACCACTCGCAAGTGCTGCAGTGCGACAAGACGGCCAAGAGCTCGGGCACCGCCTTCCTGCTGCCTGCCAGCGCCTACACCGCGGCGGCACTGGTGAACGGCTACACGGAGTACCCCTGCGGCGGCGACTTTTACCGTGAGTAGTGCGGAGGCTGGGATGATGATGACGATGATGGTGGCACTCCATGGTTCCATGCGTGCATGCGCGTGTCAATACCCTGCCTTACCTCTTCCTGGCTCCCGCTTGCCGCCCCTCCCACCCGTTATATTTGCATTGCTTTATTCCTTTTTGTTTGCCCCACGCCCGCAGCCGATAATGACCCCTCCAACATCACCTGCGGGATCTTCAACGCCCCCGGCTTTGTCGTCAACATGACCGTGGCCCTGGGCACGCCGGGAGCCCCAGTCATCAAGACGGGCACCAATGTGACATTCAAGGCGTACGACGATCTGTATAGGTACCATGTAAGTTTATTTCTATTGCGCACAAACGTGTTTGTTTAATGTTTACGAAGGCGAGCAGTTTCCTTTTCCGTGGTAACGACCTCTTGGTTGTACCTGATGTTTGTACGGTACGGTTATATAATAATAAACCACCGTACGTGGCGACAGATGAACCGCACGGCATTCCCTGCATAGTGCAATAAGATGTGCGTTTCTTTCTTCACCCAACCACCAACTGCTTCCGGTGTTTTGCTGCTTGTGTTTGCGTGATGCAGATGTCTCAGTTCAAGGTCAACAAGCAAACCAAGCGGGTGAGAGGAGATTTTAGCAAAGAGCCACGCAGTGGATTTGTTAAGTTACAGCACTCTTCGTTCCTCATGTGCCTGGTGCCTAGTAGTGCGTTCACCCGCCTAAGCCGGCCTGTTTTTGGACTTTGACCAGCACACTATGCACTGTCGTTACCAAGACCACCATTATCGCGTATTGTTGAAGCGTCATGCACGGAAGGCTGCTGCTTGCCATGCAATTCATTGCTCTAGTTGCTGCTGGTGGTACATTCATCACAGCCGCTTTCAATTATTGACGAAAAAACGGATTTCATTCGCGATGTATTCACACTCCACACCCTTGCAGATGTACTTTGAGGTTGACAACCCTGCTGGCGCCAACCAGTGGTTTCAAATGGTGCTTCTAACCAACTCCTCAACCACCGCTTCCGTACCACTCACCAACGGTACCATGGTCGCCCTCAAGAGCGCAGTGACTGGCCAGTACTGCGGTTTGACGGTCGCTGCCGGCTCCCTGAGCTGCAACATGACGGGTCATGCGGCCGCCCTGCCCGCGGGATACACGTACCGCTTCATGGACGGCGGCTGGCCAATGAAGGAGGGTACGACAGCTACTTGGGACAAGGTAGCCTCTGGTAAGGCATGAGCTTCTTACCAGATGGTAGGTTATGGCGCATGGTTTGAAAGTGGGGTTGTAAGAGCTGGATAAGGGTAAGGCTGCAGTGGAAGAGATTTGACTTGGAAAGGTGAGACGATTGAGGCCTGAGTGTGATTCGCAGGCAAAGCGAGGGGTTTGGGGGAAGGCAGGATGAAGAACAACAGTGACACAAGCAGGGTGCAAGATCAACGAAAGACGAAAAGGTGCACGAAGTTGCAAGTATACGGCAAGCAGTCACAGCTGAAACAGGGGATCGATGCATGCAAGTGTTGTTCACATCGGTTGCTGCATAGGAAAACCGTTGCCTGTAGTTTATATATGGCCCTGCCGTATTGAGTGCCTGCTTGTTGCGTGCACGGTTAAGCGTCACGACAAACGCTGCGAATCTGCGTTGGTTGGATGTTGACGGTTTGCGATTATTGTCAACGTGATCACATTTTGGGAAGCCTTTTTCATTCCTTCGGCGCCTGGCCTGGGTGATAAGCGTAGTATACCGGTATTTACGGTAGTAGTAGCAGGCGGCTGGAGGGACATGAAGGAGGCAGGGAGTGGGAAGGAGGGAGGATGCTCTACTCGCTTTTGCATGTGTCGGCTCCAACTGAGCCTTGCGTGCGTGGTAGGAAGTCTAGTACCTAGTACAGTTGGTTGGTTTTACGAGGCAACATCTTTGCTGTACGTGTGTATTCGTGTGGTATGGAGCTTTCACCCCAAGAAGTCGGTAGCCGTGATTTCCTTAGCGCGCTTTCATGGCCGTATTAACTGGCAGGCGGGTAGGGTTGATTTGCTGATTTACGTGTCTTTGGTCCTCCTTTTGGCTTGTTATGGTCACACATGATTGTCTCTATTTGCTCCTCTTGTCGACTAGCAGTAGCAATAAGGTGGGGGATGCCGTGATTTGACATTTGGTGTGCGATTGACACCCGGCTAATCTGCCGGAGTAGCATTTTCATTGTACGTCGTTGCTACGACACGTGTGCGGTATGCATCGGACGGCGGAGCCACATCGATTACAAGCCGGTGTCTCTTTCCGTACTTTGTGTTACCAGAACCGACCGCGGGTTGGAAAGTACTACGCGTACGTCGACAGGGATGTCAAATAAATAATTATTTTGCGCGCGCGCTGCGAGCTTCGGTTGGTTTCTTTTACTTTTGACGCCATTGCGACCTGACCCTGTAATCCGTCGCGGCACTTCATTGGAGGACCCTACTGCTTACATGAATATTTGGCAAAAAGCCAGTTACACACATGCATGCCCAACCGCACGCATCCTCCATGGGAGGGTAACCGTAGGGTTAGCAGCTAGCCAATACTGCCCCTCATCCCACATGGGTGATGAGGAGGGGGTTCATGGGCGCTCGTCGCCATTGCCGTGTCACCCATGTCACCGTCGCCCCCAGCATCAGCGTTAAGAGTTGCCTCGCTATGCTACCGCTATCACTGCTACCAGGTCGTTGGTGCTCAGAGACAAAAGATCACGATGTTGGTGTTGGGAAATGAACACAACGACTCAAGGAGTAGCTGCCGGGGAGCACAGTGAGGCGGGGAAGACGGTGCCACCTCAAAGCTTTCCAAACGCCGGCCAACCTTCCCTCCCATCCCTCCGCTACTCATCACTATCATCACTGCTGTAGCCATCTCGCTCCGCATCCGCTGCCGCATCCGCTGCGCTGCCGCTAGCTGTCAAATTACGGAAGATGGACACGACGGAGCAGTTCGGTAGAGATCGTTGTACGAACCTGTAGCAACGGCAAACCTAGTAGTTAGCAAAGTCAGGAGCAGGAAGTACAGCAGCAGGTGCTGCCGAAGGCTACCGTACATGCATTTAGGAACACTGTGGAAATACCGAACAACGGCGAAATGACCGCATAGCTGTAGCAGCGGGTCATAAATAGCAATTTTGTATACAGGGGTTCCGGTTGATGAACGACAAACGGTGGTGATGATGATGCCGCACCTTACTGCCTCCGCTAGCTCGGGTACGTAGCTGGGTTCTGTGTAGTCAATAACCTGTTCGGGAAACACACGCACCGCAGGTTTAATGCTCGGTTCCATTGTCGACGCGTCAGCCAAGGTCAGTCCAAGGCCAGGGCAAAGCAGCAGCAACTACCGGTACCGTTTTTCCACATGTAACATGTCGCCTGCCTCCACAGATGGACTGCACATATCCCTCCTGCCCTCCATGCCATCTTTCTTCAGTCCTAACAGTCACGTCCTCTCCACTCCTCTGGCCCCAGCTTGCGCCCTGCCTCCTGCCTCTCCTGCTTCCCCTACCTGCAGCTCTGCGAGGTCGGTCAGCCGCGTGGCGCCCCGCACCGCCTCCTGGTACAGGTCAGCCGCATGCAGCTGCAGCCGCCGCAGGCCGGGGGGCAGGCGGGCGAACAGGGCCTCCTAGTTGGGGGGGGGGGGTCAAATGAACCAAACCATATTTTGCGATGAAACCACAAACGGGCAGGTATGGGCGTTTGGCGGCGTTGATGCTGGGTGTAAACAAATGTGGGGGCTAGAGACATGTGGGGGCAGCGTGCGGTAAGGCGGGGCTGCGGAGGAGGCTCTGGGGCTTTCGGGCTAAGGGTGAGAGACGAGGGGAGCGGAAACGATACCGGCAGGCTGACAAGGCAACACGTGAAGCGGAGAGGACAGGGCATACCCGTACATGACGACGCACGGTGCACGGGGGCATGCAGTAGGATGACTGTGGCAGACGCAAGGGCGGGGTTAACCGCGGGTAGGGGGGTAGGGTTGATGCATGTTCGCGCCTGATACCGGTACGCGCCTACCTGCGCGCTCCAACGCAGCCTGTTGCCTACTTTGAGTGTCAGCGACTCCAGATACCTGCAGCGTGGTTTGCACATATCACGTATCAGAAGGGGACAACCTTGTAGTAGCACCCAAGGAAGAACTAAGCTCCATCACCTTCTCCCTACATTCACCATAAGGTGTCATCCATAACAGCCCGCCCCACTACCGTCCTCGCGAGGCCCTGAGCGGCCCGACTCACCGGAGCCTCCCCAGCTGCGCAATGGCTCGGTGGTGCAACTTGGGCGCAACCCCTGCACCGCCGCCACCGCCACCACCGCCGCCATCGTCAGCAGCAGATCCGCAGCCGGATGCCGTGGGAGCTGCTGACCCGTGGGTCACCCGCTCCCTCCCAGCAGGGTCCTCCAGCCACAGGTGCGCCAGACAGGGCTGACAGCCCAGGAAGTACACCAGGTGCCAGTCCGTGAGCCGAGTGGGGTCGAAGTGCGCCGCACCTTCCTTCTCAACCTCCTCCCCCTCCTCCCCCTCGGTCTCAATCTCCTCGTCCCCAACCGGCTGCCCCGCTGCCTGAGATACGTCACCACCGCCGCCACTGCTTGCGCTCCGAAGCCCCATCCAACGGCCCGCAATTCGGGGGGTCCTAAGAAGCGAGCTTATGCTGCTGCAGGGCCGTCGTCGGAGAGTCAGTCTTGCCAAGCGTGCCAAAGGCCGGCGAAGGGAGGGAGCAGGAGGCATCAGGGTTGCCTCAAGTTGCTCGCCGGGGGGTGCCGAGCCGGGGGTTGTTGCATGGGCAGGGGTGGCAGCTGCGGGGAAGCCCGCGCTGGCGTGTTTCGTGGTTGTCTTCTGTAGGTCCGCGGGTGCAGCACAGAAGGCCGCCCACTCGGATGAAAAGACGGCGTTGGTGAGGTGCAGGGCGGCGAGTGAGGGCGGCAGGTGATGCGGCCGAATGAGGTACGGCAGAGCTGAGCAGTCAGCCCAACAGCAAGCGGAAGGGGAACGGCAAAGGGGAAGAGTAAGAAGGGGAGGGCAATAGCAGTGCTGCAAGTGAATGCTGGGAAGTGAGGGCAGGGACTTCTCAGGAGGGCGTTCACGAGCATACATCAGGACCTCGCGGGATGAGCGGGAGGAGGTGGGGTGCATGACAGCATGCATTGCATCGCGCGGTCACGCACCTGCCAACAGCTCGGAGTCCAGCATCGCACCCTCAGCCAACCGCCGATCCCGAACCGCCGCTCGCTCCGAAACCGGTACGACAGCTGTTGCGGCGCCGCCACTGCTGCCTTTACCGCCGCCGCCGCCACCCCTGTTGCTACCGCCAGCGGGGCTTCCAACGGCGTCATCGCCTGACTGTTTCCATTTGGGAGCACCGGCAGCGGCGGCGACGGCAGCAGTGAAGTGCCAAGGCGCCGGCGGCGACACTCCCAGAGTTGGTGTAGCTGCTCCGCCGCTCGTGCCGTCGTCGCCAGGGCACATGGGCGCAGATACCTCCACCGCGGAAATGGCGTAGTAGCTGCCATACCCTATCCGCACGGATGAGATGTCAGTACCCTCGTCGCTAGCGTTGATGCCGACCATTGAAGCGGCGACAGCGGTGCGGGAGGCAGTGTCAGCAACAGCGGCGTCACCTCCGCCGCCTGAAGCATTTCCTTCATGTATGTCCCACGGCTGTCGCTTTAGCGCTGCCGCCGCGGCCGCCGCCGCTGCAGATGCATGCTTCATTGTCGTGAGGGGCCGAAGGTCCAGTCTCAGGCTCCTTAGGTCTCCGTGGAGGCCGATGGCCGACAGGCCCCGCTCTCCAAGACGACCTGCGTCGCGCAGACTTAGATCCTGCAGAAACGGCATGCCGTACATCCATACCCGTACGACATCGTCATCTATCACAGCAACGTGCGCCGTCCCTGCTTGATCGCCACCGCTACCGCCACCTCCATGGCCCTGCGGATCATGCTTGACCAGGACATGGAGCTTTCGCAGTTGCCGAAGGCTTGATAAGGCAACAAGGGGGTTGAAGCGAGGGTAGCTGCAGCGGTGCAAACCCAGTCGTCGCATGATCACGAAGCGCTGCAAACCCATTCGTCGTTCGGTTTCGAATCGAAGCGACAGGCTGCGTAGATCGGTCATGAGCCCCAGGCAAAGGATGTTGCCGTACGAGAGGAGAGGTTGGCCACTGCCGCCGAGGGTCAATGAGACGAGCGGAGGAGCTCGACAGGTAGGCTGCCTCCGCAGCGGCGGCAGCGGCGGCGGTGGCGGCGCCGACTCTGTTGCGGCTGCCGGCGACGACGAGGTTGACGCCTGCTGCTCTGTCGATACGATCTTGGCCCAGAAGTCGACATCCAGCAACGCTACATCCGGTGCGTCGTACAACTCCAGTACGACACCGCCTCCGTCGCTGTCTCCGCCGCTGCCGCCGTCACTGCGGCCGTTACTGTTGCCGCCGTCAGTTTCATCATCCCGGTCGTCGCCGTCGCTGCCATCTTCGCCGTCCTCGTCGATACGGCAGCGGCGGCGGCACTTCCGCTGTCGCGGCGTCAGCCATTGCGCGTCGTGCAACCCTGCCGCCAGGTGCCTTCCGCCGCCGTGACGGAGGCGCAGCCCCAGCGACGTCAGCTGCGTCAACGGTCCCAGCGCCTTCTGCCAGTTGTCAGAGCCACCAGGCCCGCGTAAAAGACGATCCATACGATACCTCATACCTAGCGGTCGCCGTGGCTGCCGCTGCTGCCGCAGTCTCGCAAGGGCTCCTTCTCGCCGCCATGCCTCTCTAACTTCCGACCAGAACCACTGATCCAAGTCCTCATCAGACATGATGCCTACGTTCTTGTCCTCGCTGGCTTCCTCCTCGCCCACTTCCTCCTTTGCTTCCTCCTCCTCCTCGGCATCTTCTTCAACTTCATGCGGGGGTGTATACATGACGTCCCAATCCGAGTCCGCTGAGTCCAACCCGTAATCCAGCGACAGCTGCAACCGGCGCAGTGCGCTCAGCCTGCTGAGAACCGCTAGGTCACCTGGGGGTGCACCGTCGATCGGTTATTGCTGTAACACGAGTGCGGGCACCACCACCAACACGATGCAACGCAAGATCCAAGAGGACTGGGGAAGGGAGGTAGGAATGGATGGACCACCGGCGAACCCACCTCTAATCAGGACAACAGCAGCAGAAGATGGAAAGTACTCTATACATGCACTGTTTGGCGACGTCGGCCTCCCTCACCTCACCTGCGTCCAGCCACCACTCCGTCCTGAAGTCCAGATCTAGACTCCGAAGCAGCTGCATTCGTACAACGACAACAACGAGACGGAATGGTCAGCACAGATACCCACCACAGAGGATAAGCTGTAATAGGTGCTGCTTGCAACACCGTTGTGCTTTGCCAAACTTGCCGTTCTTTGTTGGCCTGACCCTCCTCTCCCCCGCCCCCTCACCTTGAGCCCCGTCAGCAGCCTCAGCTCCCCCACTCCCTCCACAAACACGCCGCCTGACAAGCTCAGCTGCCTGAGCCCCGTCAGGTGGGTCAGGCAGGCGGGGGCGAAGGAGGCCAGCTCCACCTGCGGCCGGGCCAGAGGATCGTAGAGGAGGAACTTATTACAGATACGGGTATGACCATGGTCCCATACCGGGGGACCGACTGAAGTGCCGTAGTACTGTTTCATGGAGTAGTTGCTGCTCCCCTTGTCGGCTGCACAGCAGCCATTCACCACCCACCTGGTCCAACACACTCAGGCTCCGCAGCTGCGTCAGTCGCCCTAACTGCTGCACGACATCCTCCTCCTGACCGGCCGGCTGCTGCTGTAACTGCTGCTGCTGCTGCCCCGCACCCGCACCCCCGCCCTGCTGCTCTCCTGCCGCCATTGCCACATGCGCCCTGCGCTGCAGGCTCGGCACCACCAGCCGCGTTACGCCGCGAAGCCGGGGGTCAGAGAACAGCGGAGCGAGATCCAAGTACGACATGCGCTGCTGGTGCTGCTGCTGATGTACCGCAGCCGATACGGCCTGCGTCGCATGTGTCGCCGGTAGCAGAATCAGCTCTCGAAGTGGCGGCAGCGCTGCCGCGGACCAAGACGGCGCCGGCGGCGGTCCCACAGGCTCTGGCGGCGGCGGCAGCAGCAGTGGCAGGACGCGAGTGAGGATGTCGGGCGGGGTATCATCGCTGATGAGAATCTCAAGTCGACGTAGTCCTCGCGACTGAAGCTGTGGCGAATGAGGCGTCTCTGCAGCCGCTGCAGCAGATATCGATGCCCACGGCCAGCAGCCTCCGCCGCCCTGCAGCTGCTGCTGCAGCGGTGCCTCGTCAGCTCCTGCCGCCGCGAGGGAGGCGGAGACGAGGGCGGTGAGGGAGCCGGATGGCAGGTTGAGGGCGGATTCGGCGAGGTGCAGGGAGCCGACCGGCAGTCCTGCTAGACTGGCCACTGCTGCTGCAGCTGCTGCTTGTGTTGGCACCTGTCCTCCCACTGCTGCTGCTGCTGCTGCTGATGTTGCGGGTCCTGCGTGTGCGTGTGCTGCTGTCCCTGCACCGCCCGCAGTCGCGTCAGTTGGCGCCGGCGGTGGTGCTGCCGCGTCAGCTGCAGGCCCTGCTGTTGTTGCCGCCCGCTGGAGTGGGGAATGCCAGGGGCGGTGGTAGCGGGCTGCTCGCAGGGAGAGGCTGGTGAGAGAGGGCAGGTGGGCGGCTAGGAGGGGCAGCCAAGCGAGGTGGAAGGAGGGACCGGAGATGGTGAGGTGGGTGAGAGAGGGGCCGAAGCAGCCGCAGACGGGTGCAGCTGCTGCTGGCAGTGGTGAGGGTGATGGTGAGGGTGGAGGATGGGGAAGCAGAGGTGCGGGCGGGACGAGGAGGGCGCTGCCGTACAGGGTTGCACTGCTGATGCAGCATGTGAGACAGGCGTGCCAGTGCTTGCAGGCCATCCGGGCACGGAGGGCATCGGAGCGGCCGTTGTTGCCATCTTCTTTCACAAGGATGGAGCCAATGGTCTGTGGATGAGTGAAAACAGAGAGAAGACATCACATGGGTCGAGTCAACGACGAGCCGATGGGATCGAGTGGAATAGTTGTTTAGGCATGCATGCAAGTTTTTGGATATGGATACGAGGAAACAGGGGGGAGAGGTGGCCATAGACGGAACCGCTTCAGCAGGCCGCTGGCGGGTTACTCGAGCTGAGCTGGAATACGATAAGGGCTGGCGGAAAATCACGTAGCAGTTAACCACTAGGGTTCATGGGCTCGAGGCTGTTTAGCCAGCTACCTTGCGTGGCTTCGTGGTACGGCAGCGCGTATATGCATTTGGCGCGAGCAAGCGACAAACGACCCTTGGGCGACCGCGGTGTCAAAGTGGAAAATGCGGCGTATCTGCGAGGGTGATTTTTTGCGCAGATGGCTTGGCGTATAGCATACCTATCAAAGGGCGACCGTTGGTATGTTTCTGAAAGGTGGTTGGGCGGTGCTAAGAAATGGTCGATGCTGTTGTCCTCCAGTTTAGCACTGGCTAGCTAAGACACCAAATGCATATACGCGGCCACATTACAGGAACCAAAGCAGTTTAATTTGAGCTGCACAGTGCTGCAGCATAGTACAATGGATTGGCCTAATGAAAGGTGGTTAGCCAGCTACCCTGTGTGCCCGTATTTTACAGTTTGGCTATACAGCTTGGCTAATCACCAACTTGACTATGAGGTACGTCCGATAGATAATTGGGAGGGGGGAGGGGCTCCCTCCCCCCTTAAACCCCCTCCCGCACGTCTTGCTGTATATAGGAAGCTTTACTGCACGTTGGGTCAAGAAGTATCACATGAACGCGCCCCGACTGGACCGTTAGAAGCAAACGTCGGGAGACCCATTTATTTTTCAGCAGCCTTACTTTCACAATGGCTTCAACCCCCCCCCCGCGAAAAGCCAAGACCCATGGGTCGCTTTCACACTTTCCGAGGAAGGGCACCTACTTTCTATACTTATTGGCTCGGAACGCGCTACCTACACATTTCCACAATTGGGAGATGTCTTAAGGAAATTGTTGCAACGATTAAGAGGTGCCTTAGAATTCGGACTGTCCTGGAGGGGGAGGGAAACCCTCCCCCTTAACACCCCCTCCCGCACGCACTCTTGGATATATACGCAGTTACTGTGCGTACAGGCGGTTACACCTTGCTGGTTGTTTACTCGTTACCGCTCCCCTAACCCGCGCTGATACACATTGACACTTGTCGTCATTACTCCTGCCCTGTCCCCGTCTTTTGGCTGCGCGCTGATCATTAATTCGGTCTTACTTTTATTTCTATGACGCTGTTCAACAGGCGGGAATCATCGCACCATACTTGCTTCACATATGTTACTGTCCCGTTTCCCCTGTGGCTTCGACCTCAGGGTAGCTGGCCAAGGGCTAAGTTGCAAACTCGCATACTGTGGCGCCTGGCTGCGCGATGGCTGAATGCTTGCTTCGCACGCACACACGCACGTAAAGTGTTTGAAGCTAGGGCTTCTGTAGAAACGATGCACGATGCGCGAGCACGTTTAATGAATTATAACTAACAATAGTTCTGACCTCTTCAGTCTCACCTCTAGCACAAGGGCTGGCAGTGAACCCCAGCCCAGCTTGGCATCCTGACCTTTGTCCTCCGTGGACGGCGCGGTTGCCGACGGGCCGGTATCCATTTTTGTGAGTTCTAAAATTGGCATCAAGCGTACACGTCCATGAGCAGGGATAAGTGGGCTATGCCCTAGGCAAACCAGTTCTGAGACACTAGGAGTCTGTTTATTTTTAAGGTAGCGTAATTATAGCGTTAAAGATATAGCAGAGGTAGTGTATGTGGTCCGCTTGTTACTTTTCAAGTGAACGATGGAAGCAAGGGTGAGGCGAGGTTGCGTTGGTTGATGCTATGCCGTAGAGATGTGTCATGCAGAGCAGCTCAGCAGGTTACTACAACATCCTCGCATCGCATAGGCCGTACGCAATGTCCCCCCTGAGCTGGAGAACCAAACACCTTACGTCTATGACAAGAGAGCAATGTAAGCGCTTGCACTTGCGGAAATGGCTGTCGTGCACGGTATGTACATCGTCAAGCAAGTACCCGTGCGGCATCCCCGGCCCCTCCCCTTTCCCTGAGAGGCTAGAACATGGCTGTAATCGATAGGTTTCAAGATTGGAACATAGGGTTTCTTATTCCCATCATGCTTATACGTACGGCAAGGCCGACTACGGGGGTGCTTATGCTGAAAGCCAGCTATTCTTCAAAACTGAAGTTTACAGCCTTCGCTCCTGTTTCAATGCCGACTAGGGAAAGGACCTAAACAATAGCCCGGCCCTGGTGGACGGCGACCATGCCACTGCCAACAGCGTTTTCACGATCGTCTTACTGCCAATCGCTTCCTAAGATAGTATTTACAACATTGATATGCTTTGCAGTAACACTTTGTCGCTGTCATAGCGCGGATCTTCACTATCAGGCCAAGGCGCGTAGCACATGGCAATGACTTTCTTACCCAAAACCTGCATTCCGACGACCACGCTTGCCCCAACCTTTGTATACCTAGGAACATGAAACTACTCAAGGTTCAGAGTATGCTGCCTCCAACTACCGGATCCTGGTTGTACCTGTGGCGTGGCGCTCCCGAGCGTACCCGATGCTCAAGCTATCCTACGAGCTAGCAGCCCGCGGCCACACTGTTACAGTCATGATGTCCCGCGCGTACGAAAAATGGACGCATGACAGCTTGCAGGCCTTGGCTCGCGCGCGTGCACGTCGTGCATCACATGCTCCAAGCGTGGCCGTACATGAAGCTGAAGAGGAGCAGCAGCATGGAATGATAGGAATGCCGGCTTGCCTCTCCCTGGTATTCCACGACGCATGGGACATGGAACGTGAAGGCGAGAAGGTTGTGGGCACGTCACCCATGGAGCAGGTGCGTGGCTTTCCTTCCCGAGACAGCTGGGTGTTGTGCCTGTTGTGGCTGGCAAGAGGCGGACGTGCCATGCGGCCTGGGAACGCATGACAGCAGGGGCTACATGGCATGGGGAATTTGATGACGGGAGTGGCGGGACGTACGCTGCATGGCACATAACTGCCCGCATGCGGTGCCATGCATAGCGCCTGCGGGTAGCGTACGACATAGGATGTACGCATGCATGCTGCTCAGGATTGCATGCAAAGCATTCGGTGACCCTTTGTAGACCCCTCCATTCCCTTTCTGAACCCCACCCCCCATACGCCTGTCCCTCCCTCGGGTAGTGTGGTATTAAGAGTTGGTAAAGGAAGTGAGCCGCTTAACCTGACACTGACCCGGGATGAGTGCTGGGTGTGCTGCATGCGTGTGTTGCGCAGTTCCAGTTCGTGATGGAGAACACACTGGACAGCTGCAAGTGAGTCGCAGCCGGGGCGGGGGGGGGGGGTGTAAATGAAGCGGTAAAGTACCGGTGTTCACACAGGAGGGAGGGAGGGAGGGCCTACTGGATGTACACAAGGCACCAACTGGGGTGGGATGGAGTGCAATCGGCAAACGCCCTCGAATCCCAACGTACATGACTGCCCCGCCCCCCCCCCCAAGGGCTCCAGTGTCCTTACCTTGCTTCTTACAGGCACACCGGTGGCCTCCCTAACCCCTCCCCTGCGCATGTCACCTTGCCCGCCACTTGCCCCCACTCACTCGGCCCCCCCCCGCAGGCGCCTCATGGCGAACGACACCGTCAACCGAATGGTCGCGGAGGGGCGGTACGACATCTACTTTGGTGGGTGGCCGGTTCTGGTGCAGGTCGAGTAGGGTTCACATTCCGCAGCTACCTCCCTTTACTATCCCACCTACAGCCTCAACAACCTACACCCTTCGTGACGGTTGCTTAGAGGTCAGCCGCTAGGGAAGGCAGTGTGCGTAGACTACGATAACCAAACGAACGAGCCACCACCCGCTGCCGCATGAACGCATGTCCAACCGTCCACTTTTAAACCCGACGCCTACCACCACCCCTCATCCACCGCTCGGCTGCACGAGACCCGCTCCCCCTGCCCACCTCTGACCCCGCTGCTGCTGTTCCCACCCCACACGGGTACTGTGTTACCGTATTACCTACCACCGCACCATCATCACCCCCAGGCGACCTGGCTGACTTTTGCGGCACCACCCTCGCCGAGTTCTGGCGCCTGCCCCGTGTGGACTTCGACTCGGGGGACTGCCGCGCGGGGGGACACTTCACAGCGTACGGGCAGGTACGGGGGTGCCGTACCAACCCTTGCATGCATGACACCCCTCCCGGCCACCGTCCACCCTACACGTTTGTGTGATGCTGTCACCGAATGTATGTGCAGTGATTGATAATCATGACGTTTGTGCAGTGATTGATAATCATGCATCTCCTGCCCTCATGCTCTTTGTCCCCCCCCCGGCAGCCCTTCTCGCCCGCTGTGACGCCCTCCTACATCGCTCCCGTTCCCTCCAACACCGTACTGGGGTTCAAGGTACGACAACAAACAACACGGGCAGATGTGCGAAAGGAATTGCAAAATCACTCCTCGGCTGATTTCCTTGTTCCTCCTTCCCTCCTTTCCTTCCACCGTCCCCCCTGCCGCACATGCCCCCGCAGTTGCCGGCTGCCCCGCTGTTTCTCGCGGCTCAGTGAATCGCATCCCTTGTCACCGGTACCCTTCTCCCCCCTCCCCCTCACTGTCCCCCACCCCTCCCAGGACCGGCTAGCCAACCTGGGCGCCACGGTGCTGCTGCACCTGCTGATCCACTACAAGGTCAACCCGCGTCTGCAGGTGAGGGCGGAACATGCATGCATGGCCCTCCCGCTCCGCCCCACCCGTCCTCCCCAGCACGCCACCATCACTCACTTCAGACACACACCTGCAATCCTGCATGCATCGGCCAATGCCTCACATGCCGGCTCACATCCCCGCCTGCCTGCTCATCCCGTCCTGCCTGCCTGCCTGCCTGCCGGGTTGACCGCCTTCCTCTTCCGTCCGCCGTCCCACACCGCGGACGGGATGCCTCAACGCCAAACAGGGCTTCCGTCGGAGCCTCAACGCAACCTCCTACCTGGCCCTGCTGCCGCCAGATCACCCCGCGCTGCACGGTCCCGAGGCGGCGGCGGCGGCAGCCCGGGGCTTCCAGCTGCTTCCGCCCTTCGAGTCTACCATTCAGCGACTGCTGATGGTGATTGTGAATGTGGATTGGGCGTTCCATGACGTGCGGTCCGTGGGTCCGCACTTTCAGTTCGTCGGGCCCATGAATGCGGGTAGGATGGATTTGAAGTTTGGGGGCGGGACGGGGGTCGAAGGAGGGAACAGGCATGCGTTGCCGGGGTGAGGAGGGAACAGGCATGCGGGCATGGTGTGAAGAGGGACGCATTGCTACCATTGTATCGCGTTTTTGCCTGTTTAGCATGTTTGCTCGCATAGCGGCATACGTAGTACGTACCGGTAGGTATGAACAAGACGTATGTATGTATCCATGCACGCATGCAAGAACACAAATGATAAGATGTGAAAAGGGCCTGTGCTTTTACACCGCGTCCTAACTGTTTCACATGTTTAGAAGGTGGAAGAGGACGTATACGCCGGTCAAATTCCTCGTCATTGTTCACGCTTTAGGCTCTTCGTTACCTGTTGGCAAGTGTTTGCTTTCGTGTTGCCCTCCTCCGCAGACGTGCCGGCTCCGCTGCCGTCTGCGCTGCATTCCTTTGTGAGCGAGGGCGGGGATCGCAGTGACCCACGGGTCATCTACGTGTCGCCCGGCTCCACCTTCAGCTTCGGCGACCCGGGGCAGGCACACCTCATGCTGGTGGGAGCGGGGCGGGCGTGGGAGCGGCGAGGGAGGGGGCGGTGCAGGGATGTAGCCGCTTGCATGGGTGCGGTTTAGTGCGACTGGGGAGGTTTGGTGGGTTACCCTACCTAACCCTCATCCCGCTCCCTCTCCCGCTCCCTTCGTCCCAGGCGCTGCTCTCTCTTCCCGGCCGCTACCGCATCGTGTGGCGCGCCCGGCCCGCGCACCGCTCGCTGCTGTCCGCCCGCCTGACCGCCCTGGGCCACCCGGGCCTCATGGAGGTGGCGCAGCAGCCCTCCTCGCCGCCCTCCCCCTCCGCCCGGCTGCTGCTGCTGGACTGGGCGCCCCAGAACGACCTGCTGGGGCAGCCGGGGCTGGCGCTGTTCGTGTCGCACTGCGGAATCAACGGAGTCAACGAAGCAGTCTTCCATGGCGTGCCGGTGCTGTGCATTCCGTCGGGTAGGGCGGGAAAGGGGACCCGGGTGTGCAGGTAGTCGTTTCCACCATGATCGTGTGACCATGACCGCAAAGAAACACGCATTAGGGTAACGAAACCATTAGGGTATTGCCACGACGAGTAGCTATAACCATCAACGCCCCTCCACTCAGTTGCGGATCAGCCCATCAATGCGGCCATGGTGGTGTCGTACGGCAATGGACGAGCACTGGATCTGGCCCGTCTAAATGCGGCTGACGGCGAGGCGGTTGTACGACAGGAGGTGCTGGAGATCTTGGGTAACGACTCTTACCGGTAAGTGGAGAGGGTGTGCTGTTAAGCCGGTACGCTAAGTGAGGTCCCTAAAAGCCAAGATGTTGGATAAGGAGCAGCGGAGATGCCCGTGCACGATGCATGAAGTCCTAAGCTCCGGACCACTGGCCAGACAAGTGTTGCTTCCGGGGAACTGGTGGTGCCTCGTGCTGAGCTGCTGACTGGCCTGAACAAGCAGGCGAGCACCCTTCTGGACATTCCTACCGTTCCCTTTCTGTCCTTCCTCAATCGTACGAATAGGGTAATGACCCACAGGTCTGCCACTAGTAACACGTGTGGTCTTATCACACATGCTAGCACGGCCTCTGATTTCTCTCCCAAGCCATGAACCACTGGGTCTCGCTGACCCCTGGGCCTCTACCTCTTGCAACCCTCACTCCCTCCCCATCCCGAACGACTGCCCCTTCCCCTTGGTCCCCCTCCCTCCCCCTTCCCCGTCTTTCAGTTCGTCAGTTTTCCTTATTTTTACTCCCCCTTCCCTTGGTCCCCCTCCCTCCCCAGCCTGACCTCCCGGCTGCTGTCCGCCCGCATGCGGTCCCACCCGCTGCCGCCCGTGCTGCGGGCCGCACACTGGGTGGAGGCGGCGGCTGCGGCGGCGCGTGCGGGACCGCCCGGCTTCCTGGTTCCCGCGGAGGCGCTGCTGCCGTGGTGGCGGCTGGGCTTGGTGGAGGTGTGGGGGCTGGCGGCGGCGGCAGCGGGGGCGCTGGGATGGGGGTGCTGGGTGGGAGGCGGGAAGAGGATGGTGCGGGGGGTGTGTGGGCTGGCGGCGAGGTGTCGGGCGGGCGTTAAGGTGAAGGAAGCGTGCAATGAGCGGCAGAAATCAGATTGATGAGGAGGGGTGTGTGTTTGTGGATGCGGGCATGCGCATTTAGGAGGTGAGAGTGATTGTCCTGCGTGCAATATGATGCGAGCATGTAAGAGTGTATGGTTTCGCTTAGTCGTGTTTGGCTATGTGTTTGCTGTGTTGTTTGTCCGTTTCGTGACTTTCCAAAAGTATGCTGAGCTTAGAGCAGGCCTACGTGCAAAACGTGTCAGGAAGCGCGCTGGCACAAGGTATGCACAGCATTGCGGTCAAGCTGTGGTTAATCATGATGAGGGATTAATTGTAATGAGGGACCATCATTGGTCATTCCTCCTCCAATCAACACAAAGCGCGCTTGGCTGCGGTGAGGGCGGAATGCGGTTGGTGTTATCATTTTGGTGTTGCGTTGATCTGCCGCTTGACCGTGTGACTCTCTCGGGGGTTGCTAGGATGGGCTCGGGCCATGCAAATCGAAGGAGTAGGGCACCTTGGGCGGGCACTGCTGCTGTTTATTGGTGTCAATTCAATTCTGGGCAATACGGTACAGTATAATAAAGAAATGTTGCCGCTGTACGTTGCTAGCTATGGGCCATGTGCCGTGCAAGAGGATGATGATGGAGGGTACCGGTACCCCGCCCTGCATGCCTCACGCCAGGAGGGGAGGACAATGCCATCGGGTTGCATTTATGCATGGCGCGACGACTTCTGTGGATTTCCCTAAATAGTTTGCGAGCGACGGGAATGACTGCTGGCATACTTTCTAAATAATTGTTTCAAAGGATAAATGCAACTGCTTATAAACGGTGTTCAGAACGCTTCCAGTCGTAGCATGTAAGTTAAGCAAGTCGCTCGCAACGAACCTAGTCTGTCTTCGCGACACAAAACAATATGTAATTTCTGTAGCGTAAAGTAAAAAAATGTTATTGATAACTGATGTTAAGCATTTGTATTCCGTGGGCCGTTTGCGTTTTGTAACTGGCTTTTGGGTCCCGTTACTACCCGCCTCCGTACAGTTGGGTAAGCCGTTGATTCCGCTGCTTAGAGCGTTGACAGGATCAAGCGTAGCATACTACATACTCTGTTGGGGAATGGTCAAAGCCACCCGAGTTTTACGTGTCCTCGAGATATTCTATCTACATACCGGTACTGTTTTGATACGGACGGTGGCCAACAAACTATCCCATTGAGCACCATTGCCCTTGCATAGCTCTGAAAAGTGCTTTAAAGCACCTTACCTTCTATCCTACTTGTGTATGACCACACTAGCATCCCTGACACATTCAGCCAACCTTCCTGGGTTCTGACCGATCGCGTAGAATGTTAACCGGTTGCTCCGATGAAACGCTTAAGATATTAAGGTCGGCGCTTACTGGCGTCCAGGAGCCTGAGGCGGCGGCACGTGCAATTTGCGAGTCTCTGGGACAAAGCCGCGCAAGCATAGAAGTATGACATACAATTGCTTACTGCTATGCGATCCTTATATGGCAAGCAAGCTTTCGTGCAACACGTGCTCTATCCGCTACTTTTGCAGGATAAGCTCGACGGTCTAGGGTATGGCCTTAACCAGGCTTACCTACTCTTTGGTGGAGCTCTCGTATTTGTAAGTGCTTTGCGACTTGATGCGACTGATTGCTAGGTTCTTCCTAGCTGGCCTTGCTAGGCCCCATGGCCTCACTCACAAACAGACGCTTTTCCGCACAAACCTGAACCAAAATGGTCCGCATTAGGTCCTGAAGGTGGCTTTCTCTGATTTTGGTGTGCAGGTTATGCATGGAGGCTTCGCGATGGTACGTTTGCCACTGCTTTCAAGCCAAATTGGGGTTTAGGGGGTAAAAACTTCTGGCTGCTTCTGATTGACCTATCGCAACAATATTATAATGTGAGCCGTTCCTGTGGGGTCGAGACGTTGGTCAGCCTTTTAGCCCTTTCCCTAGCTAGCTCATGCCGAATGGGCTCTTCGTGTTCGCGTCTTCTATCACTTGTCTGATTCCAACGAAAGTAGACCCACACAACACTCTGCAAGCTATTACTTTTATAACACGTTCTACCGCGTTGTTTCACCTGATAAAGTTAAGAGCATGTTCGTTGCTTCTGTTGCGTTATTAGTCGACCGGCTACCATAAGTCGCGTATCACGATAACCTATTCCCTGTTTGCTAGTTTCATTACGTCTGCAGGAATGGCTTTCTGCCTAACCAAGCTTTCACGCTGACCCGCTGTTTGCCCTCGTTTGCCTTGATAGCTTGCTGCAGGGGCCATTCGATCAAAGAATGCGGTCAACATCCTGCTTCAAACGTTGATGGATGCCTGCGCGTCAGCAATCATGTGGTACCTCATTGGGTGGGTACCAACAGCCATTTAGAGCGGTTGATATTCGGTGGTTGGGAGTTGTCTGCCATATGACCACTGGGATGGGTAGACTTGTATGACTGCAGATTGGTTTGTTTCTCGCCTCGCCCTCTTGCGACATAGATTGGTTACCTCCAATGTCGCTACCACCCCACCTGCTTTTCGCTTGCCCCTTTCCTGCTGTACATGTCGTGCACACGCAGGTTTGGATTTGCTTACGGTATTGGTGACAAGCCTAACCGTTTCATTGGCGACGCTCTGTTTGGTCTCGCAAGGGCTAAGACCCACAACACTGGCAGCGGCACAGGTAAGGACTGCGCCACTGCTCCTGATGTGCGGCCAAGTTCCCACGATTCGTTGTGGCTCAAGGATGGCAAAGCGGAGTCGCTGCTGCTTTTCTCCATCACACGCATGCCCCAGCCATCGGATAGCCTGCACTGTCCATTTGCATATGCACAGATGTATCCCTTAAAGGGTTGGTTTGCTTCTGGGGCCACACACCCTTTTCGGCTCTCTCGCCTTACTTTGTCCTCGGCACATACCATTTGCCGTCCGACTTTCCTCTAGGTCGGTGGTTGGATTGGTTTTTCGAGTGGGCCTTTTGCGCAACTGCCGTCACCATCCCCGCGGGATCCGTAGCCGAGCGCTGTAATTTCAATGCTTACCTGGGTAAGGCTCTGGACCCATGTGGGGTTGTGAACAAGTGGGGCTAACACGGGTGAGAGTGAGTCCGTTATGTCACCCAGTGTTAAGGTACTACAGCTGGTGCCAGCTGGATCTCATCTTCTTCCTGTTCTGCTACATTCTTCTAACCGTATGCATGCCGTACGGGTCAACGCAGCCCCTGACCGTTGCTTGCACTGAATCACACATGCAGCAAGCGACTCGCTGAGATGGCGTTAGCATCGCGCAGTAGTGTCGTTCACGTAGTTAATAAATAACGATTAACCCCTGCAATTGCACACAGGGTATTCCAGCTTCATATCTGCCATCATCTACCCAGTCGTGGCACATTGGGTCTGGTGCGCGGAGGGATGGCTGGGGTACAGTACGACACATCCGCTGATCAAATGCGGCATGATGGATTTCGCTGGATCGGGTGTCGTACACATGGTGGGCGGCCTTGCAGGTGAGGGTGGGGAAGAGAGATTGTGGAGGTGTGGGGGGTTAGACTGAGAAACGTTAAAAGCCGTATGATATGTGAGAGAGACGATGAATTACTGAATTTATAGCACTACAGCAAGAATTGACTTAGTTGTGAATTGTTAGGTGAAGCTCGGAGGTGCCATAAGAAATGTATCGGCAAATGCGCCGTGCCAATGCCGTGCATGGGTGGGGAAAGCTGGCAGTTGACAGTTGGCAGATGACTTCAGTTTTGCGTAGCCCAGCATAGAGGCAGAAAGAGGCAACCGTGTTTCCTAAACACGTTTCCTGGACCTCTTTACCTCGCCCGCCCGTGCATGTTCATACCGCACACAGGTCTGGCGGGGGCGATCATGTTGGGCCCCCGCATGGGGCGCTTTGACGTCGACAACAAGCCCCTCCCGCTGCCCGGGCACTCCGCCGTGCTTGTCGTTCTGGGCACCGTACTGCTGTGGTTTGGATGGTACGTCAGGTGGAAACAATATAGATAAGTTCATCAACGGAGTCCCAAGCCCAGATCCCGAGGGAGTCGTACCCGCAGCAACCCTCTTGTTGGTGCGTCTGTTGTTGTCGTTCTGTTGTAGCTGTCCTTGAGAATGTGCTGGTTCGTGTTGTTGTGACTAGGAACAGCATGGACGCATGTGACGCACATACAACAGCACGGGTAGTAGGAAAGGAAACACAAACTAGGGCACGCAGGGACGCCAGCGGTTGTGAAATCCTAGAGTTTCGCAGCTAGCTTTCTGGCTTACCCTCAACCTACCCTACGCCGTCTCGCCTGCTCCTCCTTCCTTCCTCTCACCCCCCCCCCCCCACCCCTCCAGGTACGGATTTAACCCCGCCTCAACTCTCTTCATCGACACCCCGGTGATGGCCACAGTGGCCTCCAGAGCTGCTGTCACCACCACCCTCGGCGGCGCAGCAGGCGGCGTGTTTTGCCTGATCTGGACATTCCTTCGAAAACGAGTGAGTAGAGTGCCGAAGAGCAATTATTTGCCGTACCAACTTGCTTGTGCGCGAAAGAGGGGTGCGTAGGGAGTTCTTCACCTCTCCCTTCCGGTTTCCCTCCTCTGCTTACCAGCAGCTACAAGTTACCCCCGTTCCCTGTTCACATGTCCGCTGATCCCCGCACCGTCCCGGCCCCACAACCCCCCACAACCCCGACACCGGTGTCCAGAACTTCGACCTGTATGCGCTGTGCAATGGTGTGCTGTGCGGCTTCGTGGCCGTCACCGCGGGTTGTCATGTGTATGAGCCCTGGGCCGCCGTGCTGTGTGGGGCGGGGGCAGGTGAGGGAGGGGGGAGAACGGCTTGGTGGAGAAGGGTGGCGGACAGGGGAGGTGGGGTTATGGGGAAGAGACTAGGAGTAAAGGTCTCTTCCAAGAAGGTAGAGAGGGAGGAGGGGGGCATGTGTGGCGTGTGTTCATAAAACTGACTGTGACCCATGGGTCTCCCTGATGTTTTCCGACCTAGCGGGAGGGACAAAGGAGGGCATTGACGGAAGAACGAGGGAAGGTATAAAGAGCGGATGAGGGAGGAGGAGAGTAGGGATGGACAGACGTAGGGTAAAGGGGTGTTGTCTTAAACGACCGTTCCTACAACCCTGGGCGCTCCCTTCCTCCCTCCCTCCGTCCCTCCTTCCCTCCCGTCAAACCCTCCTGCCACCCAGGCATTACTTTTGATCTCGCATGCGAATTGCTGCTCAAGCTGCGGATAGGTGAGTAGTCCGGCCGGGAGGGGTACAAGACGCTGGTGGGGGTGTTGGTCTGGGAGGTAACGATTGTCCGGGGTCTGGAAGAAGAAGCACGGAAAGTGGTAAAGTGGCTGGTTAGGTGGGAGGGAGGCGCCGGTGCATGGGTGGGATGCGTGCTGCATCTTCCTGGGCTGGTTCTTACTGAGAGACGCTGTGCGCCCAGCCAAGACCAGCAAGGAGGAATAACGTTCTGCCGCCAACGTTACTTGTCCGTAAACTGTTCCAAATGCGGCACACGGCCCTCAGATGACCCTCTGAGTGCGGCGCCCATGCACGGCTGCTGCGGCGCGTACGGCGTGCTGGTGGTTGGGCTGTTGGCCAAGAAGGTAGTTGGGGATGGTTAAAGGCGGGCTTGATAAGTAAAGGTGTCGGAAATGCGGAGAAGGTTGCGGAAATGCGGACCTTGAAAAAAGGGAGCGTGGGATAGTTGGGATCCATGTGATGGCGGGAATAGAGGAAGCGATGTGTCTAGGGCCATGGGGTTAGGAAGGCGCAAAGATTCACACTAAGCGGTGTCCTTCATCCTGCCGTCCATCCATCCGTCCATCCATCCGTCCATCCATCCGTAAACTCGTTTTGCTCCTTGTGCATGACAACATACGAACGCACAGGAGTACGTCATGGAGAACTACAACCGTACAACCTACCCGTACGGTTTGTTCTACGGCGGCGGCGGGAAGCTGATTGCCTGCCAGGTGATTGGCGTACTGGCTATTGGCGCATGGACGCTGGGCCTTATGTTTCCATTCTTTTGGATCTTCAAGGTACGACAATTGACGGATTTGACGTGATGTTGTGCGATTGTACGCGAATAGGTCATACACGAATGCACGTCCCGTACAGTAGGAAGTGATCGCTGCTTCTCGACTGAGCCGGCTGCTGGAAATCCCACGGTCTCTGCAACACCAGACGGCATGCTCGCTTACAGCAACATTATGCACCCCTTCCTGTCGTAGTAAGACCCCAACACAACCTAATTTCTAACGATCCCCGCAAATCTTGTCTTGTTGGTGTCTCGTGTGGTACGTACGCAGCGGTTCAACCTTCTGCGAGTTCCCGCAGATGAGGAGCTTAGCGGCTTGGACATAAGCAGGTGTGCGGGTGTGCCTGGGGGGGGGGTGACAGGGTATGTGCTTAGTGTCGCGTATGGCGAATTAGCAAGGAAAGACAAGGCAAAATGTTAAGCTAAGCACGCACCAAGGAACACAACATCAGGTGTATGTACGGGTGCATTGCTGCTTGCGGCTGCCATGCTTACAGCCGGATAAGAGGATGCACCAGCTGTTGTTATTCAGGATTCGCGGTTGCGTTCGTACACGCCGATACGCTACCGTATTGCCATAAATTAATGATGCGCATGCTTTTCGTCTCCGTTGGGCGGATCTGTTGCTTAAACAGGCACTGCAGTCGGGCGTACTACATTGACCAGTACAACACGGGTGCACCCGCTACGGGAGAAGCCACGTACCCCATATCGTACGACAATACGTACAGCAATCCCGCGTACAGCATATCCGTCAAACCAGTGAGTGCGGCGAAACGTGCGGGGTGGGAATTCACCTGACCGGCGGTCTGGGCGGTAGAAGAGGACGGGAAGGGGGGTCAGGTTGGAAACCAGTTTCATGCTGTATCACTTTGCCGTTTATAACACCAAATACCATACAAACGCCAACTGGCCTGCTGCAAATGCACTGAGGGAACGCCGCTGCGCAACCGTCAGGCGAACAAGAACAACGGCGACAGAGGCGCCGTGGGAGATGCTATCATGCGGGCGGAAGTTATCGGCCAGGGCGCTGTTCCTGTCGTACATAAATGGAAGGATCCGGAGCCGCCGAAACCACCGCCGGTGCCGCAACCGTCGCTACCCCCGTACATGGCGACCCTGCGCTACGGCGGAAATGCCGTTGCTGTCAGCGGCAACAGCGCCAGTAGCCGATTGCAGCCGGACCCCAGGTTGCCCGGGGGATGCCTGGGGGATGACGGAATGCAGGTTACCGCGTTCATCAACGGTAAGCTTTATGTGTAACGGTCTTTCTGAATTGCATTAAATTAGTACGGTTCGGTGTTCAGAATACTGCGTTTCTCGTGACCCTGCACTGCTATCATACATTAATAGTAATAGCTAGATTACCTATCAGTATGCCTTATGCCGCTATGCGTGCCGTACATTGCTGTGCCCTAACCCGCCTGACCCCCTTGTATCGCACGCGCACAGCCGAAGACGAGGATCGGTTCATTATGGGAGCACCGCCATCTCAGGTCGCCGTACAACAGCAAAGCACTGCATCTTTACGTGGTGGTGGTGGTACGACAGCAGTACCCTTGACGGCGCGTGGTGACTCGGCGGCGGCTGGGAACTACGGCGACGGCGGTCGAGCCGTACCACGCGCCGCTTTCAATTAGCTGGAAGAATCAGCACATCTGAGAACACATGTGAGGATTTGCGGTTGGTAGGCAGTCCGTTTTGTTGCAGGAATGACTGTGCTTCATTACAGGGAAAGTGGGGTTGTGCGCCGTTATCTGAACGTGAGGAAGGGGGGGCAGGCCTTTCTACGCAGGTTGGGTGTTACGTTTGCAGCAGGATGGAAAGCAGCTCTCATGAGTGCATGCACACAAAGAAAGGGAAGCAGGTGTTGAGCCTGGATGTCGACAGTTGTTGTAGGAGGACCTCATTAGGACGGTTCATGGGGTACGCACATGTCTTTAGTGCGGATTTACGCGGATTGTTGGGTCATCCGCGGTCTGCTGTTTGTTTGTTGGGGGTGATGTACAGTAGGGGATGCAGGGTTCATGGTGCCGGTTGTAGCGTGCAGACAGGCTGGGAAGTATGCAGCTTGTAGGGATTGCGAGGTTTCAGGTTACTGGGGGCATGGGGTGCTTTGTTTCGTGCGTTTGCCGGCTGCTTTCCTCAGCAATGCTCCACAGGAAACCCGTACGGTAAACGACAGGCTTTGGAAGGATGCACGGACACCAGGGAAGACCGCCTTTTCGAAAGAGCCGCACATGGTGTGGCTTCAGGGCTTCAGTTCCGTTTGTTTTGGGTATGGCGGGTGGGGAAAGATCGGTTCTTCCAGGTTTGTACGGGTGTGTGCCTGTTCCTCGCTGTGATAGATGCCAGTCGCAGACGAGAGGCGTGAGTAAGTATAGTAAGTGCGTATGTATGCTTCATGCTAGCCCCGCTGCATGCCTTGTCCCGGTACGGCACGCGTACGGCTTGCTAAAGCCAGGGACCCTGTGCCCTTGTTCCATCCTTGCTTTCGGCTGGAGAAGCATAGTTGCTTGAAGACGGGAGGAGAACGTGAGCTAGTAAAGAGATGCTATTATCAGGCATTAATTTGAGATGGGTCGTTGCGTTGCTGCGGAGGTCCCCCAAACAAGCAATCGGTAGTAGACGCTCCCCACGTGTACGGCGTGTCATGCTGCCTGGGTGCTGTGAGCGAGGGTAGTTCCTGGGCTCAGGAGGCGACCGAAGCGGTGGAGGCGGGACAACAGGCAGTACGGGGATTGGTATGGATGCCGTCCTAACCATCCTTTTGCTCACATTGCAGGTTGTTGCAACGTCTTTTGCTTTCCCGGGCCTTTGCAGGAATCAGGAATGCCGCAAAGCGTTCGCCTTGCACGTTGCTCGGTTGCTGTTACTGGTTATCCAAGGCGGAGTTTGCTGCTGTCAGGCGTGCGTGTTTGGATGTGGGAAAATACGTGCGTGCGGCGGCGGAAACGAAGTGTGTGTTTTCCTCTTGAAGGCACGTGCAGTTACTGGATAGGGAGCGTGGCAATGCGTGTGGCAGTGGAACATCTCCGCGCTAGTCAGCATTACGTCATCAAGAGCTGTACTGCAACCTTTCGTACGTACGGCATTATTGGATACTTTGCTACGTTATATACTGCATTATTGCTTACCACCAACCAACTGCTAACCACCTCTCTAACACTTCACTCGGAAGCTTTATTGCCTAAGCTGCGAATCTTGCTTGTTTGGTGAACCTCCTGCTTCAGACGTACACGAGCAGTCCTTATTTGGCGTTTTTCCTTTGCAGTGATACTTATTTCCAAATGCCGTAGGTAGAGCCGTTGGCCTGCAGGTTTTGCATTCCTACCATGCGCAGCGGGGCGAAGGAAGTTTGGGGGTAGTTTCACCCTTGAGTGGCTTCCATCCACATTACCGTTCCATCACAGCATCAGTAGCCCTGGCACCAACACAATGTGTTGTTCTAATTTGGGGCCTGGTAAGGCTTTTTGCCGGGGCCCATTAGGAGTTTGTCCGGGGGTGGATGTGGATTGGACTGGGCGGAGTGTTTGGAGGTTTGGGACAGGGTTCCTTTCTGCTGTAGCTTAGGGTGACACACTCCGATTCCTGTTACGCGGCGTGGAAGGAGTCTGGGAAGGGAGGAAAGATGGTGATGCTGCAGGAATCGCAGTTGGAGGGTGAGCCGCGGCCTAGCAGCTGCCGCCTTGGTTTGGGGCATGCTACATTCGCTACGGATGGAGGCACATGCCTGTTGTATTAGCATGCGGAGGCCTGTCCATGCGGGCCGAAGCGGTGTCTAGGTGTGTAGCAGCAAAGCCAGCTCGTTCCAGGTTTCCAGCCACACGACACGCATGCGTGGGTGTCATGTACTAAGTGGCGTACAGCAATGCGTGAGAGATGAAGGAAATTAATGGGTAGGTACGACAAGTCCCAAGCATGAACGGCGCTGAATGTCGGGAACGACACAGAAAGCCTCCCGTATCGGTTGCAAAGGGCGGCACCCGTACCTAGCCCACCCCCGACGGGGAACACCTGCTGCACTGAGCGGTCACTTACAATGCGTTATATTACGACGCCTTTACTCAAAATTCCTGCGTGCCCCTACTCAACACGCTTGAGCGTGCGTCCAATCTCGTGTGCGGCAATCCGCCTTGACCTCCTCAGCCTTGACCTAATCCGCCTTGACCCTCTCAGCCGGCTCATCAGCATCGTCACCATCCCGCCAACCAAAGAATGTCATCTTGCTTCCTCCACTCACGTACGCGCTCACCACCCCACGCAGGGCAGCCCGCACCATCCTCTTCCCGCCTCCCACCCAGCACCCCCATCCCAGCGCCCCCGCTGCCGCCGCCGCCAGCCCCCACACCTCCACCAATCCCAGCCGCCACCACGGCAGCAGCGCCTCCGCGGGAACCAGGAAGCCGGGCGGTCCCGCACGCGCCGCCGCAGCCGCCGCCTCCACCCAGTGTGCGGCCCGCAGCACGGGCGGCAGCGGGTGGGACCGCATGCGGGCGGACAGCAGCAGGGAGGTCAGGCTGGGGAGGGGGGAAAAGGGGGAAGGGGGAGTAAAAATAAGGAAAACTGACGAACTGAAAGACGGGGAAGGGGGAGGGAGGGGGACCAAGGGGAAGGGGCAGTCGTTCGGAATGGGGAGGGAGTGAGGGTTGCAAGAGGTAGAGGCCCAGGGGTCAATATTATCCTGTAAGCGTTTCATGGCTTGACATACATAGGGAATACAGCATGCGATACCGCACCTGTACGAGGGGTCTTCTAGGATGGTTCGGATCTCTTGAAGGGCAATGGTCTGGCCGTTAGCGCCGTTAAGCTTGGCAAACGCCAGAGATCTGCCATTGCCGAACGACTTAATCATGGCGCCATTGAGCGGCTGCTCGCCCACTGAGGTTGATTGCAGGAATCGTTATTCGGGAAGGGGGGAAGGTCGGATGTGAAGAAGAAAGAGGTGACCCGTGGGTCGCCATCACGAAGGGCTTCAGGTGACAAACAGATGCCTGCGTCAGCAATAAAGCTAAGAAGCACGTGTAGGCAAGTGTAGGCAATCGCACAGCCTTCAGCCACATCGCCCTGCCTAGAGCCCTCTAGATACGCCTTCCCATGGCCCCCCACAGGACTCGTTGTCTCGACGCAACCCACCACCTGCTACAACTGACAGGTATGGACCAACCTCGCTTACAACTACAGCTACCGAGCGAACAAGCCGGCAGGCATGCACAGGATTTGCACTGGCTATCTCCAGGCCGCCCCCCTGCATGGCCTCAAGCAAACGACCGTACACTCACTGATAGGTACGCACAGCACCGGCACGCCATGGAAGACTGCTTCGTTGACTCCGTTGATTCCGCAGTGCGACACGAACAGCGCCAGCCCCGGCTGCCCCAGCAGGTCGTTCTGGGGCGCCCAGTCCAGCAGCAGCAGCCGGGCGGAGGGGGAGGGCGGCGAGGAGGGCTGCTGCGCCACCTCCATGAGGCCCGGGTGGCCCAGGGCGGTCAGGCGGGCGGACAGCAGCGAGCGGTGCGCGGGCCGGGCGCGCCACACGATGCGGTAGCGGCCGGGAAGAGAGAGCAGCGCCTGGGACGAAGGGAGCGGGAGAGGGAGCGGGATGAGGGTTAGGTAGGGTAACCCACCAAACCTCCCCAGTCGCACTAAGCCGCACCCATGCAAGCGGCTACATCCCTGCACCGCCCCCTCCCTCGCCGCTCCCACGCCCGCCCCGCTCCCACCAGCATGAGGTGTGCCTGCCCCGGGTCTCCAAAGCTGAAGGTGGAGCCGGGCGACACGTAGATGACCCGTGGGTCACTTCGATCCCCGCCCTCGCTCACAAAGGAATGCAGCGCAGGCGGCAGCGGAGCCGGCACGTCTGCGGAGGAGGGCGGGAGGCGGCACAGGAGGGAGTGCTGCCGTTGCCGCTTGTACCCTCCACGGGCACACTTTAACATATGGGTGCATGCACTCTTCCCTTCACGGCAGGCCATGGCAGCCCATGGCTTTTCTCACGGCAACTTGCAACCCGCACTCATGACCCTGCGTACTATACATCCGGTATCCGGCACCCCTGCATCCCTTCCAACCCGCTTGTAATGGCATACCCCGCCATGTGCAGCACAGCAAACCTCGCTTTCATTGGCAACTTACCCGCATTCATGGGCCCAACGTACTTGAAGTGCGGACCAATGGACCGTACGTCGTGGAACGCCCAATCCACATTCACAATCACCATCAGCAGTCGCTTGATGTTGACCTCTGTAACGCTCGATAGCTGGGGCTGCTGCTGCAGCGCGGGGTGATCTGGCGGCAGCAGCCGCAGGTAGGAGGTTGCGTTGAGGCTCCGACGGAAGCTCTGTGTGGGGAGAGGACGTATTGGGTAGGCAGGCCGGCAGATACGCAGGCATGAGGGTAAAGGAAGGCGGATGTAATGACAGGCAACAGGGCCTCCCATGGGGACACCGCAAACCTTGGTCGCTGAGAGCGTCCTGTTGGGTACGGCTTGGGTTGCTGCTGAGCTTCCGTGCGCATGCTGATGAGTTGGATGATGTTGGATCCCAGATTTCCGACCCGCAGCAGAGAGCGCCATTGGGACCCACCCCCGGGTGATATGTCAGCTTCGCAGCTCGCAGCTGTTCAGTCCGGCCTTAAGGACAGCCGTGTCACTACACCCCACCCCACCACCTGCAGTACTCGTAGACGACCGCAGCACGCCCCCCACCTTACCTCCAGCGCGGGTAGCACCCAGTGGGTGTGCACCAGCCGCAGCAGCACCGTGGCGCCCAGGTTGGCTAGCCGGTCCTGGGAGGGGTGGTGGACAGTGGGGGCGGGGGGAGAAGGGCACCGGTGATAAGGGATGCTATTCACTGAGCCGCGAGAAACAGAGACTTCATATGGCCGCCAACGGAGGGAAGAGGGAGGGTGTGTGCGATGCGTCATTAAGGGTTGGCTGGGTCTTGGAAGCGGGCGGCAGGGCGAGCAGGAATGCAACACGCGACCCTACGTTGGCAGGAACGGGGAATCCCTACAAGCACCCGCTCACCTTGAGGCCCAACGCAGTGTTGGTTGGCACGGGAACAAGATATGATGTCGTGACCGCAGGGGAGAAGGGCTGCAAGAAAGGGACAAGGGATGCAGCGAGGTTAGTTCCAAGTAAAGACAATAAATAAGGCTGAGTGGGCTTGGGCGAACAGGGGAGGCCCCCACATGGACCAAAATGTCGCCAGAGCCAGAGCCAGAGCTCCATTTGTAGCGTGCAGCTCGTTGTCATGAGTGCAATGTCCATTAGTTGGTGGAACGCGGCCGCATGATGTATATTGTAGGGAGTGTCATGCGTGCCTTGCCTGGTTACCGGCACTAGGGCATCATGGCTTAGACACCTCCTGATGCGACACGCAACACGAGGGGCCAGGCGCTGTTGCAGCCGGCGTACCTGGTTGTAGATGTTGAAGTGCCAGCCCGCGCGGCAGTCCCCAGAGTCGTAGTCCACGCGCGGGAGGCGCCAGAACTCCGCCACCGTGGAGCCGCAGGAGTCCATCATGTCGCCTGGCGGCAGCCATGCATGTAGAAGTGCAGCGGGAACATTTGTTGAAGTACATGTAAAACATGTAAGCCCCTGTTTTGTATGGGCTGTTTGTGCCACCACGCCTACGTTGCATGCTCACATTACCAATGCCAGCGCCAATCTACGCTTGCGTGCCCAGCCACATAGTCCCATGACCCACGGGTCATTTTTCAGCCTGTGCTACCCGAGTTGAAAGCGAGCCCCCAAAGCCATTGATTGTGCTGTGTGTGACACGCGTGCACGGCACCAACCGGCTTCCTCAATCCTAGCCTTTGCCATACTCCCAACCTACCAAAGAAGATGTCGAAACGGCCGTCAGCCACCAGTTGGTTGATGGTATCGTTCGCGAGCAATCGCCTGATGCATGCAGCAGGAGTGAAGCCCAGAGCGTTAGAGATGAACGTTGTATACATTACGGCCAAAAACGAAGCCAGGAGCCCAAGCCCAAGCACCCCAATGTCATCTCGCAACTACACCGTACGAACATAGCCACTAACGCAACCGTTTCTAACAAACAACTGTACCTGCAGTTATCCAACGTGTTTCCCAGTACATAACGAAACTGTTGGCGGTCAAGCATCGTGTAAGTCATTTGTAGCGCAGCAGCCACAGATGGAACGGTGTTGGCAGCGGTGCGTGCGATTTCATGCAGGGTTTAGTGTGAGTCGGAGGGGACAGAAGAGGGGAGTTGGATGGGGAAAGTGAATGAGGACATTAAGGGCATGGAAAGGTGTGAGGCGCTCGCGGCGAACCATGTTACGGTAACCTTCGGTACAGGCAACTGCATATATGGTTTAGCCCTTAAAAGTTAAGACCCACCAACCGAGCACAATCCAAGACTTTCGTGAGCCGGAAAAGTGTCCCCTTTGAATCCGAAGATCCATAAGTACAACAGATACGCATGAGAGGTTTCACGTATAATGTAACAGGTAGAATGTATCGAGGTTTGGTCGCGAGGTCCCTGCTTGCAGCACACCGACCTGTTCTATTGGCGATGAATTTGCAACCACCTCCGCACCGGCCTCCATGTCCCAGGCGTCGCGAAGTAGCAAAGTAAGGCCGCTCGGCAAATCCAACGAAGCCGAAGAAAAAATGTTTTCTCTTCTGGCGCGAGCGCGAGCGAAGGACTTGAAGCTGTCGCGCGCCCATGCCTCATGTACTTGCGGCAGTAATACCGTGACCGCATGACCACGAGCCGCTAGCTCGTATGATACCTTAAGCATAGGAAATGCACGAGAGCGCCATGCCACCGGCACCACCAAAATCCGAAAGCTTGCGCCGAGCTCATTAGGACTCGTCGCCTTCTGTGTTCAGGAAGTGTAGCCCAAACTCCTTAGCTAGGGATTTAACAGTGCAACTGAGAGGTCCACACGTCAGTTACACTGTAGCGGCAGGTAAAGTATCTGCAGGCGGGCCGACCCAATAAACCCACCTCACTTGGCTGAAGTCCGCATGCGCAATGTACTAAGATAAAACTGAATATAAGCCGTACCAGTGCTCTTTGCCAACGGAGATACAGGGCTTTGTTAAATCCGCCGGAAGACAGCTCTATGCTCGCCATGGGAGTTATGGTGCGCGTGGCCAAAGCTAAAGGACCAACGTGCTTGCAGGTGGTAATTTAGAACTTCTGCACTCCCACTTCATGTGCTCCGAAACATATTCGTAGGAAAAACTGCAACCGTCACAAACGAAATTGTTATTTAAAAGTCCTAAAGCACTTCCCTGTAGTCAAATTATTGAATGATATAAAAGTAACAGTGTAGAAGCCAGATTTGCAAAGATTCTGTGGAGGGTGGAGGTCATGCCAGTCACCGCGCGATGTAGGCGAGGCCAGGATGTACACACCTGACTCCGTGTATTTTCTGCAAGCTGATGGTTAAGGCGAAATGGGCATGTTACCTCTACATTGCTTAAGGATAACTGTTGTTCGAGGAATGACGGTTACGCTGTGAAGACGAAGCTGTCGAACTACCGCGTAAAGGCATACCGGTACGATACGCATTCATCAACACGAATCTCGTTAATGGAGACAATGAAGTGGTAAGGCGCATGAACCTCCAAAGGTATTGTTGCAGCTCAGGCATATAGGTAAGCAGAGGACGCCTCCTTTGCCCCCCTCTCCAGCGTTATAGTGTGGATTGCACTACTTAACTGCGTTCGTGTCAACAACTGTAATTCAGGACTTTGCAGGGAGATGTTGTGAAAATCACTGCCGGTCATGAGCATTACATTTATGTTGTTCGTCACCGGCAGCGAGGCACCTGGAAGGCATGGGGAGGGAACGGCCAGCGCGTGTATGTTCTGCGCTTGGGATCTTACCGGATTCCGCACACCGGCTGCTGCCACACCGTCGAACAGCTGCGCCATCGCCAGTGGTACCGCCTCGGGAACAGCGCTTGTTGTCGTAATTGGCGATTTTAATAGTCTTGCTCTTTTGCTTTGTGTCGTGTGCTGTACTACGGTATCTGACGACGCACGTATGTAAACTGCAAAGAAGGTTGATCGTCGTCGTGTCGTACATCTTCTGGGGCCTGGTCTGATGGAAGACTGGCTGTCATCTATTCTTCCCTGGAACATTGACATACCAACGTGGTCGTTTTGCCTTTGCTATTTTGCTCACAGCCACTACGTTGTGCTTCTTTTTATCAGCGGGAAAGTTTCCAAGCTGATTTTGACAGGCAAAGATGGAGTTTGTAACGGACTCTATTAACCAGATACGAAAAATGAAATTTCGGCAGTTCCTTGCTCAAGGCGTGCAGTTAGGCAAGCGTTTGCACTTGCAGTTGTTCATAAGGGTTGCTGGTTGCCGCACCAACTACTTATTATAGTTCCTGCGGTGGTGCTTGCGGCGCACAGGTTTAATTATCACGTCGGCGCTTATGATCTGGAAATCGCTTATGCTGGTGACAGGCAGCGAGTCCCCGGTGCGTCTTGGTGTTCCTGAAATTGTATAACATTCCTGTTAAGAAGTAAATACGCTGTTTGCGCCTCTTTGCAGGTGGTGGTAGTCCTCAGCGGGAGCATGGAACCAGGCTTTTACCGAGGAGACATCCTGTTTCTTAACATGGGGAAAGCACCCATACGCACTGGAGAAGTTGTTGTCTTTAACCTAGACGGTCGTGAGATTCCAATCGTCCACCGTGTCATCAAGGTACATGAGCGCAGGAATGGCACACACGTTGACATCCTCACCAAGGTACGCAGCAAGGAAAGCATTGGTCGGGTTGGATTTGGGATAGGGAAGGCGTGGGCGGTAGTCAGGTTGTGGAGGGGTTACGTGGGTACATGACACGCGTAACCTGCTGGTGGACAGACATTGAGACCCTGGTGAGACTTTATCCTCAAGGAGCACCGAGCCCAAACGCGTTCACACCGCACCGTTAATAACGCCGTGCATCTTAACCGCCTCCGCCTCCCCTTTCATTGCTCTCACGCTTCCCTGCTGCCTGCTTCAGGGTGACAACAACTATGGAGACGACCGGGCGCTTTACAACCGCGGGCAAGAGTGGTTGCACCAGGAACACATCATGGGAAGAGCAGTCGGGTAGGAATGGAGCATGGTTGCTGACAGGATTTGGAGACGCTGGCAGCTATTGCAACTTGTACATCTACACGATAACCTTAGGAAGGTCTCCAAAGTCCGAGGCTTGCTGGGATGTTTGCAAGGAGAAGCAACAACGGCTGCAGCACGCTAGCACGCCGCTTTCATGTTGTCTCCCTTGTCTGTTGTCCTGTTGCTCCTGGCGCTGCACATTCCTCCGCCTCCTCTTACCCGTGTACCGGTATGCCTGCTTCGCAGTTTCCTGCCCAAGGTCGGCATGATTACCATCTTGATGAACGATTACAAGTATCTCAAGTTCGCGCTGTTGGGCGTTCTGGGCCTGTTGGTGATCACCAACAAGGAAGGGTGAACAACGGGAGGTGGAGGCCGGATTGGCGATTCCTTTGCGGCTCACGAGTGAAGGAGCTCTGAGGTGGCTTTTCCGCATGCCCCAGAAGTCATGCTAGGGTAAGACCACCTGTGTCCTGCTGCTCATGCACAAAGATGGTGGAGCGGGGTCCTTTGGATGGATGGGAGGATGGGATAGAGGGGAGTAGCCACGCGAGGTGGTCTAGGGCTGCTGGCGCTTACGAACAAGGAGGGTGAAGGAAGGGTGTTATTAGGCGAGAAGGGACGGGGAACATGAGGAAGAGGCAGAACATGTCGCGGTCTAAGCGGAAAAGGACTTGGGACATCCGGGGTGACCTGGAGCAGCAGCAGAATGCGGGTTTGTAACAGTACGGATGCCTGGGATACCTGGCAAGGCATTTGTGAGCATGTTGATGCCATGACGATATGTCGGCAACCATGGGTTACGACTATGGTGCGGGTGAAGGGACAAGTGTCTGCTATGTCGTATATGCACGGTACGGTATGGAGGAACCGTGGCGATGGATGGCTGGTGTAGAGTGTGGCACCGTTTGAGCCTGCAACACATGAAATTTACCCTGATAGTGCACATATTCGTAGCCGGCTTTCCTTATCTGGTCGGGAAAAGAGTTTGCTTTCCCTCATTGCCAAGACACTTTGATGCTGAACTGGATTAACCGTTAGCATATGATTGTTAATACACAATGAAGTGTATTAGTGATTGAAGCTCTTGATACCATTGGTGTGCAAAATGGCTTTGGGCCATCGGGCCCCTTTGGGTAAACGACGATTTCGCTTCCTGGAAACAACGCCCTCCACCTGCCTTACCGTCGCATATAATAGAGCACTCCATACTCTTGCCAGGGGGTGTGAAGCGTTCTCCGCCTTTTCTGCTTGACAGCTGTTGGCCACTGTGTTGACCGCGATTTCTCTCCTTAGCTGCGACTATCTGGTCTTGTGCATCCTTCTAATCGTTTCTGGAAGAACGTATTGGAGAGATTCAGTCACTCTTGCTTAGACTCAGTCTTTGGCGCCTAATTCCGTTCCGTTAGTTTCCTGGTGCTGAGGCCAAGCCAGCCGGGCCGTTAGGCCCCGGCTGAGGAGCCATGGAGCCGGAGTATGCAGCAACGACAGGTCCATCCGTGTCACAGCAGGCCCAGCCAGCATCGCCCTTGCGGGACCATAGCAGGCAGAATGTTCACGCTTCCAGTCCAGTGCGCAGCCCCTTGTGGTCGCCCAAATCCCGAGTCACATATAGCGATCGGTTTATCCCTTCAAGGGCCGCAGCAGCTCGGCTGGACTTCAGCATTTTGGATCGGGAGTTGGCGACATCGGACGTGCTCAAGCAAGCATCGGACAGAGAAGTAAGAATGATGGTACAAAGGGTTTGCAGGTGATAGGTAGGACAGCCATGGTGGGTTATAGCCTATAAGTACACTTGAGTGTTATTTGGCCATCGCCCACGAGCAGGTTGGCGACGAGGACCATGGAGGACTTGCATGTTGGTGTATTTTGGCCCCCCTCTATAGGCACTTCTTTTCCCCCAATACAACGCATCGCGCGTCTGCTCTGTCCCTTGGTCCTTTAGGTCCCGTCTTCCGCTATTCCACCTTTCAGCTTTATCCGCGACTCACCATCCGTGCCCAATCCGTGCCAAACATAATAGCAGCTGGTGCAGAGCGTTAACGTTGGCATGGTTGTCCGCAGGACTTGAACCCCGCGTATAACCTGCTTCTACGGTCGGAGCTGCTTGGGTCAACGTGCCCAGGAGTCATATCACCGGATAAGGTGGGAGCAATCTAGACTTATGTCACGAGGGCATACCTGCTGCCGATATCGTACTGGAAAGCGCTTCTTCGCCTGCTGACAACGCCCTGGATGACAACCGCTTACCTGCCTTACTGCATGCCGTACGACATGCTCCGCTATACGGCATGCATCCACGGTACACCCCACCACACAGGTGCAGCAGATGGAGCAGCTGCGAGCTCCCGCCAGTCCGGGCAAGAGCCTCTTCCGCTTCAAGACGGGCGACGTGCACAGCCCGCATGGTGGCCCCGCGGCGCAGAGCCCCTTCGTGGTGTCGCCGGTGGGAGATGACACGGCCGCCGGGTCGCCCTTCGCCAGCCCGCGGAGAGCACAGCGGAAGATAGCTCGGGCGCCGTTCAAAGTAAGGAACACCTTTTGAGGCTGTTGTGAGAGGCGCCTGAAGCACATGCTCCTCCTGCCCGCTTTTGCCTACCCTGCCCTACCCTCTTGTTGACCCCCAACCCCACCCCACCCGCAGGTGCTTGACGCTCCCTCCCTGGCGGACGACTTCTACCTCAACCTGGTGGACTGGTCCTCCCAGAACGTGCTGGCGGTGGGGCTGGGCACCTGCGTGTACCTCTGGTCGGCAACCAGCAGCACGGTAGGGGGGAGGGGCGGGGTGGGGGGGCGAAGGAGTGGAGGAGTGCATTCGTGGGTGTTTATGTTAACAAAACTGGCCGCGAGTCAGAACGCACTGCTATTGCCGAGCTGTTATTGTGTGTGAAAGGGGGAAGGGGACGTGCGGGTCTTGGGTCATAACGTCATGAATTCTACACGCACACATGGTCAAATAGGGATGTATGCCCTTCCATCCCCCTACGTGCTTGGATTCACCCCTTACAGGGTGACTACAAAAGTCGTCGACGTTGTGCGACCTGCCGCTGCCGACACGGCTTACCGCGTGAGCCCCGCTGTCAACCCTCTTACGCCCCGCCCCCTTCCGCCCGCCCCAATATGCTTGCTGTGGCACCCCCACCCCCGGCCTGCAGGTGACCAAGCTGTGCGACCTTGCTCCGCACGACACGGTGTGCAGCGTGGAGTGGAGCAAGCGCGGCACCTACCTCTCGGTGGGCACCAACAGCGGCAAGGTGCAGATCTGGGATGTGGCCAAGCTGAAGCTGCTGCGCACCCTGGAGGGGCACCGCGCGAGGGTGGGCACGCAGGTGAGGAGCGGGGAGGGGAGAAGGGGGGCATGGGAGGTTGGAAGCTCCACAGGGGCATCTGTAGGCAGCTGAGGGGCAGCTGGCTCGCTTGACCATCCTACTCATCAGACGTGGGTCTTGTGTGCCAGAAACTGTGTCCTTCATGGCCTCTGTCCCTGGCCCGGTACTTCCTCTCCTCCTCCAACCCCCACTCGCCACCCGCTCCTCCCCTAGGCCTGGGGCAGCCAGGTGCTGTGCAGCGGCTCCCGCGACCGCCACATCCTCACCCGCGACATCCGCTGCCCCGAGCACTTCATCTCCAAGCTGGTGGGCCACCGCTCCGAGGTGTGCGGACTCAAGGTGGGTGCGGCACTTGCGGGTGGGGGTTGAGGGGGGAGGGAGGGATGGCGAGGGGGCTTGCCGCGCACTGTGTCGGGCACCGCCCTGGACTCGGACTTGCGAAACGCGGGTAGGAACCACAGGAGAGCAGGAGAGGAGAGTAGGAGAGCAGCACGAGACGGAGGCACACCCCCGGTATCTCTCGTTTGCGTCCGCGCTGCGCCTTGTCGCAAGACCCTGCATGCACCGCATGTCTCGCAGCCCTGTGTATTATTCTGTCCGCTCCTCCTCTGTCCTCCTGCTCAATACCCCCTCCCCCTTCCGCGCTCTCCTCAGTGGTCCCCCGACGACCGCCAGCTGGCCAGCGGCGGCAACGACAACCAGCTGTGCATCTGGTCGCTGCCCGCCACCTCGCCCGTGCTCAAGTTCTCAGACCACACAGCGGCGGTCAAGGTGGGTGGTGGTCGTCCTGCTTGGGTGGCCCTTCTAGGGGGTGTCCTAGGACTGACCGGTGACAGCTTTTCAGAGACACGGCTCTCGTACCGGAGTCTGTGTTGGGGTTGCGTTGCGGCGTGCACCCGCCACCCCAACAGCACCTCCTGTTCTCCACATCACACCTGTTTCCCATGTGGCCCCGTCTTGTGCTCCAGCCATCATGCTTCTTCCCGCTGCAACCCATTGCTAGCGCCAATGCAACGCGTCTCCTTTCCTGCTCCTCGCGTCCACCCGCTCGCTCCACATCAGGCCATCGCATGGTCGCCCCACCAGCACGGCCTGCTGGCCAGCGGCGGCGGCACCGCGGACCGCTGCATCCGCTTCTGGAACACCGCTAATGGCACCGCACTCAACTGCATAGACACGGGCAGCCAGGTGGGGCTTGGGGGGAGGGCATGTATAACCTGGATCTGGCAAACATGGGCCAGGAACGCTGTGGAAGACGTGTTTCGGAAGACGGAGTTGCGCACGGTTGCCTTGCTTTGGTCAACTACATGTAGGGGAGAGTATTGGTGCGGTGGGCATTAGCAGATGGGGATTGTGCAGACTGTTAGAGGTTTTTTGCGCTGGCCGGAGAGTCATGAGGGTGTGCGGTGTGACCCCTTCATTCCTCCATTTCGAATCGGAATCCACGGTACATTGTACGACACCTTCCCGTTCCCCTCCTGTACACCCCTGCAACGTCAGGTGTGCAACATTTCCTGGTCCAAGAACGTCAACGAGATCGTGTCCACCCACGGCTACAGCCAGAACCAGGTCATAGTGTGGAAGTACCCCTCCATGGCCAAGCTAGCAACGCTCACGGGTAGGAGAGGGGGAGGGCGGAGGGTTGCCAAGGGTTGCTGCGCCGCTTGCGTTCCCTGCTGTGCTGTTCACACTCGACAGTCAACGCGCCACAACTTGCCATTCTTCCGCCTTGAACTACGCCCCCCTGTCTGGCCCTTCTCCCAACCCTTTGCATGCCACCCCCACCACCACCACCAGGCCACACCCTGCGTGTGCTCTACCTCGCCATGTCCCCCGACGGTCAAACCATCGTGACGGGCGCGGGAGACGAGACGCTGCGCTTCTGGTCGGTGTTCCCATCCGCCAAATCCGCGGGACCCGACACCACCGTCGCCAACATGACACGCACAACCATCCGGTGAACAGAAGACACAGTGGCAGCTACCCTGTTTGTCGAAGGCGCAGTACGGCAGCCCTGCTTTCCTTTTGGGATAGTTCCATGGGGAAGTCGCCAAGAAGGGGAATGCCTTGTCCTAGGTCCAGGGGGTGCTGTCTGCGCCTGATTAGCACCAGACTCTCCTTGGGTGTCCAGGATGTGAGGTTGGGGAGATAGTGGGCCGTGTAGAGCTAGGCCGTTGCTCGCTTTAGTTACGTCCTCTTGCCCTTGGGGGACTTGGGCCACTGAGGGGTTAGACAGTCGTTGCAAAGTTGCTGTAGCTATGAGGTCGTGACCCAACTACGCATGCATGCGACTTTGCCCTACATGCAAGAGTCGTGCATAGGACAGAAACAAATATACCGGATGTGTATGCCTGATAGGCTGTAGCATGTAGCGTGTTATAGGGTGTGTCTGTAGTTTGCATGTGTTCTGTGCGTGGATGGTACGATACCGAAAGGCGCCGGAACGAAGCCAAAGATCTGTACATAAAGGTCTGAGATATAAACTGGCGAATGGCGCTGATGTGATGTGTATATTGTTGACAGAGCCAAGCATGTGTGTACGTGTCCGTGCGCGTGGACCCATGGGTCATGGGTAGGATGGCAGACTGCGGTTTTATGTTTCCCAAAGCACGGTCATATATTTGTTTGATACTTGGCGGAACTGCGGTTAGCAAGGGGTTCCCTCGTTGGGCAGCTTTTATTGCGTGGGACGCCATTAACTGTGGTTTTGGGCTTCTATCAGGCGCCGTTGTCACCCGCAATGCTTGCTGCTGCAATAAAAGCTTTGTCGCCCTGTACGGAAATACATGTATTGGCTTGTGCGGAAAGGGACGGGATGTACTTGGCAGGGCTTGGCCCGGTTCACCAAACCTCTTTGCTTTCTTGCTCTTGCTGATGCTATGTCGCGTGCCTTCCTAGTCCTGGACGTGTGCTACAGGGTTTTTCAGCCGCGTCCCAAAGGAGCATGCTGCAACTTTCTTTCCTGATCCTTTTATGCGTCGTGCTATCCTGACCCGTCGGTTTTGGACCAAGGTGATTTTGTGGCAGGAGACAAGCCCTCATGATTCAGCGCTTTGTACGATAAGCCGGTTACTGATTCGTGGAAACCCCATAGCGCCCGCAACTGAAGAGCGTTGCGGTTAACTCGGGTGCGGTCGTAGTAGACCTGCGACGGTATGACGTCATGCTTTCTTACCAGCAAACGTTACTGTAATGTTTGGAAATGTAAATAAGCAACCCATTTGTAGCCATTCGCTACAACTGTACATCTGCCTTCCTAGCTACGCGGTTGAGCAACTACCACAAGCAGCAAATGCAAACAGCAATACAACGGCTGATGTACGGCAGTCAAACAACTAGCTACCCAATGCAACGTAGCACTCACCAGACAACGGCTGCCTTCTGGAGTTACAGAACACTTAGCACGTACACTTTCTGCACGACCCGAAGCCACGTGTATGCCTTTCAGTTGTCATGGTCTTCTCCAGACAACCTCCTTTTAGCAGCACAGAAGACCTCGAGGCAACGCAATACCAGCAACACAACCCCTCCTCCCATCTCTCTCTGCTTCCATATCCGCTCCCCAACATCATCTTCTTCTCCCACAACCCTCGCTCAAGGACTCCGTACGGCGCCCCCCATAGCAAGCGGGCTTCCGCCACTCGCAGTTGTCGTACCCGTCGACGGCGTATACTCGCTGCCGTACTCGTCACTACCGCCGCCGCCACTGATGCCGTACTTTCCACTTGGCGACGCCGCACCCCCATCCCTGCCATCCGCCCCAGCGGCCCCAGCGGCCCCAGCCCGAGCGCTACCTGCGACCCCCATGCCGCCGCTAGTGGCAGCAGCAGCAGGCCGCGGCAGATTGGGGAGCCTTGGCATCAGGAAAGGCGAGCTGCGGATGCGGCGGCGGAGCAGGCTGTCCCATGCGGCCGCTAGCGTGTCGGCGAGGTCGGCGGCGAGGCAGGCGGTGAAGCAGCCGGCGGTCTGAGCCAGATGCCGGTGGGCCCACCTGGGGGGAGCGGAAAGGAGGAACGCGGACTGATGAGGGGTGTGTAAACCGGCGGCAAGGAGGGGTGCGGGGTAGGTGCTAGTGGGGTGCTGCCGTACAGCAGGTGAAGTGTGCGGAGCTGCGAGAAGCAGGTGTGAAGCTGCTGCGCGCGGTGTGTGTGCCCTCCGTGGGCTGTGTGAGCCCCCTGCGCACTGAGGGGTGTGCCCAGGGTTTGCCATGCCCGGAAGGGAAGAACGAGGGGTACAGGGGCAAGGAATGTAATCAAAGACAGATGCGAGATGCTCGGCGGCCAGGTGGCGGTAGGGTGCTACGTTCTTTACCAGGACTCCGGGGACATGCGAAAACGACCCCCTTGCTGCCCCCTGCTGCTCTCTGCTGCCCCCCTCCCACCCCCCCGCATGCAGGTGCCGGACCTTGCCACACCCCCCAGCGACCAGATGAAGGCCTCCCGACTGATGTGGTCGTACTGCTCGTACACCAGGAGGCGCCCGGTTTCGGGGCAGGGCCGGAACTTGAGGAAGATGAGGGTGGGGTAGATGCCGGCGGAGAGGAAGGGCAGGGCTTTGAGGCTGACTGGAGGAGGAGGTGGGGAGGAGGGGAGGAGGGGAGGCGTAGGGGATTCAAAGACCATACCAAACCAAGAGGAAACGGTAGGGGAAGGGGGGGAAGTAATGAGAGAATGCGGAAAATGGCTGATGAGAAGGGCGGGGGGGAGAAACAGGTTGTGGGTGAGTAGCCGCAATCGGGGAGGTGAGTCCTTGGACGCTACTGGCCTTGGATCTCAACTGGCGATATTGCATGCATCTCAATCATTGTGAAAGGAGTAGCGCCAGCGCAGTGCAGCACACCACCGTAGCCAACCCAAGGCAGGCTGGCCAACCCACCCCCACCTGAGCTGCCTAAGCCCCTCCGCACCCACGCCCTGCCGCGCTAGTCGGCGTTCCTACGGTAATCGCCATCCTGCCACCGGCCACCGGCCAGCAGGCACCGGACTTCCCCGCCTAATTCCCGCCATCCCATGCCTTTGTGTGTGCTGGGCATTCGCATCATGCACGGTGCAATCACAGCACGTTCCAACTCGTGGCCAGCTTTCTGAACACAAACTTGCAGCCAGTTCCTATAGCACACATACACACTCCCTCCCACCTACCATGCTGGTCCACCCACACCACCGCACACAGGGCCCCTGAGGGCGGCGGGGCGCCCCGGGCGGGGTCGCCTGCGGGCTCACTGCGCTCTGTTCGGGGCCTGAGGAGGAGCGGGGGGCGGGGAGCAGAAGGGAAAGCAGAAGTCGACACTGCGTTAGGTACGAACGGGGGCTTTATGTCACGGACAGCTTCGGTCATCGCCTGGCTGGCGCCTATATAAACTGTTAGTTGGGACAGGTTGGAATGGACTTGTGCTGAAACCGTATGCCGTATGCTCAAATAAGGCGGGATGTACGGCTTACCGTGGGTCAATTACGATTTCCCGTATGATTGGCCGTACGACAAGCACCGCAGCGTAAGCCCGGTAGATCTTATAGATCTCGACTGCGTTGTTGGCTCGAGCCAGCATGTGGATCATTTGCGCGTCCGGGGTGTAGTGGTGCCGTACAGTACGTCGGATCCGCTCCGGATCCTATCGTTGGGGGGTAAAGAGGAAGAAAACCGTTAGCCAACCGTCATGTCATGTGGGGTGGTGGGGGCCGTAGGTACGACGACGACGGGGTGGGGGCGGGAGCTCGATAGCTTTTCCAGTATGCGAGCTGGGTCCTACACACCCTCACATGCCTTGCGCGGTCTAAAGCACATGGCCTACTCATCCAGGAATATGGGAGATGGCTGGACAGAAGCTTAAAAGAGGCAAGGGGCCCGAGCGCGGCTAAAGCGCTGCGGCGGGGTCGACGCCCGTTCCTAAACACGTTTGCTTGCCACCAACGCAGGCTCGTACTCTAACAACGGAGAGTTCCGCATCCCGTCCCGCATCACTTCGACATCAAGCTGTTGAGGTTTTCCTGGCCCTCACAACCACATCATTACCTGGCTTAGCAAGCCGCTTACGAGGCCGCTCAAGAGCTCATCAGAAATCCGTTCGTAGGCCGGAAAGCCGTCCGAAGGACGCTGCTGCTTACTAGCACTAGCTGTCATGTAAGAAGAAGATGATGATGAAGAAGGAGGAAAAAGTTCCATGGCGCTACTGCTGCGGTAGCCTTGAAAGCCCCAACGGCACGCTTAATTTAATCCATGTCGGCTTTCCTTGCAAGTCTCCTAGTTGGAATGCTTTCTGTTCATTCCTTGCTTACGGAACATGTACCTGCGTTGCGTTCCGTTGGTAATCTAATCTATTACGGCAGCATTTGGTACGTGCACATACAATCGAAAGCCTGGAGAATGGAGAACCGACTTGAATTGAGCGTGAAACGGCTGCAGCGCGTTGCGTTGCGTATAGTATAATAGGAGCCCTGCAATCATCAGCGCCTCTGCTGCCAGTCAGCCCTTGGAGGTCCTTGGGCATTATCAGTCTCAAGGCGTAACACGAGGTGACCCACGGGTCATAGTTCCTCAGCTACAGGTGCCCTTACATTACAGACATGCGTTCGTATGCATATGCATGCATGCCGCCAAACGTATCCTTTCCCCGTGACAGCAGCACACCGCTAAAGCACACATACACCGCTGTGTAGCACGTGGAGGTATCCCGGAGAGAGGACTAGATACGGGGTACCCTGTGGTCAGGAGTTAGTGCTCGTGTGCATGAGCAAACCCAATGGTCGACAGGCCCATTGAGGAAACGTACGTACGCAGGTGCATACACACGTGTTATTAGGATCAACCTACTGCAGTACCGACTGCAGTGGTTACCACACAACTGCCAATCAACCGCCATATCTCCAACCGTCAACCCGTTTCAACCGGCCTCGCTGATGTGATGAGTTGCACCTCCTACACCTATACCCGCATGAAGCAACGAGGTTGACAACTGTACGCCCTTTTACCGTGCACATCCCTTAACCGTGCATCCCTTTACCGTGCACATCCCTTTACCGTACACCCTGCAGTACACCCTGCATGCTACTCCAACGACCACGTCCCTTGGTCCCCTCGTCTTAGAAACTGGTTTAATGTCTACCATCCTCCTCCTTCTGCTGAACTGCTCCTCCTCTGTCTCCCCAACCTCCTTCTCCTCCTCTCCACCTCCTCCTGCCGCTGCCCGCTGCCGCTATGCCGGTGCGGCCAGGTGGCTGCCGTCCAGCTGCCGACCCGCCAGACCGTAACCTGCGAGCGCAACACAGAGAGGAGAGACGGAGCAGGAGGAGGTGGTAGATGAAGGGGAGGAAGAAGAACAGTAAGAGGAGGGACAGGATGCCCTGCAGTGTCAGGACGAGGAGGAGAGGCAAAACATAAAGGGACATAGGCTGGATGTGGAACGGAAGGGCCCACGGAAACAAGACACATGATGGTCAGTGGTGGTCAGTGGTGGTTAGTGGTTGTCAGAGGAAGAAACGGGTTCATCGCCAGACATCATGGCCCTCAGCCCCATGTCCCTCGGGAATCCGCACTTGCAGAGCGGCCCCAAGCCCCCCCCCCCACCTCCGCCCCATGGCCCTCACCGGTAGCTGCGTGGTCGATCTCCCCGGGCAGCTCGTTGGGCCGCAACTGAACCCTACTCACACAGCCGTCACCCGCTCCATCACCCTTGCCACCACCTCCCTTTCGCGGTAGCGGTGCCCCGCATGCTGCCCCGCTGCCGCCGCCTGCACCGCCGCCACAGCCGCTGGCAGCGCTGGTGTTACTGCCACCACAACCGCCGCTACCGCCGTCAGCCTTGCAATCCTCCTCATTCAACACCTGCTGCCGTACAAACCGCCAGATCTCCTCAGCAAAGTCAATGCCGTACGCCATCATCCCCATGCCGTACATCACGGCCGGCGCCACAAGCCGTTCGAAGATCCACCGGGAAGGCTCTCCGAAACTCCACATGAAGGCGTACAAGCTGATGTGGTCGTACTGCTCGTACACGAGCGGTCGACCGGTTTCGGGGCAGGGCCGGAACTTCAGCAGAACGATGGTGGGCACGACGGCCTCGGGCGTCGCCAGGAACGGCAGCGACGGCCAGTACTTCGGGGTGACATGCTGATCGAGCCAAACGGCGGCGGAGGTGCAGCCTTCCGGCGGTGGCGGCGCTGCTGCCGCTGCCGTACCTGCTGCCGCCGCCGTCGCCAGCGCATGGCGACCTGGTCCCGTCAGCACACCGACGTCCCTGCCGTACTCGTGACGGTGATGTTGCTGCTGCGTCTGCGGTTGGTGGCGGCGGTCGTGATCGTGGTCACGGCTCCCAGATGGGTAGTTATTACCCTCATATGGGTTTCGGAGGCGGGTGTCAATGGTGATGTCGCGAACCACGGGTCGCGAGCGGAAGGCGGCGGCGTAGGAGCGGTACACTCGGTACATGTCGAGCGCGGTGGCGGCGCGGGTGAGGTAGTGGTAGAGGACGGCCCCCGAAGCGTAGTGGCGGGCCACGGTGGCTCGGATCTGCTTGGGGTCCTGGGTAAGGGTGCAGGGGGGAGGGGGGAGGGGGGAGGGAAGAAGAAGAAAGTTGAGTTGCCAGTGCCACGAGAACCGACCAAAACACCACCGGAGGGAGGGAGGGTGAGGAGGCTGTGTGGCGTGTTTCAGAGCGTTGCCACATGACTTTCACGAGCGAGCCGGAGCTGGTTGTTGGTAGGGCAGATCCAAGTTTGCAAACTAGGAAGATTCGGCACCTCTTAGCATGAAAGCGTAACATGATGGTTAAAAGTATGCATTGGCCAGGCATTCCGTTATTCTGTAATACCGGTAAGAAGCGCAGCAGCGGCAGCTCCGCATGTTAGAACGCGCTTCGCGAGCTTTAGCTATGGCCATTCACTTGCCTGGCTCAGCATTCCGCAGACCAGATCATGAATGAGAGCCTCGTCAGGCACATGAGATGGTGGAGAATGGCTGGAAGGAAGCTGAGGGGTTGCCCTGCCAGGTCCGCCCAACATTTTTGTTTGTTGTCGTCACGATTCCTCGGCCGGAGGACTAGGAGACAGCCTCCGAAGGGCTCAACATGTTTTTGTTAATGGTATGAAGAAAGGTTGCCTATCTACATGTGCTTTAACACCTACTATCAGATCACGCAATGGTGCGTTTTGCGGTCTCCGCTGCACAATTGTACGGGTGGTTTCGGTGACGCTGGGAGCGTGCATGCGATCACCAACCACGGCGGCATTCCTGTAGTTCGCAGCCCTTATCTGCCTGGATTGTTACATACACAGCCTCATACATTTGTAGGCTTCCCATCCAAGTGAGGGCCCTGTCAAAGGCCAACCTACCTGCAGCGCCGACCCGCCGGGTCACAGCCCGTGACCCGTGACCTTGCCCACGGCATGCTACGTTGCTACCAAGCCCAGCGTCCGGATCTTCAGCCACTCCCAAACAGAAATCACATTTTCATTTAAGTGCCGAAGTCCCAAGCGGGGATTCCTTGTGGGCACTGAGTGCCAGGCGTGTCGTGCCGTGGCATGCGTCACACATAGGAACCGAGCTGCCGCCGCAGCTGCTGCAGCTGCTGGTTGTGGGGGCTGGTTGTGGAGTCATCATTGTGGAGTCATCCACCGGGGTGCTAGTGGAATCAGCTGTCGTGTCACCACCTCACCCGCTGCCGCAGGAGGGGTACCTCTGCTTCATGTACGGCAGCCACTGCTTTGCGGTGTGTTGCCATCACCGGTGTACCCGTGTACCCGCCTCAACAAGAAAACGAACCCTACAGGGCCCTACAGGGACGGGGCTCAGCAGGGGCGCAGTACTGTTGTACAAGTACGGGTACGGAAGCCCGTGGGTCAAAGAAGCAGCGTGTCCGTACTCTTCCCGGCCTTCAACAACTTCAAACACGGTACCAATGCCCAACCCAGCATCTGCCTCTGTTGCGTCGTATGCAAGCTTGAAAGATAAGCACCGAAAACACCAACAAGCTGACAAACGCTTTCGGCTGTACGCATGCTGTACAAACACATGCATGTGCTTCTTCTATTCCCTTGCATCTGTTTCCTTCCTTAATGCTTCTCCCGTGTTATCTTCAATACCGTACACTATACGGCAACACGCTCAACCCTCGCACGCAGTCCACCCAACGCAAACACAGCTGCAAAACCAAACAAACACACGTATCATTGCATCGAAACACCTGCCACTCTCCTCTCACCGCTGCCGCCACCACACCCCACCACCCTACATGCTATCCCGCAGCACCCCCCCCATGCATCCTCCCTCACACCAGCTCCCCCAGCCCCGCTGCTGCCGCCGCCGCGGAGAGCAGCTCGTCCTGCCCGAAGTACCCGCCCGCCACCGCCAGCAGCAGGTTGAGGCGGGGCAGGGCGGGGTCGGAGGGGGCGACCAGCTGGGAGCGCCAGAGCGAGCAGCGGCGGACCTGATGGGGGGGGAGGAGGGTGGGAGGGGGTTGCGAAGAAGGAATGAGGGATGTGAAGGTGTATGGTGATGGTGTACGGCAAGGGGTTCCCGCAAGGACCTCACGCACACCTAGTGGGATACAATCCACGCTAAAATCCACAACCCAGTACCGAATATATCATTCGCAAACAACCACCAACCACCAACCACCCGACCCCCTCACCAGTTCTCTCATGGCTGCCGCCACGTCAGGCGGAACGGGCCGCTCCAGTACGGCAGTCAACGCGAAGAGCCACTGCGACCGGATGTACGACAGGCCAGGCTGGCCAGCCAGCTGTTCCACGTGACGTTGGAGCAGCGTGCAGATGGACACCTGGGGGGGGGAGGGGGCGTTGAAGGGGAGGAGAGGGAGGAGGAGGAGGTCGCCCGAGAATTCCCCGGCGCCTTTGGTAAAACACTTCCAGTTGTAAACACTCTTACGAAAATCCTGATGAAAACGTCTGTGTTCGGTAAAATCTTTACCAAAAACAACATTGGTGCAGCCACGGTAGCTGGAGGAGCTACAGCTGGGGTGCCGGTGAGGACAAAGGGAATGTGACGAGCGCGTGCTGAGGAGAGGACGATGCTTCACTTTACCAACTTCACCCTCCACCCTGCACCCCAGCGGCCCCCTACCTGGTCCAGCGCCAGCACCGTGCGCACCACCGGGCCGCACAGCCGGTCCGTCTCCCCCTCCGCCTCCCTCGCCGCATCCCCGCCTCCAGCCTGCCCCCCTCGCGCTCTCCCTCCTCTGCTGGCCCCTGTCCGCTGCTGTTGTTGCTGGTGAGGGTGAGGGTAGGGGTGGTGTCGCTGGGAGGAGGGCGCTGCGGGCTTGAGCTGCGGGTGGGGGGATTCTGGGGCGGATGAGGGGGCTGCTGCTGCTGCTTCAGAGTGGTGGGGTAGCGGCGGTGGCGGTGGAGGCGGAGGTGGTGGAGGCGGAGGTGGTGGTGGCGCCACTTCTTCCTCCTCAGCGCGCACATCTGCCCCCCGCGGTGCCTCCTGCTCTGCATCTAGCCCTTCCTGGACACGTCCGACACCCTGCTCCTGCTGCTGCTGCACCCGCCCCTCCTCCTCCTCCTGCTGCTGCTGCTGCCCCTCCTCCTCCTCCTGCCGCCCCTCCAGCGGCTGCCACTGCTCGAAGCAGATGCGGTCCCACGCGGCCAGCTGCTCCAGTGGCGGCAGCGGCGTGCGGGAGAGGTCTGCTCGGGAGGGGAGGGGCGCAAGAGAGGGGAGGCGAGGGAAGGGTTGTTGGGGGTGAGCTGGGGCATGAAGTGATTGCCCAGTGCGTGCCCCGGACGGCATGTGCGTGCACGCATGCAACGCGACACCGCGCAGAGCTCGCAGCACGGCTAAGCACATGACGTGGACATGTCACAGCACGTGACAAGACGTGCCACAGGAGGAGAAAGGAAGCCCAAATGCGGGTGCCCCACCCTCCCCCTGACTTAGTGCGTCCTGTACTCCTGCCCCCTTTGCACTGCGCCCTTCAACACCCGTACGGCACACATCACTGCCCCTGCTGCTGCTGCAGCGGTGGCACCCACCCTGCACATGCTGCCGCTGCAGCGCCCCCAACGTCTGCCGCAACTGCGAAAAGTCCTGTGTGGTGGCGGGGTGGTGGTGTTGGCGGGAGGTAAGTGAGAAACCAACCCGTCTTGCAGGAAACCGGAAGTGAGGGCAAGGCAGTAGGGAGGGTGGAGGCGGAGGGGTGGTGGATGGGGAGGGGTGCAGCTACCTTGTTCCTCCAGACCCTAGCGGACCGCTTCCTACCTGGGTGGGGGGTGCATTGCCCGCCTGGCCCCCCGCCCTGGGACCCAAGGGCTGCTACTGCCCCACTTGCCTCCTCCCCTCACCCCCCCTCTCCCCCCCTTCTCCACCCCCCCACCTGCCAGAACTCCCGCAGCCACCGGGTGCTGGGTCGCGCCCACTCCTCGCACTCACTCGCCACCGGGGGAGGCAGCGCCCCGCCGCCCCCTCCCCCCCCGCACCCCGCACCCTGGAACTGCCAGGGCCGCCGGCTGGACCTGGCGGCCCCACCTGCAGGGGGCCCGCCCCCGCCCCCTCCCGACTGCTGCACCCCGCCTGCACCGGAGCTCGCTGGGTAGCTGGCAGACTCGCCCGCTCCTGCTGTCGCTGCTGCGGACGCGTCCGCCCCACCCTGCATTCCCTGCTGCTGCTGTTCCTTCCTGGCCAGCAGCGCCGGGTCGATCTCCTTGCGAGTGACGCGGGGGCAGCGGGAGGCCTCGTAGCGCACCCAGCGGAGGTACTCCTCCGCGGTCTGGGGGGGGCCTGGGGGTGCGGGGGGGGAGGGAGGGGAGGAAACAACTAACGAACTGTCTGACAAGGCGTCATCATGGGAGGAGGGAGAGGGAGGTAGGGCGAGTGGACGTGGACGTGGACGTGGAGAGTGGGCGTGAGAGGGGCTGGCGGGAATGAGGCGGTGGGGAGAGGAGGGAGGAAGTGGAGGCGTGGGATGGGGAGGGGAGGACACGGGGGTGTGCGGCAGAGGTTGAGTTTGGGAGGATGGGAGTAGGTATGCGGGAATGCGGGCTGTGCCTACCAGCATCAAAGTCCGGTGAGCCCTCCGGTACTGGTAGAGCCTGTGAGATGTTAAAGTTCCTCAGGTTGTACTCCTCATCCTCTGAAGAAGCCATTGACTCCTCGTCGGCCTCCCCCTCCTCATCTTCAGCATAGTCCATGTCCTCGCCATCATCGTTAACGATGTCGCCTTCCTCGATGCCTGCATCGCTGGTGTTGGTTGCACCCTCCTGAGTGTTCGCCATGGCCGCCGAAGGAAGGCCCTTCTGCTGTTATCTCGGAGTTAGGAAAATGCTACCAAAGACGTTTATGGATGATTAAAGTGGACTCTGCCAGGAAGTGAGTGCTATACTGTGAAGGTGGAAATGTTATGAAGGGTGCTTACGGAAGGTACTTTGCACTATAACTATTGCACTAGGTAAGTGAGAGTGATCAGGCAGAAAGAAACTGTTAGCTTGTGCCGCAGGACTTACCGTGCGGTGTCGTGCAATGAAACCAACCGGGACTTCAGCTCATAACATCTGCAAAGCAGCAGACACGTAACACGTTGGCTGCATCAAGCCTTGAACGCTATTGTTTACTTCGGGGAAATGCCCCCAAAGCCTTTGCGCCAGCCGACGCGCAAGGAGGCTGTAACATTACCTCAGAATGCACGTTTTGACTTTCTGTCAGCGGCATCAAAGCTTCTTGCAGAGGAGGGTCATCTCCAAGATGCTGCATACTTTGGCGCTCAGGCACTAAAGGTGGGAGCACTCGTGCGATGCATGCTCCGCGAATGGCCTCCACCGATTTACGTTTTTGCAACGTCCTTAGGCCTCAATATCATCCAGCAATGGCTGTGGGACATAGTTTGGCTCCTAAAGTTGCCGTGGGCGGTGACCTAGCCGCCGGCATCCATCCATTCGCGTAATAGACAATCGTTTTGCTGGTTGCATAGGCCGCCGATGCGCCGGGAGCAGCTGTACCTCGCCGGAACGCGCTCCAGCACTGCGAGGTGTGCGGCGTCTTCCTGTCACCGAGTTCCTGCGCCAGGTATGCACAATCCCGCGCTGATGTTACCGTGAAACTGGATCTCTCGGCGCTTTCTGCTTTATCTAGTTTGTGATGCAGTGCTGTAAGAGTTACAGCTCGTTGCCAGTGTCGTGTGGTTAAACATGAACCGGTACCCGCCAAGGCTGTGCAACACACATCGAAGCATCTACCCACCTACAAGCCCTACATTTAGTCTCTGTTTGGGATTCCGTCACTGATTGAGGTGTCGCATTCTGTACTGATATGCTGGTAAACAACTATGGTGATAGCTGTTGTGGTCCGCAAGACTTGAGCACTTGTATCAGCGGCTTCGGCTTCCCGTACTGCTGCTGCTGCTGCTGTTTGTCATCATGCTCCGATGGCGCCCTCTGGTGTCCTAGCCGGCCACCACCGGCGTCCCCCCTCGTCCGCGCCTAGCCGAACGTCCCCATCACCCCCCCCCTTCCTCTGCCTGCCCCTCGCCCATCCGCCCCCCCCCCTCTCAGTATCGAGTGTTCCGACCTGAGCGCGCGAAGTCAGCGCAGGGCGGCAGCAGCAGCGGGAGGAGGAGCGGGGTCAGCAGGGGCGCTGAGGGGAGGGCAGCAGCAGCAGCGGGGAGTGAATGTGGTTGCGGTGGTGCGGGAGTGTGCGGTGAGTGATGGGGCAGCAGCATGGGGTTGGGGGGAGGTTGGAGTGGGGTATCAGCGTCGGGTCTAGACGCCGCCGCCAACGAAGTTGTTCATGCCGTCAGCCATCTTCCCCTTCCGCCCGCACTCCAAATTCACCTCTTTCCCCCTCTCTCCTCACCTTTTCCTCCCTCCTCTCTCCCTCTTCCCTCCCACTCCCTGCCCTCAGTCCTGCGGCCACCGCAACTCGCAGCCCTTCTCCGCCGCCCACACCGCACGCCAGGTGGCGGAGGCGGAGGCGCGAGCGGTGCAGGAGGCCCGGGAGGCCCGCGAACGGCTGCAGCAGCTGCGGGAGCACCAGGAAGCGGAGCGGGAGCAGCAGAAGGCACAAGAAGCGCTAGAAGGACAAACGCAGGAGGAACAGCAGCAGCAAGAGCCGCAACAGCTACAACAGCCGCAGCAACAAGAGGAAGAGCAACCGCAGCAGCAGTCGCTATCATTGGAAGCGCAAGACCAGCAGCAACAGCCAGGGCAGGAGGAGCAGCAACAGGAGCAGCAGGCTGAAGATCTGCAACCGCATCCTCAGCAGCAGCAGCAGCCGCAGCGGCAAGGACCCGAGGCTGACATGCAGCAGCTCCAGCAGCCGCAAGTGGAGGAGCAGCAAGCGGCGCTGCCAGGTCAGCCGCCGGCCACGCAGCAGCAGCAGCAGGTCCCACTGCCTCAGCACGCGGCGGGGCAGCAGCCGAGCGGGGGGGCCACACCCGCCATGGAAGAGACCTCGACCCTGGGGGCTGTCCCCGCGGTGGAGGACCCACCCTCACTCCCGCGTGGGACCTCGACAGCCCTCCCCCCGGGTGCTGCTGACGTCAGTCCGACAGCGGCAACAGCAGCGGCAGGGGCAGGGGAGGCAGCAGAGGCAGCAGCGGAGGCGGATGCAGCGGTGGGCAGCTTGGAAAGGCAGGAGCAGGAGCAGAGGGAGCAGGAGCAGGAGGAGGATTTGTTGGAGGCGGCTGTGTTGGATGCTGCCGCTGATGCTGTCGCTGATGCGATCAGTGCAGCTGCTGCCGCAGGTTTCAGCGCAGGTGCGGGTGCTGCTGTCGCGTGTCAGCTGGATGCGGTGGTGGAGAGCAGCAGGGAGGTGGAGGCGGAGGTGGAGATTTCGGATGGCAGCGAGCGGGGAGAGGCAGCAGCTGGTGCAGCGGCTGCTGCTGCTGTGCTTGCTGCTGCCGCCGGTGCCGCTGCGGCCTTGGCTGCTGGCGCCCGCATGGCTGCTGCTGAGGAGGCAGTGGGTGATAATGCTGGCTGCGAGGAAGTTGAAGGGGCAGTGGCGGTTGTGGTAGCTGGGGTTCAGCGGGAAGCGGAGGAGGAGGAGGAGGAGGGGCCTGTGGGACCTCTGTCGCAGCAGGCGGAGGAGCCGCAGCCGGGACAGGCGGGAGGCGATGAGGGGGAGCCGTGCCGGGAGGTGGAGCAGGAGCCGGCTCTGGAGAGCGAGGCTGCGGGGGCGGCAGAGGAAGAGGCTGCGACCTCGCTGCTGGATGCTGCTTGCATGGTTGCTGCCGTCACTGCGGATGCGTCGGCAACTCCTGCAGCCGCTGCACTCGGCGCGGTTGCAGCTGATGCAGCTGGTGCCGATGCCGGTATCATGGCAGTCCAGGCGGTGGACTCCTTGGGAGCTGCCGCCACCGCCGCCACCACCACTGGTATCGCTGCCGCTGCCGCCGTGGCTGCTGCAGACGAGTCAGCTGCGGCTGCGGCGAAGGGCGAGCAGGCTGTCAGGGAGGTGGAGATGGCGGAGTCAGCGGCGGTGGAGGCGGAGGAGGCGGCCGGGGTGGCTGTTGGAGTGACGGAACGTGCTGAACTGGATGAGGCTGACGCCGCCGCCGCTGATGGCCGCAGCGAGGCTAGCGAGGCTGACGTCGCCGCCGCCACTGTTGCTACTGACGGCGCCGCCATGGAAGGCCTGGGCGCCGCCGTACTGCCGGCGCCGCCGTCGTTGGTTTCAACGCTGCGGACGGCGGCGGTGGAGGCGGCGGCGGCGGCGGTGGAGGCGGCGGTGGTGGTGCCGGCGGCGGTGTCGCTACCGGCAGCGATTGTTGAGGTGACCGGCTGTATGGTCCAAGCGGGCGGCTCTGATGCCGCTGCGACGGCTGCCGTACGAGGCGGCGGCGGCGAGGGCACGGAGGGCGCCGCAGCCACTGGGATCGTGCCACCGGCGGAAGCGGGAGTGGCGGCGGAGGCTGGTGAACAGGAGTCACCGCTGTCAGTTGTTCCGACGGCTCTGTCGGAGGCGGCGGTGGTGGAGGCAGCCGATGCGGCGGCGGTGGAGGCGGATGACGTGGCGGGAGAGCCGGCTGTCCGTACGGCGGCGGCGGCCGCGGGTGGTGCTGACGCAGTTATTGATGATGAGGGTGCACTGCAGACGTCGGCCGCCCTAGCTGCAGCGGCTGACGTCACCACCACCGCCATCCTCGGTGCCGTGGGAGGAGCTGTGGGGGAGCTGTCCGCCGCCGCTACCGGGGCCGCCCGTGAGGGGGAGCCGCGGACGGAGGAGGAGGGGTCGAGCAGCTGGGCGGTGGCTAGTGAGGAGGCGGAGGAGGAGGAGGCGGAGGAGACAGAGAAGGAAGAGGTAGGGGAGGAGGCGGCGGCGGAGGAGCAGCCTGCCGCCATGAGTGAGAGCGCTACCGCCGCCGCCGCCGCTCCTGACGCCGCACCGGTGCCCGCTGCGGTTGAAGAGGCGATTGTGGCGGTGGCTGCGACTGGGGCTGAGGAGTCTTCGGGAGAAGAGCATGAGGAGGAGGAGGCGGAGGAGGGGCCAAACAGTGGGAGCGAAGACGTGGAGGAGGAAGAGGAGCTATGGAAGCAGACGGAGGGTCTGGAGGGAGGCGCAGCAGCAGCGGCAGCGGCACCGGGGAGTCTAGCGATTGGCGGCGAAGGCGGGGTGCTGGCGGATGTGCGCAGCATCCTGGCGGGGTACGCAGGCGCCTCGTTTGAAGATGATGATGATGACGAGGAGGAGGAGGAGGAGGAGGAGAGTGAGGAGGAGAGTGGGAGTGAGAGCGAGGAGGAGAGCGACGGCGAGGAGGAGGAGGCGGTTGCAGCCGCGGCAGCAGTGGAGGGCGGCGCATCTGCGGCGGATGGCGAGGAGCAGCAGGAGGAGGAGAAGGAGAGCGAGGACGGCAGTGACCTAGAGGAGGAGGCGGAGGAGGAGGAGGAGGCGGATCAGGGGGCTGCTGCTGCTGCTGCCGTTGAGCCTGCACCCGCACCTGGCGAACTAGCCACACAGGGCCCGGAGCCCCCCGCGCTGCCGCCGCTGCTCGCTGCAGCCACAGCAGCCGGGGACACTGCAGCGGCGGGTACTACTGCACCGCCGCAGCAGGAGAAGCAGGAGGAGGCGGATAAGAAGGAGAAGGAGGAGGCACCGCCCTTTGCCGCCGGCCCTCCCACCCTCCTTACCTCCGCCGCCGCTGCCGCCGATGTTCCCGCTCCCGCGACGGGTCCCCCCCGCCGGCGTCCTGCTGCCGGGCGCACCTCCCTGCCGCCAGCATCCTCCGCCAAGCGACCGCAGCTGCCGCCGTCGGCAGCCGCGGTGGCGGCGGCAGGCGGAGGCTCGGTGGCCGCTGTGACACCACCGCCGCACCCGCCGTCATCCTCCGATAGGGAGGAAGAGGAGATTGGCGTTGGCGCCGCTGCTACTGAGGAGGAGGAGGTGGATGTGAACCATGGGGCTCACGAGGGAGGCGCCGTTTTGACGCACGTCGGCGCAGCGAGTGAGGCTGACGCCGCCGCCGCCGCCGGTGTGTCGCAGCTGGTGGCGGTGGCATCGAAGCGCCGTCGGAAAGCTGCGGAGCCCCGGCGAATGGTGCTCCCACGGCTGGTGGGTGGCGGCGGCTCAGCGCGGGCCTGGCAGGGTGAGGAAGAGGAGGGGGAGGAGGAGGAGGAGGAGAAGGAGGAGGAGGAGGAGGAGGAGGGGGAGGGGGAGGAGGAGAAGGAGGAGAAGGAGGAGGAAAAGAAGGATCAGGAGGTTGTGGAGGCGGAGCGGGAGCAGCTGCAGCGGCGGGAGCAGGAGCCGCCGGCGGTAGCAGTGGCGGTGGAGGAGCCTCAGGGGGAGCAACAAGGGGAGCGGCAGGAGGAACAGGAGCGGGCTCCCTTGCCTGCCTGGATGCCCCCCGGCTGCATCGACCCGGACGCCATCTACCCGCGGCTGCCCCGGGAGGAGGAGGGCGGGGTGCTGGTGTACGAGGCGCCGTACGCACCGGTATGACATGAGCTTGGGTGGGGGGGTTTACGACATGAGCTTGGGTCGGGGAAGGGTACGACATGGGCTTGGGTGGGGTTTCCTCCGGTCACCTCCACGGCTTAGGTGCGCTCATTGTGCGCACCGGATTGTGCGAGGACTGACCAGACACCACCACCTGCTCCCCACCCCCATACACCCATCCAAACCCCACCTTCCCCCTCAACCTCCCGCAGGGTATCCTGGACCTGCGCCCCGACTTCACCCCCGGCTGGCCGGAGCTGCTGCACCACCCCGTCTACCGCCGCCGGGTGTTGCGGGACCGGGCGCTGCATGCGGCGCACAGGCTGCGCTTCCCGGCTGCAGCGGCGGAGGGCGGGCGCCGAGATGGGGGCAGGGGCAGAGGCAGGGGCGGGAGGGCGTTGGGAGACGAAAGGAGGAAGCGCGAGCGAGTTGTGGAATGGGAGGAGGAGGAGGATCATCATCATCAGCAGCAGCCACCCAAGCGGCGGCAGCAGACGGTGGCTCCGGGACGGCAAGGAGCGGACGTTCAGCGCCGGGAGGAGTCTCAGAAGCCGTCGCGGCGGCGGCAGGAGCAGGAGCAGGAGCAGCAGGACCAGCCCCTACAGCAGGTAAGGGCACCTGCACCTGCGACGCACTGCCATGCATGCACCACATCTGTAGTTGTCCCTGTGGCCCAACCCCTCTCCCCTGCCCACCGCCCCGGAGTTGTCACAGTCACACAAAAACACACCTGCTCTCACCCTTCTCCACATCCTCCACCCGTATGAACCCGCAATCCACTCCCGCCGCACGCAGGCGCCTCGGGAGTTCCGCCCGCTCCTCAGCTTCTCCCTCGGCTGCTGGACCCCGCAGCAGCAGCAGCAGCCCCTGCTGCACAACCCGCACCGGCGCCGCCGACTGGTGCGGGAGGCCGCGCTGCTGGCGGCACACCGGCTGCGCTTCCCCGACTCCGGCCGCCCTGTCCTGGGCGGAGCAGGTGGTGGCAGCGCAGGGGCTCACGGAAAGAACGACGCGCGCAGCTGCAATCCCACGGCTGCTGCTGCTGCTGCTGCTCCAGGCCCTGTTGTTGTTGGTGGTGGTGGTGGTATGAGGCGCGCCGGCAGGGGCAGCAGCAGCCATGGCGAACGCGGGGAGGAGTTGCTGCCGCTGGAGCGGTCGATGGAGGAGGAGGGGCCGTCCGGGGTGCGGAGGCTGCGGAAGGGAAAGGAGGGGAGGAGGGAGGGGGCGAGGACGGCGGCAGTAGCAGCGGAGGAGGAGGAGGAGGTTGATGTGAAGCGGAGTAGGAGGCAGGGGAAGCGGCGGGGGCGGCGGGAGACGCGCTTTGCACGGCCGGCGCTGAGTGACGTGGAGGAGGGAAGTGAAGAGGAGGAGCAGCAGCAGCAGCAGCAAGGGAAGGGAAGGGTGCGGCCGCTTGGGCCGTTGGCTGGGTTGCCTGCATGGGGTGATGGCGGGGACGAGGAGGGCGGGGACGAGGAGGGGCTGCGGTGCATGAAGCAGCGGAGGCAGCAGCCGCTGCTGCAGGGCCGGCAGCAAGGGCTGGGGACGGTGTCTGCCAAGCGGGGAAGGCAGCAGCTGCAGCTGCAGCAGAGGAAGGCTGGGCGGCGTTAAGAGGCGGCGGGTTAAGGGCTGTAGGTGCCTGTAGGACGGCGGCAGCAAGCACAGCAATGTTGCCGGTGGAGGGTAGATCGCTTGAGAGGTAGGATAGCAGCAGCAGGATGACTCCAGGGCAGGCAGGCATGCGCTTTAGTTGGTTACTACTTGTTAGGTTAGAGCAGCAGAAACAGCAGCAAGGCAGTAACATTGTAGGCAGCGTTTGGTAGCTCCAGAAGTTGCAGGCGTGTTGGGATGTTGGACCGAGTGGCAGAATCAGGTCAGATTTAGGTGATGGTAAGTAGAGCGAGGGTGCTGCCTGGGAGATCTGGACTGTCGTACATATACGGCAGCAATGGAAACCCCCAGGAGAGGGGCTTTAGTTAGCGATGTATCTCTTTTTTCCAATATCGTTTTAGCTCCAAGGACAAGTAGGTTTAGGAACGGCTGTGGGCGTTGTAGTCGTAGCAGGACAGGGTAGCTGCAGATGCTTTAGGCAATCCTAGTTGCGCGTATTCAACAGTCTCTTCTTTTCATTAGTCACAAGGAGTTGCCGTTGGCATGCAAATGCCGAATTGCGTGTACGGACTAGCAATGGGTATGTCGCCCAAGTCTTGACGCAGAGTAAACGGCGGATCTTGTGAGGGTGGTTTCTCTCTATTGTAAGTTGACAAAAGCGGGAGTCAAGTGCCATCCGTGCAACTGGCAGCAGTAGCAGTAGTTAAGGTTACACTGCCCGAAACTAGCTAGTTGCTCCAACTCTTTTATGTTGAGCCAAAGGAAGTTGATTCATTGCTACCGGCAGGTACCGGTATAGCTTTCTGACATTACATCGCTGGAACTGCAATGCAAATGTGTTTCCGGCTTAGTAGCTCAGCTAGGCCGTGCGCGGTTGCATCTGCCCAGCCCTTCAAAAGCATCTTTTGCGCAGCAACTACTCAAACAGTTCTAGCTGCCCTGTGTAGCTACCAATTGATTTACTGGCTTAATAGCCAGCTCCCATCCTGCTCTCCGCCCGAACTCCAAACAAGGGGCCTACTCCCAACTTCTAATGCCCAGCACTTCTGCACCCAGCAAGAGCAAGGACGCTACCGTCACCCAACTCACCACCTACAGAGCTCCTGCTCATGCCGTAACTCTTGTGAGCAGCCGCAAATCACATCCCTAGCAGTACTAACCACACCCTACAGTAATGATGACCCCCTACAACCCCTGTGCCTCTAATCCAGCCTTGCCACGAAAGCGAGGTCAGCATTCCGTCAAACTCGTCCTAACCCGTCAGCAAACATCGTCACACGTGGTTACGTGTCATATCCTGACGTGGAGTTGCCGTAATATTCACACACTACAGTGCTCGTTAAGCGTCCTAAAGTCCCCTGGGTCCTGTGCCTGCCCGACGTATCTGTCGGCCCCCCACACGGGAAGCTTTACTCGGTAAACCAGGAACAGCCCTGCTTTACGTGTATCTACCCAACTAACCCCAACACTGCCCTAATACTCTGTACACTTCCCTAATCCCTGCCTCCCCCCTCCTAATCCCTCTCCTCCTGCACGCTACCCCCTGCCTCTACTCCTGCACTCGGAGTCCCTCCATCGGCGGGGTCTTCACCGGGGTGCCGCTCTTGGCGGGCGAGCGGGGGAAGTCGCGTGACCTGCAGCAGCGCAGGGGCCATGCGGGAGGGGGGAAGGGATAAGTCAAGGCATTACCATGGAGTCAGGGACAATGGAGCGGGAGTGGGAAGAGGGGCCGCCGGCACTAGCATCCAAGACGAACCAGGTGTGTGTTATAACCCCCCCACACACATGCTAACACGTTCCTTCTCGCGGTCAGTTTCTTAACACAACCCCACACCTGAGGTACGAGTCCAGCCGCTTAGCGGAGGCGAGGATGAAGCCCAGGAACAGCGGCGAGGGCTTGCCGGGCCGGGACTTGAACTCGGGGTGGAACTGGGGGCGGGCAGGAGAGGAGGGGGGAGGGGGTCGGGGTGAGAGTGCAGGCAGGAGAAACGAGTCGACCTGGGTCAACGGGCGATGAGAACGAGCCAGTGCGCATGGAGAGCATTAAACTCTGTCCCTCTGTTCGCCACCTTCCTTCCCCCAGTAAAACCCTCATGCTGCGCCTCCCTCCCCCCCCCCCACCTGTGCCGCCACGTAGTAGGGGTGGTCCGCTGGCTGGCTGGACAGCTCCAGGATCTCCATGCGCTCGCCCGTCTCGTCGCGGCCCACGAACTGCAGACCCGCCTCCTCAAGCCGGGGGACCAGGTCGGGGTTCACCTCGTACCTGGCGGGAGGTGGAGGTGAGGGGAAAGAGGGAAGGGGGCAGCATGTAGGCAGGGGAAAAGGATGCAGCAGCCGGCAAGAGAAACAGGACGCGGAGCTGCTAACCTGCATCTGCGCTTTTACCCCATGCACGCATCAATGCACGGTGCAGTGGCTCAAGTTCTTGCCCCTTTCCTGATCTCTCCAAGCGCACCCTCCGCCTCTCCCACCCAATCCCGCCTGGCTCTTGCGTGACTCTTGTCCAATCGCGCCCCTCTTCCCCAAAAGCCGCCTACCGCCCGCAGCCCCTCTCCCCTCCCCTCCACAACACCGCCCCACCCCTCCCCCCTGCCAGCCCGCCCACCTGTGCCTGTGTCGCTCGTCAATGTACTGCTCCTGCTGGTAGAGCTTGGCCGAGATGCAGCTCATGGTCTGCAGTACGGTGCGGCGGGCGCCCAGCCGCATGGTGCCGCCCTTGTGCGTGGTGGAGATCTCCGGCATGAACACCACGGCGGGGTGCGGGGTGGCGGGCGCGAACTCGGTGGAGTTGGCCTCCGTAAGGCCCAACACGTTGCGAGCAAACTCAATCACCGCAATCTGGGGGCGAGGGGTCAAGGGCGGGGAAAGTGAGGGTAAAGGCGAACGCGACGTTACCGTTGTGGGGGCAAGGAGACTCACCGCAAAGTCTGGATTGAATGCTGGTGCGGGGCCGGAAAAGACGGGCATGGTTTGAATCCGTTGGGGCAACCACTGGCTCTCCTCCAACCCGCCACCCCCTACGCACACCTCCCCACCTGCATGCCCAGGCAGATGCCCAGGTAGGGCTTCTTGTTGACGCGCGCATAGTTGGCCGCCAGGATCTTGCCCTCCACGCCGCGGGAGCCGAAGCCGCCCGGCACCAGGATGCCGTCAGCCTCCTCCAGCTTGCGCCAGCTGGGGGCAGGTGGGTAGGTAGGGTTAAGGGGAAGGTGGTGGAGGGGAGATAATGTGGCGAGGAAAGGCGTACGTTATGAGAAGCGGGTCGACACGAACCTCTTACAGTCCAGGTGCCTCATCCGTCATCCCCCGTCCTCCCGCTGTTCCCAGTAGTACCAAGCCCCCAAACATCACGCCAAGGCAGCAGTACGGCACTCACTTGGCATCGTACAGTGCTGGGTCCGCCACCTTGCCCTCCGGCTCCAGGCTGGCCGCCTCCACCCACTCCAGACACAGCTTCACGCGCGCCTCCATGCAGGCGTGCTGCAGCGACTTGATGACCGACAGGTAGGCGTCCGACAGGTTGGTGTACTTGCCTGGAGGGGGGCGGATGAGGTGAGGTGGGTGGGTTGGAGGAGCAGGAGAACGAGGTGAGGATGGAGGTGGTTTGCTATACTTGCATTTGAGAGGTGAGCGAGCGGGGTTTGCGGTTGTGCACGCACCCAGGTAGCTCCTCTCCGCGAAACCCCGCACCTACACGCCCCCCTCCTCCGCTCCCCTCTCCCCCCCACCAATGAGTGTGATCTTGACGGGCTCCGTGAGCGAGTCCCAGCGGTCCGCCAGGTTGGCCTTCCAGCTGGAGAGGTCCAGTCGGTCCGCGTTGGTGAGGCCCAGCTTGGAGCACAGCAGCTGGTGCACGTTCTGGGGGCGGAGGGCGGAAGGCGATAGGGGGAAGGTGGCGGGATGTGGAAGGGGCGTCGTACAGGTTGAATAGTAGGACACCGCGATACAGGAGCCCAGCCCCGTGCACATGCAACCCCCGCCCCGGCCTCTCAGCCGCCCCCTTCCCCCCGCCCCCTCCCTCTCACCTGCTCCTGCATCAGCAGCGGCACCCGCCAGATGTTGGACACATCGTGCAGCGACAGCACGTTGCCCTCCGGCAGGTTGCAAAACATGGCCTGGAAGGGGGGGAGGAGGGGCGTGAGCATTCCGTCTTGGCGGACAGTGGTAAAGATGTTGTGTGACGAGCTTCGTCCCTGCTCCGCGCCATCGACCTCTTCGGCAACGGCCATGGGCTGAGCACCGAACATTGCTACTCCTGTGCTTAGCTCATGACTCTCTTGGCCCGCAACTTTCTCCCCCTTGCTGCTAACCCATTTCACTTGATTACAAAATCCTAGGGCTGGCGCGTTCTCTTTAACGCCTTCCCTTGGGAGTTGGGACTCAGCAACGCCCCCACACACACCGCACCATGCCTAGTAACCCCATGCTTTGCCCCAACTGTTTCCGCCTTAACACCGGGCCCTTCCCCTCTTCTGCCCCTCCCCTCCTCCCTCTCTCTTCCCCCCCGCCCGCTCACCAGCTTGGACCTGACGCCCTCCTCCAGCGGCACCGAGCTGCGGCAGGCCACCAGGGTGGGGTTGATGCCCAGCGAGCGGAGCACCTGCAGGGGGGCACAAGGCACGACAGCGGGGCGCACGGGGGGGATTAATAGGGGTGTAAGAAAAAGGGGAGCGACGGGAACGCAGAAACATACCCCATCACCACCCCATGCCATGGGGCTGTGTTCCCATCCAGTCATTCATTCTGTACGAGTGTCCTAGCGCCCCCCCAAGCCCAGCCCATAACCGCCACATGACCACCTGCACATACCTGCACGCTGTGCTGCGTTGGCTTGGTCTTCTGCTCGCCCACCACGCCTGCAGTCGGACCCATGGAACGATTTGGAGGTGCGGATCGTCCGTAAACACTACAAGAGGCGGCGGGGGAGCCTTCTCGGCTACCGTCGTTAGTCTCTGGTACGCGCCCCGCCCCACGGCCCCATCCTAACCATGTTTCCTTATCTTTACCCGTCAGGGGCCATCACCCATGCTCCAGCGCTCCACTACTTCATGCCCGCCCCTCCCACCTCCCTTCCCCAACCCACCAATGACGGGCACCAGCGAGACGTGCACGTTGCAGATGTTGGCCTCTCCCACACGAATGAAGAACTGCCGCAGCGCCTCCACAAAGGGCGCCGACTCGATGTCTCCCACCGTGCCGCCCAGCTCGATCACGCAGACGTGAGGCACGCCGGCCTTGCCGTCCACCGGCCGGGCGGCAACGGTTTGGATCCAATCTTGGATCGCGTCCGTGATGTGGGGAACCACCTGGGTGGGGAGGGGGGAAGGGAAGAGGGAGAGGGAGTCACAGTCGCATCGACGAGGCTGGGAGGAGGAAAAGGGGCTTGGCGGGAGACGGGACACAGTCTCCCGTGGTAGAATGAAAACCGCAGCCGACCGGAGCGGTGACCAGGACAGCTTTGCCTGCACAGACCCTCCGGCAGCACCCCCACCCCGCTGCTCCGGTGTTTCTCTTGCCCTTGCCATACCTGCACTGTTTTCCCAAGGTAGTCTCCGCGCCGCTCCCGCTCAATAACAGCCTACGGAAAGGAAGGAAAAAAGGCGTCTATATGAGAGGCGAGTGCTGGCATCGTTTAAAGTCACATGAGGGGGGTAACCTTAGCAGTTAGTTAACTTCTACCCGATGTAATGGGTTGTCTATGTGCTGGTTGCGAACGCGCATTTGAGAAGATCATGCTCGTTGCACTGCCGTGTTCCCCTAAGTGGGATGCGCCTTGCGTCCCAAATTCTAGCATGGGATGGATGGAAGGGTCGGGGGCAGTAGCCCCCAGTAAGGCCTAACCATGTGTGGAACTGTCAACAATCCTTGCTATATTAGCTTCATAACCATCTGTCCGCGGCCTTCCGAACGTCTGACCAACTGCTGACCTGGTAAACTTTACCGGTGGTGAGGTTGTTGTCCCTGGTCAGCGTAATGTCCAGGAAGCGCTCATAGTTACCCAGATCTAGGTCAGCCTGAAGGTTATTAATAACATGTTCGCGTGAGCTCGTCCATCAAACAGAGTTGTGCAAAGGAAGCCGCCAAGCAATCGCACCTCGCCGCCGTCGTCCAGCACAAATACCTCGCCGTGCTCAAACGGCGACATAGTGCCAGCGTCCACATTAAGATAGGGATCTACGATTGCAGAACCGCCGTGCAGCTTAAACTTATGTGATTAAGGACAAATGTCCGCTTTGAAAAAGCGACGCACCGATTTTTATAGAGGTAACACGATAGCCGCAGTTTTTAAGGATGACTCCGATACTGCTTGCTGTCACGCCTTTGCCAAGACCGCTAACAACGCCACCCGTCACTAGGACATACTTTGTAGCCTGCATTCTTCTTCAAACTGCGCTATGTAAGTCGGTTTCAACGCAGTTGTCGGCGTGTGACAGGTCTACAATCGAAGTCCTAATATTAGGAACACAGAACGCAACTGTAGAAAGGACTCCCGCCAGTGATGGGTACGGCACATTGAGAACGGCAATAGGGGAATCCGCCTCAAAAGCTCGCGTTGTAATACTGCTTTGTGATACAATTCCTTCGTCCGCTTCTCGTGCGCCCACCGTGCTCCTAGAGCATGCATTGAGTATCCGTCATGCGGCGAGTAGTTGCGAGCCCGCTGCGAAGCCAAGATATAATTAACACAACCCATAGGTTTGCTTTGCACTCTTGGACCAGCACAAAAGCCTACAGAATTCGCGAACCAACTGCCATTTCCTCTGCATTTGCGTCCGTGACAAGCCTTGCGCTTCATAAACCCAGCAAGCCGTTGCATCGCATCCAACTGACAATATCAAGCATGTCAACGACAGCTGCATTATCCGCGGGGGCGAATGACTCCATTACCCATGTACTAGCTGTTTGCCGGACGCCAGAGGACGCTGAGCGCGTTGCCGCTGTGGCAAAAGAGGTAAACCCTAATTATAATGACAACCCTTCCTACCATTATCATCCCAAGGAAGTCAGCATCGGGCCTCTCTGCTACCTTGCTTCTTCCCTGATCCGTCCGGTCGACTTCCGGCACCCTCTTCCTGACCTCCTCCACTCTGACCCAGATCGCCGCTGCCGCCGCTGAGGTTGCTGCTACTGCCACCGGGGGGCCTGCAACAGCAACAGCCGCACCCCGGCTGCTACTGCATCTAGACGCCTCCACGCTGCCAGCCCATGCGGTCCCACAGCTAGATGCAGCCGCTTGCTGCCGCTATCTGGCAGGCAAAGGATCACTCAGCAGAGGTAGCAACAACAGCGACAGTCATGCACAAGGTGGTATCGGTGACACCACCGATTGTACGACAGGCGGTGGCAGTAGCAACGATGGTGCTGGCTGCACGAAGTTGATGGGTCGGGTGTTGCTGGCAGCGCCGCTGCTAGGGTCCACACAGGACCTGCTGCGGACCCATGGGTCGGCGCTGGGGGACGGTGTGGTGGCTGTGGCGGACCGCCAGACCAGTGGGAAAGGTACGGACCGTAAGGGGGACCATAGTGGGGAGGGGAAGAGGGTGCTTGCAGGGCGCCAGGGACCTGCACACACAGCTCCTAGGCTTGCTTGCTTGCTTGCTTACTGACTGGATAGGGGGTGTGGAGGAGTCCTGGTGGGTCATGGTCCGCCAGCCGGGACTCCCATCCCTCACCTTGCACCCACATCCCACTCCAGTCCGCCCCATCGTACCCTCCTCGGACTCCCAGCACGCCTCTCCTCACCCCGCCCCACCCCACCTCCCACCTCCCCGCCTGCCTGCCTCCCAGGCCGCGGCGGCAACGTGTGGACCTCGCCCCCCGGCTGCCTCATGTTCTCGGCGCTGCGGCGGCTGCGGGTGCCCTCGCCCGCCTCCGCGCCCTTCATCAACTACCTGGTCTGCATCGCAGTCACGAGGGGCGTGCGGCGGGCGCTGCAGGTGGGGGGGGGCGGGGGAGAGGGACCAAACCCATTGGCACAACAAGCAAGGGCAGAGCAATGGGGTGGGTATGTTGCGCGGATTGCTAGCGGGACGTTTGCTAATGGTGCCGCCGGTAGCTAGCAGCAGGTGGTACTCGATAGGGGTTACTCGAGAGGGGTTTGCCAACCTGCCATGCGGGCGGGGGAGGTGTGGTAGTGGGGGCGGCAGCGGCAGGTAGCGTGCATGGTCGTCTGGTCTTCTCTCCCAGCGGCTGTCTATCGGTAATGGCCCCTCCCTCCCGCCTGCCTCGCTTCCCGACACCCTGTCCCTGCCCTGCCCAGGGGTGTGGGCTGCCTGCCGTGCCGCTGCGCATCAAGTGGCCCAACGACATCTACGCGGAGGGGGTCAAGGTCGGCGGGGCGCTCATACATACCACGTGGCAGGGGGCGGGGTAAGGCAGGGGGGTTTAGGAGGAACAGTGGGTGGTGGAAGTGAGGGGAAGAAGAAAAAGCCAAAGGAAATGGAGGGAAACGGCGCACTCATGCGCAACGCTGGTCATGGGGCCAACGGAGGAGAGCGGCGCGGTTCTTAAGGACAGTGCCCCGGTCTTTGGGTTGTGGCTCTGGGTTTCAGAGGTGGTAGCGGGGAGGGCACGGGGCAAGGCGCCCTACCGCCCTCTTACCACGATCATGCCCTCTCACCCTCCCTCCCTGCTCCTCCACCCTCCCTCCCTCCCCCCCTCCCTGCACCCCCTCAGCTTCAATGTGATCACGGGTATCGGCCTCAACGTCAACAACCGCTCCCCCACCACCTGCCTGGACGAGCTGGTGGAGAGGGTCTTGTGGGGGGCGGCGGCGAAGCAGGAGCAGGAGCAGCAGCAGCCCCAGGGACAGCCAGTCGTACGGGTGCACCGTGAGGCCGTACTGGCGGGCATCCTGGGGGCGCTGGAGGAGGTGTACGACGTGAGTGGGGGCGCGCATGGATAGGGACATGATGAGGCACACGGGGGTGGGTATGAGTGGGAGTGAGAGAGGAGGCAGATGGGGAGTAAGGGAGGGAAGCGACGGGTTTTAGAGGGGTGCAGGGTGCTTCGCCGAGGGCGCCACCGGCTCGAGCGACCGCTGGTGCCGTACTTATAACACCAGTCCCAGCCACGTGGGACAAGAAAACATGCTGCAAGTGTTTGTCTGGCCCTCCATGCTGCCTTGTCAGCTAAATTACCACTATCACACCACACATTGGATACACTTCTTTCCCCCCTCAGACATTCGAGCAGTCCGGGTTCTCCCCCCTGGAGTCCGAGTACCTGGCTGCGTGGCTGCACAGCGGACAGGTGGGAGGGAGGGAAGGAGGGGGGGGAGGAGGGGTAGGGGGAGGGAAGGGAAGGGAAGCTAGTCCTTTTCGCGGGGAGCACAAGGGAACATGTCAGGGAACCTGGGCGCACATGGGGAGGGCAGGAGCGCTGCAGGGTCAAGCAGGCCTAAAGGGCGTTGCAGCGGGGGGACCATCTGTCCGCTGGGGGGGGGGGGAGTGCCCCGGGGCAATGCGATTTGGGCCACCGAGCACTACGAGAGGGATGCTGCGCTACACAGCGAGCAAGGTAGGTTAGGAGAGGGCGCGGGGGCGTGGGGCGAAGGCCATACCGGTGCTTTGGGCGAAGGCACCTACCCTGTGGGCACTTGACCCGTGCCCTGTGTTCGCCCCGGCAGGTCCTGGATTTCGACGACTCGGAACCCACAATGGCAACCAGCACGGCAGCAGCAGCAGCAGCAGCCACGGCGCCTGCTAATGGCGGCAGCGGCAGCAGGGCGACAACCCGCCTTACCATCCGCGGCTTGTCGTCTTCCGGTTTCCTGCTGGCGGAGGACTACGCGGGGGTGCGCTACGAGCTCACTCCCGATGGCAACAGTCTGGACATGATGCAGGGCCTGATACGGCGCAAGGTGGTGTAGGGCGGCTGGGTGCCGGTATAGTGGTGAGGGGGATGGCAAGGTGGTGGGCCTTGTTGTGAGGTGCGATGAGCGGGGCTGGGGCCTTACACGCCGCTAGGTGATGTTGTGTGCGGGCGGTGAGATGTCGCAAGATGAAGGCGGCGTTTCATACGGTGTGCAGGTGAGCAGCAGGGCCGTATTACCTTACGGGATGGCCAGGAGCGCACGGCCTTATTGATTTTAGGGCCGGCGTGAGTTGGCGTGGCGTGGGGCGGCATTATTCATTAGGGCCTCTGTGAAGGTGAGTTGCATGCTGCTGTGACGAATTGCATCCCCAGCTGTGGGTGCATGGTGCTGAGGCTGTTTGGCTGCCAAGTGGAGGTTTTGTTTCAGCTTTGAGCGAACTCCGCCCTGAACTAGGAAGGCGGTGCGCCGGTGTGTTTGGAGTTGTGCGACCATCACTTCGGTGCTGGAGGGCCATTTGCATTTGGATGCAGTGCCGGTGCCGGTGAGTGGGAAGGTGACTTTATTTTTGCTGTTGCCGCAGCTAGCAAGGGCACTGTTGAGATGTGCGGTGTTGTACTTAGGTAGAGTAGCTTGTTGCAACCTTTCCCCAACCAACCTGGACGAGCGGGCATTTCTTTGGGTAAGACGTAAGAGTAACTGCCATCCCCCGGTGCTAGTGGTTGACGCATGTCAGCCAGCCAGCGGTCTTCCCTGGTGTCCCTGCATCCTTCCAAAGCCTGTCGTTTACCGTACGGGTTTCCTGTGGAGCATTGCTGAGGAAAGCAGCCGGCAAACGCACGAAACAAAGCACCCCATGCCCCCAGTAACCTGAAACCTCGCAATCCCTACAAGCTGCATACTTCCCAGCCTGCCTGCACGCTACAACCGGCACCATGAACCCTGCATCCCCTACTGTACATACCCCCAACAAACAAACAGCAGACCGCGGATGACCCAACAATCCGCGTAAATTCGCACTAAATACATGTGCGTACCCCATGAACCGTCCTAATGAGGTCCTCCTATAACAACCGTCGACATCCAGGCTTCATAACAACAACACCTGCTTCCCTTTCTTTGTGTGCATGCACTCATGCACACACTCATGAGAGCTGCTTTCCATCCTGCTGCAAACGTAACACCCAACCTGCGTAGAAAGGCCTGCCCCCCCTTCCTCACGTTCAGATAACGGCGCACAACCCCACTTTCCCTGTAATGAAGCACAGTCATTCCTGCAACAAAACGGACTGCGTACCAACCGCAAATCCTCACATGTGTTCTCAGATGTGCTGATTCTTCCAGCTAATTGAAAGCGGCGCGTGGTACGGCTCGACCGCCGTCGCCGTAGTTCCCAGCCGCCGCCGAGTCACCACGCGCCGTCAAGGGTACTGCTGTCGTACCACCACCACCACCACGTAAAGATGCAGTGCTTTGCTGTTGTACGGCGACCTGAGATGGCGGTGCTCCCATAATGAACCGATCCTCGTCTTCGGCTGTGCGCGTGCGATACAAGGGGGTCAGGCGGGTTAGGGCACAGCAATGTACGGCACGCATAGCGGCATAAGGCATACTGATAGGTAATCTAGCTATTACTATTAATGTATGATAACAGTGCAGGGTCACGAGAAAGTGATACGGCGTGAAACTGGTTTCCAACCTGACCCCCCTTCCCGTCCTCTTCTACCGCCCAGACCGCTGGTCAGGTGAATTCCCACCCCGCACGTTTCGCCGCACTCACTGGTTTGACGGATATGCTGTACGCGGGATTGCTGTACGTATTGTCGTACGATATGGGGTACGTGGCTTCTCCCGTAGCGGGTGCACCCGTGTTGTACTGGTCAATGTAGTACGCCCGACTGCAGTGCCTGTTTAAGCAACAGATCCGCCCAACGGAGACGAAAAGCATGCGCATCATTAATTTATGGCAATACGGTAGCGTATCGGCGTGTACGAACGCAACCGCGAATCGTGAATAACAACAGCTGATGCATCCTCTTATCCGGCTGTAAGCGTGGCAGCAGCAAGCAGCAATGAACCCGTACATACACCTGATGTTGTGTTCCTTGGTGCTGGTTACTTCACTTGCTTCATTTTGCCTTGTCTTTCCTTGCCAAGTCGCCATGTCCGACACTGTGAAGCACACACCCCGTCACCCACCCCACCGAGCACACCTGCTTATGTCCAAGCCGCTAAGCTCCTCATCCGCGGGAACTCGCAGCAGATTGAACCGCTGCGTACGTACGACACGTCAGCATGTTGTGGTAAGCGAGCATGGCGTCTGGTGTTGCAGAGACCGTGGGTCGAGGATTAACAGCCGGCTTAGTTACGGCGGCTCCGGCGAAGAAGGCGGCACGCCAGGCGGGAGCGGTGCAGGAAATGTCGGTGAGGGGCTGGATGTTGGCTCCGGCGAAGAAGGCGGCACGCCAGGCGGGAGCAGGGAAGGAGATGTCGGTGCAGGGCTGGGTGGCGGCTCCGGTGAAGAAGGCGGCACGCCAGGCGGGAGCGGGGAAGGAGATGTCGTTGCTGGGCTGGGTGGCGGCTCTGGCGAAGAAGGCGGCACGCCAGGCGGGAGCGGGGAAGGAGATGGCGGTGAGGGGCTGGGTGGCGGCTCCGGTGAAGAAGGCGGCACGCCAGGCGGGAGCGGTGCAGGAGATGGCGGTGCGGGGGCTGCGTGGCGGCTCTGGCGAAGAAGGCGGCACGCCAGGCGGGAGCGGTGCAGGAGATGGCGGCGAGGGGCTGGGTGGCGGCTCCGGTGAAGAAGGCGGCACGCCAGGCGGGAGCGGGGAAGGAGATGGCGGTGAGGGGCTGGGTGGCGGCTCCGGCGAAGAAGGCGGCACGCCAGGCGGGAGCGGGGAAGGAGACGGCGGCGAGGGGATGGGTGGCGGCTCCGGCGAAGAAGGCGGCACGCCAGGCGGGAGCGGTGCAGGAGATGGCGGCGAGGGGCTGGGTGGCGGCTCTGGTGAAGAAGGCGGCACGCCAGGCGGGAGCGGGGAAGGAGATGGCGGTGAGGGGCTGGGTGGCGGCTCCGGCGAAGAAGGCGGCACGCCAGGCGGGAGCGGGGAAGGAGATGTCGGTGCAGGGCTGGGTGGCGGCTCTGGCGAAGGATGCGGCACGCCAGGCGGGAGCGGGGAAGGAGATGTCGGTGCAGGGCTGGGTGGCGGCTCCGGCGAAGAAGGCGGCACGCCAGGCGGGAGCGGGGAAGGAGATGGCGGTGAGGGGCTGGGTGGCGGCGCTGGCGAAGTAGGCGGCGCGCCAGGCGGGAGCGGGGAAGGAGATGGCGGTGAGGGGCTGGGTGGCGGCTCCGGCGAAGAAGGCGGCACGCCAGGCGGGAGCGGGGAAGGAGATGGCGGTGAGGGGCTGGGTGGCGGCTCCGGCGAAGGAGGCGGCACGCCAGGCGGGAGCGGGGAAGGAGATGGCGGTGAGGGGCTGGGTGGCGGCTCCGGCGAAGAAGGCGGCACGCCAGGCGGGAGCGGGGAAGGAGATGGCGGTGCGGGGGCTGGGTGGCGGCTCTTGCGAAGAAGGCGATACGCCAGGCGGGAGCGGTGCAGGAGATGGCGGTGAGGGGCTGGGTGGCGGCTCCGGTGAAGAAGGCGGCACGCCAGGCAGGAGCGGGGAAGGAGATGGCGGTGAGGGGCTGGGTGGCGGCTCCGGCGAAGAAGGCGGCACGCCAGGCGGGAGCGGGGAAGGAGATGGCGGTGCGGGGGCTGGGTGGCGGCTCTTGCGAAGAAGGCGATACGCCAGGCGGGAGCGGTGCAGGAGATGGCGGTGAGGGGCTGGGTGGCGGCTCCGGCGAAGAAGGCGGCACGCCAGGCGGGAGCGGGGAAGGAGATGGCGGCGAGGGGATGGGTGGCGGCTCCGGCGAAGAAGGCGGCGCGCCAGGCGGGAGCGGGGAAGGAGATGGCGGTGCGGGGGCTGGATGGCGGCTCCGGCGAAGAAGGCGGCACGCCAGGCGGGAGCGGGGAAGGAGATGGCGGCGAGGGGATGGGTGGCGGCTCCGGCGAAGAAGGCGGCGCGCCAGGCGGGAGCGGGGAAGGAGATGGCGGTGCGGGGGCTGGGTGGCGGCTCCGGCGAAGAAGGCGGCACGCCAGGCGGGAGCGGGGAAGGAGACGGCGGCGAGGGGATGGGTGGCGGCTCCGGCGAAGAAGGCGGCACGCCAGGCGGGAGCGGTGCAGGAGATGGCGGCGAGGGGCTGGGTGGCGGCTCTGGTGAAGAAGGCGGCACGCCAGGCGGGAGCGGGGAAGGAGATGGCGGCGAGGGGCTGGGTGGCGGCTCCGGTGAAGAAGGCGGCACGCCAGGCGGGAGCGGGGAAGGAGATGGCGGTGCGGGGGCTGGGTGGCGGCTCTGGTGAAGAAGGCGGCACGCCAGGCGGGAGCGGGGAAGGAGATGGCGGTGAGGGGCTGGGTGGCGGCTCCGGCGAAGAAGGCGGCACGCCAGGCGGGAGCAGGGAAGGAGACGGCGGCGAGGGGATGGGTGGCGGCTCCGGCGAAGAAGGCGGCGCGCCAGGCGGGAGCGGGGAAGGAGATGTCGGTGCAGGGCTGGGTGGCGGCTCCGGCGAAGAAGGCGGCACGCCAGGCGGGAGCGGTGCAGGAAATGTCGGTGAGGGGCTGGGTGGCGGCTCTGGCGAAGGATGCGGCACGCCAGGCGGGAGCGGGGAAGGAGATGTCGGTGCAGGGCTGGGTGGCGGCTCCGGCGAAGAAGGCGGCACGCCAGGCGGGAGCGGGGAAGGAGACGGCGGCGAGGGGATGGGTGGTGGCTCCGGCGAAGAAGGCGGCACGCCAGGCGGGAGCGGTGCAGGAGATGGCGGTGCGGGGGCTGGGTGGCGGACGAAGCGCAGGAGCCAGGATCGGAGGCTCATGCGGAGATCGATGTGGGGGCAAGGAGGGGGGGGGAGGGAATGGGTTGGTGGCGATGAGAGAACGGATGTATGGGACACTAGAGCAATGCATGTTTAGAAGCAGGCAGCGAGCTAGCCGGAGACACTCCAGCCCCATGCAACGGGCCCTCAGAGCAACATGCCGAGCCCACGCAGCCGGCCTAATAGACACGCCACATGCACCGGTTGCCAGGCGATGCTTGCGGCATGCTACTTGGCCGGCCGCTTGGGCAAAACTTAACCGTTGTCTATTGGTTCCCAACTAATTGAGATAATTGGAGATAGTTGTGGGTGCAGAACAGCGAACAGGGCAGGCACGCGTGTGAGACGTTGTAGCAAACAAACTCGCCTTTATTCGCTAGGCGAAATGGATGCGGGTTGGGGCTGTGCTGGCGAATAGCAGCGGTACGGCAGCGGCGGCAGCTTGACGTACCGGCGGCGGTGGCAGCGAGGCACCCCTGTCGGCCGCCACGGAGGTACTGCCGTCGTAGGTAGCACGACATGGCCTCGCCCCCCGCGTCTCGCAAAGAGGTACATGCGTAGGAAGAAAGGCACTGGGGGCGTTGGGTTAGGCTATGCTATACGCATATAAGTACCGGCAAGGAAAAGGAAGTAAAGCAAGACACGTGTGTTCGACCTTGGAAAGCTGTCGACTCAGATGACCCTACTGCTGCTGGGCTGATATATCTGATGCTGCTGCTGCTGTAACTGCTGCTGGCTGTTCTGAGCTGACTGAGGGTGGCACTGGCTGCCGCTGCTGCTGCTGTTTGGCTGTTAAGACTGCTGAATTCTGTTCTGAGCTGACTGAGGGTGGCACTGGCTGCCGCTGAGGGTACCTCGGATGCAGGTGAGCGTCATCCAGCTCTCGGAGGCGAAGCAGACACGTGCCACGAACACACCCGCTGTCCAAATGCAACATGCACACCGCTAGCCACACCCACCCACCCACCCGCCCGCCAGCCCGCCCGCCCTCACCCACCTTCAACGTTCGCGCTCATGGTGGGGCTCAAGGCAAGCAGTCTCGTGGCTGAACGATGACCCATGCATGGGTCTCCTAGCCGCCGCCGGAAAAGAAGCCAATGCCTTGTTAGTCCCTTAGCGAAGAAGGCGGCACGCCAGGCGGGAGCGGGGAAGGAGATGTCGGTGCAGGGCTGGGTGGCGGCTCTGGTGAAGAAGGCGGCACGCCAGGCGGGAGCGGGGAAGGAGATGGCGGTGCGGGGGCTGGGTGGCGGCTCCGGCGAAGAAGGCGGCACGCCAGGCGGGAGCGGTGCAGGAAATGTCGGTGAGGGGCTGGGTGGCGGCTCCGGCGAAGGAGGCGGCACGCCAGGCGGGAGCGGGGAAGGCGATGGCGGTGCGGGGGCTGGGTGGCGGCTCTTGCGAAGAAGGCGATACGCCAGGCGGGAGCGGTGCAGGAGATGGCGGTGAGGGGCTGGGTGGCGGCTCCGGTGAAGAAGGCGGCACGCCAGGCGGGAGCGGTGCAGGAGATGGCGGCGAGGGGCTGGGTGGCGGCTCTTGCGAAGAAGGCGATACGCCAGGCGGGAGCGGTGCAGGAGATGGCGGTGAGGGGCTGGGTGGCGGCTCCGGTGAAGAAGGCGGCACGCCAGGCGGGAGCGGTGCAGGAGATGGCGGCGAGGGGCTGGGTGGCGGCTCTGGTGAAGAAGGCGGCACGCCAGGCGGGAGCGGGGAAGGAGATGGCGGTGAGGGGCTGGGTGGCGGCTCCGGCGAAGAAGGCGGCACGCCAGGCGGGAGCGGGGAAGGAGACGGCGGCGAGGGGATGGGTGGCGGCTCCGGCGAAGAAGGCGGCACGCCAGGCGGGAGCGGTGCAGGAGATGGCGGTGCGGGGGCTGGGTGGCGGACGAAGCGCAGGAGCCAGGATCGGAGGCTCATGCGGAGATCGATGTGGGGGCAAGGAGGGGGGGGGAGGGAATGGGTTGGTGGCGATGAGAGAACGGATGTATGGGACACTAGAGCAATGCATGTTTAGAAGCAGGCAGCGAGCTAGCCGGAGACACTCCAGCCCCATGCAACGGGCCCTCAGAGCAACATGCCGAGCCCACGCAGCCGGCCTAATAGACACGCCACATGCACCGGTTGCCAGGCGATGCTTGCGGCATGCTACTTGGCCGGCCGCTTGGGCAAAACTTAACCGTTGTCTATTGGTTCCCAACTAATTGAGATAATTGGAGATAGTTGTGGGTGCAGAACAGCGAACAGGGCAGGCACGCGTGTGAGACGTTGTAGCAAACAAACTCGCCTTTATTCGCTAGGCGAAATGGATGCGGGTTGGGGCTGTGCTGGCGAATAGCAGCGGTACGGCAGCGGCGGCAGCTTGACGTACCGGCGGCGGTGGCAGCGAGGCACCCCTGTCGGCCGCCACGGAGGTACTGCCGTCGTAGGTAGCACGACATGGCCTCGCCCCCCGCGTCTCGCAAAGAGGTACATGCGTAGGAAGAAAGGCACTGGGGGCGTTGGGTTAGGCTATGCTATACGCATATAAGTACCGGCAAGGAAAAGGAAGTAAAGCAAGACACGTGTGTTCGACCTTGGAAAGCTGTCGACTCAGATGACCCTACTGCTGCTGGGCTGATATATCTGATGCTGCTGCTGCTGTAACTGCTGCTGGCTGTTCTGAGCTGACTGAGGGTGGCACTGGCTGCCGCTGCTGCTGCTGTTTGGCTGTTAAGACTGCTGAATTCTGTTCTGAGCTGACTGAGGGTGGCACTGGCTGCCGCTGAGGGTACCTCGGATGCAGGTGAGCGTCATCCAGCTCTCGGAGGCGAAGCAGACACGTGCCACGAACACACCCGCTGTCCAAATGCAACATGCACACCGCTAGCCACACCCACCCACCCACCCGCCCGCCAGCCCGCCCGCCCTCACCCACCTTCAACGTTCGCGCTCATGGTGGGGCTCAAGGCAAGCAGTCTCGTGGCTGAACGATGACCCATGCATGGGTCTCCTAGCCGCCGCCGGAAAAGAAGCCAATGCCTTGTTAGTCCCTTAGCGAAGAAGGCGGCACGCCAGGCGGGAGCGGTGCAGGAAATGTCGGTGCGGGGGCTGGGTGGCGGCTCCGGCGAAGAAGGCGGCACGCCAGGCGGGAGCGGTGCAGGAAATGTCGGTGAGGGGCTGGGTGGCGGCTCCGGCGAAGGAGGCGGCACGCCAGGCGGGAGCGGGGAAGGAGATGGCGGTGCGGGGGCTGGGTGGCGGCTCCGGTGAAGAAGGCGGCACGCCAGGCGGGAGCGGTGCAGGAGATGGCGGCGAGGGGCTGGGTGGCGGCTCTTGCGAAGAAGGCGATACGCCAGGCGGGAGCGGTGCAGGAGATGGCGGTGAGGGGCTGGGTGGCGGCTCCGGTGAAGAAGGCGATACGCCAGGCGGGAGCGGTGCAGGAGATGGCGGTGAGGGGCTGGGTGGCGGCTCCGGTGAAGAAGGCGGCACGCCAGGCGGGAGCGGTGCAGGAGATGGCGGCGAGGGGCTGGGTGGCGGCTCTGGTGAAGAAGGCGGCACGCCAGGCGGGAGCGGGGAAGGAGATGGCGGTGAGGGGCTGGGTGGCGGCTCCGGCGAAGAAGGCGGCACGCCAGGCGGGAGCGGGGAAGGAAACGGCGGCGAGGGGATGGGTGGCGGCTCCGGCGAAGAAGGCGGCGCGCCAGGCGGGAGCGGTGCAGGAGATGGCGGTGCGGGGGCTGGGTGGCGGACGAAGCGCAGGAGCCAGGATCGGAGGCTCATGCGGAGATCGATGTGGGGGCAAGGAGGGGGGGGGGGAGGGAATGGGTTGGTGGCGATGAGAGAACGGATGTATGGGACACTAGAGCAATGCATGTTTAGAAGCAGGCAGCGAGCTAGCCGGAGACACTCCAGCCCCATGCAACGGGCCCTCAGAGCAACATGCTGTGCCCACGCAGCCGGCCTAATAGACACGCCACATGCACCGGTGGCCAGGCGATGCTTGCGGCATGCTACTTGGCCGGCCGCTTGGGCAAAACTTAACCGTTGTCTATTGGTTCCCAACTAATTGAGATAATTGGAGGTAGTTGTGGGTGCAGAACAGCGAACAGGGCAGGCACGCGTGTGAGACGTTGTAGCAAACAAACTCGCCTTTATTCGCTAGGCGAAATGGATGCGGGTTGGGGCTGTGCTGGCGAATAGCAGCGGTACGGCAGCGGCGGCAGCTTGACGTACCGGCGGCGGTGGCAGCGAGGCACCCCTGTCGGCCGCCACGGAGGTACTGCCGTCGTAGGTAGCACGACATGGCCTCGCCCCCCGCGTCTCGCAAAGAGGTACATGCGTAGGAAGAAAGGCACTGGGGGCGTTGGGTTACGTGTGAGACGTTGTAGCAAACAAACTCGCCTTTATTCGCTAGGCGAAATGGATGCGGGTTGGGGCTGTGCTGGCGAATAGCAGCGGTACGGCAGCGGCGGCAGCTTGAAGTACCGGCGGCGGTGGCAGCGAGGCACCCCTGTCGGCCGCCACGGAGGTACTGTCGTCGTAGGTAGCACGACATGGCCTCGCCCCCCGCGTCTCGCAAAGAGGTACATGCGTAGGAAGAAAGGCACTGGGGGCGTTGGGTTAGGCTATGCTATACGCATATAAGTACCGGCAAGGAAAAGGAAGTAAAGCAAGACACGTGTGTTCGACCTTGGAAAGCTGTCGACTCAGCTGACCCTGCTGCTGCTGGGCTGATATATCTGATGCTGCTGCTGCTGTAACTGCTGCTGGCTGTTCTGAGCTGACTGAGGGTGGCACTGGCTGCCGCTGGGGGTACCTCGGATGCAGGTGAGCGTCATCCAGCTCTCGGAGGCGAAGCAGACACGTGCCACGAACACACCCGCTGTCCAAATGCAACATGCACACCGCTAGCCACACCCACCCACCCACCCACCCGCCCGCCAGCCCGCCCGCCCTCACCCACCTTCAACGTTCGCGCTCATGGTGGGGCTCAAGGCAAGCAGTCTCGTGGCTGAACGATGACCCATGCATGGGTCTCCTAGCCGCCGCCGGAAAAGAAGCCAATGCCTTGTTAGTCCCTTAGCGAAGAAGGCGGCACGCCAGGCGGGAGCAGTGCAGGAAATGTCGGTGAGGGGCTGGGTGGCGGCTCCGGCGAAGAAGGCGACACGCCAGGCAGGAGCGGTGCAGGAAATGTCGGTGAGGGGCTGGGTGGCGGCGCTGGCGAAGTAGGCGGCGCGCCAGGCGGGAGCGGGGAAGGAGATGGCGGTGAGGGGCTGGGTGGCGGCTCCGGCGAAGAAGGCGGCACGCCAGGCGGGAGCGGGGAAGGAGATGGCGGTGAGGGGCTGGGTGGCGGCTCCGGCGAAGAAGGCGGCACGCCAGGCGGGAGCGGGGAAGGAGACGGCGGCGAGGGGATGGGTGGCGGCTCCGGCGAAGAAGGCGGCGCGCCAGGCGGGAACGGGGAAGGAGATGGCGGTGCGGGGGCTGGGTGGTGGACGAAGCGCAGGAGCCAGGATCGGAGGCCCATGCGGAGATCGAGGTGGGGGCAAGGAGGGGGGGGGAAGGGAATGGGTTGGTGGCGATGAGAGAACGGATGTATGGGACACTAGAGCAATGCATGTTTAGAAGCAGGCAGCGAGCTAGCCGGAGACACTCCAGCCCCATGCAACGGGCCCTCAGAGCAACATGCCGAGCCCACGCAGCCGGCCAAATAGACACGCCACATGCACCGGTGGCCAGGCGATGCTTGCGGCATGCTACTTGGCCGGCCGCTTGGGCAAAACTTAACCGTTGTCTATTGGTTCCCAACTAATTGAGATAATTGGAGATAGTTGTGGGTGCAGAACAGCGAACAGGGCAGGCACGCGTGTGAGACGTTGTAGCAAACAAACTCGCCTTTATTCGCTAGGCGAAATGGATGCGGGTTGGGGCTGTGCTGGCGAATAGCAGCGGTACGGCAGCGGCGGCAGCTTGAAGTACCGGCGGCGGTGGCAGCGAGGCACCCCTGTCGGCCGCCACGGAGGTACTGTCGTCGTAGGTAGCATGACATGGCCTCGCCCCCCGCGTCTCGCAAAGAGGTACATGCGTAGGAAGAAAGGCATTGGGGGCGTTGGGTTAGGCTATGCTATACGCATATAAGTACCGGCAAGGAAAAGGAAGTAAAGCAAGACACGTGTGTTCGACCTTGAAAAGCTGTCGACTCAGATGACCCTACTGCTGCTGGGCTGATATATCTGATGCTGCTGCTGTAACTGCTGCTGGCTGTTCTGAGCTGACTGAGGGTGGCACTGGCTGCCGCTGGGGGTACCTCGGATGCAGGTGAGCGTCATCCAGCTCTCGGAGGCGAAGCAGACACGTGCCACGAACACACCCGCTGTCCAAATGCAACATGCACACCGCTAGCCACACCCACCCACCCACCCGCCCGCCAGCCCGCCCGCCCTCACCCACCTTCAACGTTCGCGCTCATGGTGGGGCTCAAGGCAAGCAGTCTCGTGGCTGAACGATGACCCATGCATGGGTCTCCTAGCCGCCGCCGGAAAAGAAGCCAATGCCTTGTTAGTCCCTTAGCGAAGAAGGCGGCACGCCAGGCGGGAGCGGGGAAGGAGATGTCGGTGCAGGGCTGGGTGGCGGCTCTGGTGAAGAAGGCGGCACGCCAGGCAGGAGCGGTGCAGGAAATGTCGGTGAGGGGCTGGGTGGCGGCTCCGGCGAAGAAGGCGACACGCCAGGCGGGAGCGGTGCAGGAAATGTCGGTGAGGGGCTGGGTGGCGGCTCCGGCGAAGGAGGCGGCACGCCAGGCGGTAGCGGGGAAGGAGATGGCGGTGCGGGGGCTGGGTGGCGGCTCTTGCGAAGAAGGCGATACGCCAGGCGGGAGCGGTGCAGGAGATGGCGGTGAGGGGCTGGGTGGCGGCTCCGGTGAAGAAGGCGGCACGCCAGGCGGGAGCGGTGCAGGAGATGGCGGCGAGGGGCTGGGTGGCGGCTCCGGTGAAGAAGGCGGCACGCCAGGCGGGAGCGGTGCAGGAGATGGCGGCGAGGGGCTGGGTGGCGGCTCTGGTGAAGAAGGCGGCACGCCAGGCGGGAGCGGGGAAGGAGATGGCGGTGAGGGGCTGGGTGGCGGCTCCGGCGAAGAAGGCGGCACGCCAGGCGGGAGCGGGGAAGGAGACGGCGGCGAGGGGATGGGTGGCGGCTCCGGCGAAGAAGGCGGCACGCCAGGCGGGAGCGGTGCAGGAGATGGCGGCGAGGGGCTGGGTGGCGGCTCTGGTGAAGAAGGCGGCACGCCAGGCGGGAGCGGGGAAGGAGATGGCGGTGAGGGGCTGGGTGGCGGCTCCGGCGAAGAAGGCGGCACGCCAGGCGGGAGCGGGGAAGGAAACGGCGGCGAGGGGATGGGTGGCGGCTCCGGCGAAGAAGGCGGCACGCCAGGCGGGAGCGGTGCAGGAGATGGCGGTGCGGGGGCTGGGTGGCGGACGAAGCGCAGGAGCCAGGATCGGAGGCTCATGCGGAGATCGATGTGGGGGCAAGGAGGGGGGGGGGGGAGGGAATGGGTTGGTGGCGATGAGAGAACGGATGTATGGGACACTAGAGCAATGCATGTTTAGAAGCAGGCAGCGAGCTAGCCGGAGACACTCCAGCCCCATGCAACGGGCCCTCAGAGCAACATGCTGTGCCCACGCAGCCGGCCTAATAGACACGCCACATGCACCGGTGGCCAGGCGATGCTTGCGGCATGCTACTTGGCCGGCCGCTTGGGCAAAACTTAACCGTTGTCTATTGGTTCCCAACTAATTGAGATAATTGGAGGTAGTTGTGGGTGCAGAACAGCGAACAGGGCAGGCACGCGTGTGAGACGTTGTAGCAAACAAACTCGCCTTTATTCGCTAGGCGAAATGGATGCGGGTTGGGGCTGTGCTGGCGAATAGCAGCGGTACGGCAGCGGCGGCAGCTTGACGTACCGGCGGCGGTGGCAGCGAGGCACCCCTGTCGGCCGCCACGGAGGTACTGCCGTCGTAGGTAGCACGACATGGCCTCGCCCCCCGCGTCTCGCAAAGAGGTACATGCGTAGGAAGAAAGGCACTGGGGGCGTTGGGTTAGGCTATGCTATACGCATATAAGTACCGGCAAGGAAAAGGAAGTAAAGCAAGACACGTGTGTTCGACCTTGGAAAGCTGTCGACTCAGCTGACCCTACTGCTGCTGGGCTGATATATCTGATGCTGCTGCTGCTGTAACTGCTGCTGGCTGTTCTGAGCTGACTGAGGGTGGCACTGGCTGCCGCTGGGGGTACCTCGGATGCAGGTGAGCGTCATCCAGCTCTCGGAGGCGAAGCAGACACGTGCCACGAACACACCCGCTGTCCAAATGCAACATGCACACCGCTAGCCACACCCACCCACCCACCCGCCCGCCAGCCCGCCCGCCCTCACCCACCTTCAACGTTCGCGCTCATGGTGGGGCTCAAGGCAAGCCGTCTCGTGGCTGAACGATGACCCATGCATGGGTCTCCTAGCCGCCGCCGGAAAAGAAGCCAATGCCTTGTTAGTCCCTTAGCGAAGAAGGCGGCACGCCAGGCGGGAGCAGTGCAGGAAATGTCGGTGAGGGGCTGGGTGGCGGCTCCGGCGAAGAAGGCGACACGCCAGGCAGGAGCGGTGCAGGAAATGTCGGTGAGGGGCTGGGTGGCGGCGCTGGCGAAGTAGGCGGCGCGCCAGGCGGGAGCGGGGAAGGAGATGGCGGTGAGGGGCTGGGTGGCGGCTCCGGCGAAGAAGGCGGCACGCCAGGCGGGAGCGGGGAAGGAGATGGCGGTGCAGGGCTGGGTGGCGGCTCCGGCGAAGAAGGCGGCACGCCAGGCGGGAGCGGGGAAGGAGATGGCGGTGAGGGGATGGGTGGCGGCTCCGGCGAAGAAGGCGGCACGCCAGGCGGGAGCGGTGCAGGAGATGGCGGTGCGGGGGCTGGGTGGCGGACGAAGCGCAGGAGCCAGGATCGGAGGCCCATGCGGAGATCGAGGTGGGGGCAAGGAGGGGGGGGGAAGGGAATGGGTTGGTGGCGATGAGAGAACGGATGTATGGGACACTAGAGCAATGCATGTTTAGAAGCAGGCAGCGAGCTAGCCGGAGACACTCCAGCCCCATGCAACGGGCCCTCAGAGCAACATGCCGAGCCCACGCAGCCGGCCAAATAGACACGCCACATGCACCGGTGGCCAGGCGATGCTTGCGGCATGCTACTTGGCCGGCCGCTTGGGCAAAACTTAACCGTTGTCTATTGGTTCCCAACTAATTGAGATAATTGGAGATAGTTGTGGGTGCAGAACAGCGAACAGGGCAGGCACGCGTGTGAGACGTTGTAGCAAACAAACTCGCCTTTATTCGCTAGGCGAAAAGGATGCGGGTTGGGGCTGTGCTGGCGAATAGCAGCGGTACGGCAGCGGCGGCAGCTTGACGTACCGGCGGCGGTGGCAGCGAGGCACCCCTGTCGGCCGCCACGGAGGTACTGTCGTCGTAGGTAGCACGACATGGCCTCGCCCCCCGCGTCTCGCAAAGAGGTACATGCGTAGGAAGAAAGGCATTGGGGGCGTTGGGTTAGGCTATGCTATACGCATATAAGTACCGGCAAGGAAAAGGAAGTAAAGCAAGACACGTGTGTTCGACCTTGGAAAGCTGTCGACTCAGATGACCCTACTGCTGCTGGGCTGATATATCTGATGCTGCTGCTGTAACTGCTGCTGGCTGTTCTGAGCTGACTGAGGGTGGCACTGGCTGCCGCTGGGGGTACCTCGGATGCAGGTGAGCGTCATCCAGCTCTCGGAGGCGAAGCAGACACGTGCCACGAACACACCCGCTGTCCAAATGCAACATGCACACCGCTAGCCACACCCACCCACCCACCCGCCCGCCAGCCCGCCCGCCCTCACCCACCTTCAACGTTCGCGCTCATGGTGGGGCTCAAGGCAAGCAGTCTCGTGGCTGAACGATGACCCATGCATGGGTCTCCTAGCCGCCGCCGGAAAAGAAGCCAATGCCTTGTTTGTCCCTTAGCGAAGAAGGCGGCACACCAGGCGGGAGCGGGGAAGGAGATGTCGGTGCAGGGCTGGGTGGCGGCTCCGGCGAAGAAGGCGGCACGCCAGGCGGGAGCGGGGAAGGAGATGGCGGTGCGGGGGCTGCGTGGCGGCTCCGGCGAAGGAGGCGGCACGCCAGGCGGGAGCGGGGACGGAGATGTCGGTGAGGGGCTGGGTGGCGGCTCTGGCGAAGGAGGCGGCACGCCAGGCGGGAGCGGGGAAGGAGATGTCGGTGCAGGGCTGGGTGGCGGCTCCGGCGAAGAAGGCGGCACGCCAGGCGGGAGCGGGGAAGGAGATGGCGGTGAGGGGCTGGGTGGCGGCTCCGGCGAAGAAGGCGGCACGCCAGGCGGGAGCGGGGAAGGAGACGGCGGCGAGGGGATGGGTGGCGGCTCCGGCGAAGAAGGCGGCGCGCCAGGCGGGAGCGGGGAAGGAGATGGCGGTGCGGGGGCTGCGTGGCGGCTCTGGCGAAGGAGGCGGCACGCCAGGCGGGAGCGGGGAAGGAGATGTCGGTGCAGGGCTGGGTGGCGGCTCCGGCGAAGGAGGCGGCACGCCAGGCGGGAGCGGGGAAGGAGATGGCGGTGAGGGGCTGGGTGGCGGCTCCGGCGAAGAAGGCGGCACGCCAGGCGGGAGCGGGGAAGGAGACGGCGGCGAGGGGATGGGTGGCGGGCTGGCGGCTCCGGCGAAGAAGGCGGCGCGCCAGGCGGGAACGGGGAAGGAGATGGCGGTGCGGGGGCTGGGTGGCGGACGAAGCGCAGGAGCCAGGATCGGAGGCTCATGCGGAGATCGATGTGGGGGCAAGGAGGGGGGGGGAAGGGAATGGGTTGGTGGCGATGAGAGAACGGATGTATGGGACACTAGAGCAATGCATGTTTAGAAGCAGGCAGCGAGCTAGCCGGAGACACTCCAGCCCCATGCAACGGGCCCTCAGAGCAACATGCCGAGCCCACGCAGCCGGCCTAATAGACACGCCACATGCACCGATGGCCAGGCGATGCTTGCGGCATGCTACTTGGCCGGCCGCTTGGGCAAAACTTAACCGTTGTCTATTGGTTCCCAACTAATTGAGATAATTGGAGATAGTTGTGGGTGCAGAACAGCGAACAGGGCAGGCACGCGTGTGAGACGTTGTAGCAAACAAACTCGCCTTTATTCGCTAGGCGAAATGGATGCGGGTTGGGGCTGTGCTGGCGAATAGCAGCGGTACGGCAGCGGCGGCAGCTTGACGTACCGGCGGCGGTGGCAGCGAGGCACCCCTGTCGGCCGCCACGGAGGTACTGCCGTCGTAGGTAGCACGACATGGCCTCGCCCCCCGCGTCTCGCAAAGAGGTACATGCGTAGGAAGAAAGGCATTGGGGGCGTTGGGTTAGGCTATGCTATACGCATATAAGTACCGGCAAGGAAAAGGAAGTAAAGCAAGACACGTGTGTTCGACCTTGGAAAGCTGTCGACTCAGCTGACCCTACTGCTGCTGGGCTGATATATCTGATGCTGCTGCTGCTGTAACTGCTGCTGGCTGTTCTGAGCTGACTGAGGGTGGCACTGGCTGCCGCTGCTGCTGCTGTTTGGCTGTTAAGACTGCTGAATTCTGTTCTGAGCTGACTGAGGGTGGCACTGGCTGCCGCTGAGGGTACCTCGGATGCAGGTGAGCGTCATCCAGCTCTCGGAGGCGAAGCAGACACGTGCCACGAACACACCCGCTGTCCAAATGCAACATGCACACCGCTAGCCACACCCACCCACCCACCCGCCCGCCAGCCCGCCCGCCCTCACCCACCTTCAACGTTCGCGCTCATGGTGGGGCTCAAGGCAAGCAGTCTCGTGGCTGAACGATGACCCATGCATGGGTCTCCTAGCCGCCGCCGGAAAAGAAGCCAATGCCTTGTTAGTCCCTTAGCGAAGAAGGCGGCACGCCAGGCGGGAGCGGTGCAGGAAATGTCGGTGCGGGGGCTGGGTGGCGGCTCCGGCGAAGAAGGCGGCACGCCAGGCGGGAGCGGTGCAGGAAATGTCGGTGAGGGGCTGGGTGGCGGCTCCGGCGAAGGAGGCGGCACGCCAGGCGGGAGCGGGGAAGGAGATGGCGGTGCGGGGGCTGGGTGGCGGCTCCGGTGAAGAAGGCGGCACGCCAGGCGGGAGCGGTGCAGGAGATGGCGGCGAGGGGCTGGGTGGCGGCTCTTGCGAAGAAGGCGATACGCCAGGCGGGAGCGGTGCAGGAGATGGCGGTGAGGGGCTGGGTGGCGGCTCCGGTGAAGAAGGCGATACGCCAGGCGGGAGCGGTGCAGGAGATGGCGGTGAGGGGCTGGGTGGCGGCTCCGGTGAAGAAGGCGGCACGCCAGGCGGGAGCGGTGCAGGAGATGGCGGCGAGGGGCTGGGTGGCGGCTCTGGTGAAGAAGGCGGCACGCCAGGCGGGAGCGGGGAAGGAGATGGCGGTGAGGGGCTGGGTGGCGGCTCCGGCGAAGAAGGCGGCACGCCAGGCGGGAGCGGGGAAGGAAACGGCGGCGAGGGGATGGGTGGCGGCTCCGGCGAAGAAGGCGGCGCGCCAGGCGGGAGCGGTGCAGGAGATGGCGGTGCGGGGGCTGGGTGGCGGACGAAGCGCAGGAGCCAGGATCGGAGGCTCATGCGGAGATCGATGTGGGGGCAAGGAGGGGGGGGGGAGGGAATGGGTTGGTGGCGATGAGAGAACGGATGTATGGGACACTAGAGCAATGCATGTTTAGAAGCAGGCAGCGAGCTAGCCGGAGACACTCCAGCCCCATGCAACGGGCCCTCAGAGCAACATGCTGTGCCCACGCAGCCGGCCTAATAGACACGCCACATGCACCGGTGGCCAGGCGATGCTTGCGGCATGCTACTTGGCCGGCCGCTTGGGCAAAACTTAACCGTTGTCTATTGGTTCCCAACTAATTGAGATAATTGGAGGTAGTTGTGGGTGCAGAACAGCGAACAGGGCAGGCACGCGTGTGAGACGTTGTAGCAAACAAACTCGCCTTTATTCGCTAGGCGAAATGGATGCGGGTTGGGGCTGTGCTGGCGAATAGCAGCGGTACGGCAGCGGCGGCAGCTTGACGTACCGGCGGCGGTGGCAGCGAGGCACCCCTGTCGGCCGCCACGGAGGTACTGCCGTCGTAGGTAGCACGACATGGCCTCGCCCCCCGCGTCTCGCAAAGAGGTACATGCGTAGGAAGAAAGGCACTGGGGGCGTTGGGTTACGTGTGAGACGTTGTAGCAAACAAACTCGCCTTTATTCGCTAGGCGAAATGGATGCGGGTTGGGGCTGTGCTGGCGAATAGCAGCGGTACGGCAGCGGCGGCAGCTTGAAGTACCGGCGGCGGTGGCAGCGAGGCACCCCTGTCGGCCGCCACGGAGGTACTGTCGTCGTAGGTAGCACGACATGGCCTCGCCCCCCGCGTCTCGCAAAGAGGTACATGCGTAGGAAGAAAGGCACTGGGGGCGTTGGGT